ATGGACAAGTTATTTGATATGCTGGAGTCGTTGCTCGACACGAAAAACACCGAAATTCGCGCGGTTATCCAGGATGGATAGGATCGGGGCGCCAGGAGGTAGTAACTGCCCTATCACGAGTCGATGCGAGGGGACATACCAGAAGCTGTGGAGATAAGAGTCGGGCCCGGTGCAGAGGCGCCAAGAGGATATATTATCGAGGAAGACGGTCATGGTAATAGGCGTAACCGGGATAGTGATGGAGGCGTGGAGGGGAACAGCTTCGTGTCCTGGGCGTCGATGAAAATACAAGGCAGATTAGCGCTGTAAAGCAGCATAAAGCATACAATACACGCACCCCTGCAGTTTAGAACAAGAGACCCACGATTCCTCCAAAGTCGACTTCGACCGTGCTCAACCCCATCAACCTCCAGTAAAATGTCGAAGCTCATTCTAATCACTACACTCACGCGAGACTTCAAGGGTCATGGAGAACGCGCAAACACAGTTGCAGTTTTCCCTGATAAACGACGAATGATTACGGGCTCGCATGACAAGACACTTCGTCTGTGGGACTTGGAGACAGGTGTTGTGTTGAAGAAGATGGAGAGGCATAACAGCAGGGTGTCAAGATTGGCGATGTCAAGAGATGGGAAATTGATAGCAAGCGGTGATGCTGGAGGAGAGGTCATCGTCTGGCACGGAGAAACTGGAAGATCACTCACTAAACCCATCAAAGCCCACTCCGATTGGATCTCGCTGGATTTTTCTCCTGATGGAACAGTGCTGGCCACTGGTTCAAGGGACAAAACGATGAAACTGTGGAATACCAAAACCTGGAAGCAACAGGGAAATCCAATAAAGTGTGGTAGTGAAGTCTACTGCGTTCGGTATTCGCCGTCTGGAGAGGTTCTTGCTATCGCAACACACGACAATATCCAAATTTATAAAGCGGACATCAGGGAATGCGTTGCGTCCTTCAAGGCTCACACAAAATTCAACTACTCACTCGTGTGGACGCCCGACGGCACTCGCCTTCTCACAGGCGGCAATGCGAGCGATTCTACCATACGCGAATGGGATACATTGACCTGGCAGCAGGTCGGTGATCCTTGGACAGGTCACACTGACCAAATCCATTCCATTGCCGTTAATCTTGCTGGCACACTCATCGCCTCTGCATCTCATGACAATCACATCCGTCTCTGGCGGCTCTCAGATCGACAAACTGTTGCCATCTTCAATCACCCATCCTCAGCGAGATGCGTCACTTTCTCCGTGGACGGCAAACACATCCTCAGCGGAGGTGACGATAAGATGATTTCAGAGTGGGCAATACCCAACAACATCAATTCGAAGGCATGTTTCCGTCCTTGACTCGTGTACCACAACTCGAGCATGTTTCGTGCAGGTCCTAGTCATCACAACAGCCCGCGATGCATGCATAAATGGACACTTGTCTACCGCCGAAGAACTACTCACGCAAGAGATCAACATTGATACTAACAACTATACTTCCTACTCCCATCGCTCATTCGTTATGGCCCGAAAACAGGACTGGGACCATGCTCTTCAGGATGCAATCAAGGTGAGATTCACTAACCCACCATCACCCCCTATGAAAGGTTAACCCGATGGTGATATAGTCTATCAGCATCCAACCTTCATTGACAGGATATATCTCCAAGGGTATTGCCCATTGTGGAAAAGGCGACATTCAGGACGCGAGGGCAGCGTTTGATGTTGCATTCATGTACACGGACCAAGATTCGGAAACCGTTCATTTTCTGCTCTTGATCAAGGTATGTTACAGTTACCTCGCATACTCTCTACTTCATGCCAATTTTCAGGCCATCGCGCTCTTCAATGCAGGTCAATATGACGAGGCAAACCTGCTCCTGAGAGAACTAGCTACCGGCTGTCCGAATGCCGATACTCGCGCATGTCATATTGTACAAGTAAGTATCATGCAACCATGCTGGGTCATCAACACTAAGATTCTTTTCAACTCGCATATCAGGCATATCTAAGTGTTCAACTCGGAATCAAAGCCTTGGATGGAGCACGTCATGACGAAGCCATTGACCATTTCACTGCCGCTCTCAACTCCAGCAATTTACCATCTAGATCAACCACTCATGAAGTATATGAGGACCTAGTGGTGGCATGTTAATATACATCCGAAATGCTTTTCGTAACTGAATCCCTTGTCCAGCTCTTCGGCTGGGATCTCAAATCATTGTGGCTCACTGCACACCAGAAACGGTGTCAGGCTTTCCTTTCCGCACGCAAAATCGATGAAGCCCTCGAATCACACAAATCTATGATGGACAACGTCGACGAAATAACGAAGGCCAGCTGCCTTGACTGGCCCACTGGCAAGTCTTCAGTAACGTCACCCGATGTTATAATCCTCACCCATATTTCACTTAGCTTTCACGGAAGAATCCCGCACGCTCTTTCTTACCAACGGAGATACTGCCCTCGCTGCAAGCGATTATGACAGGGCTATTGACCTCTACTCGGCAGTGATCGACATGAATTCTGTATCTGATACCGTCTTTGTGAAGCGCAGCAAGGCAAGGTTGGGAAAAATGTTGCGGACAGACGCACTTCTCGATGCGCAGAAGGTGCGATAGCATTATTGTTTCTTCACCTATACTCAATATGGCGATACACAGGTCATCCAACTCAATCCTTCGTCTTATGTCGGATACAAGTTGAAGCATGCAGCGTTTCATGGCGCACGACGCTATGATGAAGCGATACAGGCCTTCCAAATGATGCTTTCAAAATTGGACAATGCTCCTGACACTGAGACACGAAGTAAGCCCCAACAACTTATACATTAACATGCTTTAATTGTTTTTACAGAGTTGTGCCAGCAGTATCTCAGTCCACCCAAAGTGGACCGTGCTATTCAAAAGGTCACCGATGCTCAGCTCGAGCATGCTCCGTTGCGTGTACTCGACACTACCACCGGTCTGTTATACAATCGAGAGGCGCAGATAAATACCTTTAAATCGAGCACAGAGTACAGAGAGCTCGTGTCATCAATGATCACGCATCGAGATATCGAAATGAATCGTGTCGAAGAAGTGGTGATGACATACTTCCGATACGCCATGCTATCGCACAGGTGGGAAGGCAAGGAACCGCTGCTGCAGGATATCCAGGGCAAGATTGTCTACGAGTTGGATTCGGTTGAAGGCATCACGAAGTTGCAGTCCTTCTGCAAAACTGCTCGTGATTTGGGGTATCGCTGGGCATGGAGCGATACATGCTGCATCGATAAGAGCAACAATGTTGAGCTCCAAGCATCGATCAAGTCCATGTTCGTCTGGTATCATCACTCAGCACTCACTGTCGTATACCTCTCGGATGTTCCACCTTCGTCAAAGTCTGGCGCACTGGCAAAGAGCGCTTGGAACACACGCGGATGGACGGTTCAAGAATTCCTCGCTCCCAAAGTCATTCTCTTCTATCAGGAGGATTGGACTCTTTACCTCAACGATCGGACTCCCAACCACAAGGATTCCGTTGCGATCATGCAGGAATTGGAGGATGCAACGGGCATAGATCAACGAACCGTCGTGAACTTCCGTCCCGGGATGAAAGACGCCCGAGAGAAACTGCAGTGGGCATCGACACGTACTACTACATTGCAAGAAGACATTGCATACTCGTTATTCGGCATCTTTGACGTCCGGCTACGTGTTGATTATGGCGAGAAGAAGCAGAAGGCACTCGGGCGGCTCCTGCAGGAAATTATAGCTCAGTCGGGCGATATCACTGCCCTGGACTGGGTTGGAAAGTCATCAGAGTTCAACAGCTGTCTACCAGCCGACATCACTTCATATGAAGCTTCACCGTGCAAACCGCCACTCCTACCCGAAGATGAGATTCAGTCATCGGTCTCCTCGCTGCAGGATGCTGTGGCTCTAGAGTCGGCTTTGAAATTGTATCAGACACTAGACCACCTGAGCGCTCCTCGTTTCGCGCACCGCCGATTGCATCTGCCTTGTATCGTATTCCCGGTCACAGAAGCCATGTGGGGGCAAGGTCGAGACCAGGATACATGTGTGTATGCAGTGAAGTCAGACGGCCTTCAGTGATCTGCAGATCACCTTGGAAGACAAGTTGATCCCGTTCTCGCCTGTAAGGCCACCACCCGCCTGGCAGACAATCTTACTCGTTCGTCCATGGAGTCGCCATCTCCTCGAGCTGCATGATCCTGCAGAGGATTCACCTGCTGCACAAAACGAGCCGGTTTATTCGGATTCTCACTCGCGAGCATTGCGATTGATTGTTCGTCTTGGACAGCCTTTTAGTGCATTTTTGCTAGCGCGGCAGCGCAACGGAGAATACAAGAGGATCTCGTCGAATCATGATATCATTGCCCAGGTTAAAGACATGACTTCTGTTGATGATATGATGGACATCAAGACATTAGAGATACTGTAGCTGTATGAAGTCTCTTAAAGATGTCTGAGCGGGTTTCGTTTGTACCTTGACGACCAAACCTGTATAGTATCATACAAGGACTCCCCTTCACTCGGCTGTACAACAATATATATAATTGTGTTTGCAGTAGCAACTCAGGAAATACTATAAGACTCCTGTAATATATAATTGTGTTTGCAGTGGCAACTCAGGAAATACTATAATAGCATCGTCTCTGAAAATAGACAGTGTCTCCTCGCATTCTCACTCTCAACAACGCTGTGCACGATCGACTGTGAGCAAAGGGACCAGTCCGGAGGCGTCAAACTTTGACATCCATTAAATCTAGTTGCATATGCGGGTCCCAGAGATTCACTGTCCATAACGAACGGTTTGTATGGAATGCGGGAGATGTAGTGGCTTTCGAATGTATTGGGAAGTTGGACTTTGAGGAAGAGACTTGAATGCAGCGCGACGACGCGCACACGTGCGTTTCTAACCAATCCCATTTCTACTAGGAGATTATACATACTCCAGGATTGGTTAACATTGCAAGGTAGTCGAGTGTGTTCTGGTGTGTTCAATGGAGTCTGCCCACCTTCTTTCAGTCTGTCCGAACTAAAATAAAATTCTACATGACTTCGTCGGTGAAATGTGTGATTGATATCAGTTGCGATACTTGCGAAAATCCATCGACATAGAGGTTGAGAGGAGAAAGGAAGTCAAAATAACGTTTCCGACGTTCCTGAATCCTGACATTACATATTATGGAAGGCACGATGATTATTCCACCTTTGCATTAGCACATAACAAAAGGTTTTGTGCTACATACCAGACAGGGATATCATCCACGCTATGCTATGCGCCATATTGCCCTAGACCACAACTAACTGGCCGATATCCAATTATCCTTCGCTAGGCAGCATCGCTGTGATCTTATCCTTCCGCTGTCTAATGAGATCGATCATGGTCTGTATGCCCTTTAACACACCCTCATCAGGACCTGCACCATCGATAAGTCGAGTATGCGCGAAGTCTATGAGAGAGAGGGAACACAAAGGAGCTTGGGGTTCTTCCTCTTCCTCTATCGCTTCGTCGGGTATAGACTCTAGAACAATCTGTCCGTTTTCATCTATCTCGACCTCTACTTCATCATCCTCGTCTTCTTCAGTCGTGGCAGTCCCGGAAGACGTGGAAAGTGCCTTCGAGGCACGCTCCCAATCTCCCTCATACACTATGAGAGCACTCCCGCCTACCATGCGCATCTCAATGTTCGACATAATAGCTTTCAATTCTTCTAGGTCGGTTTGGAGTGTAGTGAGAACGCAGTGGAGGAGGATAGGGGGAAGACCTGGATTTGACACGTCTGACTCCGGTGTCTCAATAGGGTTAGGCGGTGTGGGATAAGGTGCAGACGAAACAGGAAAGAACAGCTCAATACCATCAGGAAGCTGCTCCTTCTTGATCGATTTCCCGTATGACTTGGGCGTCAAGATAGGTTTGGGAGAGTCGTTGCTGTACACCTGCGCCATTTTCAGCGATAATTGAAATATCGAAACCGTGAGCAAGTACCTGAAATCCCGTGAGGCGAACGCCCGTTTCCCCGCTAGTAGTATTTTGAGCGGCTTTGATCATGCGTGCTTGCTTTTCGGGAGACGCGCCGTTATCGTATAGAACAGTCCCAAGTTTCACATCCAGAATACAAGGCTTCACAAAGCCGTACGCAATATTTTCAAGGACGAGGTGCTGTGCTTAATCGGATAAGAACAAACGGGCGCCGACAGCAATTCAGATTGACATATCTTTATCCTCTGGCGCCATATTGCCATGTACGGGAACTACTTCCACATTTCCGACGCCTCCATTCTCAACTGCACTTGAATCTTTGAGTTGTCCCTCGAGCTTCAACACGCCCAGGAACTTTGGGATCCAATTTCTAAGCTTCGATAGTTCATCGCTATCACTTGCTGCGGTAATTCGTTGATAAAAGTCAATTTCACGAGGAAGAGCTGGCTTGAGCAGAAGGGAATTGTCTTCTGTTGCCTGAACGCCCGCATGGCCACCTACTTGAGCTGCGAAAGGGTAGGTGGCCGCTAACGTTGGCGAGGGCGAAGAATTAGACATGTAGATTAGCACGTGACCTGGCGTGTCTCATTTAAATTTATTACAAAGGCGCGTCAACTTTCAAGTTACATCCGACATCGTCGATAGCCTTCAATCACTTCTTTTCAGTGCTTACAACAATGAGCAGACGTGGAAATAATGTTCGAGGACCTACCTCTGCATTGACTGAGTTCCTTAGGGTACGTTTCGGTTCCCCTAAAATACTTGCGTCGCTTCAATGAAACTTTATTAACAGGAGTCAGGCATTAATCCTACTACAATTGCTCGTCGAGTGGCTACCCAGAATCAGCCCGAGAACCAGTCGCAAAATCCATCTGTGGCTGGTCCGAGCAACTCGGGGGATAATGTGGAAGATGCTCCAGAGGAAGAGCAACCAGAGGAAAGCGCTCCCCGAGCGTCGAATAGCAGACGTGGTCGAGGCAGGGTAAGTTGTGCATATGAAAGCTTCTTATCATTAACCTAACTCTTTGATCGAATAAGAACGCTGGCTACGCCTCAGATGAGCTCGATGAGCCAGCGGAAGAATCTCCTGTCAAAAAACGGAAGAGTACGAAGGGCCGAGCAACTCCCGCCGCGAAGGCCAAGGCTAAGAAGAAAGCCAAAGACGATGGGGAATGTGAAGGCTCCTCTGAGGACGAATACAGGGCAATGTCGAAGAATCTCTGGTCAGCGGGTGGCAACGGTAGTCCCAAACCTCCAGCTGGAAGCTTCGAAACCTGCGCGAGATGCGAAAAGCAGTTCACTGTGGTATGATTTATTTGACTCGGAATACACATGACGTGACGTTGGGTGCAGACAAAGTATACTATGGCAGCCAATCCGCCTCCTGGCTATCTTTGCCACCACTGTGTCAAGGCTTCTGGTACCGACCCTTTCAAGAAGCCTGCAGTCCCTCGCAAACGCGTTAATGTCTCGGAAAAACGGGATATTGTCAGTTATCAGGAACGTCGTTTCCCATCTCTTGCGGCAATGTGCATCGAGGTAGGTCATTAAAAACCTTTCAATGTTATGGCGACCGAGCTTCATGATGCAGCTTATCACCCGCTACATTGACGACGTGGAAGCTTTGGGTGATATTGGTGCCGTGAACATGGATGAAATTGCGAAAGCGCTTTCCAAGAACCGTGGTCTGTGAGTGATGAGTCAGGAATGCTTCTATGAGATTCTCACAGCAGAACAACAGTACCCCTCAGAATGCACATTTGTTCTATGATGTGCTCAATAAGAAACTCAGGTTCTATGATGCAACTAGTATGTTGACTTTCTCTTCTGTTCATACCGGGTGACCCAAGTTCGACTTTTTGTTCAGATTTGACTCCAGACGCACTGATGACCCTTGCTTCCCTCAACCCCAACTTGACCCACTTACATCTCGATTATTGTGGGCGTCTCACATCGCCCGTCCTTTTGGCCTTTTCCACTTCAATGCCGCAGTTGACTTCCCTGACACTCCTTGGCCCGTTCCTCGTACGCGCAGAAGCCTGGATCGAATTCCTCAAGGCTATGCCAGGCTTACAAGTGTTCAAGATTGCACAAAGTCCAAGATTCGACTTAGAATGCATGCGGACACTCGCAGATACCTGCAAAGATATCGGAGAGCTCTCATTGAGGGAAATTGGCCTCATGGACAACGAGTTTGCCGATCCTTTATGCTCTCTGCCGCCATTGAGAGTGCTAGATCTGGCGTTTCCAGGAATAGGCATAGACGAAGACGGTTGGATGAAGATCATAGAAAAGCACGGGAGCACCCTTGAAACACTTGATGCCTCAAGGCATGAAGGATTCACTGACCATGTCCTCCAAGAGAGTGTCAAGGCATACGCCCGTGTTTTGTTGGAATTAAAACTGGACGAGTGTCTTAGTCTCACTGATGAGGGCGTGGCGCAATTCTTTGGCACCTGGGCTTATCCCACATCTGCCCTGAAAGATGAAGACCACGATATGGATGTGGACTCTGACCCTGTGGAGGTCAGACTTACTTCCCTCGAACCATTCACGCCAAATCCGCCGTTGCGCATACTATCCCTTGCCCGAAACCAAGAGCTCTCAAGTGCGGCACTCGCGGCTGCCATCGTGCATTCTGCTCAGTCGCTCACGTGGTTGAGTGTGAATGGACTGCGCAGCGCTTCGTCTGAAGCACTTGCACAACTCAAGAGAGTGAAGGAACTGTGCTATCTAGATGCTGGGTGGTGCCGGGAGCTAGATGATTTTGTGATGAAAGATGTTGTCGCAGCGTGCACGAAGTTGAACGAGATTAAGGTGTGGGGATGTAGTCGCGTAAGGGGTGTTGGTTGGGGTGTGAAGGTGAGTCAAGTAAACTCGTTTACGCCCTTGCAAACTGATCTGGCCTTACAGAGAGCCATCAAGGTTCATGGGATCGAACCGAGCGGGGGCATGTAAAAATATCGTGGTTACCTGGTGCAGTGTTACATGTACATGCTAGAGATGGTGTAGTTATTTACAGGTTTTTCGGCCGCCTTTTTTGTTGAGCGCACTGAAGCCTATTTTCACTACTGACAGATATCCCAATGACCATCCGACATTATTTTGATGTGGTGATTCGCAGGCAAGGCCCATTTTAGAGTGCTGGTATATAATTTGGTAAGGGACGGGGCTTGCTGTGGAGATTCGCCGCCATACCCTCGCACGGAAAGCGGCGCCAAGCCTGTTAAACATCTTGCTGCAAAGCACTCACGAATTTGACGGGGTTTAAGCTGTCTTTTCATTTCCGAGCTCGTCGGTTGCTCCTCGACATTTAACGTTCAACTCTGGAAGTGAAAATTTGCATCCCAACTATCATGGGAGAACTCATACACCCGGAGGTACGTGTTCTATCTCGAATGCTATGTACTTTTACAAAGCGCAGCAACAGGCACCTCTATCCATTCTGCTTGCCCCACTAGACACTCAGGTCGCTGCAATGTCAGAGCACGTGGAGCTGTGCCATGACTCAGGGCGTGTACCTTCAAAGATTGATCCACCAGTCGGAGCACTGTATGAAGACGAAGATCATTGTCAGTGAGTAATCATCCCCATGGTGGGATCTCTCCCCCTCATCTCCACTATCTGATAGAGGATCTGGTCCCAAGCTTTGTGTGGCGTTCGTCGGAATGGGATCGCAACATCCAGCCATGGGTCGTCGGCTCGCGGAAAGATACCCTCCATTCCTTGCTTCCATCAAGGAAAATGATAGGATCCTGATGGAGGTTTATGGCCTACCATCGTTATTGGACCGCACGGGCCTCTTCATTCCGGGCGCTGAGTGCTCCCTGAACGCGAGTGGTGCCTGGTCATTAAATGATGTTATTCTATCATTTGCATACTTACAAATCTCCTTGTGGGATCTCATTCGAAATTTGGGATTTAAAGCAAATTTTGCTGTTGGCACAAGGTATTCAATCGCACTGATCAGAAGTTAAAAGTGCTAATGGGTGTTGAATGTTTAGCATAGGGGAGATAGTGATGGGCTACGCGGCAGGCCATTATGATAGATCAACCACAATCGGGATTGCCGCGGCCTTCGCTACTACCATGTCTGAAGTCGAGGGAAACGGTGCCACCATCTTTGTCGCGGTCAGTCCACGACAAGCACAGTTCATCATCGATGACGTACTGCTTCAAGCGGGGGTGACATCCGGCCTTTGGGTTTCAGCCTTTCATTCTCCCCACGCCGTTGCCATCGCCGGTACCCATCCCCTCATAAACGCATTATTTGCTTTCCTAAACAACTCTAAGACCTTCTCAGATACATTTGCAATGCGGCTTCCTCAAGTTGGGTGCGCATTCCATACACCATTGATGGAACCAATCGAAGTGCCATTCAAGGCAGCACTGGAGAATCTAGACCTAGACCGAAAGTCGGATACGGGGACACGTGAAGTGCGAATAATGTCCACCGTTGACAGTACTTGGCTCAATAGGCCGCTTAATAGCGACTACTTCTGGGACAACGTTCTCCGCCCAACGAAATTCGGTGACATCGTGCAGAAGCTCGTTGATGACGAGGGCGAGAATATCATTATCCTGGAGATCGCTGCTCACTCAGCAATGAAAACTTGCGTAGAACAATGTGGAGCTCGTTATGTCGGGCTGATCCAACGACCTGCCCCGGACTCCGAGTCCTTGGTCGATGGATCAAACGAATGTATTCAGCTTCTTGAAGCAGTCCAGCATCTTTATGATGCTGGGTTCAGGAGCGAACTCCCGCCAGGGGTGTTTGAACAAGCCCTTGAACTCCTTCGTGCCGGTAAATAGGTTACATGATTCGTTTCAGACATGGTAACCCGACCTACCATACTTTCGGTGATTGACGCTGATATAGCTGCCTCCTAGATGAAGGAGTTTCGAGAGGCGCGTCGTCCAAGTGTCGTCTACATTATAAACCCGCTAATGCTGGATATATTCACGCTCAGATCCAGCCATTTAATGTACATCCCAAAGTTTGAAATAAAAATATACTTCTGGACTTACATTGAATCTGTGTTGAATCAGCCGCAATTCGCTGGGTCAAAGGTCGGTGGAAGGACTCAAGCCTAGTATAAATCTATAAAGACAGTCATTCCGATAACTACCATGGCTGTTATTTGTACCCGTGGGTTGCTTCGGACCCAATGTCAAAATGAGATGTGTAGACAATGACAGGAACCGATGGGAAGGAACTAATAGCGGCACTGTTCAAATTATAATGCATCTGTGACTTCCCACCAGCTCACGGGGATGCACTTCCATCAGGCATGAGCCGCGTGGCGTTACTAACGTCGTGTGTTTCTCAAGTGGGCGTCTCTCGATTCGCATTGCATCACAACCAGCAACTGCCGACAAGTCCGGTTCTAATGATACTCTGGTAGCGTGCTCAGGTCAACGCCAGTTCAGCACTTAGTTGACCCCGAAATATCGATCATCGTCTGATGGTGTTTTATACATGTTGAATGCTGGCGCACTGAACGCTGGACGCGCAAGGGGCAGTACGCACTACAGTGCGATGTAGACTCGTAACTAGTTTTGACTACGTTTTGAGATGTTGAAAGCTTGGATGCATCTTCTGTCTCAGTGCTTTGATCTATGCTGACGTTAATGAATTATTCAGGGGGCTATATCCACTAGTCATACATGTCATTAATCAGTCCAAGCAGGTAGTAGATGTCTTTTTTCTTTCTTGACATCAATTAGAGTATCGATTCTCATAATCTGACATGACAATCGCCTCCAGCGCACCGAGTTCGCGCACCGCCATGACATTCTGTTAAAAAAGTCAGCTGAAGCACACAGCATCAAATGAGATGAGCGTAGTGTCCAATGCTCGAAAGAAAGCGATCGCACAAACGCGACAGAAAGCAGAGAACAAAAAGAACAAAAAAAATGCGAACACTCACATCTACCAATTCGTTGGGCACAGCATTCAGCGCCAACTGGCTCCACCGCGCCAGTCCAGGCAAAAGGCCTGCCAACCGTATCTTTATCTCCTCCTTCGTTTCTTCTTCTACAGTCAAATCAATCGGATTGGTCGCTGACAGCCCTTCTGGGACGTTTATCGTATTCGAGTCTATGAACACTTTCGCTCGGAGTCCGTCGACCAGCACCACAGTGGCGCGGTCGAGCGCAGCGCTGAGGGCGTGAGAAAAATCTGGGCCGGCCAGATATGCTCTGGTCTGCGAGAGGAGGGAGGAGAATATTGGATCATTGAACTCAGCGTGAGGTTGTGAGGTTAGGGGTGAGGACGTTGTATTTGGGTCAGGCCGGCTGGAGGATGGCGATGGGGAAGAGGAGGGAATGGATGAGGGAGGGGTTGGAAAGATGCCCACACGAGGGGTGGGACCGGCAACCGGTGGAGAGTCATTGCTGTCGGGTAACGACGAAATGGAAGAACCAATGAGGGGTGAAAATTCAGAGGGGACTTGGGGGAGAGCACCACCTTGTGCAAGTACGTGGGCTGTTGTTTCGGGAGTCGGTGGAAGGAGAGAGCCAAGAAAGCTAAGTGATAGAGTGAGTCAACGAACCCGACGGTGGGGCAGCGAGGGGAACTCTACTCACCGGCCAGGTATGCTTGCTTCATTGTCACCTGGACCGTTCCGCTCAACGCGTCGTCGAACATCAAGGATCAGTACGTGGAGCTCAGAAGGTGACAATTTCGTCTTAAGGGATACTCTGACATTAAAAAATTAGTAAAGCACCTACCTAAAGAAAGTACATACCCCTCAAAGACGGCTTCGACACTACCTCGCACTCTTGCGGCTACATCCTTCCACCCTACATGTAGTATCCACCAGCTAAGTGTCAAGAAGCGCATCTCAGTCTCTTCTGATATGCCTTCGACCTCTTCATTCCAGTCCTCTTGACCTGCAGACCATGCCGGCCATATCACCTCCACGTCAACAACACGAGATACAGCCTCACGGAGGATGAGACCAGAAAGCGTAGGTGCTGCCTCGCTGATGCGTTCGGCACGTTCGGTAGAAAGGACCGAGGTTATGTAGCGTTCACGTGCTAGAAGGGCTAGCTGTATACTTGTGAGGAGGGACAGCAAAGTGGTCGTATAGAGTGTCGTCAGTGTACGTGTCAGTGCTGATATATGTTGTGTGAGCAAATTGTAACGGATACTGGATATAACAACGTACTTAATATTTTTACTTCCTTCCATAATTGTGCTTTCGTTCGGGTGCTACTCTCACTCATGGAGGGAGACATGGAAGCCTGTGGTTCCTAATCTGCGCATAAATATGAATTCGCATATGCCGGATACAAGAAGCTCACATGAAAAGGGGCACCAGGATTGTAGCTCAGTGAGGAACTAGCGGTGGTGATTGAGTCAGATAGTTGACTACCAGCAGAGGCGAGGAAATCGTGAGGTTGTTGTAGCTGCTCACTCGCATTCTTGTATGATGAGGAGCTCGAAAAGCGATCGACCCAACTGTCGGTTGAAGCTGCCATATTCGACGATGTTTCTCTATCAATGCATGAATAGGACGACAATGACGCAGACCCAGCATCTGAATGCACATCTGAGGCAGAGCTAACTTCGGACTCGGAAAGAGACTCTGGATGTTGAAAGCGGGATCGAGGACGGGATGTGCGTGATAGAGATTGAAGCTCGTTGGTGAGCGACTCGACATCCATCTCCTCGAGGATTTGCTCAGCCAGTGTAGGAATAAGTGCCATGATAGTAAAACATGCATCATCATGACTACTCTGAAAGCGTCTTCGAAGTCTGATAACAATGAATGAGCAGGTAAATCAGTGATCTTTGACAAAGTCAGCGAACATACGCCTCTCGAGCAGCTCTTCCTCTGACAACCTTCTCCTTGGCGTCCTCCAATCTCTCATTGATATAGCAGCTCACGGCATAGGCTCCACAGAGAACAACCGACGTCTCAAATAGTCCGCGACGCCGGTCGTACACGTATTTCCTTGCAGCGTCGAACATGAGGTCAGACTCGGAGGAAACTCACTTATGCGACTATGGAGGTCAAAATGGATGATGTAAGCATTACACTAGTACTATGTCCGCAGACTCCGCACGGCGCGCGCCGTAAATGATTCAATCCTTGTTGCAAGTGCAATCACAGTAACTCCAGTCTGACTTCTCTCCGCAATGTCGTATGGTTGGAGTCCAACGCCTCAAATGCCTCGCAGGTCACATGGTGTTGGCGTCCGGATGCTAACCTCGGGCTCTGATTGAACAGCAATTGGTTATGTTGGTATTCGTTGAACACACAAGGCTTTTGATGTTCAAAGCTTACAACCGTCGTGACAAGACCAATACGTCGTATGTACTTCTGTGGCATGTTATGTACTCGTATATTCAGCGCTCACGATTCCAAGTTCTCTTATTGCTCAAGCGGCAGGGAACTTTCTCTAGAAGCAACTTTTCGGTCAATCAGCAACGAACTACTTTAGGCTCACTTGTATCGTACATCAACCACGCTGTGCATCGTTGCAAAACCAGGAACACGATTTACTGCTGCGACATACTACTCAGTCAGGTTTGATATAAATGCCAGACATTTATGAATTGATCCTGTCGAAGCCGGTGAGTCTTGGAGACATCGTGCATAGCAAACTATTCATATCCACTCTTCTCCGGTTCTATAGCGTCCCCGTTGACGACACTTTTCTCCAGGGAAGGCCTTGCAGCAAGAACCGGTGCACATAGTATCATCATCCGCGCTGACAGACCCAGATAATACCAAAGCAGCAACAATAGCAAGGACAAAGGAACGCATTGTACGATATAATATGGGTAGTAATAATTCAGGAGGGGCAAAACTGCTGGCTTTTATGTCCTGATAATAGTGTTCTGAGCAGGACTTCAAAGTTCACTGTGGGTTTAGGCAGAACATACTATCCGAAGGGACGTTATTTGCACGCTGGCAGACCTCAAATCTGATCATCGACAACAGCTGTATGGATTTACGCTCCGCCGTGTATCAGAGCTAAAAAATTCCAGCACCGTAGGATGCCGAATGGCCAATGGCTCTCACAGCACCGTTCACGGACCTGTGTAGTTCCCACGGGATGACGCACGGTGATCATTAGCCCCAGCAAAACTGGTCATGTCGGGGATGATTTTATACCCCTACCTGGAGAATTAAAGCCGAAGTGGAGCAGTTGCCAGTCGGCGTTGATACTATCTCGAGGGACAATGTTTGCCAAAGTACAATCATTCACCAGCTACTGATGTTTTCCTTTGGAGTTGACCAGGGGCCAGACCTATGATAGTCATCGATTCCCACCACAACAAGGAATCCACCGCCCTATAATTCTTCTTGGAGTCCAACTCCTCAACGTTAAACGCATGTGAGACTGTATTCCATCAGCACGGCAGCTAGCTGGCTTGCTGAAATTCCGTTCGGGTGGAATGCGTCTTGTCCAACCCACGAGGCTTTTGATGTTCAAGCTTACAACAAGATCGATAGTATGTCGTAGGTACTTCAGCCGCATGGTCATGGTCTGTATTCAAGTCGTGTTTGTTTCCCTACTGCCTCCATTACTCAAGCGGCAGTGAATTTGTCCAGAAGCAAGCATCTCGGTCGAACCAGCATGAACTACTTATGTATCGTGCATCAACTACGCTGTGCTAACGCCAGAAACACGACTCACTGTCGCGACTTGCCGCTCAGGCTTGATTTATGTCTGACTGCAAATGTTTATAAATTGTTCCTAGCACCACGCCAGTGAGTCTTGACGAAATACTGGATGCAAGCTACTCATACTCACACTGCTGGGGATGTATACCGACTTACATTGCTCACCAAGGCAGCAATCTACAGTCGATTCGCAATTAGTAGGGCATGCGCTGATAGACACAGACGCTGTCAAAGCAGCAACGATGGCGAAAATGAAGGAGAAATACATTGTGCGATGCGACACATGATCAATAAATGTGGGTGGGCACAGTAGGAAAACTGCTACTCTTTATAAGTGTCGTGTTTAGGACTTCACGACTGGGATTTAGGCAGAACCTATTATTCAAACAGATGTGATTTGCATGCCAGCAAGTCTCGAATTTGACTTGCTCTGTCACCGATAGTATGAGTGTAGGAATTTGCACGCTGCCATGCTCTGGAGCTATGTTCCCTCACCATACATAGAATCTTAAAGCTCTCAACGTCCAAATCTCAAACGATATGGTCACCGCATCACAGTCTAGTATAGTCCCGTCGGTCAAGGTACGACGTACTACTGTGATCGCTTACTCTAGTGGATTTGGCCGTGCGCCAACAGTATCACTTTAAAAAAAAATCATATTTATTGTCTTTTGGGGTCGAAGACCATACGTCGAACATAGCCCTTTTCGCGGGAAGCTCGCTGTAACGCTCATCGAATGCCTGCGTCATATATTGGTCTTAGTATCCAATATACTCGCTGGCACTCTCCTTGTTCTTTCTCATTCTCTCCGTTTCTTTTAGATTACTTAAGATACGATACTCTACTATATATAGACTCGCATTGATCTACTGTAGTTTGATCCTTTCTCCCCCCTAATACATTTAGTTCGGACAGTTCTCTTCGTTGGAAACTTAAGTCCATTCTCACAAAAGCCAACTCTTATCGTGTGTAACACATTACAAGTGCCACACTTACTCCCGCCTATCTATCGTAGTTTTATGTATGTAGTCTAATGTGTTTGAGTGGATGAACACGTACTGAGTCCGTCAGCATGGTGTCAGGCGAATGCCAACGTTGATTTGTACATGTCAGTATCGGTTTACCCCCACTCAGGTGAAGCTGCCGCCAGCTGGTGTTGACAAGGCCTGCCTCTAATTTAGTAAGTCTCTCGTTGTCTGCTGATATTTTCTTTTCGGTTGACGTGTCAAGATGAGCCTTTCCCGTTCCTTGACAAACCGCTAAAAAATTAGGTATTCTATCAATAATCACTGCAGAACAGTGAAGTCAAATGTTTTGGTGGTGATTTCAAGTGTCAGACGGATCCAGATTGTCGATTTAGCACGGGATGCCTACACACTTTCCTACACGGTGCACGCCGTGCATACATTACGATGCCAAAGTGACTAGAAGTCGTGCGAAAATGAGTGTTAGCGAAATGCCAATGACGGGAGTGGACAAGGATGAAATAGACGAGCATTTATCCCAGTCAATAGGCTAATACACTGACGATATTGAATAAGATTCATGGCTGCTAGCGCGAAAAAAAAGTGCACATGGCTGCGTGATTCGCCCAGGTCGGTTGATGTGCTGATTATTACGAGAGAGTTGCCAATAGATCTTTGTTCCTTGGGATGAACCTGCACTTGAATGGTTTAGGACGCCTTTGAGTATGTAAGAATGTGTTTCAAGCTCAAGGAGGGACGAGTTACCAGATTATACCAACATTTTCGAACTCTACAGGAGGTGTAATCTCTTCTCCCATCTCATCAAGCTGTTTGGCGATCGTGAACGCAGCAAGGATACAAGAGATATTGAGGTACAACGAGGCTTCGGCAAGATGCAACCCTGAAATAAGATGCCAACATTCAGTGTAGCTTGGATGGTGTCATGTAAATGACACGCACCAGGGCATTTACGGTGTCCGAACCCAAAGACGAACTTGCGGGGGTCCGATTGGGGCGAGGGACCGAGGAAGCGCTCAGGCCTAAACTCCAATGGGTCGGAGTACATTTCTTTATCCCGCGAGACGGAAAAAATGTTTGCGATGACGATCGCACCCTTGGGTATGCGGTATCCTTCGTAGACGTCTTCCCTCATTGCGTGGTGCGGGAGCCCTGCGTCGCTAAGAGTGAGCGGGAGATAGGACAAAAAAGTCATGCGGCTGACCTTGCGGAGTCACGGGTGCCCATCGGAGGAGCTCCTGGATGAGCGCACCGATGTACGGAAGCTTTTCTCTGTCCTTGAACGCGGGAAATTGGTCCTGACCCACGATGACATCGATCTCTGCCTGCGCATGTTTCTGCACCTCGGGATAAAGCATCATCGCCAGAATAAAAGACGTCAAAGATGATGTTATCTGCTCATGTCGATGATTGTTTAAAGTTCACATGAGGGAGGGGTGCAAAAGATATCTTACGGTGTCAGCTCCCGCTCCATATATCTCCTGACTGCACCACGTGACGATTTCTTCTTGTTGGGCGCTGACTGTGGACCCATCCTCCTGAAGGAGCCGCTTTGAAACGAGGGATTGCGTATAATTGCCGCTTTGCTGATCGACGACGACAATGGGTTAGGACTCTGGATAATATGAACTTGTAAAATTGCTTACAATTTGCTGTTTGGTCCAGTTAAGTGGTGTTCCGTTAACCCTACCTAACCTTTGCCCGATCTGAAAGGCCACGCGCTTGAAACCTGCCCCTGGAAACCATGAAGGTAAGAAACGCACTCATGGAAGTTCGACTAGCTTAGTTTTATGATAACTCGAAAAATGAAAGGAGGACCTACGTGATGGCATCACTTCGACGAACCAACGTCCAGGCTGGGATAGAATGGCACTGGATTCAAAGGCATCTTGTAGCCTCCTAATCCAATAATCGTCATTGTCGATGACCTTCCAGCCATATGCGAGATAAAGGATAACGGCCGCTGTATTCCTACACCCCCAGTGAGAAACAAGCAAAACAAGCAATCGCAAGAATTTTACCTCTTGATGTGACCGGCGAAATGTTCGGGGTCCTTGTGTAGACCATCAAGCAGCACACGAGATTGTTCAGTTTGTATCGACTGATAGGTTTGTATAGTGCGGGTATTCAGGCTGTTCTTGAGGACCGTGCGATATGTCTTGAAATACGGGTGAGTGAAAGATATGTTGAACACGTTCAGATTCAGCTTCGCAAGTTCCATCATCCATATTCTTGGACGATCAGAATACGTAGTGGCGCGTAAACCGAGCAATTCAGTAGCCGATTTCAGGGAGCTGAGCACTATGAACTGCTTGTTAGGCACGCGGAAGGAGATTATGGGTCCTATAAGAAATAGGTCAGCGAGTCTCGCAGCAAGACTGAACAATGTGCACCATAGCTTTCAGCCCACGTGGCATACATCCGCCAAGGCTCATTCTTAGGCAGTTGATGAAAATTTCCGGTAAAGAACTTTGGACGTGGCCCAGGGGGTAGTGGTAATCTACTGCGTCGACGGGTGTAGAAGAAAACTGTAGCTGCAGCCACAAAGAGGACAATTATGCTAGAAGACATGTCACAGATAACAGATGGGTCGACTTCTGCGGTTTGCCCTCCGAGATCTTATATGATTGTCCTAATGTGCTGTCACTAGTCAGTTCTTGCGACTCTCGCTCGGTAATTATCAATTGCGTCCACTACGTCACCCGCTGTACATTGGTTTGTCCTCTTGCGCTTTCGCATATGTGCACGAGTACTATTAAGCGCAAATTATTATGTTCGAATTCTGTCCGACATCCGCATCCTCAGATAGATGCGGAACGGGACAGACCAACACAAAAAACGGACATGACGTGGTGGACGCAATAGCCATGCTGCGAGAGTTTTGCAAATGGCGGACCGTTGCATGCTGGCATAGCAGATAAATCGGTGACGAGCCATATGCATGCTGCATGTGCTTGTTCAATGAAAAAGGTATCACAATTGGAGGAAGTTGAATCTACATTCATTGTATTACATTCATCATGTGCCTTGGTCAATACAAATACAAAATCAGCAAGATGTAAATTCAGTTGCTGCAACAATAAATAAACAACAGTCAACAACTGAGCAAGGTCCAGTCTTATTAAGGAAATTTTGGATTGACTGTAACCACTTGGGGGAGATTCACTCAGACCTGAAAAACTAGAGGGAGACCTCTGGAAGAAAGGTGTCCGACCATATATCCCTATATAACAATAGGGTCTCGCATATCAAACCAACTTATCTGCAAAGTGCTGCCAAGGGTGTACCAGCACATATTCGGTGATGTTGCCGACACCAATGGGTTGGATTGTGTTACAGAGTGCTACAGAGTGTTCTGTAGTGAATTACATTTTCCTAATGGAGATAGTGACTTCAACACAGATACAATAAAAGGTGCAAATAAGTCATTAATTTTCGTCACAAGTAGGCCCTTGAAGGAATGTGTGAATTTAATGATCTTGAAGCCCAATCATCTTCGCTCTTGGTCAGTGGGAATACCTATAAAATCCGATTCCCGCTAACATGAACTCGTGCTGGATATAGATGCTGAAAAAACCGAGAATTTGAAAGTCCCCGACTTTGCCACTGCATTGGCGCTGCTGCTGTCCCATCAAGGTCGAAGAAAATTTTGGTGGAGATGACGTAGACTGAGGAGTGTGCGTTTAGGCATAATAGTTGGTGTTTGAAGTCTGTGGTGTACTTCGTTTTGTCACGGTTGGGCTTGCGTCTGCGGCTGTGACGTATGCTTAATATCATCCATCGGAAAGAAGCACTGTATCTGTTGCAATAGGATAGGTAACAGGAAGCACGCCAGAAATTGCGGTGTATCCTCGATTGAATAGAGCGTCAATCGGTTGGTGATAATCAGAAATCGATCGTTTCTGAGGGGAAAAAACCCCAAATTTAGGACGTGAAGTGGGTTTATATCGCTCTAAATTGAGAATCAATGGTCAGTCTTTCAACTAGCCCTGACCAGGGCTCACGCTGGGTATCATCGAACATTGCCAGTCCCAAATCTGCAGCTGCCACATGTCCTTGAAGGGAGACAGAGTCTCGTCTGCCACAACAATCAAGGAGCGCCACGTGGCGATATGCCTCCCAAAAACATTCAGTTTCGCAACACTTGTACTAACGCAGTTGTCCTCGTATTCAGGTGGCCCTGACAGAAACAGTGTCTGTCCAGCAGCTTCGGGGTGAGCACCCCACCGTCCAAGGTTCTAAGGTCAATATAGAGGGTTTCGTCACCATCCAACTAGAAAGTACCATCATCCGATTGGGGATCTTCAATGTCGTCACTAACAGTGTAGAAATTGGCGATCAGGTTTTGCGATAAGTCCATGAATACCCGGAGGATGGCTGAGTGGGAAACTGAACGCAATGTTCTAGGGAACCAGTCGCGCTCGACTAATGCTGGTGAGGGCTGTGGTTGTATTGCAATGACCTTGGCCGAGTCTGCATACTGGACCCAACAATAAAGGCGCCTACCGGCAACTAATTTTTTCAGAATACAGTCCCCCTGATAAAGGGACTGGTTCGATAGAGTGGTGGTAAAACTTGAGCCATGCGTGACCTTTGTGCCACAACAACTAGTAAGCGCTTAATAGGAGTGTGGTTATCCACGTTGGAGTTATCGTTAGCCGCTGAGTTCAACAGTATAGCCTGGGCAATCATCAATACACGGGAACTCCGCTTTAGGATTCATTTCGGGATCCACTCTCTTAACAAAGTGAGATGGACAACCGGTTATGAGTGGGACGTTATTGAAAGGATTCGAGCGACCGCTTCAAGGTTTTTATGTCCTGAAAATAGAGGTCTTTACGGGCGAGAGTGCATACAAGAGCCTACCAAAACAGACGTCAGATTTGACTTGCTCTGCCACCGATAGTCTATACGCGCAGTAAGAAACTTACGAAACGACAATGATTCCCCGCTATGCCGACAGGAGCTAGATTTTTGTACCGCAAGATAGAAGCCTATTGAAGTTTGAATCGCAATAGCCTCCACAAGAGACCACCGACTCCAGTACGGCCACTCCAGTAAAGTTCCGTCGATCACGATTATACAACAGTTCCCACTAGCCCTAGTGCTTCAAGTTGTTGAAACTGATCATATAGCAGGATAGGAACCAAAGGTGTGGTGACCAGGCCCAACTGGTGTTCAAGTTGATGCTATGATTCTCGAGGGATAAAGTCTTTCCCACTCCTCCGCAAGAGGGTGCCCCGCTTCCTTCCTTCCGCCTTCGACGCTCCACATTTCGAAATGAGAATCCTATCCTTGAGCTGCCTGCGTGCAGCGGGAGTGTAGATCACGTACTATTTGCGGACACTATCGCTGTCAGTGGAGTCAACCAAGGCTCAGATTATTTCAAGTTCCTGTTAGATGTGCAACGCGCGTTGGTTGGTAGACGATCCTTTTCATAGTGGTATTTACATGGTAGTATATTGATGGCGTTCATTGCAAAACAAGCGTTGTGCCGCCACAAAGTCTCCTGCATCCGAAATTCCGATCGCCAAAAAATATACCATTCATACGACCACATACCTAACAAGCATGGTGCAAATCAAGACCTCATACATACACACTGCGATATCCAATCCCAGCCCTCGCATAAATTCAATGTCAATCTGAACTTGAACGTCAGATGACGCAGAACGGTAGCAATGAAGTCATAGCATAGAGGAGAGCAATCACTAGCGGTGCACATACCATCCCAACGAAAGCCACACGCCATAATATCTGCTCTGCATATCTCGGAAACAAGAAATTCTAGCCCAGACAATGTATCCCCAACCCAATGACGGATGAATTGATCAATATCACCATCAGGCCAGACGAGTTATGCGTTCTTGTGTAAGGACGATGCGAGCTGGGTTAATTTTAGTATGTTGAATGAGGCGGGCGTCTTTTATATGCCAGTGTAATGTGATTGATCAATGATTTCATAACAGTTCTGCATCCTCCCTACCCCTTCTTAGTCGATATTAACCCTTTCATCATATCAAAACTATTCCCATCAGGCTGTAAATCAATGAACTCTCCACCGCCCATCGGCACAGTACGCAACAACCCGTGGTCGGGAGTGATACCGACGATGCGGACACTTCGATGTGGAGTCCGGTTCGTTAGTGTGACGAGTTGGTCCCTGTTCGAACCACGAATAAGCAAACAGTCAACATCAACGTAGAGCGAAACATGATATCGACGTACGAATGTAACCATGATCGGAGGTATTGATCCATGAACGGGTGAAACCCCTGTTCCTCATTCTGTAAAAAAGAACTCCATATGCGCTCAAAGGAGATGAGGACTGCTGCTGCTACGCGTTCTACAGAGAGCCCTGGGGTAGGTGTAGATGCGAGTTGGGCGAGTGAGGCGATGGGTGGTGCGTTTAGGACGTTAAGACCGCTTCCTATTTATTTTTATTGATGAGTTTGAGTGTGCGTGTCTTGAGCTTTCATGTCACTGAACAAAAAAGGGAGGAAGGTACCGCACCGATTACTATATCTGCCACGCCACCGCCAAAACTCGTGTTTACCAGTATCCCGCCCATTTTCCGTGGTTCCGGCGTTGACTTTGAATTTGATGTTGGGCTGTCTTGGGAAGACGGGAAGAGGCCATAAATGTCATTAGGCCATTTCAGACGGACTTTGTGGGCCCATTCAGAGGTGGGGTTTAGGATGTGACATGCGTCGATGATTGCTAGCGCATAGAGGTATTGGATGAATACGAGGTTAGAGGGGAGGATTGTGGGGCCTGGTACTGCGCAATATCAATTTTCAGATACCAGGCATTCGAACACTATTAAATAAAAAGTCGCCAGTCTTACCTGAAGAACCTTTGAGCCCGACACGAATCTTGAGCGACATCTGCAAGCACCCTGCAGGTGAGAGCCACGCGTTACCACCTCTGCCGCGTCCTGCCAATTGTACTGTGGCAAGGGAGACAATAGGAGAGGGGAGTGTGCGGAAGAAAGATGGGTTTCTGCTCAGAGAGGGTCTCAGCGGGCGGTGGGATGGACGTGATTGGGTGAGACGCACTTGTCAAACATTGTTTGGGTGCTGGAGACTACTTCGCCGTATATGAGTGCTTCGCCGATGCGCCAGGTGTCTGTGTTTGCGTCTTCCGTTCCAGAGCGGAACTCGTCCACGGCACGGAAGAAGGCAGATGGTGAGAATTGTGGGGTGTATATTCGTTCATCCTCTGAAGTTAGAGGTTTTGAAGGTACGAGTACGTGTTTGACTTTCGGGTTTGAGAGGGAATTTGGTGGAATGAGTTCGAGTATGGGGTGATTGGTGATTCTGTCCGCGGGAGGGAAGGATGGGAAGTGGAAGTAGAAATCGTCGTTGACATCTTCAAACACAAATGACTCCCACTTGCGATGTGATTCATTGCCGACAGCTGACCCAAGATTTAAATGATCGAGCAGCGCCTCTACGATGCGATGTTGCACCTGCCACGAATCTGGACGAGCCAGAAAAAACTGAGGTAGAATGTGAGGCTCAAGACTGGGATCAGCTCTCTGTGAGGAGAAGCGCAGACCAAGTGCGGATAGCGATCGTGACAGCAGGATATCGGGAAAGGGTGGTATGCAATTCCACATCGCGATCAGCCCGCTTTGAGATAAGATACCGGCAGGCGCATTCCCCTCCACGTAACGACCAAGGATGTGTGCTTCAAGGTCCAAAGGACATGCGGGTAATCTGGACACAGATACCGCCGTATCGTTAATCAGTACATCCGCGTTTGTTCCAGTAGCAGTTGAAAAGGAGATGTAGAGGGACGTGCTTCCATCAGCTACTCTGAGTATAGTCGTGTCTTTCACCATGCCCAGACCAAGACCCACGGATAGCGATCCAAATTCATGACTCAGTCCAAATAAAGTGCCTTTTTTGATGCCAACACCGAATACTAATATCCTACCTCTAGACTCGATATATTTACGGACAGCTTCATGGTCTGTGGGAGGGGAGAGGAGTAGGAGTAGGGCACAAGAGGTGTGCCATGGGTATTCTTGTACGGAGAGTTGAGAGGGTGTTAGCAGCTGTGGTAGATAGTGCGGTGTCAATATTGAAGCAAGCGTTTGAACGAGAGAAGGAGCGGCTGAGTGTGTGCTGGGATACACTAGCACGTTCATTGAAGTGAATGTTCGGCAAACACCGGAAGTACGACCTCTAATCCTTTTGGCCAGGAGGTGCTCTCACCTCTTTCTGACATCGTTTTGACAGAGCCTATAGAATCACTTCATTCCAATCGAGATAAATTTCTCATATCTGGAAATGCAATCTCAAGCTATCTCCGGGTCATCCTAGTAAGAACTAATGCTGAGGTAGAGTACTTTGCCGCCAGCTGGTGTTCTTGCAAGCTGATGCTATGATGATCTCGAGGGACAAAGTCTTTCCCCACTCTGTAAGAGTGCCCCGTTTCCTTCCTTTTCCTTAAAGAGGGGCCCGTTTTCAAAGCTCTATCTTCCGATCCTTGAGCTGCCTGCGTGCAGCCGCAGCCGTGCAGGTCACTTGCTATTAGTTTGCGGTCACTATCGTTGTCAGTGGAGTTGACCAAGATCCAGATTATTTCAAGATGTGCAACGCGCGTTGCTTGGTGGACAATCCTTTTTGTAGTAGTAATTGGCATGTTGATGTCGTTCATTGCAAATCAAGCGTTGTACCGCCACAAAGTCCCCTCCGCCAAATCACATCCGAAGATCCCCGATCACCAAAAAACATACTATTCATACTACCATATATCAAACAACCATGGTGCAGATCAAAACCTCATACATACATACTGTAATATCTAATGATTATCCAACCCCAGCCCTCGCATAAATGCAATGTCGATCCGAACTTGAATGTCAGACGACGCATAACGATAGCAATGTGTGTTCAACAAAACCTATTATTCGAGAGATTGCATGCGTCGTAATATGAGATGTCTAGGCTGTGATGCCAAGACTAGACAGTTCCTTGCGGATCTCAGCTTCCCCCTCCATTTTCTTGAGCTGCGTCGCTTCTAGCCGCTCCCCGCGGTTCGCTTTCTCCTTGAGCTCGTCGATAGCTTTCAGCTGTAAGTCAATGGTCATCAACACGATACAACGACGACAAGCAGAGAAGCAAACACCAACCTTCTTATTAAGATTCCGAACCTTCTTCGCGACAGGGTCCAACGACTCTGCTCCTGGCGTTGGTGGAACAGAACCTTGGCCAGGCGTTTGCGTCTCCACTACGGTCACATCAATAGACGGTCGCACAGACGCCTCCCCAGTAGGTGTTGCAGCCCCTGAGCCTGCCTCCCCAGATCCTTTCTCTTTCTTCTTCCCCTTTTTCTTCGGCTTCTTGTCACCACCCTCTGCCCCTGGCGCAGCCGAGGGCGTCTTAGGCGCAGCACCAGGTACATGCCTCCGTCCCCCGTTCCCGTTCCCATTCTGGTAGTGGCCATTACCATTGGAAGGTGTGGCTCCATTGGCATACCCCATGCTACCGGGAGGATTCGGTGAGCGGTTGTAGCCCCGCGGAGGTGTTGCGCTGCCACTGCCGGTGGGCATACGAGGAGCACCGCCCTCGTCCTCGCGCTTGAAAATCGCTGGCGTTGCAAGGCCACGTGCACCAGGCGGTCTGTAAGCTCCTGCAGCTTTGGGTGTGACGGGTTTAGCGGTCAGAGCCGCAGTCAATACACTGATTGAGGGCTGGGGTGCGGCAGGGATAGTCGAACCAAACGGAGGAGCTTGATCGAGTAGGGTAGGTCTCCACGATGCCTGGTATAACTCCTCTACTAGCTGGACGTGCATAAGTCCACCAGTGCAATGCCAAACTTGATTCCGTTGTCCACGCGAAGACGAGGAGACAAGGTAGCTGTCAAAAGGAACCTGCCGCAGGGCGACCACTCGCAATAAGAGGTGTTTGGTGCATCGATGGTACAGGTCTTCGTCAACGTTCTCCTGTCGAAGATGTCGATTTTTCCTGCCAGGTTACCAAAGCCGGCAAGTGCGACGAGGCGACCTTGCGGATTGAAAGAGATGAAGTTATGAGGAGAGGATCCAAAATCATGGAGCGTCCGCACTCGTTGATCAAAGAGTGTAGTTTTAGCAGGCATGTCTAAGAAAAGGCGTTGGTCATTAGTATGGCTTCTGCGATCTAAGAAGACAACTAACATCCATAGACAACGCCAAATTCTTTCGAGTTTGGGCTCCACGAAACATCATGGATCGGTCCCTCCTTGTCCAGGGCGACGCGACAATCGAAATTACCTGCCGCGCTGAGTAGGTACATACCGGTCTCACCATAGTAGCTCATGTTTGAGTTGTCGACCTCCGTCTGTGTAAGGACAAGCGCCTGTGTGCCAAGATCGTTCCACTTGATCTGAGCGCGATCAGCCTTGAAAAAAGTTTTAGAGCAGGTTGGAGCGCCAGAAAGGGTGGATAGGCCGTAGATCTTGACAATCGCAGGAGCGCCCTGAGAAGAGTAAGAATGTGTGTATCATGAGGGAAGAATAATATACCTTCTTCTCAGCAACAAACACCGCAACGGACGGGTTCAGTCCAGGACTCAGGGAGACCATTGATGCGCCTTCGACGCGTAGCTTATCGGCGATGCCCTTCCCCCATTCAGCGGGACGGTAGACCTGGATCTCCTGAGCAACAAGACGAATGGCATGCGACTCAGACATGGTGTATTGAAGATCCCAGTTCTCCTGCGACTTTTGTGTGAATGAGATGAGTTCCTCGCCGGTAGAAGCGGAGAAGACGCGGAGATTCTTGTGCTGAGCGCCATCTTCCAGCTTTACTGCGGGCAGGCGTGTGAAGTGAGACTTTACCGATATCCTGGACGACAGACACGAGGCGTACCTGGTCGCTCCCATGTGGAGAGGTATGTTCCGCGCGGGGAGAACTTGAGTTCGATGATATTTGGAACGCTCAGTTCTTGAAGCAACTGTGCACCTTCGGCCAGAAAGATCCGCACACTGCGAGGATCAAATTAAGTCAGCCAGGTGAATCTCGCGAGCGCAAAGCAAATCGTACGCAGTTGGTAGCGCATATGCGAAGAGACGGCCGTCGGGGCTGTAGTGGTATGTGCGAGCTGGGACATCGGGAACGGCGAATCCCTCTATTGGCATGTATGTGGGCGTGCCGCCGACGAGACCCATGCTCTTCTGCGCGCGGACTACAAGATTCCAATTACGTTAGATCAAAAGCAAACTTTGGACTGGACAAATATTTTAACGAACAAGCATATTGCTGGGAGAGCTGAGAGGCCATTTTTTTGTGCTGAGGACGGAGGGGGCGAGAACGAAGCAAGTGAATGCTTCACAGGAGACTGTCGGTGGAGGGAGAAGATCGAGGATATAAAGTACAATCAATGCACAGCTGAATTCAAACAAGATCTACTTTAGGGCAAGCAGTGCAAATTCTCGGCTACTTGCAAGTTGGCCTCGAGGCTCATGCTCTCACTATTATGTTACATGTACCAACCTTCTTTGGTCCTATCCGCATGGAAATCGAGCAGGGCTGATGGGCCCGAAGCATAACAGGGCAAATGCAATGACCACCCAAATAACTCAAGCTCGATGAACATCTTTCGCAGCGATTCCTTGAGTGAAATGTTGAATCAAGTTTCTGGCATCCAACATTACTCTCGAGGAAGAAAAACTAGAGTTCAAGTACTCTCATCCGCCCGGGCTTTGTGATATCTTTCATCGTACGTACGAAGACGGACCATGGCGCAGTCATAAATTATCCCAAATTTAGTGGTGCGTCCTAGATGACTCGCTGACGCATTTATAACATCTTTTCAGGGAAACATGCCATTTCTCACGAATGAGGCCCCAAGATGGATTAGAACTGTCGGCATCACATGCTGGCCGTCAAACCCGGACACCCAGTTGCACTCTTTGGTTGTGCGACGTGTCGCGGCATCCATTCATTCAGCCTTTTTTTGCTACTGCACCTGTGAAATTTTTATACCCCCTTACATCACTGTGAGGTTCGAAACTTGAAGCTTAAAGTACTCATTGGCTTTCGGAAGTTCTGTCAAGCTTTCGAGTTTATCAGGGCCCCAATTTCGAATTACGACTTGGCCTTCTTCAAACTTCCGATGCCGACGCGACTCTTTGTTAACGGTTAACTTCCTGGCGCTTTGAAGAACCCTGGATATCGATGGCATTTTCTACAGGTATGTAGTCACGGTAGTATCTAAACAAAGCTCGACTTCTGAGCCGTTCATCTGCACGGCCCATGCTTTGGTCATCCTGTGAAGGATACGTACTTTGCGGGCTTTGTCGTGTCGTCCGAGTCTCGGCGCATTATTCATTTACATCAACCCGCACCCGTCCATGAGCCATTGTTTTGAACAAACGTTGGTTCAATGTCTTTTTAGTTGCATGCCTTGGGTAACAATTACGTACTGTGGCGCCGAATGGGATGCCAGAACGTAGCTGCCAAGCGAACATCGGATCATCATTTGTTCAGGCGGCGGCTTGTTGCGAGTATGGAACTTGAAAGCAAGGACTAGATCGGGGAAGACCGGCGATACGGAGAAGGCGCACCACCGTAAGTAAGCCATGGTGTTGTCTTCGGACGGGATGATGTGGTTAGTGGTGGTAGATTGGTGGGTGGATCTGTTGAATGATGGAACAACAAAAGTGCGGGAGAGTGGAGAGCAGAGACGGTCATTTGAGACAGGACATTCTTACGTGAGTATAGTTATCTACTCTTCAAACGCAAACCAGTAGCTGATTCCATTGGCTCTTCTCGGCGGCATGCCCTACTGGTAACCGTGAAGACAGCGTCGGTGTCAATCCGGACCTCGAATGTAAATTCATAGTAGGCTCATGTCCCGATTCTACAAAGCGTAAAATTTTTGCGAATTCTGAACGCTGAAGTTGCGCTAAAGCGAATCAATCTGGATTGGCAGGTCAACATAACTAAACACTGTACTCCGTTCTCTGAGCGAAAATTCCAGGAATTAAAATAAGCAGCTCATGCCCTTGACAAGTCAACGTACACTTGGACTGTTCTGTACACGCTCCGAAGTTTGCGGCGGTTTTTACAGAACGGTTTTGGAGAATTTCACAGTGCAAGATCTTGGCTAATATCGCGGTATCACGGCTTTCTTCATAACCTCGTCGGAATGGGCCCAATTAGATTCGCCGTTTTAACTACACTGTACTGCACAGATCTGTTCATAACAACCCGAATGCCCAGGAATCATCGCCTTCCTCCGAACTCACGTTTTCGGGGCTGATATCCAATCCCCACAGCCTGCGTTCTCACGAGGCTCCGAGTCAAATTCGACAGCCGACAACCATGGGTGAGGTGATTCCATGTAAAATTCCATTCGAATGCCACCGTGCATCTATTTATGTAAAGTGTCATTGGCACGACGGAAGTATGCTACTGTGTCAACATGTCGTCGATATATCACCGTTTCAATTTCAGTGCAGGATAAAAAGAGAGTACCCTGGCTTGACCCTGGCAGCATGTATTCCAAACCCGGATCTTGTAAATAGCACCACTACTCTTAAACTTGCGGTGGTACATCTGGGAACCGTATACAAAGAGCCATGACATCACACTTGTTGCTGTGTCCTCACTGGCGAGAAACAAGAGTTAAGCGTTGCATCGTGCTAGATCATTCGTGCACCTTAAGGTTATATCACGCAACTTTATGTCAGGTCTAGAGTGTCATAACAACATACAATGTTTGATACATTGTCAGAACGGTCCATCACTAAACCGGTCAACGCGTTATGCCGAATGATATGAAGAAGCATGAAGAATGGAATGATCGCCATTAATGAGGTTATGAACCATGATACTTACCTTACTGCAACCGCCGAGAGTCAAAAGTGCTCAACCAGTCTGACAGGCCGATCAGACCTCACAATTAATTTCCCATTATATCTTTTCCATGCGGGCAGAAGCTTGGCCATAAAACGAATAGCCGCCGGCTCGGTGTCAATTGTGTCCAACCCGTCATGCTGTGCAGCGCTGACGCAAGCCCTCATAGGCTCTCATCTGTTGCCCCTTCTCATTGCTCCTTTTCACCAGCACTATATGGCGACCACCCGTACTTTTCATAGATTGATTCGTATCCAAAATGCATCTAGGTATCAATAAAAACTACTGGAGATACGGCTTAAGTATGGTGCACATTTATGTGACTGATCAATGTCTCAATAAGTTCCTCTTTCGGTCTTGAGATCTGGACTCCGAGCCCAGTTGTGCGAATTCGGATGAATACAGTATTGGGTTAGATTGACCTTCCATGGCACTAAAATCAAAACTCAGTTTGCAGATAGGTGGGAATATAAAGACGAGGATCTCGCAAAGGCTTGCAAGCATTCCCCTACATTCGTACAACTTCCCGTGCCACCCAGAACCTACAACTCAAGGCTTCAAAATGAGCATGTATTTGCAAAGGTAAGGTTGTTCTACGCTCTGTAGAATCGAGATGAACACATGAGCCTACCATGGGTGTGCATTTAAGGCTCAAATCATCACTAAAAAAGACCCAGTCGACGTCGTCATTCGATGAGCTCGATGCTGTTTTACCGTCGTTGACTCTGCCAGAGCTCCCCATCTTGGCAGAGCCACTGGCATTTGAAAGCCAGTTTTCGGATCTCGAGTACGGTCCTGTAGTGTTTACTAGTACCCTGCCAGAGAATATAGGTCTTCCCGTCGGTAATCTTTCCCAAGGTGGGTTTGCAACATGGACAGCCTTTCCTTTAAGTGCTTACCGTGTACGACCAGACTTGTTGCCTGGTGTCGTTGACTATGGGCTCGGTGTACCGGAACTCCCGCCCCAATACACGTTGATTGAGTCTTCGGCCAGACATGACCAACAACCATGTCCTCCTTTTGCGCAAGGTGGCCGGGACAAAGTAATGTGCACCTGGCCCGGATGCTCGAGAGCTGTCCAGAAGAATAGTCTTGCTCGTCATATAAACGAGATGCATCGGCGGGTGGTCAAGGCTGTCTGTGACAGCTGTGAAAGGGGGTTCGCGCGCCCATATATGCTGAAGAACCACATTTGTCGGGCCAAATATAGGAGGTCCTGAACTTTCACTATACGTATTACGCACTCCCCAGATCTACCGCTTCGTCTACTCGAGGTTACTGAAAGCCCCAAGATAAAATCAGAGTTCTCAAAGGCACGGGAACTTGGGCAATACGTACCAATACACATAAGATTCATTGATATGGTCACTTGTCGTGTGAGCGAATCGATGCAGGAAAGCATGCTACTGAGTTGAGACTTGTCGGTGACAATCTACAAGTCTTTGACCCACGTACGTACTCAATTCTAAGAGGTACCGAGGAAAGTGATCTGCGCGAGATGGGCGGTCGAAAGGCGGTTGCGATTGGACGGAGTGTCAAAATGATTGAATCAGCCATCTAACCGTCTCGGCGATGTCCGAAGTAGGACCCTTGGCTTAGAACCGAAAGTTCGGGATTCATATTAGCCAGTTCTGTGTGAGGTCTATACGGACTTGATGCCGACTTTGCGTGCATGTCTGTATCAGTGCCGCGTCTCTCCAACTAGCGAATATGTCAGCGGCAATGACGGCTAGCACACAAGGCGTGGGTCTAGATCAGTTCCTACCATCTAGTACTTTGAGTCCACCAGCAACTGAGTCGTGCTTACCATGTGATCAGCCAACGGATTCATCGGCGCCCTCTTTGGCGTCTTGCGAGTGCGCCACGGGCTTGCATGGATGTCGCTTCTTGACCTTACTTGCTTCATCCGCTACAAGACAAAGCATAAAGGTAGTAACTGCTGGGAGCGCTGTGAGATGTGAGCTTATCCTAGTAAAGTATGATTTTTCTTTTGATAAAATGATACTACGTGTTACTATAACTACCTTACACTCCCTTGCAGGGCAAGTTCCCCCACACCCTCGTTGTGATTGTCGTCGTAAAATGATATATCTCATCTGGTTTTGAGCACAGATCAAATGTAGCGTCTACTGAAAGCTACAGGGATGATGTATGAACAAATAAAATGATAGAAATGACAAGGAATGACGGAAAAGAGTGTCGGGACTCGCTGTGCAGATACAAAAAGCACCCGAGCCAGCATTATTACCACAGTTTGTGCAGTCGACAACTAGACCGATGGTTGCCATGTGCAATATCATGCCGGGAATATAAGGCAGTAGGGGACGGGACTAAATGGTGGAGTGCTGGAGATGGTGGCCTTGTAGGGACACTGTACTCAGTTCTGATGGAGAGCGTTGAGAGTGATGTTGATGAAGATGAGATCCGAAGAGCGGAAGTTACGTACGTGCGGGGTCTGGGAAGAGCGCTCTGAGTCCAGTGGTTCGAGCTTGAAGCTTGAAGATTGAGTTGCGAAAAACAAAAACCGGACGCGGAGGGGACAGTCTGACAGACCCTCTGAGCGTGTTGCGACCGAGTCTTGGGGTGCGGGATGAAGGGACCACAGAGAAGAAGAAGAAGAAGAAGAAACAAGACCAGACCAAAACATGCTGGTGTAGCGTAGAGAAAGGGAGGTGGGTGAGTGGACAAAAATCGCGTCAAGTGTTGAAGGTGATGGTACGAGACGAAAAAGATTCAAAGTGACTTAGAAAGAAGAGTGGGCTTATCTATATGTCAGTGCACAGACCTGGTACTTTGGAAGTGCTGAAATGTTAGGACCGCGTGCAGGTGAAACGGAGAACGTGCCGATTCAGGTGGTGATAACTTACCCTCCTTCCTGTTTCATGGTGGAAGGATGTCCGTCGGAGTCGTGTTTCTCATGCCACTGCTCTCGGCACACAGCAGTCAAAGATCGAAATGTGATCAAATGTGGAGGAGTATCTTAACCGCCACAGGCTAGTACTGCCAACCATGCCATCAAATTCGAGTTGCCACAATTGGTAATCGTGTGTCAAACTAGCGAGAAATAGGAGATGTTGCTCGACATAGGAGGTAGGGGCCAACTTGATTGGCAGGTGGAAACCATCTTGGCTCAGGTGTCACCCAACGACTGTGGGAAAGGTACACTATAGCACCTGATTTGAACCGATGCAGATATTCAGATCTGACCAGTATAGCATTTTTTCAGGCGGAAGATTGCTATCTCTCCAGGAAGAAATGCATTTACGCATACCCATTGCCGGATTAGGCGGGTTATGTGGGACTAAGCAGCGCTAGCACTACCCACTAAAACTCCCTGGTGGTTGTTGTGGGATTTGAACCCACGACCTTCTACTAAGGCCGGCAACTGCCGAAGCAATCCCAGAGTTGGAGGCATATCCACTAAGCCATCCCGGGCTACTTTTAGTTCCCCGCCAATGAAAAGTGAACAAGGAAATTCTGTATGCTCCGCAGTTCATCTGCTGCATTATTTGGGAATTACTTAAATTCTTACATGGAATCGGTGATTCTGATCTGGGTGGTTAATGGACTGATGACACACTGTACGACTCGCTGGAGAATCTGAACGAATCCGTTTCCAATAAGGGCATTATGGAAGAAAGTCACAAGAGTCGAGATACTGCAATCGAGACCTGGATTGCTCTGTTTAGCACGAAAATAGTACCAGGTAACATTGACGGCCATGGTCTAGGAGAAAGATCCAATTTCGAGGTGCGGGCGGTCTTAGCTTATTTCAACTATCAACTCGTCCAGTGTATCATTCCGGGCTTTGCCTGACGATAAGGAGCTGAGCAGTCCAGATTCAAAATGAGAATCAAAGCCGGGGATGTTGAACACGATACGCGTTGGGCAGCCGTTAACAGAATCGACAATGTCCCATCACACTGGCCGCTGCGTTTCCGTTGGTCACTGTATTTGAGCTGCGCCAAACGAGTGAATGTGGAAGTATTTCATTAGGGCAGGTTGCGCTTTACTTGACGCTAAACCTTTTGACTCTTACCAACATTATTAGTAACATCAGTTTGCAACGTTAACACATTTTTTTCGTTGCTGGCTGACGCCGCAAGACAGTTGGCGTAGCTTCAAGCTGAACATTTGATTCTTTATCTAACAAACAGGTACTGAACTTGCGATTTCGCAGGGATTGGTGTTCTTTCCCGATTCAGTGTGACAGTTATGTTCATATCAAGCAACTCTGTATCACACAGTTTGTGGGAATTTTCCTCCGAGGAAAGTGAGTGCGACATTAGTTCTCCCTATATCCTAATCAGGCATCGACCTCGAAACACACCCCCTTTTCAGGAGTACGGGCTAATTGAGCTCACAGGAATCACAACCTGCTGATTCAACCCAAGTCAGGTTGTCATGAAGTGGTGGTAAGGTGAGAAAGTTCTACTTTCTCTCATAGAGTTTTTCTACTCTAACCCGTAAGAACTAGTGAAATTCCACGGTCATCATGCGCATCCTGAAACGTTCTGTTCAAGCTATAACGTCACAAACCAGACAAGTCGACTCATTTGCTGGGTAGCATACCCAGAGAAGATGATTCAAGCCACAAGGAAGTGACTGTCATTGCGGGTAGTGCTACTGTAAGGACCGCAAGGGTCTTGACTCTTCGATCAAGCGTAATCGAGTTGATCAGGTGTGGGATTCGCCGGCCCGTCGAGCAAAGTCGGCCAGTAACTGGCTCTGTATCGCAGATTTAATGGAAGAAAACAGAACTCTGAGTCCGGTGGACCCTGGATGACGTCATATTGGCACCAGCGAGGGGTAGTGTTGACTGATTGTTTCTACGTGTCACTATTTGGCAGTTGGTCCGGTGGTGGCAAGTGGCCCCTGAAACTAAGTTCAAGGTACGTAAAAACGTATTTTGACGGCCCAGTGGTCCTGCACTAAAGCTCCCACATTCGTTTTCCTTCGTAAGTTTCTGAGCATAATACATCGTTGTTCATCGTAAGCTGACGTATCTTAAGCACAATGAGGTCACTCAAATCATAATTTATTCTAAACCAGTGGAATTCGGTCCAGTTCCATTGAATCTGCGATAGTCAATCACCGGCTGACCTTAGAATAGTCTGTAGCGGAGGTAACCCCCCTCTCTACGTAACAGACCTTACAGATTTAAAGTTTGATTAGGAGGATGTGCTGGCCCCTCCTGTGTTGAGACGCCATTCATTTCCGAACTTGCCAATTAGAGTTGCAACACGAAGTGCGCGCACGATCAGAACCAAGACCGCATTCAGCCCACAGGTGGAAGCCCACCGACGATAAAGCTTCGAAATTCTGTCTGATTGAGCCCACCTTTCACTATTATTACTCATACCACATCTCCTGCAAACACTTCAGTGAGGTGACTTACACTTCCTAGACGAAGACACGAGCTTACTATAAATTCATCCAGACCAAACCCGGAAATTTCAATGGCACAAACCCTGCAGGAAATTCTTGTCTACCTCGACAATTTGGAACGTTGTTTTCTCGAGAGAATCTTGGAGGCCCGCAGACATGTTATGGAGCGTCTTGCCAACTACCAGTCAAACGTCACGATGGGAAGCAATGAGTACTACGCTATCGCACCTTCCGAGACTTTGCTCGACCCTTCACTCGACCCTGTGTTCAGGGGATCACTGCTAGAGGGTACAGGTCCTACTCCCGAAAGTAGGCTCACCATATACACAGCCTTTCTTTGAAATGCTTACCATGTACGAGCAGGCCAATTGTTGCCTCCTCAACGCTTCCAAGGTCAGTTCGATATTCATTTTCAGCTGTTCCTTTAAATGCTTACAATGCACGACCAGGCTCAATTGTCGGCAACGCCCCCATGGTTATCGATGACGGGCCCGTTGTTCAACCTGTTCAAGGTCAGTTCATTGTCATTTTCAGGTTTCCCTTTAAATGCTTACAATGCATAACCAGACTTCAGTTTCGGCGATGCCTTCACAATCGCCGACGACGGACTTGTTGCTCAACCTGTCCAAGGTCAGTTCGTTGTCATTTTCAGGTTTCCCTTTAAATGCTTACAATGCATGACCAGACTTCAATTTCGGCGATGCCTTCACAATCGCCGACGACGGACTTGTTGCTCAACCTGTCCAAGGTCAGTTCGTTGTCATTTGCAGTTTTCCCTTTAAATGCTTACAATGCATGACCAGACTTCAATTTCGGCGATGCCTTCACAATCGCCAACGACGGACTTGTTGCTCAACCTGTCCAAGGTCAATTTGCTATCATATACAGCCTTTCTTTGAATTCTTACACTGTTCGATCAGGTTTCTTTGATGCGGGCTTTCCCCAGGTCCCATCAAACTCCCCAGCCAAGGCAAAGGTAACGTGCCCCAAATGCCCGGCAACCTTCAAGAGGGATAATTTGAGACGCCACCTCAACGAGGTACATGAGGCGAAGCCCAGGACTAGTTGTGACCGTTGTGACAAGAGCTTCAAGCGCAAGTCTAGTATGAAAGGTCATAAATGCAGAGGTTCCTAGGTTATGTTAATAGTATGTACCATGAGTATTAACAATACTCACGATCTCGCTAGTACCGTTCTCGAGGTAAAACATGCGATTCATCAGATGTCAGTGTTCTCTTGCTATGAGGCCACCTGAACGCGCTGACTATCTCGACACCCTCGCTAAGATTCTCATATGTCAGGCAATAGTCATTAAGTAAGTGAATTCCGGCCTGCAATGAGTTCAGTAAGAGTTGTAGCCGCAAGTCCACCCTCAGCTCCACTCATTACTTCGAGGGAGGCTGGGCCATTCATTGACAGGGAAATAGATATAGATATGGTGATCTCAAAAGGAATATAAAAGGCAATGCGCACCAATGTAGATAGGATTGAATATGACTGTTTCTCGTGCGATGACATGGATGCTGATGAAAGAGCATGCAGCTGAATTGTTGGTGACGATCGTGTTTGGCTACTCAACTGTTCAATAGTTTACGTACTGAACGTTCAGCACCTCCGGTACTTATTTGCGTTGCAACTCACCCAGCGATTGGTAAGTCCTCTAGCGGCCAAATGCTATGGTTAATAACAGCGCTTCGAACATGTACTTCATGACAGATTCGGAGGAGAGTCTGGATAGTTTTGATCCAAATCGTTAGTCACATTTACACCGAGGGTTGGAAAAAAATCTAGAAAGTGGGATGTCAGCCATGTTTTTGCCATTGGACCGGAGCGATAGAAATACATAGCCCGTAGGATTTGACGATGATGCCCACTTGTGCGAGCTGACTAGGACATGTATGTATGGTTTCTATACAAATCCTTTATCCGACTTTTGACTTGATTGGAGTCGCAGGCTTCGAGTCGATTGTGGGTAGTACTATCACTGGCAGATAGCGGGTCTGTGTTTACTTCGCCTCCCCAAAGATATATAGATAAGTATAGGCCTTATGTAAAAGACGGGTGACTGACCTTTGAACCAAATAGAGCTCCGGGGAAACAGCGCTGATAATTTTGAACCCTGCAAACTTCGTCGGAAAGTTCTTTTTTTGTATATTTCGTCATTGTCCGGAGCTCGACTACACGTTATCGCAGTTCTACTCAAGCTCGTCGTTCGTGCACCATCCTCTGCTATTTTTTTCAAGTGCCCGCAAATCCTGTTGTCTCTTTTCTTCTTGCCCAGAACTCTTGACACCACTCCCGCCTCAAGCACTTCAAGTCTCAAAACCGTGCGAGTGACACTGGGATGTGTAGAAAGGAGGAGGGCCATTCAAAGGACATAAGGATCATGTATGATCAATCGCCGCATCTGCACTTCAATGAGAATTTCTCTGGTTTCTTCGGCCACGTTTATCCAGCGACATCCAGGCCTTTTTCTACATATATTCATGTTCACCAGATTGGCTTACCTGCACAAAGACAGCAACCTTATGCGCACACCGTCAGGTTCAAACCCCCAAGCTTTACTGGTTGGCCTTCAGAAGATCCGCGTCAAGCTGCCGGATCTACTTTCATACAACTGATAAGTTATCAAAGCCCAAATTAATCTTCTCTCGGATTTCAATTCCGATGGTGCGTCTCTTTCATGTCTAGCTTCCCTGAAGGACCCTGAGTTTTAAAGGTAATTTCGCTCGTTGTGTAGTTACAACCCGTTTACTTCTAAATGAAGCTTGGGCGCTCCATCTGCACAGCCTATGCTTTAGTCGTCCCGTGAGGTAGACGTACCTTATAAACTTTCACGATGATTTACTCGCTAAACACCAACTAGTGGACGGCAGAGGCGAATCTTGACTATGCGTAACTGACTCCAGTCGTGCCTCAATGCGAACTGCGATACGACAAACCAAGGCACTGCTTGGCACTATTATAGAAACTTGTTGCTATGGACAACATGAGGTGGCTGCATGGGTAGAGGCTACTCATTTAATACATACTAGCGCACTAGACTTTGACCCTTGCTGTCCATTATAGGAATAATGTTAGATTCGTAGTCGACAGCGTGGAGGATGCAGATTTTTGGTAGTGGAAGGTGTAGAAAAGCACAGGGGCAGCACCGAACGGCGGGTGGGTATTGCAAGGCAGGTAAGCACTAGCGTACAGTGAGGAGAGAATGGTACGGGAGTGTGCTAGTCTCCTAGACAGATAACAGACGAATGAAGATGTACCCCTTTTTGCTTACCAGCTATCATAGACCGTGAGGGGGCAGCGGCAGGCACCATCAATTATCGATCGTACCATGTCGATCGTCGATTGCTGATTGTCGATCGCATCGATCATCGATCGATCACCCCCCAACTACTCGTTCAAAAGGAAATCTCATGAAAGAAGCAACATACAATTTGATACGAGGAAGCCATCGGAATCAAGATATCGGTGCCGAGAAATATGTCGAGTAAATTAATCCGCGACGTGGCTGCGCGTAAAGACTGCCGATGGATCTATGATGGTTTGCTTTGTGTTGCTGCATGGTGAGATGCTGGTGTCGGGATGTCAGGATTCGAGAGAACTGGCACCTGTGCCCAAGTTGTCTCATCGAGAGAGAACTTGAAAGGTATTCAAGCTTACATGATCTGACCGGAGGTCTTCCAGGCTTTATAGTGGCCTCATAGCAGACACCTCGTATCCCAGCCAGAACTAGTGGCGATGTTCAGGTGGCGGTATGTGTTTTGAAGAGTTCGCTTGTGTTAGCTCATCGAAGCATCCGTTCACCAGTGCATCACTCACCTTCCGTCTGAACTCCAACCCAATGGCACTACACCGTCCTCACCCTTGCTTCCCACTTTAGCTTGCCGTTGCTCCACTTCCTTTGTACTTCCAAGCCTCTCCGACCCGTGTGCTGCTCTCCAAGTCCCAAGCTCGAAGCGGCCATCTGCTGAACTTGTGATGGTCAGGTATCCACTGTCAAGGGCGTCATTTAGTCCTTTTACCTTTTGGTAAGGCGTACTCACTTTCATTTCTGTTTCTTTTTTCGCAACGGCGAGAGAACGCATAGGTTTCTGTATAGGAGAAGGTCAAGTTTAGCTCCCTTCAAAATTATATGAATGATATCAGATACTCACAGATATTTCACTTGTACGGACAAGAATTCGAAAGCTGTGACAGAGTGGACGTTTTGTTCAATGCAGAGTCAAGTGAGAAGGGGTATCGCTTCTACAGGTTTCGAACTTGCTTGATCCATGCTGTATCCTCGTGTTCACTGGTATTCGCCTCCGAACTGCAGATTTAAGCGCCCAAGCCTGGTACTCAGTTTGTTCATACTTTGAGCATTTAGTAAGACTGTTTGCATTTTTTCAGGTAGTCTTATTCCTCGAATCGCTAGTGTCATTCGCCGAGAATTAGGTTTCACAATACGAAAATCACTCCTCTATGTGCATGTGCTAGCCGAATGTCACCAACTGAAGCCAATAGGATGCACCGCGAATGCGACCCAAACCACAAGCTGGATCGAGTCAAACTCCAGGGAAATTTGATCTTTCTTGAATGGACTTTGAAGAGTGTAAGTGCAGTAACACGCCGCAAACGAACAGACTTCAACGAAAGTCTCATAGCACAATAGACTATAATCGCGATCTACATCCGCACCATTCTATAACTTGATACTGATTTTACTTCTGCCAGACAGCTGAAGAACATAAACGTTTGAGTCACTTTGCATTTCCGCTGTGAATCGCGATAGACTGTGTCCCACTCCCCACTCGAGTCAAATAAAGTGGAGACAAAGATTGAGATTGCGACCGATAAGTGGAAGTAAGATGCAACACACATTGTGAACAAATTCATCAACACGCCACGACCCTGGGACGGTCGTTTCGCACTTGCAATAATAATCTGCTGTGGCACGAAATACTGCAGAGTAAGAGCAAGTGGTGAGTCAGTTAGTGCGGGGCACTGCCGCCGTCGCATACAGACTGAAAACTGGTATTAATGCACCGCCCAAGACAAAAAATATGTAGTACCATACCATTCATGGCTGCTTGTAGCTGGAGTAAAGGAGAGTGTGAGGTGGTCCAGGTAAGCTGCGATAGTTCTTAACCCTCGCAGCGACCGCATACAAAATGCGGTAGGAACGCGAGGGAGCCCATAATAGAATGGAGAGAAGAGTAAGCAGGAGATCAGGTAGACGGAGTGAGAGCGTGGAGGATGCACAAGGCTCAGCGGAAGTAAGAGGCCTGGGAGGAAGCCAGTGGATGCCGCTGGCGAAGATACTAGGGTGCTGCTGCTGCTGCCGGGGGGTAAGGGAGTCCAGGGTCTTTCTGGGTTAGAGTGGGTGTCACATGCATATGGCCAGCGAGCCAAGCCAGTGGACCCCGCGCCTGCTGCAGGTGATGGGTGGTGATGTATACCGGGTGATGCATTGATCAATCGATCCGAGACGATTGAGTACGAAAGAAGACACACATCGTGCATGGCGATTTGAAGGGAAAGTGCCTAAAAGGGCACAAAGGAACGCCATTTTTGGCATCCCAATTATATCGACATAGTAAGCTTGACATAAGAACACGAAACAGGGTGGCAAGTCCCTGTGTTCACTGGTGCTGCAGAAATAACTATTGGTCGCCAAGTATCTGGAAGATTCGGTCATTTTCCAACGTGAAGCAAATGGCGTCAACGCCCAATATTCAATGATGGCGTGCTCGCACATTCATTTAATCACGATAAGTTGCCGCACAGATGAGTCGCCACAATTGTGTTGCCAGGAACGTTTCTAAGTTTGGAAGAAAGCAATATTTGTACTAATCCGAGATGCGCCCTGAGGCTGGACCGATTCGATAGCCACGGATTGGTCCTATACACTCATTTACTCGTAACTCGATGATGACTCATGCCTGCAAGACATCGAGATAGTCAGTCGAAAATGCTAGCAGGTGCGTTCCGAGAAAATAAATAGGACATTTTACTACGTTTAACACGACGGATGAGGCCCTTTATCAATTTAGCAAGAAATTGGAGTACGAATAGTGAAAACAAAACTAGGAATCCCTACGTTTCATCCGACAGCTGTGGCCCTTCATCATATACGGCCGCGTGAAACCGTTTCCACACCCATTGCAGATGGCCTTAATCTTCCGCCGATGCATCTCATTGACATGGCGAGTGAGGTTGTCCTTTTTAACGACTCTCGAGCACCCGGACCAGGTGCACTTCACTTTCTCTTGGACACCTTGAACGATGGTGAGAGGCTGTTGTTCATCGAGCCTGGTAGATGAGCCCGACGAGATCTGCCCGTCAGGACGTGTACCATTCTGAGGTAGAAAGTTTCCTGCAGCAAGCTCATAGCTCGAGGTGCCGCAGGGCAATAGGTCTAATCGCACATGGTAAGTGTTGACTAAAATGGTCATGCTTTAGACTGACCTTGGGGAAGCTGAGCAACGAGATCTACACTCTCTTGCAGGGTACCAGCGACCCCGACGGACTCTAGGGAACCAAACTCCAGGTCTGAAAGTTGACCATAGAATGGCAGTGGCTCTGGCAAGAGGGAGAGGTCAAGCGGAGTCGACAATTAGGCCCATCGAGCTTACCTTGTACGATGGTCGGAGGGTTGTCATAGACGGCTGCCTGGAGGTCAACACTGCTATCCCAGGATTCCCATGTACCCTCATCACCCTTGGCGACTTCTGGTTCGCAGTTCATCAGAAGCTCTGCAATAAAGGCACGTATCTCCAGTGTGTCCCTGTAAATCTCTATTATCTTGTCGTTGTGTCGATCAAGACGCTCGAGACATGACTGCAGTGTCGATCTCATTGATTGATCAGGGTCCCGCCCTGACCACAAAGACAACGTCGACGGGGGGGTTGCCAGTGTCGATCTGGGGTAAGCTCATGTTTGTATCCTTGAATCTACTATGAAGTATAAGGCTTACTTGTAGGAATTGCTTATTTTAACAGGCGAATCTGACGCTTTGTGGATTCGAGTGGGAGAAGTAGTACAGATAGTGAGAGAACACTTGCTCGCCTTTGTGGCATTCTTGTTTTTATATTCACTCAGAATATGCCCGTGGCAGGTCTGGCAGGTTAATGTAAATGTAAAGTCTTGGATTGTATTCCGAATCATTGAAGTGTTGTGTCAGAACGGAAATGAAATCAGCAATTCACGATTTCGATTGTGGTAGGTTGGCAGTGAGAGAATCGATTCACTAATAGACCACGAAATGGTACAAGCAATAAGTGCTGGATCAGGTGAGAATTACGATGGCGTTAGACCCTATCCTCCCAATCCTGACAAACACACCTGATTGTGTCCTATAATCAAGCTCCTATCACGCTCAATCCCGACAATGACGTAGTAGATGTGGCACCGCGTTTTTTGATGGATCACTATTTTAAATGAATACAGCCGGAAGAGGTAAATACGTGTATGGCCTTCTGGCTACCAATCACTACCAGTACATAATATGTACCTACCGCCATGAGTGAAACACGAGTCTCTAGTCGGGCAGAAGTTTATTAGCCGATGGGCGCTCTTTGATCTAAGATTTCAAGGTACCATGGCGCCAACAGGATCGATCCAGCTGGCCACCGCATCAAACACGCACGCAAGGGCCAGCAGTTCCCAACGGGAATTGAAAAATTAGTTCTATACGAAGTCCTCAAAGCGTGCTAGTGTTACTCACGTACCTAGGGTGAACCAGAAAAGCATCTTCTCGGCGCATCTCAGATGATTTGGGTGGCTTCCAATAAGTAGCTTCTTAAGTACTTGAGGTCGAACCTTAGTGGCCTGAGGAATCATTGATGATCAATTGATCACGATTGGTGGTATCAATTCTGTGGTACAAAGGATTGAATCTACGGCATGTGCCCTCGACCAGTTTACAAAAACTTGGACTGTATTCCAAAATCATTCCCATAGCGGAATCAAATCGAGCAAATTGATTAGAGAAGAGGCCTATGACACTGGCAACAGTGAGCGGGAGCAGGGTGTAACACCAGCATAGTGCATCGTAATCCTCACCTGAGTCTGACACAGTAACGAAGCAACTGATCATCTACCATGACGTGGATAAGGAACTGCTATGTTTGCAATAAAGTTCATTGAGAGATGCGAGAAGCTACATTGATAACACACACCTATGACTAGCTTCGCCACACTCGACTCAGTCAACTCGAACTGTACCAGTCCCTGGACCGCTATAAACCAATTTAAGTCTGATTTTGCAGATCAGCGCTTGATACCAGCATATGAGATAGCTATGATAGTACAGGACATTTTGTCAGAAGGTGTGATGGGCAAGCCATGCGAAAATTTACGCAATGAACTAGCCTGCGGGTAGAGGATGGAAACACCAGGTTGCTATGGCGGAAAGGGTTCCATCAGACACACTTTCGCATAGTATGCAAAATAAGGATGAGGATAGGCGCATCTGCTGCGATTACTATTGGCACAACGGCTGCCAACACAGTAGTCAGTGAGAACTCGACATCATTTTTTGATGAAACACATTAGCGTCATACCTTCGCGTTTCTATCGCTCTTCATGACCTTCTTTATGCGAGGAAAAGGGAGTGGAGAATTAGTGTAATTTGGGGTGTCTGGCTCTGCTACTATCCGCTTGCTGGTGAAACTTGAAAGAATGAACGTTCAACTGCGACACGTGGGATAACCTTAACCCTAATCTAATGGATTCAGAATCGTCGTCTCGGTAGGGGCAACAAAGTCTCACGTGCATATCTTACGCTGTGCTTTGGCAGTTTCTCTTGACAACACCTCTTGACTAAGGTATGTGTAACGTCTCTGCACTGATTGGGGCAAGATCAGGGTACCATGTCACGTCTACGAAAAAATTACCCATTCTCTCTGCGCTTAATGGAACTCCCGATAGAACTTTCTCGCTATCCAAGACTCATCTCCGCTGAACTTGTCAAGAGCCTCATTCTGAAAGGAGCTGCCAACCTAGTACCGTTTTGGTGGCCCTCTTCCCAATCAGCGGTAATTTTACGATTCGGGACCAGTGGAGTTTCAGCGTTAAGGACTGCGTTCATTGTATTAGCGCTCAGAATGTTTCCGGGTAACAATAGTGGCAGTCAGAGTTGGCGATTACCACGTTATTCTGTGAGTGATTCAAATTACGATTTTGGGTGCTCAGAATCGTACTGAATGATCGAATCGCCTCTAGAAATACTTCACGCAATTATGTTCTTGACCGTCAGCAAAATATGCATCGCTAACTACCAATTTCTATCACAGCAACCATAAATCATTGGACTTTGACTGTGTTTGCTCCCCGTGACAGCTGGGCAGCCTGCATGGCTTGTACAATTATGCCCGTCAGTGCCAGTGTCATGATTTCGATCAAATTTTGATAGTAGCTGCAGTCAGAATTCCCTGTTGAGTCTTTTGTCGTTATTTGATACCCTTTTATTCCAGAACGGGCTGTGGCGCCACAGCCCATGCATTCGAGAACGTGAATGGCAAAGAAAATGACCGAAGAAGCATAGTAAAGTGGCATGTTCTCACACTCTTTTTTACAGTCGCAGCTGATATGACCCTCGATGGCCATGCCGATGATCGACGGACTATCTCGTGGTTATTATCGAAAACACGAGATTTGAGGCTCGGGCGGTGGACTAAGTATGGGCTTCTGACTCAATGTACCATCCTAATCCAGACCTTTGACACCAGGAGTAAGGTATGATGGCCTGTGTCGGAGAATTCCTGACATCGAGATGGTAATATTTAATACGCCAGGTCTGCCAATACTAGCTGATATTTGCGGCTTCCCTGTTCTTATTTGTTCGGACCGGAAGCCATACTGGGACGTTCACAATGGCCACCGCTGGGTTGTTGGAATCGTTCGGTACCCTTGGGCTTGCTGCAGGAATTTACAGGAACATAGTTGCCTTGGCACACGGGCAATGTTCTTACCAAATGTTCGTCAGAATTTTGTGTCGGAAAATGCGAAGCTGTGCAATACAGCACGCTAATTGAGGTGCAAGACTGCTGGACAGAGATGTTGAAAGCGGTGCATATTCTACAGGACAATGTCAAAAAAAACGCAAATAAACCAGATTTCAATCTAATAGCGTAATAACAGTGATGGCTGTGTTAATTTGTGCATATGCCATCACAGAGCTGTAGGTACCCTGTTACCTTTCCAAAGTACTTCGACTCATCAAAGCTCCCAAAAACAAAGTGCGCATGTTACCTCATTTGCAGCAGAGGTCAAGACCTCCAGCACCGTTCGGTAAGGTATTTTCTGCTTGTGTGTAAGGTTAAGCGCCTTGCCATCGAGCGTTTACTTCTGCCCACCACGCCCAGCCTGCAGTCTCCTGCCACTTACCACACCTAACCTCCAACCTGCGCCCTCATGAAACCTGGCGCTGCCTCCGAGCCTCAAAATCTCACGGTGGCTCTGAGCCCGTGCCAGAGCGCTCTATGTTTTTAAAGCTCGTCCAGCTTCAATGAAGGATCCCGAAAAAGACAACATGTAAGTTATCGTTATTGTTCATGAATGCGAGGATGATGGCTGATAGAGGTGATGCAGTTGCAGGCTCGTGTTTTGGAATGCATGGTGAGGATACACGAGCCTCCATCAATGCTAAATAACTCGGTGACAGCATGCCCGGCATTGTCGGCAGGATAATGTAGGATGAGTTTGGCAGAGGGAAGACAGGCCTTGGCAGAGAATGATGATCGTGGCCATACGAGAGCGTAGGGGCAAAAGGTGCACCTTCGATCACCAAAAAAGGAGGGCAGCGAAGGTGACCGTCACAGATGGGTGATGTTTGGTGTGGTGGAGGGTATCCGAGACTCACGGAGATGTGGTCTAAATTCCTGATAACACAGTTCGAATTCAAGAGAACTTGAAAAACGCGACAATTTCGAGCGCCTGGAACGAGCTGACAACAATTCACATCGTTACTACAGGAAATACAAACATTGCGGTGACACTGGTAACTCAGTACTCGTTGATCATCAGGTGCTCGAATCCAGGATCGTGACAACAACTTACCGAACCATCTTATCAAATGCTGTCACAATGCAACTGCTCCTCTGCGCCTGTCTGTAAAGACGGGGAACTCTGTGGCACCACTGATTCAACTGCTATTCTTAGTATTTTGGCTGCTTCAAATTCTCAATCTGCTTCTAGAAGTTCTGCTGCCGCCGTCATTCCCATTAAGAGGCGCAAAGCTTCAAACCTGGATGAACATACCCTTGAGTAAAAAACAAAATAGCCTAGCAAATGCAAAGCTGCTCCAAGTGTGTCGTATCATCGAATTTTGAGAGTCAAATCTAAATCTTGAAACTAGGTCTTTCTTACGTTATGTTGTCAACATTTGGGAGCCAGGCACTCATCACTCTAAAAAAAGATTCGTCCCTTTCTCCAATACAGTTTGTGGGGTCCAACAGGGTCCAACCTCTACTCGTCCGACTGTCGAGGGCTGTTGAGTGACCATGACCAATTATTGAGTCCTCACAGCATTTCCGAGGAAACTTAGTGACCGATTGCAATGGCCGTTTGACTCCTGATAGCATGATGATCTCAGATTCGCGCGGCCGAAGTTTGTGGACAACGTTTACACAACACCACCATTTTCCAAATAGAGACCCCTGCCAGTGGATATCCATCAAACAATCTCTCTTCTTCCAAGAACTTCCATCGCTCCACGCCAAAGATACCTGCTGGGCGGACAGCGGTCTATCACCTGTTCAATTCGAGCGATGGCTTGCTGTGAGAGTGGGAAACAGTGCGATGTACACCTTGGCGCTGCCTCGTGACAAAAACGTGGTCGCAGTGGAAGGACAGTAGTTCTCGGCGTAAGTGACTCTTCTGCGATGACGGCGATCGGATCTTACTTCTTTTTGGCAGTAACATGAGGATAATGATCGACCCGATGATCAATTATTGGTGGTTCCTGCTGCTGCGCCCTCGAGAGCCCTTCCGCGCACTTCGCATTTATGATTTCCTTCTTTCACAAAACTGATACGAAAACATTTCCAGATGTCGATGGACGAGTGGAAACTACTGCAGCACGATGTTATTCTTCTGTACGGTATCACCTATTCGTTTGGCCCAGCATCAGCTACGGCTATTTTTCTTCTGGATGCACAACGGATCATCCTGACATCAAGTCCTACAGCACCTACAACTGTCGTTTGCTGCTGGTCTCCAATGTTGTAATCACATCATTTTCGCATTGCATCAAAGTAAGCTGCATTCCACTCTAACGTCAAAATAATATATACGTTGCGGACCTCACAACTGTAGGCACAGTGCGATATGCCTAGCGAACCTTCTCATGTTTGCAATGTAATCATTGGCAGCAGCAGAAGACCTCATCGGGTAGATTGGCTACTGACCACATGTCAAACTTTTATACTGGGGATGCGCCTGGCTCACCAAAACTAGAAAATTGCCTTTCGATGGGTTGCATACCAGGTCTGTTAACTGTGTATATTTGCAGTATTCTTGTTCTCATTTATGTTAAGTTTTGTCGTGTCGGTAGTCATACCACGATATCCGTGGAAATCATCAGTTCTTTGTTGCCATACTCCTTGGAGGTGTCAAACCTCAGCGCTCAGCGTCCAGAAATGCCTGTTGTTGAATTGGATAGTCCGAGATCATCATGATGTATCGCTATAGAGATGCTATGTGAACTCGACCAGACGGGCCTTGCAATCATTAGTGTTGCTCAAATCAACTTTTGAAACTCGCTTAGACGCCGCCTAAATGCTTTCAACTCTCGGCTAAAGTCTTGAAGCCACCTCGACCGATGACCTAGATTCAAGGTCAGGCCGGCATCGTACGGCAGACTTTGAAACCACCATGCCTCCTGCCCGTCATCAACGTGCCTGTCGTTCTGCACGCCTCAAAGCTAGTACTCCACCGCACTTGGGGGCGATGGACGAAGAATCAAATAATCGAGCTAATTTCCCCTCAAACCCACCTCTAGAACAGTCTGGACCCCGGCTCACCATCCAGTGGCACAATGACCAGTGCACTTACTGACACGCTGGTAAACTACCTGATCACTCACCCTGCCGATTGTAGGATTTTATTCTATTCTGATGACAAGAAAGCCATGGCTGCTGCAGATGATTGGTCCCTCAGGCTCAGATAAGGGGCAGATCTATAGTGTCATTGCTAAGCTCGTCCGTCCTCCACCTTATCATCATTCCCTCCACCTTCTTCACCTACCCTCTGGAGAAGCCGACCCTTCGTTTGTTCCGATCCGGCTGGCTCGAGGCTCTTGGCGATCTTGCGCACTATCGCATGACCGTGGCTGCGATGGTTACTAATACCACGCCATCTTCACCCTTCACTTGGTCTTGCGTCTCCCTAGAGGCATGCAGATCTTGTCCCTGAGGGTTATCCTCCTCCCCCACCTTCCTCTAGTACTTACCTTGTTCTCTCCGGCACTCCATATGTACAGCTGATTTTATTCTTGTGGGGACTTTGTTTTTTTTTTCAATAATTCGATTAGCGCCGTCATTCGAAATGCTAAGCCTATCTACGACTCGTTGTGAACTACGTCCCGGTTACCCCATACTCTCTAAAACATATGTACATAGCACACTTCGAAAACCCTAAGTCTTTGAATGTCCGATTTCGTGCCAAAGTGCGCCGAGCATGATTCAACTGTTCTTGAGCAAACTTTAGCCGGGAGTTTGAAGCGTTTAGCCGGCGTCTAAGGGAGTTTTCAAAAGTTTCAAAATTTGTTTTGAGTAACACTATTAACCCCTACTCCATTGTGTGTCACATCCAGAATGACGGCAGTACAGGCGTTTAATAGATATTACGTGCAAGCACCGCCCGCGAGGCAGTCCACAGAAATACCCAGCACACGCTGTATCAATAATCTGGTAATCACATGGGAATAATACCACAGCGTAATTGCACGTAATCCATGCAGTAGTGAAAACAGAGTTAAGATCCAGGCCACGATCATGGCGCGCATGACGAGGGAAATATGGATAAAGATACCGAACGTTTTTGTTGAAGGTACATGAGAGTTTGCGGTATACGTTAATTAAAGCGCCAAGGAGAATTTTTTTTTTAATGGCGGGTGGCGTTGCGATAAAGATCGTATGGGGGACTGATGGTCTAGTGCTGGTGGAATCTAGCGTGATTGGGCAAAATTCTGTGCCATTGAGCAGAGGCAAGCGGCGATTTTTTCTATACCGTTGATTCGATGGAAGAGAACACAGGGACCAGCGTAGCTATAAGCGGCCACTAGACTATAGTCGACCTCCTCGATTTAGAATGGCGATGCCAATCAAAAGTGGGACGCTTATTATGTCCCTGCCATACGTGCTAGAACAGGACTGTCTTCGTCAGCATCACGAAGCATGAATTTATTAACCTAAACGATCCTTTCTTATCATATCTTGATCAGGATGGACGGGATGAAGTCACCGCGATGGAGATCGCCGAACGGAACTACCACTGGTGGTAGCTAGACATACCCCGACAACCAGTAAGTTCATGATAGTACCTGTGAACTTCTGAGTCATGTTGACCTCTAATACAACCTACCTAAACTTGCGGTATTCCTATCCAAGGAGCCGTTCAGTGACATAGCACACGGTTGTTTCGGGGATGTAAATTCGTGTTCGACCGTCACCCGAAAGCAAGCAGGCCGCGTATGGCTGTCAAGTATTCTGGATCCATAACAGGTAGCATCCAAGTCCATGGTGAAGTGGGAAACAATGATTCCGCTTTGATTCTGAAACGCTTCATTTCCGGTCAGGCTTGCCAACTAATTTCACACAACGAGGCAAACTGCACATAGATTATCCATCTATTCAGAGTGATCCAGATTTGGCCTACCAGACGTGCCATGGGAATAGGGCATATGATATAAAGGCCTTGGGGTGACGTTCCATTGTGTTCAATTTCCCAACTTTTGCGACGTATTCCTTACCACCTAGAGTATCCAAATGGATAGCTTACACGCCCATCGCAGACAAAGACATGAGCGCACCATGAAATCATCCAGATTGACGCTACAAAACCCATCGTCCTCACAGCCAGGGCAGGACTCTGACCAACATTCAACAAGACTAGCCCTGCAGTCATGTCTTGAGCGCCTTGAGCACCTTAAGCGCGTCAACAGGTTAGACCCTCGCGTGCACGCGGAAATCCAGGAGATACACAGCCTCTTTATGGATCTTCTTGACAACTACCAGTCAGATGTCATGATGGCGGATTCGGGCGGATACGGTGGCACCGTCGTCCCCCAAGCAGGAATTGCCATTCCACCGTTCGTATCTTCGCACGACAGCGGCTTCGTGCCACAGCCTGCACCCTATAGAACATCGTTCGGGGTCATGGGATCGCTGTCCGAGGGTAGAGGTGCTCTCCAGGGTAAATGTGCTGTACACACAGCCTTTCCTTTAAATACTTACCTGTACGAGCAGGCCTATTGCCCCACAGCGTCCGCAGTTCCACAGACTATAGGCCCGCTGCTCAACCTTCCCTAACTCAGCCTCAGCACAGTATGAACTCTGAGGCCTTTTCAGGATTCCGTGATCCGTGTATTACGGAATCGTTGACAGAGGGTGTGAATCCTCGCTTCGGTCAACTTTTCCAAGGTCAATCAGCTATCATCCGCAGCTTTTCCTTTAACAGCTTACAATATATCACTAGACCTATCGCTCCGTGACACGTCCGATCCCGTCCATAAGCCCACTGCGCTACCCTTCCAGGGCATTTATTATGAGCATGTCGCACCAAGTTCTTCAGCCAGACCCGACGAGCGACTGTCTGTCCCTGTTGTGCAAGTTAGTCAAGTAAAGGACAAAGTAAAATGCACCTGGCATGGGTGCGCAGTACTCGTTAACAAGGATAACCTCACTCGTCACGTCGAAGAGGTGCACGAGGGGAAGATTAAGGTTGTTTGTGCAGGCTGCGGAAGGAAGTTCAAGCGCCAGTATCAGATGAATGAGCATGTTCTTCGGTTTAAATGTGGAAGATCCTAGATTGTTATCTTGTACAACAAAGTCGCTAGCTAGTCATGATTATGTTGATATAGATTGGGTATATGTTCGGAAGTACTTACAATATTTGTTGAAGTGGTTCCTTATGAAAAAGATGCGATCTAAGAGATGTTAGTATTCGCTTGCTACAATTAAAAGTTTACCCTTGATTTCATTCGCTACTTTGAGGGAGGATGAGCCATCAATGGACAGGGAAAGCCCTAGAGATAGATATGGAGATCTCGAAAAGAACAGGAAAGGCGATGCGCACCGATGCGATCTTGTTTGCAATGTCAAGAAGCGCGCTACAATAACAGATAAACAACACTATTAGACACAAGGTGAAGGTGGTGGAAAGGTATACTCGAATCTTCGCGTTATTACTGGGATGAATTGACGCGGGGCTATGTAGTGCGTGACTAATGCTGGGCAGATCATTCTGTGCCTCCCGTACCACTGACATTGTTGCACATCCAAAAATGGTACGCGCTTGGGCAGCCAGATGCCTTGATCACAACTATTGTTACGGGGCTAAATGGCATGCACGCTTTGAACATGCACTCCACGGCAGACTCGGCAGAGATGCTTGAGGGTGGGGAAGCTGGCTTGGAGAGTCCGGATGGTTCGAAGTTAGACATGTAGCGAGCAGTGATATTCGCGGCGAGGAAACTAAAGTTGGGTTTCAGAAGTGATGGAAAGTAGAATTTGACGGTCTCAAAACCAATTGGTCCCGCTTCTGCCTGAGGTTGAGTGACGAGATCATAAACTAGCTAAGGGCCGTAATATGTAAGTTTTTCAATTTTGAGTAATTTCGTTGTTAGACTCCGACTGCTCACCTGGCTTTTTGGGAGAAGGAGAACCACGATCGGGTCATGAATTGACCGGTCATGTTCAATGCAACAAGAAATCATCCCACAGGTTCATATTTCCCATGCAGCATTAAAATAGCTTGTATTGTGCTTGGAAGCTCAGCTCAAGCCGGAAACGTCTAGCAGAGCATTGCGAGGCAGACCACGACCTTAGCCATTGCAGTCACCCGTCTCCTAGGATAAGGACCTGTTAGCTAGGGCAAGAGGGATGCTAGATGGCGGGGATAGTAGAGGTTTCGAACCTGCGAAAGTTCTCGTCGGGAGGCTACCGCTACCCCAACCGCGCCCACCACATCTCGTTCTGTTTAGGAATAATACTATATATCCAGTGGAGTAAAAGTTCCGAGGCACAACTGCAACCGCGATCGGTGACCGGCCAGCTGCTCAAGGTAACTATGACCCACCGAGAGGGTAGGTTGGGGGAGGGCTCTAGTGGGGGGATAGATCCCAGATCCAGTGTCCTTTAGCACATCCAGACCCTAAAACCACTCACCGACTTGAAGGAACCTAATCGGCCGTTTCCGAACCGAACTGAACCGACCAGGAAATTTTGGCGTCCCCATGCGGAGAGATTAAGCTTCATCTTGGCTCCTTACATAATTAATTATCGCAACGGTGCTTGCGCACCGAGTCCCCGACTCTGACACCTTCATTAGGACCTGTAGAAGGTGCTATGAGAAGTGATGAAGTTATTCTCGTCGTGTTGGTTTAGTATGCCAGAATATAAGTGGAAATAATATCGGCACAGGATAAGCAGGTGTGTGGATACTGACCCGATGACATAAATAAATTCAGGTGCATACCATACGATTGAGCAAGCCGTTACATTAGACCAGCGGGATAGTTTAATATTGGACAAGTGACATCCGAGAGCTGATGGAGGCTTTGCGAGCACAACGCGTTGTTGATAATTCTCTTCGTGTCGAGAAACTATTTTCGAATGTTTATGTGCCATCCACGTGAAAGCGCATTCACCCATGATTCAGGCCTGTGCCCGAAATGAAACTAAAGTTTAGTGTAGAAGTCTTGAGAAACTCGTCGACAGGAATGGCCTGCATAGATTCTCGATCAAAGAAAACATGATTATAATCTGACCAGTATCCGATAATTGGGTCTGTGCATTCCAGATCGCCTTCTTCTGTTTCGCCTTCAAGACAAGCGTGATATGCCCTTTGAGGGATCGGATCTGCATCTTGCGAACTGCCCTTCCTTGCTTGCAACATATCAGTTTGTACGACGAACAGCTTTCACAATCACACTCACCAGATCGTATCAAGTAGAGTATCGGTAGCTGTATTAGCTTGGCTCATTCTTGTGAGCGTCCCGAATTTTACTGCTCAGATGCAGCTCAGACGATAGGACAAATAGGCCAATGAAGGCATACACTTCTGGTCGAATGCCAACAGACATGAACAAAGCATTGGCCGATTCCTAGCAAGACGCAACGGCAGCATACATTAACTTAGGGATCTCACTTGGAAATAGTACACATACCTGAGGATTCCGTCCTTCTTCGAACGAAAGGTAGAATGGACAGGGAGCTGGGTACCTGTCACATTTGTCTGGCTGTCTTGACAGACTGACACATCGAGATGACGAGCGCGTCAATGAGTGCCTTCGGGAAGATGTCAGAACGAGCTGCATGAGGTTACAAATGAGTCCAAGACATTGAAACAAGCTAGCAGGGATAATGGCGCTCGCAGAATTGGTCCCGAAAGAGATACGAAAGATGGAATAGACTTTCCACGGATTGGGAAAAGCTCTAGGGATTGACAGGACCCGAATTGTTCGAGATAAGCCTGATCTGAATCGCGCCTTTAATATCATAACCCTGTAAATGAAAAAGACCCACTTCACTGATGCAAATGGTCATACTGCATTTCGCTGACTGTCCCTCGCTAATGTCGACTTGCCAGGTCTGGCGCCAGCTGTTCTGAGCCTAAATTGATACCACACGCATGACCGGGATGGTCAGAATTTGAGTTAAGGGACGTTGCACAGGAAGCACAGCGATGTACTCACTTAATTAGCTATCTGATGGTCTGTGAACAAAGGAATGTGAAATCTTGTAAACTGAAACAGTAAGCCGGTCTGACACGACGCAGATGAATAAGAAATAGGAAGTAATAATCGGATACTTACTTGGAAAAGGCCCTCAGTTCTAACTTCTGCCGTCAAGGACTCCGATCGGGTTGATGGTTCATTAGCGTCGCCATCAAATGGGCGCACAAAGCATTAGGTATGTCACTGGGAGCGGAGTTAGACATAGGTCCGCGATTGCTGTGAGAGATGGGGTTGCTGAAGGGTGGTTCCAGAGCAGAGGAATGTTCGGTTATGTATGCTGGCCATATCTGACGTAGCTCATAAGTCTACCAGTTGTGGGAGTATCAAACTTGTAACTCACAGCAAACTTTGGATAGTGGAATGCGCACTGCAGGGGAAGAGCACCAAACAACATGTGGATGATGAAGAGTAGGCGAGTAGTAGGAGGTGGACGGAGACGCCCAATTGGTTCGGAAACGGCCGACCTGAGGGTTCCTCGGTTTGAATGTGCTACAGCCTACCGGATCTTGGATCTGAAGCTTCCTATCCCCCCACTAGCTCCCCAACCGTAAACTACCCTCTTGGTGGGTCATAGTTTCCTTGAGCAGCTGGCCGGTCACCGAACGCGGTTGCAGTCGTGCCTCAGAACTTTTACTCCCACTGGGCATACATGCTCAGTAGTATTAAAGAATGAGATGATCGGCGCGGTTGGGGTAGCGGTAGCCCCCTGGCGAGAACTTCCGCAGGTTTGAAACCGCTGCCATTCCCTCTACCTAGTGTCCCTCTTACCCTGGATAACAGACCTTTATCCTACTAGGAGACGGGTGACTGCAGTGGGTGTCAAGGATGTAGTCTGCCTCGCGACGCTCCGCTAGACACTTCCGGCTTCGGCTTCGCTTTTCCAATACCCGAGTCTGGTTCCAGCGGCAGGCACCATTAATAATCGATCATCCGTGGGCCTACTCGATCGAAAGAAATCTCGAGTTCCGAATCAAAGAAGCTCTAAGGCTACACGAAGCCACCTGGAGCCGCGTATCTGTGCCGAGAAGTATGGCTGCGCTGACAATAAAACCGCCACGTGCACGTGGCCTGCAGGAGATGTACATGTGTGTAGGCGCTTCAAGATCTGTATTGTTTATGCTTTACTAAGTCGTCCCGTGAGGTACACACACTTTTTGATCTTTGCACGATCATCTATTTGCTAATCGCAGGATGGTGGATGTGCACAACTAACTCCAGGGCTTGAGCTAACCGTTTCAGTCAGCGAGTCTCGCAGAATGTGTGAGTATTTGCATCTATCATATATGTGATTCGAGTTTTTCACCTTTAATCCCCATAGACGAAGCGCAGCTCAAATTCTGCGATGAGACTCCACGACGACCTGCGATGCTGAATGGCCTGCGGTGCTCAACTAATTTTTGACTCCTGCGTCGTCACGATCTCCTACCGGTTGTACTGAGTTTCCACCTTCCTATCATCCTAGACGAGACACGAGGGAAGTATTCTTAACAGTATTTTTTTTGTCCCGTTGACTGCGCCATTTAGTTTTTTTGCTCTTGAGTATTCAATGCGAGGCTTAAACTGTGTTTACTCATCCATTCTTCGCATACTTAGGCTCTGATGTGTTTATATTTTCGTCACATTCAATGCAAGATTTGACCATTCCACTTGGTTTCAGAATATTTACTGCATTGTCCTGCGCTCTGCCATACTTGAAATATAGTCCATTCAGGTGGTCTCACAGCAAGAGAATATCGGCACTTTCAGACTATGCTTTTCTACTAACAGGTGGTGTCAAATATATTTTGAACATCCAAGCAGTAGAATTGAAATCGGGGAACAAGTCGCGCAAATCTAGGAACATCTACATCTACTGAACATCAGACACGACGGATATGGTCTCTCTTCATATGCGAACCCATTTCTACAGCCGGCACGGACAGCTTCAACCTCCCGCAAACGTGTCTCGTTCACATGACAAATGCGGGCTCATCGAGTTCAACGGTGCTATGGGCCAAACTTTGCCCGAATCCCTCGGTCATCTTTGATTGGGGGTTGACAAGAAGTTTCGTAATGTGGGTGCGGATCTCCAAGTTCCCGGTAAATGCCTTTCGCATGCTGCATGCCCAACATTGATCTTTCATACGTCCGAGCCTCACTTTCGCCCTGGAGGCCTGTTTAGCACACCTTGGTCATGCCCCACTGAGGGGGGATGCACGCGGTGATTTGGGTGGTGAAAAGTGCAACCTGAACAAGAATCAAGGCACAAAGAACACCGTATTTTTAGCGTATGCCAATACCCAGCAATATCCTCATTTGCTGGATAGTCGGATCTGCTATAGTTAATGTCTGCCCGCAAATCACACACATCCACACCTCAGTTTCGCCTTGGGTGTCCGTTGAACATGACTTGGTGAGGGAGAAAGTTTTATCGTCTCCAACCGGCTGCAAAAATTCGACTTAAAGCGCAAGTTCCGGTATCCAACTAATTTTGTGCGTTATAGTAGCGCTCATACTGATTACCTCTGATCGGCGTAGGGGCCATGATCTTGAATATTCTGGAATAGCGGCCGGGAGGCACGACGTCCTTGGCTCTGCGGCAGAAATGGCCATTGGTAGTCAAGTTGGCAATTTTTTTTCGGAATACAGGTACATGAACGGAACAGCATGCGTGGCGAATTTGAGACCATCGTGCGTCTGCTGCCAAGTTGAACGGCCAACGCATCAGTCACCAAGTTTACTTCGAAACGCTGCCATGGTGCCAGGACTCATTCATTGGCCGTAGGCAAGATGTCACGATGATAGTACTCACTCGGCTTGCCTTCTCCAAGATGTCGTCAATGGTCATATTGCTCCAAGGATCATCTTGCCAAGTGTGCCTGCTGCAGGCATTTTACAGGCTGTTACTACAGCCTTCGTCCGGTATTCTCTTTGTCGGTTCAGCCCATGTCTTCATGTAGCAAGAAAAATCGGTTATGGCGCGAGGAGGCAGGACTGTCCAATTTTACATAGAAAAGTAACATAATAATCCTCGGGAACCGCGCGTACGATAAAAGCTGGATGAGTAGTACTCGGAGCCGAGTCGAATGGATCACTTTCATGACAACACCTTCAAGTTACTAAGCCCTAATATTAATAGTAGTAATCATTTCACGTCATCTGCATGACATCACCACTTCTCCAGTGTCCACTCGTCGCGAGGTCTCAGGCATGCTACTCGCCTTACTCGGAGATCCCACATGTACCATCCAAACAATGTTCGACCTCTCTTCTTCCGAATATGCAATTGTACTCCGCGCCACAAGCTCGTGAAAGCTCCTGCCACTGCCAGGCGGAATCACCACCTGTTCAACATGAGTGATGTATGGAACCTGTGAAGAGTAGGAAACAGTGCGGTGTATGCCATGGCGTTGTCTTCTAACGGAAGGAAACTTGGTAGATGGAGGAGGATGTTAGTTCTCCTGGTTCGAGCGCTGAGTCCAGTTTGTAGCTTCTCTGATTGCTCAGCTTGAGGTTGCATCCCACTTCTTTTCATCCAGTGCGTAGCCTGAGGAGGGTCGACTGCGGCCAATGATCTATGATTGACAGTTCCTGCTGTTGTGCTCTCTGCACATTCCAAGAATACCCAAATGACTTCCGTGGCATTGAGTGGAAATCGATCTTTGCAGAATTACTACATACCCACATGTTTACCGGTACATGCCATGATAGATACTCAACGGATCGTCCCGGCATCAAACTCTACCTGATATGTCATAAGGCATCTCATGACCATTTGCCGATGCTAGTAGCTGCTCGCAATCGCATCGTTTTCGCGCCAAAGTCAGTCAAATACATTTTGTATAGCCTAGTCCCCTCTAACGAAATGGCACATGTTGTAAATCTTGCAGGTATAGACGAATTGCGGAATGCGTAGTGAACATTGATTCACGTCCACTCGAAACAATATATTCATCAACAGCAGCGGAAGAGCTCATCGGGTACTCAGTATATTAAATTGCGACATTCTTATTCTCGTTTGGCCTCGTTTTATCGGGCCAACCGCCGTACTGCAAACATAGTTATCGCCGGTTTGTTGCAGCCACACTCGGGGTATCAAGCCCGAGCGGCCAGAGATGCTGTGTTAAAATCATATTTGTGTATCAGACAAATTTGGCAAGCGACTTCTTGGAGTTCCGTGCGTATGAGATAATGATTCATCGGTTTGGAGCTCAACTCAGGGGACCCATGGTTTGATTGTTGCACTGCACTCTGAGGTGTGTGGCTCACATTTGTCTTCTGCCAATAAATGAAATCATCGCATGCACAGGGAACGAAACCATACATGCAGTACCAAGTCTACTTCTACATACCTTGTGGACTGAATAAGCACCTTGTAATCCCCGCACGTCGTGGCGGTTGCGGGGATACCGCTAAATCCCGTGAGTTAACGTGCATTCCAACGGGAATGAACATAATTGCTCAGGAAATACGTTATGAGCCAGATAAATCAATTCATTTGATGTGCGTGATGATGGAATGCTCGGAGAAGATCATTCAAGCGGCGGGGAAGCACTCACAGGTGGTAGTGACACAGACCCCGTAAAAGAGAGGTACCACTGGAATTTACCGTAAATGCGTTGATTTCCGGAATTTGCCCAAGGTCAGACAGTGATTGACTCTATATCACGAAGTAGGAGAGAACATACAGACTAACGCGGCCAACGCGACGTCTGATTTTGATTCGATGGCCATCCTGGAATGAGCGATACTGATTAATTAATTTTGCTCAAGGCTGCAGCGCATGAATCACCAGAGTAATCCAACGCCAGACCGTCAGGGGCATGAGTATGAATCAGGCGACAACCATGAGGCTTGAACATAAAGGTACTCTCGCAAGTTCTCCCTCAAAAAGGAGGAATATCCTCTAATAAAGGATAGCAAATGACCTACATCACTTTACCCACTACCCAGGATATACAAATGAAAAATTATTCGCGCACCGTAGACAAAGACATGGACCTACCATGAATACGCAGCTAGGTGTGCCCCATCCGGCACCTCCGAGTCACGGTCATGGTCCGTTTTCGGACCAAGGATATGTGTCATCTTTCTGGACCACAGAATCAATGTCAGAGGGTACAGATTCTCGCATAGGTCAACCCCCCCAAGGTAGACTCGCTATATGCGCAACCTTTCCTTGAAACGCTCACCATGTACGACCAGGGTTGTCTTACTACGGCCCATATGAGCCCACTAGCTATGAGCCCGAAGCACAAAACTTATTACCTCAGTATGTTACAAACGCTGAGGGTCAGAGCTGGACGGCACTCCACGATACGAGATCGCTGCCAGAGGTTGCAGATCCTTACCTAGGTCAAAACCCCCAAGGTAAGTTCTCTAGTGCAGCCTTTTCTTTTAAACACTTACCATGTCCGACCAGTGCTGTTGCCCTACGACACCTTCGGGTCCGGTACCTATGAGCCTGGGGCGCAAGCGTTCCTACCTCAGCATCGCTTTGAGGAGCAGAACCTGTCGGTGCTCCGTAGACTGTGGGGATCATCATCGGAGGTTGCAGGTCCTCGTCTAGTTCAATACCCCAAGGTAAGTTGTTAACGCAGCTTTTTATTATTATTAACGCTTACCATGTACGATCAGAGCTGTTGCCCTACCCTAATTCTGGGTTCACTAGCTACGAGCTCGAAGTACAAGACCTCTTGTCTCAGTATGCCGCATACTCTGAAGGACAAACCTGGCCGGCACTCTGCGATCCGTGGGTTACGCAAACGCTGCCAGAGGAAGCGGGTCCTCACCTCGGACAACCCCCTCAAGGTAAATTCGCTATGCGTGCAGCCTTTTATTTAAATACTCACCACGTACGGCCAGACCCGTCGCCCTATGGCACCGAGTCTACTAGCTATGTGCCCGGTGCACATGACATTTTACCTCAGCCTGAGCACAGCTCATACTCTGAGGAGCAGACCTGGCCGGGTTCTTCATCCAGACACGACCAATTACCGCCTCCCCCCATGGTGCAGGGCCGCCAAAACAGAGTGATGTGCGCACACCCGGGTGCGGCATATTCCTTGAGAAGGAAAACCTCACTCGCCACATCAATGAGGTACACGAGCGGAAGATTAAGGCTCGTTGTGACTATTGTGGAAGAGGGTTTACGCGCCCGTATTTGAAGAAAGACCATGTTCGTCAGGGTAAATGTAGAATTACCTAGACTGCGTTGATATCGATTATATACATATTTATGCATAAATACTCACTTTCTTGTCGAAAGGGTGGATCCCTAGAATACCAGTGTTCTTTCTACGAGGCCACTCGAATGCGCTGACCATCTTGAACCTGTGCTGCGGGTCTCACTTGCCAGGCAATAGACGTTGAGTGAGGGAATGGATGGGATCAATACGGACCTCGGGTGACCACAGGCGTGTGCCATGGTTGACCGCTGCTACTACCATGGAGCCGGACGGTATGTCGGAGAGCGCTTCGAACGTGCGCTTCACAGCAGAAGGCTCAGCGAAAAGCCTGATCGCACCAATAATAGATAAGCGGAGTGAGCCCCCCGCGAACAGGGCTATGCCTGGCATAGGGCCTTCGACCCTAAAGACTAATAAATATGGGGGTTTTTTACATATAAAAAACTGATCGCAGGGAATCTGGCCTGGAGAGTCTGAATGGTTTCAAGTTAGACATATAACGAGTGGTGACATCTGCGGCGATTCAAGGAAAGTTGGTTTTTGGAAGCGATGAAAAATTAAACATACACAGGTAGAGCTTGAACTTCAAGCTTCGACTTTGATGGTTTCAGGGATGAGCTGATCAGTGACCAGAAGTGCCATGTAAAGATCGAAATACCGTATGGCTCAAGCGACTTGCTGGCTTTGGAGAAAGAGAATGAAGGGGAACCACGATCAGGTCATATTAATTTCTACGTTCTACAAGTTCGTATTTCCCATGCATGCGTTAAAATAGCTTGTCAACGTTAATAGGCAACGACACGGATAATGTTTTTGTTCTCTTACGATTCTTTTCATGATGCCTCGTCCGTGTGAGATTGACAGTGCAATGGCTACTAGCAGACAGTGTGATAAGGTATGTGATATCGTTTGGCATGATGCGCTTGCGGCACTTGGAGCCTATGTCATGGTGGAGTTGTCTAAAGCTTCATCTTAGTTTGGATTAATTGATGCTAAATATTAATTAATTAACATCCTGCATACACTCTTCATTCTAAAAAGATCCCAATGTCTGGCTGGAAATACTCACGTCTATACTACAAATCATTTGTGCGCTCTGGGCAAAATTCGTGCGGTGAAAATGAAATTCCCGAAACTATTTCGAGTACTATACCCAGCCACAAATCCTGCATTTCAAATCACTCACTCGTAGTTAACTCAGAGGTCTCCTACACAACCGCCTTCTACGAAGATTACCTGCCCAGTTACATGTCCTGAGACCGCTGATGAAGACAGTATCGCTATCTGGTTTGCAACGTCGAGAGGCGTCGCAAATTTTTTCAACGGAGTGCTGTTATAGTAGATAAGCCACGCTAAGTAGATACGTCTCCCGGTGAAGATAACAACTCACGCAGCTAATATAGGTCCGCTGACGGCCGGATCATTCAGTGCCTCTTGTACCATTGGCGTCGGAACCCATCCAGGTGCAATACAATTCACGCGTCCCCTCGGTGCGATCTTCACAATCTCGCTTTTGAGTGTCGTCGTCAAACCATACATCATCGCTGCCAGCGCTCAGCATATAGCTGATTCACGACAAATATAAAAACTCACCACTCTTGCTGATAGCATAATCGCCATGATTTGCCTCGCCATATTTGCCTGATGTGCTCCCGATGAGCACAATTGCAGCCCTGTCTTTCACGCTTTCTGTTGCTGCACGCATGTGGCGCAAGAATTCGCGGCAGACCAGGAAGCTCGAGGTGAGGTTTGCGCCGATGGTGTGGTCCCATTGTTCAATGGTCATATCGACGATGGGTACGTCCTGGGGGTGCCATATGCCGTGGTTGACCACGATTACTGCCACAGGGCCGAACGGCGTTTCCGAGAGCGCATCGAACATACTCTTCACGGCAGACTCGGAGGAGAGGTCTGCTTGGGTACATTGAAGTGCAGGGAAGCTGACTTGAAGAGTTTGGATGGGTTTGGTGTTAGAATTGTAATGTGCAGTCACGTTTGCGCCGAGGGCTGAAAAAAGAGCTGGATGTCAGTCACATCTTTGGATGCACAAAGACGATGGAATTACACAGGTAGAGTTTGACGGTTTCAAGGCCGATGCCTCCACTTGCGCCTGGAATAAGGGTAAGGGAATCATGAACAAGCTGACGAGGGAATGACCGCACCTGTTACGAGGACGTGAATGCTTTTCAGCCCTAAATCCATTGTTTGACAAGGAAACAAGGTCAGGCTCAGGTGAGTTATTTCTACAGTGGTTAATCCCACGAATTTGCGTTTCCAAAGCCTCGGAGAGTCACTGGTTCTAAGCGAGAGAGAAGCCAAGCTGGATTATGTCTCTACGTAGTATGTATTCACAAACATTGTTGCTGTTACTCCCGCATGTCTAGGGAAGCATTTGATCTTGATGCACCTCGGGCTGGTCGTCGTGTTTTGCCACCTAATAATTCGTTATCAAAGACGTTTATCTCGAGTCGAGTGTTCCAGCTGCTGTCTTGACCGGGAAGGAGAGATAAGCTATTTGGGGTGACACCTGTGCATGTGGAAACGCAAAGTTGAATTTGCCTCCGCTGTCAGCTGCCGTCCCGTCGGAGCAGCTATTACCATAAGTGATAATGCCGGCGGTAGTTCATATTAAGGAATTGTGCCTTTGTTTCGTATGGTACGATAATTGCAGCTGGCACTTCTCCACAGTCCTTTACCACACCAGTACGACCACTACGCTTGCGACGACGGCTAAATTGCTAGAAAAAAATAAGAACTTCGAATTTAATAAAATTCCTACCGTCACAACCATGCCTCGTGTGCCGTCTGGCGACGCCTCATTTATCCATACGCTCGATGGTAACTTCGTTGACAACGCTGGTCGTACCCTTCTGCTGCGTGGCGTGAACCTGTCTGGCTCCTCCAAAGCACCCGTGAACCAGCCTTCCCAGGTCCTAGATGGATTTTGGGAAGAAGCAAAGATTGGCGGCGAGAGCTTCATAGGCCGGCCGCTAAAGCTGGATGACGCGGACGAGCACCTCACCCGCCTGCGGGGTTGGGGTTTCAATATGCTGCGCTTTCCTGTAACTTGGGAAGCCTTAGAGCATGAAGGACCGTGAGTGCTTAATCAATGTGGTCTCTAACCTGTGATGACAGTGGTCTCACCAGAGGGAAATATGACCATGATTTTATGGATTATACAATAGAAGTACTGCGGAAATGCAAAGCACACGGGTTCAAAGTTTATTTGAATCCTCACCAAGATATCGTAAGCTTCCTCACAAAAAACATTACTACGTTCTTTAACTTGCCATTCAGTGGTCTCGTTTTTCAGGCGGTTCCGGAGCACCCTATTGGACACTCGCTGCATGTGGTTTAAATCCATGTGCATTCAGTGCCACCCAAGCAGCTATAATTCACTGCGAGTATCCCACTCCCGCGTCCCGCAACCCCGCAGAAATGCCTGCCATGATATGGTCAACAAATTATGGCAGACTCATCTCGCAAACCATGTTCGCGCTCTTTTTCGGCGGCTCAACGTTCGCGCCAAAATGCATCATTGATGGGGTCAACATTCAGGAATACCTCCAGACGCACTTCGCAAATGCTTTTGCAAAGTTAGCAGAGCGAGTGGCAGCAGCCGGGGACCTTCTTGACGAAGTTGTCATCGGTTGGGATAGCATGAACGAGCCAGCAGAAGGGCTCATTTCATGGGGTGACCTCAATGCATATCCGCAGCAACAGGGTTCCACACTCAAGAAAGGCACCGTCCCATCCCCGGCGCAGAGCTTCCGTCTCGGTATGGGCCAGGTCCAGACGCTTGACAACTACTCTTTTGGCTCCATGGGTCCAAGGCGTGATGGCAGTGTCACCATCGACCCCAATGGTGTCAAGGCATGGGCCGATCCCTCAACGGAGCCAGGAAACGTTCACCCGCGCTGGGGCTGGAGACGTGACCCTGGTTGGACGCTCGGCAAATGCATATGGGCTTTACACAATGTATGGGATGTGGAGAGTGGATACGTTCTTCAGCCCGACTATTTCGCACATATTCCAGGAACGGACGAACCCGTCCATTTTCTGCGCGCCTTCTTCCTTCCCCAATACACCCTTTACCTGAAAGCAATTAGAGCGCACCACTCACGAGCCATCGCGTTCGTGCAGCCACCCGTGTTTGCACAGCCTCCTCCGATACCTGAGGAGCTGTTGCAGGGTAGGGCATGCTATTCGACGCATTATTACGATGGCCTGACTCTCGTTACACGCCACTGGAATTGGTTTAACGCTGATGCCCTTGGTCTCATACGAGGAAAATATTCAACGCAGATACAAGCCCTACGTGTAGGTGAACGCGCCATACGGAATAGCCTTCAAACCCAGCTCGGCTATCTCAAGGCAGATGCGACGCAACTTGGTGCTCTTCCATCCACTGGTCCAGCGCGGTACCCAACTATCATTGGAGAGATTGGGACACCTTTCGATATGGATGCCAAACGCTCGTATGGATACACTGATGGAGGCAAGTACAAGGGTGACTACTCACGGCAAGAGCGTGCACTTGATGCAAGTTTAAACGCGGCGGATGGCGAGAACTGCTTGAACTGGACAGTATGGACATACTGCTCCGATAGTTCACACCCGTGGGGGGATGGGTGGAATATGGAGGATCTCAGCTTATGGTGTAGCGATGACCAACGTGCAGGCGAAGCGGAAAGGGTTCCAGCCCTGCGGATACCCTCTAAATTTTCAATGGGTTCATTAGCGCCAGCACAAGCGTCGACCTTTACAATCTCAACTCTTCCAACGTATTCTTCACCTTACGCCAGCTCTAGCGTCGAAGAAAGCGAACCTATGCAGTACGAATCCGCCTCTCTCCTGTCGTTCCTTACAAACGGCGCTCGCGCCGTACGTGCTTTCTGTCGGCCATGGCCAATAGCGGTCGTTGGTACTCCTACGAACATCCAGTTCGACATATCCAAAGCGACCTTCCATCTTACTCTCAAGGTCAACGCAGAAGATATACCTGTTAACGATGACGATGACCTAATACCAGGAAAGAAAGGATTGTGGAAGGATAGTTCCTTGCCCACTGAAATTTTCTTGCCTCTCGTCCATTTTGCCTCGGACACTTGCTTAGGCAAAGCTCTCGGTTCTAACACCCAGGACCAAGTCGATGATTCCATGGATATCGGGCAAGAAGGGAACAGTCGCAGCACATCGGGAACGACCACACCTCGTGTGTATACATCATCCACGCTCACCCTTCCTGTGACTTCCCAAACAGCGCTGTCGCCAGTCATATTCAAGGACGACTGGTACGATATCGCTGTCACTGCATCCGAGGGCCGAGTGGAGCTTCTCGCGTCGGAGCAGAAGCTTCTCTGGTTTTACACTGTGCCAGCGGACGAGAAGGAGGACAAGGAGCTGACGATAGAGGTGCGCCGTTCATCGGGCGCCATCAAAGCCAGTGCGCTCGGGCTTGGGTATGCCAGTGAGAGTAGAGCGAGAGATGGGTGTGCCAGATGGTTAGAGGAGGCGGGGTTACTTGGTGAAGGGTGGTGCCCTGAGGGATGTTCAATTATGTGAATTGGCAGTCGCTTATCTTTATGCTTTCTTTCTTTCTCCAGACATCTAATGGGAGCGGTCAAATACATTCTTTGTAAGAGTTAATCAAATATACCTCTTGACTGCCTCTTGTACGATAGAATCCATACTATGTTGTTTTATTTTATCTTGACAAGCAGGTTAGCAATTCAGTTGAGCTAACTTTCAGGCATGACACGCATCTTGAATGGTTTCAAGTTTGATGAAAAATGAGGATGCCAGTGAAGTAGGGGACCCCTAGGCGAGGGGTGGAGTAGCATTATGGCTTAGTCAGCTACTCGGAGCTTTTAGTACTCTCAACCACTAGTTCTTACCTTGCTCGCGACACGCAGGCACACAGTCGCGGAAACACCGCTCCACCAGGCCAGGGGAAACCTTCATTTTCGAACGAGAAAATTGACTCCAAGTTAACGTTCTCTTTAGAAAATGAAACTCCACTAGTAAACACAAATCCGCATCTGGTTGTCACAGTTCACGACTCACAACTGCCAGTGGCAGCCTTGTCCTACGCATCATGACCCGCTCTGCAACACCATGATCTTCAATATTACCTCTGGTGGAGTTCCAAGTTGCCGTCAATGGTCTTCACCGCGAGACCGCTGCTAGTGGGTGGTACTGGGTACAACTTGTTAATACAGGTAAATCTGTTGTGTCCTGCCTCATTTTCACTGCAAGGACTTACACATAATGTTTAGATATCGGAATTCAAGGCAGACAATGGTTCGAGGCTCACCGGCACCACTGGAAGTCAGCCATACACCTTGGAGTAAACCCACTCACAACCTTTTACCAACGTCAACCTTGGCCTGCGTCATCTCAGCGTTCGGTTCATTGACTACGTAGGCGAGACACAGCGGACTTCTAGTCGACCCTTATTTGAGGATCGTTTTGGATATGGCCTCCCCAATCAACAAGTGCTTGCACGATCCGTTTCACCAAGCCAATATTATTCGCGTACCAGAGTCTCGCAAAGCTGGAGATGCGCATAGTGGATGGACTGAAAGCATACCGTGAAGATATTCTTGCGTCGCAGGACGAGGCCTACCAGGAAGAAATCGAGAAGGATTATTGTGCGTACTTGAAATATTGATGGTCCACAGTCATGTGCACTGGCTTGGCTGATTCGCACTCAGTGATCTTCATAAGGGTGGTGCACACCTTTGACAACTTTCTCCGCCTGTATGCGCGAGCTTAACCCATCGAAGTTTTGAGTGATCACGATAGAATAGATGGCTCAAATGGGACTTTTCGGGCCTTCGACTGGGCAGTCCTGACGGACAAGGAGTCCTGTTGGTGACTGCTGAAGATGCTTCTACGCGTTTTCCTGAAGCGCATTTCTGGAACCGTTTCACTAAATCTTCTACTTTACTGACCAGTATCTTCTTTCTATCATCGCCGTGAAGGTGTGCCATGCAATTGCTTCGCCATTTCTCACTTAATGACATAACATCAAGGTACGTCATTGCTAAATTCTTGTTCTCCATGAACAATTATCATTTCCTGCCAGAGAGATAAAATATCGGGCACTGTATACCTTCATTCAGATCAGTTTGCGTTGGAGGAGGAATGCCACGGTAGATCGATACTTTCATGTAGAAAGCTGATGATGGGGCTTGGACTCGCGCGCATCAGTCTTTCTCTTCGAACCTGATTGAGGACTGATTATATTCATGCATTCCTCATAGGATAGCTATGTTGTCACATAACAAGTGGATCATTGTCCTCCAGGTGCATCATTGGGCATTGATCCGCGATCCTATAGGGTATCTCGCTTGCACATACTTTGTGCACCATTCTGACTGAGTATCTCTGTAGATATTCTCCTGACTGCCATCTGGGTTCCCGGTACCGGTTGCCAATTCACGCACAATATCGCTGTCTGTGCCACTACTTTTGTCTATTCGATGCGTTTCGACTTTGTGGTAATGTGCCTTTAGATATATCAACTCGCTTGGGGCACGAATCAGGCGCGAACTAAACTGGTCGGGATGTTACTCTCCGACGGCTTAATATACTTTTTAATTGTTCATGTTCGTTTTTTTTCCTTCTAGGTATCAGAAAACTGTTGTTTTCCATGTTTGCAGTTGACTTGATCGCCACCATGTTCATGATGCTCAACCTTAATACTATCACGAGTGTCAATGCTGCAGCTGTTATTGCTTTAACGATGAGCTGATTTTCAATGACGGTGCTCATATTATTGTTAGACAATCGTAGCGGCGCTCGGCCGCGCCAGTCCCCGACCCCGCATGAAGACACTAAGACAAGATAGTCGACATCTTAGACCACCAAAAGCTCTGCCAGTACTAAAATGGTAATTGTTATCTCGACGTATTCATCCCTATTCGGGCACAAGCATTACATTGTTATTAGGGATCTGCTTGGTAACCCGCGCGGGTCGCAGGTACTACTGGGTACGGGTAGCGTAGATCCTGTGCGGATCCCTACCAGTGCTGGGACCTAGTTTCGGCTTGGCAGCCGAATGGTGGCGGGGTGGTGATACTAATAGGGCATTGCACACTTACCCAAACTAATCATTATAAAAACGATGGATGGTGAGATATCTGCACGCATTCAAACCCGCCCATTCCGATATGACCATAATCTCAGATGATCCCACTTGGTGGCCGCTCGTCAATTTTTGTCGTTTTTACAACTATTTTCTAGGTTCGCAGACTCTTAGCAATCTGGGTGCCAGTGGTGACATCTCAATATGTTTGACTATCGCTTCGCAGCTGCATGTTTTACTGCGGTGGTATACGACTGGGGTGAGGGAGATAATACCTTCCAAGGGATCATTAATATGTATACAATATTCAAGCATTAACATTCGGACAAGAAGTAAGTTCATGTTATAATGTACGCATCTCACTAAGAATGTTTTAACAGTTCGAACTGATCTTGGTGAGCGAGGTCTATATCGGAACCAAATAGAATGATGGAGTTGACTCGGGGCAGAGCCAACGTTGGTCCTTCATGACCGTTCTTTACATTTGTGTACGTTATTGCTACGGACGCAGTTGGCATGTTGCGCTGATTTCAACATATGCTAGGTACGCTACCTTGGAATACTATACTCTGTGTACGTTTGCAAGGCTATCTACATAACACTGCAGTGTACTAATAAGCCATCTCCCGCAACCAGCATCAACATCCTATGTATGTGTCCTCAAATACGTTCGCTCCTTCTGACTGGCGGGATGCAGTGTTTCTCCCTGACATCTGGATTACCGATGTAGTGCGTATCTTGCACCGATGCCTGCCATTCCCATGCAACTACTAACTACGCTCTTACACAGGGGTGAGTGATATTTTTGGTCGACTTGTGTCTTCAAGGTAACGACTTCAACAGCTGTGAGTTCATTTGAAGTATTTATTCTACCACCAAGTGACTGAGGTTTCAGGCATTATCTTTTGGTACATACAGGCATGGAACCCTGTCATCGTCAATGCCATGCTGGGCGGTGAGCTCACTTGCGGTTTCCCTATTGATATTGACTTGACTGGAATATCATTCTAGTCATCATGACTGCTCGGATAAATGCCATGTATCTGGGATCGAAAAAGTTATTCATCTTTCTTGTCGTAGTCTTGCTGGCTTCCACGATCGCCTCCGGTGCGATGATGGTAATTGCAAACCTAGGTGTTTCTGGGCGTAAGTTTTCATTATTGATGAAAGTCTGGAGTACAAGAGACTCATGGACATTTACCAGAGGAGGCTATCCTTTCCGGCTACCATACCTGCATGACCAAAATTGATACATACATGATGTATCTGACGTACGAGAGTGTGATATCTACTGCTGTGTGGGAGATCCTCACTTTGTTTCTTGCGGTCTGGATTGTTATAAAACACGTCCATCAATCACCAACAGGATCGACCATTGGGGACTGTTTCACGATATTAATAGAGAGTCACACGTTTTACTTTTTAGCGTGAGTTAAGTAATTTGAATGCTATTATATTTTTTCACTGAAGTTCCGCATTTGCTAGCTTTGCTACTATGACTTGCCTCACACTTGGCTCACTATCTCCGAGTATCAGGGTGCGCTGACCTATGACTAGCATCTGCAGCTGACTACTCTCATCATCTCTCTGCAGAACTCATCACTCATGGAACGTGATATTTACTTTGGCATTTGGGCAATTGCCCAGATGTTGCAGATGTTTGTGCTGGGACCGCGTCTGATCCTTAGCGTGCGAAAACATCACGCTAAGCTCGTGGCCAGGGCCGACGGGGGAACAGCCATGACGTCCATTGCTTTCCATGCTGGTGGAGATGCGTTGACCAGCGGAGATGCGTCGACTGGATGCGTCGACTGGAGATGTGTAGCACACAAAACGATCCAAATGATCGACCATGATACTGTGCGGGGAGCATGTATATTTATTTGTTTCGTTATGATATTTAGCTTCATCACGTCGTGTATTTTGTGTTCCGAAGTGATTTGGAGGATATAACTTACTGTACTTACTTTCTGCTACTACCTAGGACACGGTGTCCCCTAATCGATGCTTGGAGCTCGGATCTATGAATCTAGCTTTTGTGTTCCGAGTGGTTCCTTTGCGCATCGTCTACTCTAAACTTCCCTTTCCAGGGTTCAATTTTGTCCCGACAGTCTCAGCTGTATTTCAAACGTAGTTTACACAAATCCGAGACCATGATTGTGGTGCCATCCGCAATTTGTACTCTACAGCTCATCGCATTGATCGCAATTACGTCCAAAGGCTCGGAACGGGCTGGAACGGACCGGATATAATATGAACTTGTATGCTCTCGGTTGGCTCTCGGCTAGATAAAGCTCTCTCCATCACGATCATGTCCACTGCAAATTACGGAGACATCATAGAAGTAACCGCCCCTGCTGATTTTCATGTTCACCTTAGGGATGGTGAACTATCGAACCTCGTTACACCCCACGTCCACGAGGGTGGTTTCTATCTTGCCTATGTTATGGTACGTGCCGATCATCTCAGTTCATTAGACAACGGTCAATTTGATGATCACAGCCAAATCTGGTGCCCCCAATCACTACTACAGAGATGGCAATCGAATACAAGAAAAGGTTGAAGGATTACTCGGGATCATCCAAAGTGGAGTTCCTCATGACACTCTATCTTTCCGATGCTCTCCATCCCAGCGATGTCAAAAATTGGAAGGCTGCGGGTATCGTGGGCGTCAAATCATATCCCCGTGGCGTGACTACAAATTCGGACGAGGGAATCGAGAGTTATGATAAATACGACGAACTATTCAAAGCGATGGAGGTGCACGGCATCGTGCTTAATCTTCACGGAGAAATTCCATCAGATCACTCCAAAAACATTTGCGTCCTCAACGCTGAGGAACGTTTCCTTCCCGTTCTCGCAAACCTAGCCAACAAATACCCTAAACTGCGTATCGTTCTCGAACATGCGACAACTGCAGCTGCGGTCAACGCTGTCAAAGCCTGCGGTGACAATGTCGCATGCACAATCACAGCACACCACCTCGCCCTCACAGTAGATGACTGGGCAGGCCAATCTTTCCACTTCTGTAAACCTGTTGCCAAATTTCCAGATGATCGTCACGCCCTTCGAGAAGCTATCAAATCCGGCAACAAGAAATTCTTCCTCGGTTCTGATTCTGCACCGCATCCGAGCCTTTCAAAATCGACAGCAACAGCGACAAGCGGGTGTGCAGCAGGGGTTTATACATCTCCTATTCTTCTCCCCCTCGTCGCGCACCTCCTCGATTCGTTCGGAGCGATCGACAGGTTGGCTGATTTTACGAGTAATTTTGGGCGCGGATTTTATCAGATTCCGGCGGATTCAGACGCTCCGAAGGTTCTGGTCGAGAAGGTGCAAGGGGTGAGCGTGCAAGCTGAATATAGTAACGAGTGGAAGACAGTCGTGCCTTTCTGGGCAAACAGACAGATCGAGTGGCAGATTGTAAATGTCAAGGAATGATTGGGGGCGAGATGTTCGAAGGCGAGAAGGAACGACTGTCTTCGTTCGTGCATGGTCTGACTACGGGAGACTGGTTCTCGCCCACACTTTGATTCGAACATGTACTTAGTATATAGCATACAAGAAGTCCACTCACCTTGTGAGCCACATCATCTCCTTACTTGCCGACTTAGCTTGCAGCTGCGGGTTGGCACGCTCTCAAGGAGCTAGTCTTTGCCACCGCCTTAAATTAGCCAATTAGTATCTGCTCTCCACAGCGCAGACTGTGTCAATTGCTTGATGGATTTCATCAGTACTTTACCTGTGTATAAATGATATCGATGGCAATGGAGTCGGAGCCTTCCACTTAGGCGTCTCATATCAAGTTCTGCCAAGCTGAAGCCGGCACGTCAACATGATTGTTTGGGAGCATATTGTCATGGACTTGGACCACTGCTCATAGCTATCATCCAGACGAGACTCTCGCGATAGTCCGACATAGCCAACTTGCATGGATGACTTTGATCAAAATTGGAATTTCGCGTTAATTGCGTCACCAATACTTGCATCGTTCCAAGCAAGAGGATGGTCCTCGAGAATGGTGCATGAAGAATAAAGTTTCCCCTGACACACAACACAAGTGAATGTGCGCGAATCTCGGTACCTGAGGGCACCGGCAAATAGAGATTTTTACATCCCCCATGTTTAGCTTATGATCGCCCATGGAATACATACCTGTTAGTCGTCGGCCCTTACATGCCACGCCGAGTACAAGGAATGTAATTCCGATACATAAGTGCAAGCCTCCGGTAAACCGAAGCTCAAAAAGGTATAAACCAGCGCAAAACAGGGAACAAAGCTGATCCTTGCTTCAGTGACTCGCTGCCACCAATGAACGGATCGAGAGCAGAACATCATGACTTGATCAACCACGGCTTGTTGGCGATTGTCCAGTCATCGATGAGCTGCCAAAAATGCGCCACGACAGACTTATCAATGTGTCGTCTGTGAGGATCGATCTAGCAAGATGTTGTAAACCTGAATAAAAAGAGGGGAAGACTAAGGCATACCTTCAGTTCCGTGACATTCCAGTCTTTGATTTTTGTGTTGGGCGGGTCATTTGCCCATGAGACGTATACGCCTTTCACTAGAGCAGCCCACGATCATTAACGTTTAGAATTAGCTAGGAGAACCACGTACCGTGATGGAACAGAGCTCGGGGCTCACTCCACCGATACGGACGGAACTGCCATGCTTGACCAGTGGTCATCACGCAGACAACACGTTCCCATGCATCCGCACCAAATTTCTGCAATGCATCAGTGCTATCAACAACAAAGTACCGTTGAATGTCCCCGCGAGACGTAGACGTAGGTTGTGAAGATGAGGAAGGTGGTACACGCCGCCTGTCGATGTGAATAACATCCTCAGCACGGGAGTTGCCTGCAGCTGCAGCACGTTCACGCGCCGCCGAGGAAGACTCAAATCTACGAGAAAAAGACATCAAATGGGAGAAGTATTTAGTGTGCAGAGCAGAACGTACAGTGATTCTTGAAGGAAACGCTTGACGTTATGCATAGTTATAAGGGCAGTCGGAGAAGAGGAAATCATGATGATAGGATACAGATTTTCTGCGGCCAATTTAAAGTTTTGAGCAAGATGTCTGAGATGAGGACCTACTAGCTTTGCGGGACTGCATGGGAGTACCAGCAGTTGGTGCAGGAACTGAGGTAGCCCCAGGTTTTGTTTCCTTAAGCTTCTTCAACTTTTCAGAGTATATAGCTCGTAAGGCAGAGAAGTTCTGAAACGCGGTTGGTGAAACAAATACGGGATGAGATTCAAACTTACGTTCGGTTTTGTTCCTCGTAGAACGGTATTCCTGTCGCGCAGCTCAACTTCGTTCTGTTTGATCCGTTTTACAACTTCGACATCTTGTTGATCAGCAACGTAACGTCGCTTTGAAGGAGTGGTGGTGGTGTCAGCAGCATGCGCTGCGCGCTTCGGGGTGATGAGGGGTATGGTGGCTGCACCGGGGTGAGTAGGTGTGCCTGGAGGTGTTGTTGACTCTGCTGCTGCAGGAAGCTCGATGACAACTCCCAGGTCGAGTATACATGTCCACGCACCTGTAAGTGACACCATTCTTTTCAAGTCATTTACCTTGCCTCCAGCCATTCAACAATGCTTTTCCTCTCCGTAACACTCACGAAGCCCACTGCAAGACCATGGTCTCGAGCCTGTTTCATGTATTCTGCAGCAGGCGCATCGCGGAGGAGCCATGCTAAATATACAGCTTCAAGGGTAAAGAAGTCCGACGGTGAAGATGCAGAGGTTCCAGGCTTCGAATAGCGAGTTGTAGTTGATTTTAGAAGCGAAAGAGTTGGAGACAGAACGATGTGGGATGCAGAGAGAAGGGAAGTTGTCGGCTCAGAATTTGCGACATATGTTATTGAAGATTTGGTTTTGATCGCATGGCGTAGAGCCAATAGCGGGTCTGAGTCCATCATTGAGCTCATTGTGTGTTGGTGAACAAGAAAGCACTGTCAATAACAAGTCAATAAGTAACTCTTGAAACCCAACGGTCCACAGCGCTAAAAGGGGCTTACATAATAGGATTGAGCGACCCCTCGATGTGCGGTCGGCAACTTGGACGGAGAGTGAGAACAAGCTTGGTTCAGCAATCCGCAACTGCGACTGTTTCGGAAGGTGGTGTAAGTTGCGCTGTCGTGCTTGTCGAAGACGTTTCGTTCTGCTTGTTTACGTTTCTCCTGGTAGTCTATTGACAGTTTTCTCGGGTGTTGGTCTAGGTCCGACGGCTCTGAGCTGACGCGCGGATTCGGCATCGTGCTTCTAGACCAGTATCTTTGACATTTCACTTTGCTCTGCTCTGACTAGCAAGAATCTGGCCCCGTACCATACATCGACATGGCTACAGTCAAACTTGCTACCCTTGTTATTCGAGTGAGTCGAGCCATACCCTCCTGCATTAACTCGAGGTCTCAGTCCAGATGTGACAGACACTTGCCAAGCCCATCTCTTCACAACTAAAGAACCAGGCAAAGCAGTATGTGCAGTGGTTTAGCTTTTGTTGATTTTGATTTTGATCCTGAGACTTTTCTAGGCACGAAACCTTCCGTTCGATATGTATCTCCCTTGCTCAGAGGATGCATATGACCGAAGTTAAGCTGAGGACGAATATCCTCGGTGAACCGGCCAGGCAACATGTCAAGCCATTATCAGAAACGAGGTGTGCACTGCGTCATTCCCATATCCCATTCTCTTTCATTCGCATCTCAGAGCAGTCGAAAACGGTGCCAACACATTAGCAGAAGGTTTCCTGTTTTCAGTCGCCGCACTATTAATAATAGGCGAGACATGGCGATCGTCTCGAAGTCAGTCTAAACAGCGAGGTGACGTTAACGAACGGATTGAGGAGCTCTCTTCGAACGTTGCATCACTCACAGAGCGCCTGGAGAGAATCCAGGAAAGCTTGGGGGATGTCGAATCAGAACGTGCGCGGAATAATGAGCTGGCGAGGATTGTTGAGCGGGTGGTGGAGATCGGCCTTCGAGGCGGATGGGCAGAGTTTGAAGATACGCCATTGAAGATTCCCAGGGTGGAGCTTGCACCGACCTCGTCGAGGGTACCACCCTGACATAGACCGTCATGAGTCAACTTCACAGCTAGAATACCTGTGCCCTCTCAATCTGTGTAGAGGTCGTTCGAGTTCTTGCTCGGACTTTGACCACTTGCTTACGTTGCTAATTCTAGGGGATGTCTCTCCGCATAGTCCTCGCCATATCCCTTTACCTATCTACACCCGAACAATTAATATTATGCAGCTCCTCTCAAAACCATTTGACACAGGAAAGGACTTGCTGCAGTGTATGACGGTATTCATTTCAACACTGAAAAGTGGAATTATCCTTGGATCACGCGAGCCTTTAGAGAAGAGCGATCACACATAATTTTATCCCCAAAACTGCGACCTTTGTCCCTGAGTTCAAGTGTACTTGAAGTTGATATTAGCAATTAACGGTATTACATAATCGGGGACGGGCGCCCTACGCTGCGCCGCTACGTTTCATTGCCCACATCCTGCCCACACCACAGGCAGGTGTAAGAATCGAGCTTGTTCGTCCAAGTGACAGAAGTATGTAAAATATGCACATTCGATACTAGGAATGACTGTCTTCTTTCTGTTTATTGGGTGCGCGAGGTCCCACTGCGTGACGACCTTCCATATTAGTCACGGATGTCGGCTATTCACTTCACTTTGACCCATCCCATACTTATAGACAACCAATCCCTCCAACTATCATTCACCAGCATGCAGCTCGCAAAAATGCTCCGGACTAGGGTTCTAAATTTATGAGCAATGTCATGGCATAAATCCTAGGAGAGGTTTACCCTGATCGGGCGGGCCTGCCAGAATCATGGGTATGAACCTGCCAGGCCATCCACGAGCTCGAACCCACCAGACCTGCCATTGTCATGGAGCATAGATAAAAACTTCGAACATTTGTGGCCGATTCCACACTCACAAAGGATAGCAATATTCTGTCACATTCACACCACTTCTCTTACCATTGGAATCTCCAAATGTATAAGTAAGCTTACTTACGTTTCGTAGACGAGTACATGAACTTATCATAAATTCATCCAGATCGATGCACCAAATACCGTCGTCTTCGCGGCTAGGGAAGATGCCTGATCGAGATCCAATGAGACTGGCCTTACAGTCAGGTCTTGAATACCTTGACAGGTTAGACCGTCGTGTTCACAAGGAAATTCAAGAGACCCGCAGCTGCTTTTTAAAGCTTCTTGATAACTGCCAGTCAGATGTCACGATGGGGGATTCGGGCGGACATGATAGTACCGTCGACCCCCAGGCAGCACTCGGTGATTTCAATGCTATTCTTGATAATGTTATTTCGGCGTCGTTTGCGGCTTTGCGAGACCGCTTCTGCGTGTTACAGCCAGCACGCTATAGTACATCTTTTGGGGTCGCGGGATGGCTATCAGAGGGTACAAGCACTCCCCTTGGTCAACCTCCTCAAGGTAAGTTTGCCATATGCGCAGCCATTCCTTGAAACACTTACCATGTACAACTAGGCCTATTGCCTGGCAGCACCTCCAGTTTCGCCAACTATGGGCCCGTTGCTCAACCTTTCCTACCTCAGCCTCAGCACAGCACGTACCTTGAGGCCTTCTCAGTAATCTACGACCCGCGTGATACGCAATTGCTGCCGGAGGGTACGTATCCTGTCGATCAGGATGAAGTACAGGTCCTAGCAGATCTAATGGAGGTCAATGTTGAGAAAGCTACCCTCGCAGACTTGCTGGAGAGCGATATTGACATCGATGGGATTGACTTCGATCTCGAAGGTCCGACAGAATCCGTGTGTGATGCTCGAGCCGTTATGCAAGTTCCCAAGGTATGTTGTCGTTAACCAGCGTGGCTATCAATATTCCTACTGAACGTTCGTGTAGGACTTGTCAATCGACAATTTCTGCGTCCCATCGAAAGAACGCCTTATCATCGCACCCGGAGTAGTCGCTACGAGGGTCCGCCCCCGATGTGATGGATTTCCTCGTCAAGTATTTAACCCAAAGGACATTGAATGTCTCAGTTCTCCTATAGCACCTCTCAATGACGTGTGTATTAACGGTTGCGCTACGCTCCTCTATTCCCAGCTAAAAATCCCAACTGTGGACTGTGCTATATTATCCACCTACGATCTTCCGCGCATCCGTTCCAATGCACCTGACGAGGTCATCTGGCGCAACACATCCTGGACTCGCTATTGGGAGAAAAATATGTGGGTCCTCCCAATCCATCGACCATCCGACGTCGGCCATTGGGTAATCTGTATAATTTACTTCCGAACCAAAGAACTGCATCTGTTTGACAGCCTTGCGGATCAGAACCCTTGGGAAAGCGATGGAAAGGTGTGTTCTTTTATTTTTTATTCTGCTATAACCAAATGACCAAAACGTTGGTTTACAGGATATCATGAAGTTGGTTGGACGGTTCCTCACGGTAGCACGTCAACGGCACAGCGGCGTTCAAATTGATCTCGAGGGCTGGCAAACTCGGGCGTTAAACGTAGGTTATATTACTCACGCTAGGTAATGTTGCCCGCTGACCTAGTTGAATAAGGTTAACCCATGCCAGAGTAACACTTATGATTGCGGCCTGTGGGTATTGGCAGCCATGATCGCTGTGTTGCGCGGGCGGCATGTTACAGGCCTTCTTGAGGAACAAATGAGTGACTTTCGGCATTATCTCTGTAGTTTAGTCCTTTCCCTACCCGCACGAACTTAATGTGATTGTATTACTATTCCATTGAATATATTGATTCTGCTTGAGTCCTTGACCAATGAAGTTACCCACTCTTGATAGTTCAGCATGAGCCTCTCCTCCGCCTCTTGAATCTTACTCTTACATAGTATGTGACTTTTCTTGGTCTCCTTGAATGCTTTTTGCAAATGCTCTTAATCTCGCAGACGTGACCGGGCGTAATAATGGATCACTCCCCATGGGTGGGTAATTCGTGTACTGTAGACCTTGCGACGCAGATCAATTTGGCAAGTCTTCTGTGCCACGCGTGATTGGAGGAACGATCGCACATTGCATCCAGATGTTTACGTGAAAAATTGTGTACGTCGTCAGCAGCCGCCCTGAATGAAAAACTTGTTCACGACACTATGATTCCGGGAAATGCAAGGATCTATGTAATCGAGCCATGCTTCTCGTGCGTGCGATGCAGTCAAAAGGTTGTTAAACGAAATCAACCCAAATATAATAAAACTGCATTTCCTCAGGATCATCTGTGTGTCCTGCACCCACCAGTAGTGACGTCAATGCAAATGGGCATATCAACACGAGTTATCGAAACACATGGCCACGCTAGCAGAAACGGAGGTGTTACACTCATATTCCGCAGTCTCGTTTTGGGTCTGTGATTGATCAATGGCGAGGTGGGAATTGAAACGTTCGCTTCCGTACATGTACGCAAGACAGAGCACAGGTCGAGCACGCAGCGCTCATATATTGAGCACCGTCGGTAAACCAGCTAACTTCATTTTGACTCCTATTTCCAACAAGTAATCAAGACACTAATATGATTAAGCTTTTGGCCTGAATATAGAATATGTTGCGTTACGACTAACCTCTGTCTGGGTTTTTGCTTTCTGCCAGTCGTCACCTGATTAAGAAAGTTGACACGTAGAACTGAGATGATTGGCTGATGGCATACCCCACACATAGATACCATGCCGCAAAACGAGAATACCAGCGGCCCTGGGATACTTCTCCATGGCTTCTTTCATGCTGTCCTTAAGGTCTTCTTCGTTAGGCGTATTATCGATGATTGGGACCTCGAGGGTATCGAGATATGAAAGGGTTGGGCCATTTCCACCAATCCGGACGCCCTTGATCATCTTTCCAAAGATCAATGAAGGAAAGATAAAAAGCAAAATCTCAGTACCTCCTGTAAACAATATCAGTATGAAATGTTCACAACATAGTACTAACCCAACTCACTTGATGAGAAATTCTGAACATCTTCTCTTTCTCCCAAAGTAGTGTTGCCATCACCGCGTTCTGAGAATGAGTGTGTATACACGAGCTAGCATTACGAATCGTAAAAGCATTCCAGAAAAGCGGGGTGCATGCAGATTCTTTCAAGTTCAACTTGGGGCGACGGAGGAAAATCCTATCGGTATGTGGAGATGGCTCTGCCTGTGGATAAGGCAGGACGAATATATGTGAAGGCTCGATGCGCTCTTTCTGTACGCCTGAGGGGGCGATGTACACTTTATCGCTACCGAAACCTTCTCAGCACGCGTAAGGTGCAGCAGACAAGAAACGAACTGAGTACGAATACAGATACCCCCACCAGTACCGGTCACCCATCCCAATCTGTAGAAGGATGCGCATAGTTCTGATATAAGATTTGCAGGCTGATCATCAGCGATGCGATTCATGATCAGCATCGTAGGTCGAACCAATATTTAACAGATACGGCTCACATGTAGAGGATCAGTGGACGTTACAAGAGCATCTTCTTGTTCTGTGCTTGCAGACATTGTATTCGATGGTAGATGCCAATTGCCAATTGGGATCAAAGTCCGGCAATAACATAGAACTAGTTGACCCTAACCCATTAATGGTAGGTAGTGACTCAACTAGATAAGCTCGCATAACCGGCGGCTCGGAGGCTATTGTGGAGCCCATTATGCTATGTTGCTGCGCGTCTTTTGCTGTTCCTATCTGTCCTCTCCCACATCTCCCTGTTCTGCGCATTATGCATAAGTGGTATTCCCGAGGGAAATCTGGTCCAACCCTGTAATTGCGGTGTAACCCGGGAGGTCGCGTATACTGGATCTAGACTCGGAAGCACGGCCTAAACAGTCTTTAGATTTATGGGTCAATGGTAGGAAGTCCGGCAGGCATGAGCTGTGCTGGAATACACACCACGCGTGAGCCTGTACCGGCGGCAGCACCGGAGACAATCGGACACGAGCCACAGTAACTTGTAAATCATTACATATTGGGCGCACGAGGTGTCTACCACTGTATTACCACATACGCACGACAGCGGGCCATCTGGTGACGCAAGAAGCATAGCTCATACATAGCTAACAACCCCGAGCTACGTGAAGGCTCTTTAACTTCCGTTACCGTATTGTTGCACAGCCAACGCAAGATCCGCTTCTAGAATCCGTTATATCGTATCTTTTGCCTCTCAGGGGGTATTAAGCACGGTCACGGCGATACTTCTCAGTCTTCCCACCTGTGCATACGAGATCTTGAGGCGTGGTTTTACACTGGTTCGTTGTTTCATGTTCAGGAACATTTTAAGTTGTGTCGACAGGGCTGTACCAAATACCGCCTGATATATGACGTTCAAGTCTTTTACTTGCACAGCCTCATGAACTTGCTGTGTTCCTTAAATGACGTGTCGCCCATGAAGATATGCGCACATACTACCTTCGCTCATCTTTTGCACCATGCAGGCAACAACAGCGCCGACACAAACCGTCCCACCTAAATCATACAATTTCAGCCTGGAGAATATGAAAAATACGAAAATATTCAATAACCAACCAGCTTCTCCTTTGTACTCGGTGGTCACTGACATAAAGTCGGACAAGCGGACTGACATCTTTGATGCTCGTGGCAATCGCTTGTTGGCTAGAGTCGACAGGAGAGATATCCTGCCAGATACCATCACGTTTCCCGACAGAAACAATGGCTCTTCGATAAACCTCAGCAAATGGCTGCATAGAAGCAAGCTTGAGAATGGACAGTACGTGAGCTAGTATAGGTGAGCGCAGTCCGGTGACTGACGTGTACCACAGTCATATCCACTGCATTGAGACTGCACATGGAACTTACGTTTGGAAGTCAGACGCCGATTACCGACTTGCTGTAAGTCAACACGCGGTACATCGCCTGTGCCAGTCTCTGACGTTTGCTCTCGCGAATTACGTTCTGTCAGTTGTATCGGAAGGGTGACATGTCCAACCCTGTTGCGCATCTCCAACAGGGAACGCGAACCCAAAACTTCGCAGGTAATCATGCAGGGAGAAGCGGAGCTCATTCGCGACGACGTCATCGTGTCCTTCTTGATTCTTGAACAACGCCTAAGAATATCTGAGAAGAACATCGCCGTCGGAGGGGGCAAGTTCGAGCAAAATCGAACGGTATTGGGTACATCACGTTGACATACCGTGATTCCCTGGGCGTGGATCCACGTCAGGGGTCTTGGGTCTGGAAAGCTATAGATTTTTGTGGGCTAACGTGCACTGGTTCGCAGCTGAAAGAGGATACCATTTTTTGGGATTGTATACAGGGACGCACGAACAGGCTTGAAGAAATGCGTGCCAAAGCTTCATCCATATATTTAGTGTAAATAAAATTATCGTCGATCGCCCAAGTTGAGCAGGCGAAAGCGCACCCAGGTCCACCCCTGTTCATCCCCTCCAGTAGTTTGGTTTTATGAAAGGCATCGAGGAGACGATGGCCTTCCTCACTTTGTTTCGGACATCGATTTCAACCTCGGTGCCTTTCTTGTGGAAGCCAGACTTCACATAGCCCATCGCAATATTTTTCCCAAGCGTGGGGGAAGGAATGCCTGACGTGACTACGCCAATCAATTCTTTTTGAGGCGACGAATATATTTGGGCGCCCTCTGTATGGTGGTTATTAGCATCAAATTTACGAAAAAAAAGGTAGCAACTGCTCTCACGTCGGGCAGGTGCACCATCCACGATGAATCCCACTCGGCGTCTAGGAGGTCCATCTTTCAGATGTTTACGTACCCCTTCCGCTCCAATGAAATTTCCAGTCTCTTTACGTTCCTTGCCTGAACGTGCAGTCAATTTTACTACATCATTCTCACGCGAAGGGATTCTCACCGATGACCCAAGTCAAACCAGCCTCGACAGGAGTAGTATCCTCGTCCAAGTCATTACCATATAAACACATCCCAGCTTCTAGACGTAAGGAGTCCCGAGCACCCAGACCTGCCAGTTGCACTGGGGCTTTGCAGAGCAATTTGGTAACGTCTGCCGTTTGAAATGGTGGTATCGAGATCTAGAGCTTGTGAGAAAGCAAACCTTAAAAAAAATAGTCAAAGTGTCCACCTCAAATCCGTCTTCGCCGGTATAACCTCCCCGAGCAACGTGCAGGTTGAAACCCTCAATAGGCACAAATGCAGACTTGCCAAATGTTAGCTCACGTAAATCGAAGGAGGTCAAGCTCTGCAGATACTGCGCAGCTGCAGGACCTGAAACACAATCAGAAGTTAGAGAAACCAGCTAGGTCACGCTGACCTTGCAGCGCGACAAGTCCCCAATCCTCCAAGACCTCGTGCTCTACCTTTCCACTTTTTGCTCTATCACTAGTATTCCACTCTTCAAGCTTCTCCTTGAACCACGTGAGATCCCTGTCGCGTCTTCCAGCATTTGTCACCACATAATAGGCATCTTCTGAGTGCTTCGTGATGACGGTGTCGTCAATGATACCGCCTTTTTCATTCAGGAGAACAGATAAAGTAGAGGTATACGGGGCGAGCGACGTAAGCGACGAGGGCGTTAACCACTCTAAAAATGCTGTAGCAGTACGTCCCCGGAAACTTAATTTGTTTCAGTTTGCAGTGTGGCAATAGTGAAGGCAGAATGCGACCCACTTAGATTGCACCATGTGTCCAACATCAAATAAACCCGCATCGGTGCGGACATGAGCGTGACTGGCAACTAGAGACCAATCATTAATGTGATGCTTCTCAAAGCCGACTGTGGCCGCACCTTGGCCAACGTTCCCGTAGGCAAGAGGCATTTGATATCCAGCGAATGGTACTATCTTCGCGTCATTTTTGATATGAAAGTCGTAAAGGCCTGTTTTCCTCAGGGTCTAAACAGAGGTCTGTGAGGATAATGTTTGGACTAGCAGGTTTGCAACGACCTACTCCTTCTGTGGAGGTTGCTAATCCTCGGAGGTTGATCCAACCTGGCAAGCTACGGTGAGTTCGACATCTCGACCCAGAGAGAACAAAATGTCGAGCTGTGCACGTAGATAGAGTACGAACGGCCGACATACGATCCAAATGGTGGTCTAAAGTTGGTCTAAGATAAGCTGTGAATTTGCGGTCTTCCACCTCAGAAGTCGGGGTGGGAGTTACATACAGTCACTGACAAGTTACTATTATTGTGACTTGTACGCTCTACTCTCACAACTCACCACCTTCGCAGATTCGTCAACTTGATCAGCTGCATACATCATAATACCATGCTCATATATATTTCGTACGCACAAAGACTGTAGCTCCCGCTAAATGACGAACTTCAAGATGGCCACCAGCGCCGGGATAACCCTTCCGAATCATTCAGAATCTAGTCCCTAGACAGCCCATTATAATAGACGGAGGAATTCGAAGATGATCGTCCCTAATCAGAACCAGTCACTTAGTGATTGCGCTCAATGTCCCCCGGAGGAAATTTGTGAAGCCGTTGCTTGCGAAGTCATCATCAGCATCCAGGATTTCAAGTCCTGAATCTGAAACTCGATATTGTTATGGATGTTGGAGACCGACTCACAGGACTCTTGCCGGATGATAGTTGATACGTGCCCAGATCATCATGATCATCCGAAAAGTTCTCGTGAATGACAGCGAACTGGTACAAAGTACGTATTACTACTCGATTGAGATAAAAACACTAGTGACTAGTGACATTTGTCGTTTCTCATGTTCAGTCAGATTCACTGATGCCATTGACACTTCTCAGGCTTGTCTTAGACATCGATTCACCATGGACTCTGCAGCGACGCTCGTCAACCCCACTCCGCCTACACCCTACTTCATGACCAGTACTAGTCTAAAGAACGCCACATTTTACGCGCAACCTGGTATCCCACTGTACACGATCACCAACGATGGGAAACAGACAATAGTCAACGACCGTCGTACTCCTGGTCGGATTGTTGCCATTTTCCACCAACGAGAATTTCTCCCAAATACTATTTCATTTCCAGAACGGAATGGTAGCGCACCCATCAGCGTGCAAAAATGGCTCCGAAAAACCAAGCTTGCAGACGGAACGTAAGCCGTGCTTTGCTTGCAGAACGACCTTTGGAGAGTTCATGAGCTAGCTACTCTAGAATTGCTTTTGTCATGGGGACCGATTACGGGCCATATGCGTGGAAGATGATCTCAAGCCATCGTCAAAAGGTGAGTTCTCTTCTTCACAAAAGTGTCTTTCCTGACCACTGGCTCCGTCCTGCAGGTTTACGCTCAATGTGACTTGGACAGACCAATAGCATCATGTTCCTTCCATACCACAGTGTCAAATGGAAAGCCTGCATTTTTACTGGAATACGATGCAGAGCCTTTGCGTGAAGATATTCTGGTGGCTTATCTGCTTCAGAGACAACGAGTAATGTCAGAAGACAGGCTTATTGATGTCTTTGTAGGATCTCCAGCAGGGTAGACAAGATTTCATAGACGCTGTCATAGGGTTTAGGACATCTCGACAGAAGTACAGCTTACTTATCTCACTAAGACCTGCTCGTGCATATCGTACATAATTCAGTTTCTCGACTACTTATCAATGGTCAGGATGCTATCGATGATCGTGGGACCGACTTGTCTGCCTGTAAACTCACCACCAGGGTATCGATTTACAGGGTTTCCCAACAAGGCAATGCGTTCTCGTCAGTAGGCACATGCCAGGAGCGAGCTCTTAAATGTTTGTCCATGCCAGCGCAGCACAAATTGAAGTATTTCAAATTTCTGCAGGTCCCCAGCGTCAGTCTTCAACGGGAAACATTTCGTATTCCTACTCGCATTTTATGTGGTCACAGCTGCATTAATATGCTTCCCTACAAGATTCCGTTAGTAACGTTGGACCTTGAATACGAACTGACCCTCCAGTACTTCCGAGTCATACTTGTAATACGATGATCAAGGTGACTGTCAATCTTTCGCAGAATGACATGAATAATTAGTATTTCCATGTCAATCATATGTTATACTCCATGCTGCGATATATTATGGCCATGGAAGATATCTGGGCAGATATGAGCGAGAACTCCGAGTTGACCCCTAGAAGAAGCGCTTCATCAAGAACCCTAACCCCATTTTTAGGTTTCCCTTCTCCGCAACTTTGCAAAAACATGGACATCCAAACAGCCATCTAATACGACCATGTCATCCACAGCTCTGCGATTGATCAGCATCTCATGCGAAGAAGGCCTTGATGGCGTTGACGGATCAGCTAGATTCTCCTTCCGCCCTTCTTGTTCAGCTCTTGCTTCAGTCAGTGGTCCCATTGCAGCCCGCCTAGCTGCTGAGCACCCTGCTCGCGCAACCGTCGAAGTGCACGTCCGTCCGCTCTCATCAGTGCCAGGAACTGCAGAAAAATCTCGTGGAATGGCCATACGAGAGATCGTGGAACGCTCGTGTCTTCTTGCGCAACATCCTCGCACTCTCATTCAGGTTGTCGTTCAAGCCTTAACGAATCCGACTCCTGGTTATGCCTTCTCGCAGCCGAAATCAATGCATGCACACTTGCTCTTATTAACGCCGGTTCAATCGCGATGCGTGGAGTAGTTTGCGCGGTTTCTGTCGGTAGAGTGAAGAAGGGGAGCGTGGTTTCTGTGGAGGTTGACATAGCGGATGATGCTGTGCTTGAGGGAGGTGGATGTTTTGCTTTCCTGTTTGGATTTGCCTTGTCAGGACCGATAAAAGGAAGTGCTCCACCTTGTGAAGATGTTTGGTCAACTTACAGCGCTCGCCTTGGGTCGTCTTTTGATCAGGCTGAGCTTGTAAGGGCTAGAGAGGTGGCACGGGAAGCTGCAGCGGAGGTGTGGCAATGCATGAAAAATAGCATACGCCATCAAAAAATGATAGGAGAGACACAGTCACCAGAAGAAGTCGTTGTCAAGATGGAAATATAAGTGCCGTCGAACGAGGGGTTGTACATAGAAATTGTGTGTATCCCCTGCTCTATTCACTCCGTTGCCGTTCAAGAAGCCAGCTCTTCTAGACTTCATATCAAATTGCTGGCGTTGACTTGAAAAGTTGCATTCATTGCGTCCTAACAGCTTTGCGCTGCACGCCTGCTCTTGTGATTGTGACATCTTTAGCCCGCGGCGTTTGTTTCACAGGAATAATATTAACGCCGTTTGTGTAAAGACTGCGGGTGCCGTATTTCCGCTGCTTTGATTGTGCATCAACTACAGTCTGCCAGGCATGCTAAGCGTTTTACGGAGTTCAGGGTATGTTCACTCATATGGTCTGCCGATGATGGTAGGCATCTTCTGCAGCGGTACCTCGACCCTCGTCTGTCGAGCGCTGAAGCCACGTCCTCTGGCCTCTCCGATGAATTGGCAACCGTATTCAAATGAACCCCGAAACTCGCTAATCAATTTGCGTCACACGAAGCGATGTCCCGTACGACTTTTGCCACGCACTATTTACAATGAGTCCCACCACCTCCAACAACATGCGAACACCGGGCTTACCCTAGCCTCTAGGCCCCAGTGGTAAGCGTTTAGATAGCTGGGATGCGGCACTTTCTTAGTACCCTATCTTGCTCACAGGTCTGTATTTGAGACTGTCACGTCACAAGATGAGATATTTTTGCAATTAATGTCGCATCAACGGCACGGCCTGCCGCGTTCAGTATCTCTGGCACATGGGTGTCATATGTACGACGTTACAGATACCTTTAACTTTATTTCAGGGTTTCACTTTTGAAGTGAGGATAGGCGCGAGGCTGGAAAGATACGATGATTGATTCCCATACCTTAGATAAGTAACTCTACACTGTTTGAAACTCTTGCCATCTCAGGCTTGTGTCAGAGAAGTGCTGATCATTTGTGGGGCAGCTCGGATCATCATGATATAAATGTCAGGCGCAGGGATATTGAGCCCACCAGTCAAATCTTGTACATCGATAACGACTTTGCAAACAGCGACTTCGACCTATCCAGGAACGCCGCATGGTTCCTTATGAACTTCAAATATCATATTGCCCAAGCCCTTGCTATCGTTGGTCTGAGGAAGATTTATGATTCACGAACCCATGGGGCCCAAACCCCGCATATGCCCCATGGCACGCCGGTATTTATTTATGTAAGTTCCCTACCATAGGCCCACCGAAGTCAGATATGAGTCACGTAACTTGCAGGTCAGACACCTCAACATGCGTACCCACCATGCCCTTGACGCTTGCAAATCTGTCGAAGGCTGATCTGCCTTGAGGAATGTCCTGATGTGACACTGAGAATCAGCGTTTCTTGGGCTGTGACAATAATATGATATCGTAACCTGAGCACACTCACCACTGGGACATACAACGGACATGAAGCATTACGAGTAAATATGGAAAAGTAACACGCAAACTACAGGAACCCGAGCTTGACGGCGGGTACCCCCCAGTAGTACTACAGTAAGGAAATATAACCTCATCATGTCCGGTTCGTGCAGTGCTAAGACTAAAGTACCTAGGGGTCAAGATTCGTAAGGTCGTAACAAGTGAGCATGCTCAGAACTCTAGTTCATTAACGCGAGAGCGTAGTTTTTCCATAGTGGGACGTTGTTGGGGGGCCAACCAACATTGCTGGATTACGCTCCATTGAGTATCATTAACGCAGGAGCTGTCTGGGCGCAATGGCTCGACACCTGTAGATATCGCAAAGAAGACCTGTGTGTCACGCTGGAAGTAATGATAAGGAACTTTGCCAGAAAGGACCTAGGGCGAGGCTGAGGACATGTCCACTGAGACACAAATATACGCACTTGGAGCATAATACATCCAAAGGAATATATGTCACCTTGAGTACTAGGAAAGCCTATAGAATTGCCTGACTCGTCGGGAACTTGGAAAAGCTCTGGTCCGATCCATCTCACCGCTCCTCCAATGGAAGAAGAGAAATAAGACTCGCTAGAAAACTCCAATAGTAGAGCTGCCATCCCAAAGTCAGCCACACATGCTCGTCCGAGATCGTTGATGAAGATATTCGACTAAAGCGAGATATTAATGTCGCCCAATAGAATGGAGTGATCCATACCCCAGAAAGACTTCCGTGGATAACGCCATGGTCATGCACTGTCAGAAAGGCTTAAATGGGCGCGAGCAATAGAGGGAAAGTTAATACGTACGATAAAGAACTGCGGAAATGACTTCTAGGAGCTGCATAATCCGGTGAAATGAGTCAGCAATTGTGACAAGTGTGATGGCCGCTCACCATTGCCTTTCGAGTTGAGGCAGTGATTTGATGGTGGTTTTGCTCCAAGAAATGTGTTAGAGTGCCATTCTTCATCCATGGGCATACCAAGGATGGTAATGGGCCAAATCCAAGTGTCATCCCGAAAATTGGTATAACATTATCGTGATCCAACCCCAGCCACCCTTCAATTGCTGTACTCAGTCTCTGTATTTCAAATTGAGCACACAGCAGGAAGTCCAATTCCAAAGACTTGCCTTGCTCTTTCCTTCCCTGTCCAGATCACTTCCGTGCATCCTAATAGATTTAACTGCTACCTGTGGTTTGCCAGTTAATGTATTTCAAAATGCTATTGAGATATAGATACCTCGATGGCCCCAGAATCCTTCCTCCAGCTGCACTTCCACACATCACAATACCCTCCGTATGCTGTAGGGTAGGATCCCTTTCCTTCTATTTGTCCCGTAAGAACACCACTGAACAGAACAGCGTTACATTAGTGTGGAAGCGAGTAGAAACAAATAATACCTTCTTGTCTGATGGTCGGCGGAATATGCCTAATTCGAATGCAATGCACGTCAGCATATTATGGAAAACTTGAAGCTATACGAACGACTAAAGATGTGCTGGTCGAGCTTGAGCATATTAAAAAAAAGTGAAACTTGCCTGATTTTGCCACAAGCCCGAGAGAGGTAGCTGTCGGAGGAATCTCACAATGACGGCTCCAACCCATGACTGAATTAAAGGACGGTCGTCGCGATCAGACATTGCAATAAGAGCAACTCCCAGCGCTTTGGGAGTTAAAGGTTCGAGAAAAATGTCAACGTACGTTACACGTACTTATAGTAGTTACCAAGGCGCTTCTTCAAGCAGTGTGAACTTGCTAAGTAGCGTGCTTCACACAATTCACCGTGACTGCATGGCAAGCACCTCTGAATTCTCTTGGGGTACTACAGACTTCGTTTTGCCTCTATCTGCACAAGTATCGTGATATTTTGGGGTTTTGGGGTGGAGAATGAAGTATTTCAACTTCGAAAGCTGTTTCGAGTTGCTGTTTGGGATTCAGGAAGGCACAGCAGCGCACCTTCCCATGCCGGTGCCTGTTATCGCCGCGGTAACCAGCAAAACTAACCTAACACAAACATTGGTGCACGGTGCTTTGCATATGGAACAGTCGAATGCAGTAAAGAATACTAAGTATGTACTGCAACTACTTATAGCCTCCTAAACTTCCGTGCATCGTCCAGTTCCCTTTTGATGAATTTGGCTATGTCATTGACTGTTACAGATCGTTCTTGCTTCTTACGCCAGCAGCGTCTCATGAATTCCCAATGACGGTCATCAATGGGACATTCGGGGAGTCGTGGAGGCTCCTTGCCCTTGAATTTCTCATTGATGACCATAAAATCGGTCCAGGTACCGTAGGGTACGCGGCCAGAAAGTACCTGTTGTGGAGTTAACATCATGGTACTACAACATCATGGTTGGTTGACTTGCCTGCAGCATCACGCAACCCACAGAGTAAATATCACTTTTTACACACGCACGGCACGGAGATCCGTCTTGCAGGGGCATCAATAACTCTGGCGCAGCCCAACGTACATTCCCTGGCTTGCAGGACGTCAAGTATGAGTTTCCCGTGAGCTGCTCGTGCAAGAAGGAGAGGCCAAAATCCGATAAAAGCGGCTCTCCTCGTCCATCAATCAGTATGTTCGACTGCAGATGAACGTGTCAAATCCCAAACAAATATTATGGTTTATGAACGTACTCCTGTGATGTCGCCATGTACAACCTCTTTCAAATGAACTAGAAGTCCGTACATCAAAAGATGCCATGTGCTTTTTGGAGAGTACTCACGATATGAGACTGCTGATACCAATCCTTGGAGCTTGGAGCACAAAATACGTAAGTCGGCTTTATTTGGTGAATCAGAGGATCGAACAGGTACTTACAATGTGGAATCTCGACCCTAAAGAGAGATCCTCGTTATTCAATTCTAGGTAAGAATACAACGTTCCGTGCTCAACCCACGGACAAACCAGGGCTGGAAGAGGACCAAACCCCCATGTAAGTCCGAGGAGCGGCAAGATGTGTATATCTTCCAGGGTAGCCCATATTCTTGCCTCCCTGCACAGTCGCTAAAACATAATGAGATCGCGGGATCACAGAGGATGTCGACAGCTTACCCTACTTTTCTTCTCTCTATCTTTAACATCGCCCTGAATTCTGATTGCTTTCACGGCGACCTAGAGGGCAGTCAATAAGTATGAGACTGATGGGCATGGTCCAGACGAACCTTCATCCTATTCTTCTCAATCCAGATGCATTTCCATACATCGCTGAATCCGCCAATGCTGTCAGGGAAGGCACCCTTGTCCTTAATCTGTCCACTGAGATCAGGAAGGCCGTCTATTGGGTGAATGTATCTGATTCGCCATGATTTAGAGTGAAATGCCAGAATCGCCAAGCCACCAACATTGGTTCATCAGCTTCATGACTTGTGACTGGCTGTGACGCCGCTAGGTGATGCCAGATGTCCATCCCAGGTTGATCCTACAATGAAGGGTTCGATAGGCTGCTCCTGATAGAGGAAGTAGAGTTACACACCAAGACATCTGGACCGGACTCAAATAAACGGCCGTTCACAGGAGGCTTGGAGGGCAGAAGACGGTGTATTGCTTCCCAAAATGCAGACCACCCACGAGTTGGGCTAACTGGTGAATCGGCCTTCTGTTCTGACATCAGGAAGCAGCAACAGAGCAGTAAGAGAATAAGCGCAATACAACACAAGTCGTTATGCCATCTTTTATGCAAGAAGACAAGCCCTAGATCTAGTAGATCACTATGGTTAGCACGTTGGCCTGTAAAGTTTCAGCCTGAGATACCGGTGCCGGAGAAACTCAAAGGATAAGGTTCAAATGCAAGGAGCGCTCGCTGTGGTTGCCATCCCGAACAAGATGTCAGGCTATTGTTGATGCTCCAGCAATGAGGTGATCAGCACTGAAACAATCTGGGTAAGAGGAACGACAGCGCTTGTGAGCAGAGTCTTAGATAGTGGATGATCGCTATCAAAACGATCCATGACAGACATGCAAGTTGTTGTGACACTGGCTTCTTCGTGACATATTTAGATGCTCTAACGACATTCAGAAGCCATTCAAAGCGAGCGTTGGCCTCGTTGCATCAGATGATGATATCCTGGCACAGATAACCGATGTGAGTAGCCCAATTAAGGGTTGCGGCCATTATTATTATATGGTGCTTACCACGGAAGAACTTTCGAGAATATAGAGCTTGGTTCAAATGATGAGCAATGGCTTTTGTTGCACGAGAATAAGAAGTCAAGTGTGTACAGACAAACATAATGGTAAGCCAGCCTCAAGAGATTAATTAGGAAATGATGTGTCACGCTGTGAGAGGCAGAGCTGGCCTTTGATGTATTCATCTACCCGCTGCGACGATGGTCTGCAGTCCTTGGTGGACCAGCAATTCAGAATAAAACTCCAATGGTGATCAATGATGGTGGGAAACTCAGGACGCGACGGTTTTGTTCCGAGAGAAATTGCGACCACAACTTGTGCGTCTCGCCTGAACTCGGAGTAGGGTGGTTTTCCCGTCAATACCTAGCGCAAGGGTGAGACTCAGTATCGAAGGAACGTAATTTCGAGCAAACCTGGAAAAATATACACCCAAACGAATATATATCGCTGTTTGATGTCGGGATCATGGTTGTGCCTTCCTCGTCGGGAATTGCGAGAAGTTCGGGTGCTATCCATCGCACAGTACCACTCAAGGCAGACGTGAAATAAGACGTGCCCACGAACTCCACAGCTATAACGGAGAGACCAAAGTCGGATAGACGGGCCCTCCCATTGGATGAGATGAGGACATTGGACTGCAGATGTAATCATAATCAGTAACATTAAATTCAATAACCCATGTTCTCACCCCAGTAAGATCGCCGTGTACAACAGAACACGAGTGAACTGAGGCAAAAGAATCATTACCAATTATGCTGCAAAACGGAGCAGGACAATTACGGTAGTGAAGACCCGCAGAAACATCGCTGAGCTGTGAAGGCATGAATACGCCTTCAGACACATCATACAAGACACACCAGTTGGAAACGATTGATTATGGACAAATTTTCGCCATGGGATTCCAGATAACTTGAAAGTGATCCATTGTCATACCAGGGGCAAACCAGGGCAATCAATTGACCAAAGCCTGATACAGTTCCATACAGTGGGACGATGTTGTCGTGTCTTATTCTCGACCAAACTTTGAGTTCACGGCGAAGCCTCTATAATAATAAATGGGCAACAGTGAATTTTATGGAGCGCGCTGACGCACCCTACTTTTTTTCTTCGCGTCCTCTTCATCTAGTGCTTGACTCCTGATCGACTTCACAGCAACCTCAGGTGCGTCTTCATGAAACTCGGACACGCTCAAAAATCGAGATGGGCTTACTACGACAATGCTACCATTCCTGTTCCATGTACATCGCCATATGTCACTCAGGCCGCCAAAAGAAGTGGCGTAAGAGCTCGTGCGATTTAGTTGCCCAGTTAAATCTGGCAGGGTGTCCATTCTGAAGCAAGTCAGCCTCGATGCTGTAGTGTTTGGCTGTGGTCTCACTGGTTTCTTGGATCATTTAGATTCAAGTTGGGAATTGACTGTGGTGAACTGATGGGAAATACTCCAGGTGACGTTGCCCGAAATCGGAGTGTCTGAAGTATTTTGGAGAAAAGTTGGAGCTTGTGTGTTTGCTCCACTGGCCTGTGGTGTGAATTTGTGGTGCAAAGTTGTGTCGGCATTCTAGAAAGTAAACTCGCTGCACCAGACGAGGATCCAGTGGATAAAACGTCATCAACTGAGTCTTGATATCCGGGTGCAGCCAAAGTCTCAGCTGTCTATTGTAGGGTAAATTAGTTCTTCCATAATTCGGTATGAAAATGCACCAGAAGAATTATAATGGAAGGATCCTAAAAATCACTCACAGATTTGTGCTTTAGAAGCTCGTGTTTTTGACAACAATCACGAGACGGTCCATTGACAGTATCGTTCGGAGCATTATCATGGTCCGCGTTCGGGTCTTTACCGCCAGTGGTTGGATCTGAGCCAGCCAGCCTTTTTGAGAACAGAAAACAAAGAATGGACCGACACCAGGAAATCACAATACTGATGAAAGATGAAGAGGCCATACTGCACTATAGGTGATGTGTAGAAACACACGGTCAGAAAGGTTAGTGTACATATTATTGATTTTCCTTCATGTGGATTAGTGAAAGCCTGACTAAATGAGGAGGCCAGGTTTATTGTCACCACGCTGCAACTGGACCATATTTAACACAGGTAGTCCACCACATGCATCACAAGCCATCGACAGACTGCAGGCCAGTGATAGGAGTTTGCTGGGCACAGTCGAGCAATTACCTGTGATTGGCGGACAAAAAGGTCCATAGATCGAGGGTCCAGAAACGTGTGAGCAACAAACCCTAAGGTCTAACCTTCTACCGGGCATGTATAGTTCCCCACCGCAGCTCGCTAACCTCGATATGAACTCGCAACTTTTCCTGCCTCCCCTAGGTAGACCATCATGGAAGACAGTTGTTCCTTCTATATTACGTGACTTCTCTAAGTCAACCCAACTACGATGATTAGCGAACAAATGAGATAGATATTCAACGGACCTACTCAGGTGAATTTCCAAAACACTTCCCATAGAATTGAGGGCGCCGAAACGATGTATACACAGCCTTGCACATATTGAAGCTGCAACTCATATCAAGCTTAACTGAGACTGCCGCATGGTTACAACAATTTCCGCAATGAAAAGTCTTTTCTACTTTACGTACCTGCACGGCGAACTGAGCGCGTCCAATACGACAAAGTTGCAAGTGGGAAATTCCCGAAATGAAGCTGGTCGGATGGTCCCGGTGCTGGATACTGACGCTGATCAGAGCGCTGAGCGCCGCGGCTGCTGTTGGTTGAGCCCGGTTGCCCTTAGTCTAGGGTTAAGGTTACTAATACCCTACCAATCGATAGATCTTCCCACCTATCCTTTAATGTCGCCCACCACCCCATACGTGCAGTCCGGGGAGCCTCTCAATGATTTCCTTCGTTCATTTTGGCAGCGGCAAGTGGATGCAGCAGAGCAAGAGACACCAGATTACAGGCATCCTCCACTCCCTTTAGCTCGCATTAAGAAAGTTATGAAGAGCGATCCAGACGTGAAGGTATGTCGCCCTGTCATAAAACAATGCTGAGTTCTCTCTGACTACGTTCACAGATGATCGCAGCAGACGCGCCCATCTTATTTTGCAAAGCGTGTGAAAGTGCGTCCGTGGTATCTTTTTCGTCACAGAAACTTAATGTTTACATCTCTTCCTACTTCGTCACATAAAATTTCACACTGCTCACTCACCAAAGTTTTTATTTCTGAAATAACTGCTCGCGCATTTATCATAGCCGACTCGAATAAACGTCGAACACTGTCCCGTGCCGATATTGCAAAGGCGCTTGCGAAGTCAGACCAATTTGACTTCCTTATAGATATAGTCCCGAGAGAGGAGGGACTTACAGGATTGACTCAGAGTGGTACAGGGACTGGCGCCGTGGCGGGAGGATCTGGGTCGAGTATGACGAACTTAGTCGCAGGTGTACGTGTTATCAATACAAGTTGTCGTACCTCTCAATGAACTTCCATCTAGCCAAGTCAAGCTGCTTCTCATCAGGATTCTGAACACCATGCAGGCGATGAATCTGGCAATTTGCCTTCGGCAGTGGTACTGGATCAGGTAAGAATTGTGACACACTTTCTGGTGTTAGATTCTATTCTATCTCCTCCGACCCTGTTTTCTCCCACTCCTGAGAACCACGCTGTGTGTATAACGTTCTTACCCTTGCTTTTCACAGCTGCAGTCTCTGTTAGCGCCATCGAACGCAATGCACGCACCGTGACCCACTCAAGCATCCACAGATGTATACTAGTGGTTCATATCGTGGATTTGAACTAAGGTTGCGCCTGGTTGCGCGGGAAGGTCCCCATTTTAGCAGGTTCTGCCACAGCACATTGCGATAGGACGTTCAGCATTTGCTGTCATACCTACATCGATTAGATTTGCTACACTGCACTCTGCCCCTAGTGAACCAGGGGCCCCCTCAGAAACCTAATCAACCATGGAAGCTGAGGTCATTCCTGTGGCATGCTTCATTCCATACACAAGCGCTGTCATTGCAATTGGTCAACTATGCACTGCAAGGATGAGAAACAACGAGTAGTCCATGTAGAAAGATACTTATGGCTCAGCGCATCTAAACACTTCCATCTTTCATCCCAGGAAGTCAGTGACTATGAATGTTCTCCGAGATCCTCCGTCAGCGTGACTTGCAATGGTTCAAGCAAGATAGGTATTTCAGGTGAGTCACACAATAACACGGATGCTTCGAGGTTTGCTTGCTAGAAATCAGTGGCCATGGTCCAAAGCTTGCTCACAACTTGTAATTACGGCTTACTACCACCCCTTGATTGAAGCTGTGAACATCATGATTTTTTTTCCGCTGACATTCGGTCCTGGCCAGGTTGATTTAGCTCTCCGTACATATTCTGACGTTTATCAAGGATTAGATCTATTCAATATCGACTAAATGACTATAATCTGAATCAGTCTTGGACCAACTGCCTTGTGGCAGTCTCAGTGCATTAGGCGGCCCTACGACTCGGAGTGGTTAGTCCGATTCTGTATCGTCGTGGCGTAATGAGTCACAAGCCTCATGAGCAGTGGCCCTCATAGATACATAAGACATCGACGGCTATGGACTGGTGACATACAGAACACAGTAGCCGTGAACCAAGAGACCTCACATTAAAAATCTGCCGGGGCAGTGGAACATCCAGATGCGCACTAATGATCGTACGGTGATGATCTTTGAACTTTGACTAATTTATGTGGGTCTTTAACGTTTCAAGTTTCGATCTCGGGCCCGACACAATCCCTCTTGTTTCAAGGCTGTCCTTCGGTTGTCTTGAACGAGGACGACCAACGGATTATGATGTAAAGATATTACTACGATGCTAAGCGGTCCCGAGTCGGGACCCCAACTTTCAGACTCACAAGATCAATATAAGTACAAGGTGATTACATACTAGCTAGTAACTCTACATGCGGCTTTGAATTTCGGTGCTGTATGCCATTCTTCTTACTCTATCTGATCTGTTGGTTACTCATTCAGGATACAGTGAATCCAAATTCTGCGGTGGCTTAAGGAGATATAACGAATCAACGTAAGTGGTATTTGGCCGAATAAGAATAATACCCAATTTCCTGGCTTACTTGTCAACGTGCTCATGTATAACATGGAGTCTTTTACAAGTTGAACCAGCTCAGTAATCAAAGGAAGTGCGGCTATCGGCAAAATGCTTTTTCTGCAGGGGTGATAATTTGTTCAGTCGAGATGAGGATATCGACTTGTAAAATCATGCTTCAAGTACGTGTATTAGTGCTTCCTGTATCATAATCAGGGACTTACCTCCACAATTTCCAGCACTCCCGAAGAACGAGAGCTTCCATGCACTCGGATAGGCTGTGAATCGCTGATCGGGACCGAAACTTTATGTATTCAAAGTTACTGTGCGAGCAGGATTGGAAAAGATACGTAGCGCTCGGTACACTTTGTATTGCATTTGGTTAGGAGTTCCTAGGGTTTGTTGGGACCACGGCTGAGAGCATGGAATTCCAGAATTTCTGGGACATCATTCCGATAGGACACAGCTGAGACTAAGAAACCTCGAGTAACATTAATACGGAAGTTCAAGTACATATAATATCTAGATCCTGATTTGCTTACCGACGGCTCAGAGTTTTGTTTTGAGAAAACCGGGGTTTTGACTCTTCAAGTTGGCCATTCAGAATCTCGGACTTTAACTGTATGGAAGCAGTATGAATCTACGCAAGATGGCAGTCCAACTTTAAGTCAACACACGGCATTTTCCTGTGTTCGTGGAAATTTTCCATGGTACTAGCGCCAAATTGATTCTAATATGCAATCTACAGCCGTTGAACGTTGAACGGCCTCCAAGTACCAGTAAGCCTTGGACGTCAATATTTAATATATATAGGCAGGAATCTCAGTGCAAAGCCTAGCAAGTACTCTCATTCTTGTGGTCACTCCAGCTTGCCTATATAGATCCGCATTCATCAAGCTGCCAGAGCGATAAATGGGTTTCCTTTCTGCCTGGACCTTCAATGTGTTTCCTAGGAAATGGTGGAAAGTCCAACCGGAAACAGAGGTGTCGGGTTCGGCGCACCTGGATGTAGATGTCAACGATAATGGGTGAGTCTCTTGTAGAGCTCCGATGAAGCTGACTCATGTGACAAAAATTTCAACCAATTCAGACGCCAGCTGGTCGACCTTACCACGAAGGTTGTCAAGGAATTTACTTATGCTATTGCACAGGGCAGCTTTGGTGACGTGTGGAAATGCAGAAAAGATGACAATGTGGAGGTTAGTATAAGTTTCGTGTCAAGTTCTGATATCTGATGATAAGATTAAAGGTGGCCGTTAAATGTGTAAGGATCGAAATTCAGGATGACCGATTCAAGGATATCGTCAACAAGGTGGGCCAATATAATATAGAACACCCACTATAATGATATGTAAACATTTGCAGAGGTTGATCAACGACTTCCGCAAGTGGAAACCACTCCGCCATGACAACATTCTTACCCTGTGCGGGATTGCCTACGGGTTTGGTCCAGTGCCAGCTAGCGTGTATCCGTGGATGTCCAACGGATCCTTGAGCACATATCTCGATAAAAACTATGACGATCTTTCCATGACTCACAAGTTCGGCTTGGTAAGTCTTCCCCAATGATATGGCTGCACCATAACTCACGAGCGTTGCAACAGCTTGTTGATGTAGCTGCTGGCCTTCAATATCGTATGCCATGTCATTTTTTACATTGCATTAAGATAAGCTGATATATGGCGCATAGTCCATTCTAATGAAGTGGCTCATGCAGATCTCACAGGTGTAAGCAAACAGTGCGGTATACAGATATATGACACTTCTCACATCCTCTTAGAGCAATGTACTCATCGATAGCGACGGAAGAGCTCTTGTAGCAGACTATGGGATCTTGACTACATGTTCGGACCTAAGCGGGACCTCTTACATCAGGAGTAACGTGCGATGGGCTGCTCCTGAGCTTTTCGAAGTTCCGGAAACCGAGGATGCGCCTAGCTCACCGAAACTAGAAAGCGATGTTTATTCTTTTGGGTGCATCACATACCAGGTCTGTCGACGGCGTATATTTACAATGGGTTTGTTCTCATTTGTGTTAGGTCTTATCGGGCCAGCAGCCATACTATAACATTCGCAGTGATCACCAGGTGGTTGTGGCCATCCTCAGAGGTGCCAAGCCTAAGCGTCCAGATATCCCTGTCATTGAAGATTGCCATTGGAACCTCATCGAGCAATGTTGGGCCGAGCTATCACAGCGACCTCCCATTGCTGATGTCCGAGATTTGATGTATCACTATAGAGATGCTATATGTTAACTCATGTTTTGTATGATGTAGACAAGAGTAAGGACTCTGTTCTCCACGCCCTAACCAAACGAAGACGCAAGTTGTCCGCGTGTCTCATCGATGCAAAGAGCTACTCTTCGTACTCTTCAAACGCCTCATTTCTTTTATTTCTTGGACATGGACTTTTTCTTTTTCGTATGCGCACCTTATCTCCCTTTCATACTCGTACCCATAAAAGAGTGCCTATACTCATGTAGACGTTATCGAATCCAGTGCGTTTCAACCCCAAAGCCGACTGGGGCGAAACCTCCCCTAATTGTCTCAAGTCTTTCTTTGAAAATGCACCAACTAAATGGACGTCTCTACTCGTTTCGAACACATTCCCCGTCGAACCCCGTCCAGCCTTACGCAAGTTTGGCAATAGACTTCCATTGGGATTCCGTCATCGATTTGGAAGAACCCAACTTGGGGGATCCATGATTTGATCATCATCACAATAGCGAACGGCTTGAAAGCGAAACCCAAGCCAGAAGCGTCCAGCAGAGCATCGTGGGGCAGGCTGCGTCCTTAAGCTGCACCCGCTGCAGTCATCCGTCTCCTAGGACAAGGGTCTGTTAGCTACGGCGGGGGGGGGGGATGGCAGCAGTTTCAAACATGCGAAAGTTATCGTCAGGAGGCTACAGCTACCCACCACGCTGACCATGAATAATACACTACTGGCTGCAGTGAGCCTATATAGTATATATAGCCATCGAGTGGGAGCAAAAGTTCCGAAGAACGACTGCAACCGCTGGCCAGCTGCATACGGTACAGATCTTCAGATCCGTTGGCCTAATTAGGTACCATCACATGGACTCTTGCGATCGCCAACCCCTAACGTTAACTGGTCACGGTCATATGTCCAGAACTAATGCTATGGCAGTACGAGCGTTCAATTCGTCGAATGAATGAAACGACGATATTAATGGCATTGGTTCATGCAGGCTTCTTTTGTTCTAGGAGTGAAATTCCACGGTCATTATGAGTAAGACTATGACATAACGTACATCCCAACAGGTTCTGTTCAAGCTACATTGATACTAATGTCGCTTGAAACCAGATAAGTCGATTCATTTGCTGTACACGACGGGTGGAGCACACGGAGAAGATGATTCAAGCGCCAAGGAAGTGACTATTGTGGGTAATACTGCTGTAACCGGGTCCACAAGCATCTTGACTCTTAAATCGAGCGTAATGTGCTGATCGGGGGCGGGATTCGCTAGCCCATCGGGTATATGGAAGAGAACGGCATGTCTAACACGACTTTTGTATTAGACTCCAGTGGACGAATTCCATTGATTTGGAATGAGGGATGCCAATTATCCGTTCATATTTGCAAAAGCGAGGTATTCACTTATTGTTTGTGAGTGTCACTATCTGGTTCTAGTGCATGCTCACCTCGTTAAAAGACTCGGAGCACGACGCATGAGTCTACTAACATAAATGGTTCTGCCTTTCTTATCCCACTGCAGGTCTTGGTTGGAGAAGGTCGGGAGGAAGTTGTGGTGGTGGACAGGCCACCCGTCTGTCACAATAGCTGGTGGTAGTGAGATAGACACCAACAACCAGCAAGTCCATGATCATAGTACCCTGTGACAATGCACTACTCACGCGGCTTTTAATACAGCCTGCCCGACCTTACGGGATTCGTATCCAAGGAGTCGGCTCATCCAATAGCGCATGGTAGTTTCGGGGATGTATGGAAATGCACCTACATCCCATCCGACCGTCAAGGCCTAGAGGTAAGCATGCTACACGTATGGCTGTCCAGCAACCTGAATCTGTGACAGGTAGCAGTCAAATCCATTAGGATCGATGTTGCAGGCGACGATTCCAAGGCCAGACTTACTCAAGTACGTTCTCGGCTGGAATCCCCCTTGCATGTGATACACTTGCTCAAACCATAGCTTCGCAGAGACTCTTGGACGATTTCCATGCACGGAAGCAATTGCATCACGAGAATCTTTTGTCTCTGCTCGGTTTCAGTTATGAATTTGGGGTACTTCCAGCGATGGTCACCCCCTGGATACACAATGGCTCGCTCACCACATATCTTGAACACCATTTCATAGAGTTGACCCTCGAACAAAAGCTCAGGATTGTGAGTTGTTTCTCAGAAGTGCTCGTACATCATGATATTCATTGGAACTTTAGTTGCGACAAGTCGCTGCAGCCCTCAATTACCGTATGTGGAATCTTCATTAGTCCGTAAAAACAATGAGTAACAGGATTGCAGTCCACTCGAAGGGCGTTGTTCACGGTGACCTTACTGCCGTACGTACTAGTTGTTTGATACCCGCCTTCTGGCTCTGATCTAGAACGTCAGAACAACATTCTGATAGATTCGGATTGCAATGCCCACGTAGCAGACCACGGAATCCTCACAATGTGTTCTGAACTCTCAGGGACATCATACATCAGGAGCAACGTGCGGTGGGCTGCGCCAGAGCTCTTTGAGGTGGCCGAGAACGAAGAGCCATCGACTCCTCCACAGCCAGCCAGCGATATTTATTCCTTCGGATGCATCATGCTTCAGGTTCGAGGGGTTCCATGGCAGTTGTGTTGATTTACGACCAAGATCCCGTAGGTTCTGACAGGTCGACCGCCCTACGCAGATGTGCGAAGCGATCATCAAGTTACTGTGCTGATAATCAAGGGTAAGAAGCCTACAAGACCACCGAGTCCGCACGATGCAGATTCTTTCTTGGATTTCATCGAGAAATGCTGGAGTGATGCAGGGCGTCGCCCCTCTGCCATTGATGTTCTGGGCTTTCTAGGAACAGATCGTGTCACTGGCACTAGGGTATGACATAGGTCGACCCGAGTCATAGCCGTACCCGACCCGCGGGTACCAAAATTTCCAGAGGCCTACCCCCCGTACCCAGCCGGGTCAAAGCATTGCTAGTGCGGGTCAACCCGCAGGTGGTGCAGGTCACCTGCGGGTGAGTGGATATATTTTGTGAAACTGGCATGTACATGTACTAAACATCGAAACCATGTATGTACGAAGCTTAGCCCGAGTCAATAACAATCTCGCTCTTTCTTATTTACAGCGCAGCGCATCGCAAGGAGGGCGCGATGGGCCCCGAGTGTATACTTTGAAATTGAACTGCTAAGGGTTTGTGGGGCACCATTCGCATTTAGATCTTGAGTCGAGACACCATGCGGCTGAACACATTCTTTGATGCCCCGATTGAAGTTTTTCTTCCCTTGTCCAGTTTGCATATGTTTTTGGTGATGTTGACAGGGTAAGGGCAGCACGTAAATTTGAACTCGATAGTCGCGGCTGCCGTGAGCTTTCAAGCGATGTTGTAGGGATATCGCGAAGTGATCATATGCAGCGGAATTCCACCAAGCTTTGGATGCACCTGAAAAGCCAGTGAATTTATGAATGAAGTTGAATGAGGAGGACGGCTGCGTGTGTTCTTGGTCGGCGATGCATCAAGTTCGAAATCGCTCGTCGGTGTATGAGACTGCGGAGAAAAGGAAAAAGTCCACGAATGAAACAGTGAAGGGGGCAACATACATGTTATTTCGTCATCAGTGTTGTCCCAGATGTCGAGATCTGTGGCCACAAGCTTTGTTTGCCCGTGTTCTTGGCCGGCGAGGAGTGGAGCTCAAAAACATTGCCCGATGGTATACTTCGAGTTGGAGGAGTGTCACATCATAGTCCGACATGGGGGAAATCGATGCTAGTGTGTTGCAACTCCCGACTTGAGTTGTGCTATTCATGCTACGTGGGCACTGAAGACGGTAAGCAATAAATCTGAGACAGTGCGTAGAATTGGTTGACTTTCCGTAGGATTTGAAGTCCTAGATTTCTTTCTAATTATCGGTAGAGTTTCGGCTAAGTTTGAAATTTGGAATGGAAATTATCTTCAAACCATGACTCATTTGAAACACGAGACGAGCTCCACTATACACACGGATGAATTACGAATCTAGCACGATATTTTGGAGGATGAAGCATACCACGACAAGGAATTACTCCAGCGAGTTGCTGTGTTGGGAGCCTTAATAATTGCAGGTGCTGACGAAGCCCGGCAAAGACGCGCTGAACGCAGACGTCCACATCGCACATATCTCGTTCAAAGTGACCTGCTACCAAGTCCATCCATTGCTACTCCATGGCAGACACTCTACCATGCACGAAGTGGCAGGGCATTCATCACCACAATGGGTTTTGATGTCGAAAGTTTTCACTGTATCCCCGATGCCGGGGTGGTGCACAAACCCTATTCCTCGAGGTGAGGTGTCTTCGGTGGTTTCCGTTGATTCAGGCTATGCCGGTGTCGTGCATAGTCGCGGATTATGAAATCTACCTTCGAAAGCCAAATATTTTGAATCTAGAAGAGATTAGAGTTTGGAACGAGCGGAATGTGGGAACATCGTTTGATTGCCTAAAATGACATCGGCTCGTTGGCACAATCTTTCAGCTGTGCAGATGTTGTGCCACTCATATATATGCATGAGCTGAAAATCCGTGTTCTACACAATATCTATATCATCGCGAGATGCAGTCTTGCTATTCAAACGCGAAAGATAGCTGCAAATATGGGTTATTTGAACGTACCTACGAAGGAAAGCATTCCTGAAAGGATCGATCAAGGTGCAAGCTCGAAGACTGACTGTTGGCAGCCCATGGCTGGATGATCGAATCAAGAACTACGACACCTTGCCCTCGCCCGTCACGACATGAAGACGATCGTACTGGCTGTGATGGCAGTTTACCCAAGCCAGGCCTTGCATGAACACCCCACGATCAAAGAGCGATTTCAATATGGCTCAGTTGCCAATCTCGTTGATGGGCGGTTGAACGACAGCACAAGCCGATACAGTATGTCCCCACCTCAGAACTTGTCATATGTGGATACGTTTCTTCCAGATCCCACGTGAGAGTCAGGGACGCCCTGCAGGCTTTGTGCAGGCCCCATTAATATATGAACAGATAAGTGGTTGGAAACCTATTGGCGCAGGCGAAATGGGTTGAATCGATTCGGTGCGACCGCATCCTAGTTGCTTTTTCTAACCAAGACTGAAAGGGCTCCATGATGTACAAGCCATCAACTTCTTCGATCTGGCTGAAGCCCTCAAATTGACCGTCACCGAACGACTGACTTGTGTTAGCAATTAATGTTTTGTAGCCCGAACTATTATAATATCGCCAGTCGAACTTTCTCGAAGTTCTATCTCTTCGCCACGAGGTTTGTCTTTCGTTAACAAAGCCGCCGAGGGCAAATATTGCCTGGCGCAATTATTGCTATTTTCGGCGCTGCCAGTACTTGCTCTTCACATCCCCGAAACACGCTTCAAGATGTCTCATTGTCTGCCCGACATCTCTGCAGAAGTAGGTTTGCGCTCGACGCATATAGATACTGAAATGGGCGTTTGTAGTGAAGGACAGTATTCATTATCGATCTGATTCACCCACGGCATTACTTCGACCAATACTAGTTATGGCGTTCTCAGCTAGACCCCGCGCAGACGGTCTCTTTCCACGTAATTATTGGTGGAATAACTCTGCGATGTTGTTGCACTAATGTTGTCTGCATATAAGACTGTAGTTCATTAATGCTAAGGAACAGGACTATTTCCTACTGTGATTCCCTGTCAACGATGGACGTGCTCAACCGCTTGCAACAGTTCCTTGGTCTTGTACGTTTTTTGGCATTGTCTGGCGGTAGAGCGATACATTCATTTCACTCTAACAGGTTGGTCGTCACACTCCCAACAGAACTTCCGGTGCGGAGCACACGTATGTCATTTCTTTGCCTCAGGACAGGACTTCGTAAACATCGAGCAGTGGTAGTGCTCTCTGCATCGAACCAAGTGATATCCACAAGACAACTGACTACCCAACCGCCTCGAATGGTCTTGGAGATGTTTACAAATGTATATGGAACCACGGCGCAAGTTCGGATGAGGTATTTCACGGACTTGTTTATTCTGCATGTCCTGATTGTGACTTCAGGTCGCGGTCAAATCCCCACGACTCCCAACCATGAGTGATCGTGAATCTCTTAGAATCAACAAGGTATATTGGCTTAGGTCCAGCCTGACGACCGCATGTCTAACTTTCGAGACGCAGGACCTTGACCGCGAGATCCTCATATGGGCTGCGTTGGAGCATCAATATGTATTGCCCTTGTATGGCACTGTAGAGGGATTCGGCCCATTTCGCGCATTAGTTTCTCCCTGGATGCTGAACGGGACTTTGAACTCTTACCTCAAACATGCACACGAGACCCTCTCGTTGATGGATAGGCTGCAGCTGGTGAGTTTTATTGACGAAACCGAGTACGGGAATTCAGTACGTTCGCAACAGCTTAAACAAATCACCGAGGGGCTCCAGTATCGTAAGTGACAGATTGACTATGAAAGTGACCAATATAACTATGTTGTCAGTCCACGATCGCGACGTGATACACGGTGACCTCACCAACGTAAGTCCATACATGTCGTGCAAGTGGAATCATCTTATGGTGATTGTAGAATAATGTTCTGGTTGCTGCCGATGGATCCCCTCGTCTGGCAGATTTCGGTATCTCCAATATCATGGTACAATCAAACCCTACGTTTTCCTACCACACCGGTGCAATACGTTGGGTCGCTCCAGAGCTCCTTGACCCCCCGCAAGATCAACCCATACCACGCGCAACTAAATCTAGCGACATATACGCTCTCGGCGGTATCATGCTTCAGGTTCGTAGTCTGTCGTTGGCTTGCTAGTGACTTTAATATTGCTCGCGTGCAGGTCCTATATGGGAAACAGCCTTACTGGTGGCTGAAGTCCGCCACACATGTTATTTCTGCTAAGTTCAAACATGCAGAGCCCATCGACTCTTCCATCAAGATCCAACCTAATCACCTGAATTTCATGCGGCGGTGCTGGTCAAAGGAAAAGGAGGGTCGTCCGTCAGTAGAAGAGGTAATAGATTACCTTCAAGAAGCACTGTCGAATGAGACTTTGTCTGCATAAGGTCTTGGTTTTGAAGCCATCCTCTTTCTCGTCTTTATGTTAACTCCGGTTGTGTCCTATTACTACACAAGCGATGACCTTCGGTCGTTGGGTTTTATTGGTACTCTCTTGTGTTTTTGGCCTTCATTTAGTGCATTGTCATTTCACGGTAGTCACCAGGTAGAATGTCTAAAATTTTGTCATTGAATTCGTCGACAACTAGGTTTTGTGGCGAGAGAAAGGCACAACTGAGGCAAGCGCGAACATCAGCTAGTATGTTGTATTCGCTCCAAAAGTACAAACGGCAATGGCTAGGTCACCGTCTGGGTGAGCAATCTTGTATTGCTCTCGCTTCTCGGTGTCGTATGATACACCAGCTGGATTCGTATTTATGCAGGAGCAGTACCTATGTGCCAGCATACTGCATGCAAGACCAGTCCTCGTAATGCCGCTTCGAGTACACAGCATCCTGGTGGAATTCGTTCATATTTGTTATTGCCCTGCTCCTAAGAACTCTACAATCACCGAGGCCACAGGTCGATCTCCGGGTTTGACAGATATATATTCCAATGAATACTCCTTGTGTACACGTAAGGTACATGTCCACAAAACAGCTGCTCATGGTCAGCACAGTAACTGTATCGAAATCGAATGAGAGACAACGCACCTGAAGCATGATACAACCATATAAGTAAACATCGGTGGCTTTGGTCGGCATCATCACTCCCCCTTGCTCAGGTATAGCAAGCATCTCACCACCACACATTTCCTTGGTGGCATGAATTGAAGGTAGGGAATTAAACCATCTTACGATTCTGAAAGAATCCATCAGTGAACCGATGAACATATTAAAATATCATATCACACCATACATTGATAACAATCACGATAATGTCCACAAATGCGGAGGAGGGGTTGGCATGGAAATATATAGCCTTATGCACGAAGGATGTCAAGATACAACTATCGACGTCACTCTCGTACGTACTCTTCCTTTCCTTTTACATATGCAATTACTCTTCACTACACGCCTGATACACGTTCCCATTTGATTCTCCGTCTCAATCATGCTATTAAAGACCTCTCCTCGTCGAATATAGTTCTCTAGTCGTTTCACTGAATCTAAAGCCTTCGTTCTCGTTCGTCGTTCCTAGTCCAGGCCTCTCTGAATCTCAATAAAGGATGCGTTTCGAAGACGGCCAGTCAAGTCGTGGTATGCTCGGAACACTATCTTCTGAGTGGACTTTAACGCAAAGGAAATATGAAACTCAGGCTAAGGAAGTTGATTGTAGTCCAGAATCATCAACATCAGCACAGACGTCGCCGCCTGTAATCGGTGTACGTTAATTCAGTCGTGCGAAAATCAATCAAAGCGGATACTTGATGCCAAAGCCCCAACGTTGTTTCACCCAGCCTGTGAAGTTCTGTTTTCTATATTTGACTGTACAATGAGAACACGTGAGTTGAAGTTAAGTTTGATAGTCTGTTGTAAGCCTGGATCATGGCTTATTCAGCGCGCGAAGCTCGAAGTTTAATTTCTACGCAAGTTCGAGGTACAAGATCGGACGTAGAATTTAATGTCTATGTGACGGCACAGCCCGAATTCTCACCTTTCTTGCTTCGTACTATCACGTACTTGCAAGTCTTGTTCTGCTCGACTACACTCTCGTTCCGTCGCGCCCGCCCTCCACTCCCTTCTTTAGCAGCTAATGTCTCGTCTTTAATTCAATAAGAATGTGTTGCATTCGTTGGTAAATCTACTCGACGCATCATTTTCGACTCATTAGATTCTGGATCGTGAGCTGCCGTGGCCCGCCCGCCCACACGGCTCATCCTGGACTTTCTCGATGTTTCAAGTTTTGAGCCCAAGTAGCTTCGCCGCGCCCGTTGTTACTATTTGTACAAATCAGATGACATTGCTGATCAATACATCTGATTTCTTTGCTCCAACACGAAAACTGTCAGCTACACATAGACAGCGGCACAAGAAAGGAATGCTCTCAGGAATTCACAGGATGAAGTTTAATATCTGGGGTCCAGAAAACACTAAGGTAGCACTACGAGTGAGTACAGTATTTAAGCAATCAACGTAGTAGCTTTTTTAAGGGGGATACATACCGAAACGTCAACGGTAAACAATAAGGAACGGGTGATAAGATGCTCGGCCGATGGCGACATCAAACAACTGTATGAACAACAAACAAATGAGTGTAGTTAGGAGTTTGACAGGAGTTTAATATGGGCCCATGGGCGGAAGGAACAGTGCCACCGTTACATACACATAGGGCTCGTTACATTGTAGACACCTTTTCCCCCTAGCTTGTACCTTACCATCGTTGTCGTTCCGCAATCCAGAACGTTGTTCTGCTTTGTTTTGTGTTTCAGCATCAGTGTTTCTTGTCGTTGGCTACGACTTTTTTCCACCTGCAAATGAATGAAATGACACAGGTTTATGCAGTTCTAACAGCGTGCATGCCTCAAAATAAAATTCCACAGGACTACGGTGCATCATTCGAGCGCCCATGATGTAGTCACCGTTGTGATGTGGCAGCCAATGGAAAACAGTGAAATTCCATGGTTATAACGTGCACCCCAACGGGAATTGAAACATCCTGTTCAAGCTATCATGTTACAAGACAAGTCGATTCATTTACTGTACACGACAGGGCAGAATGCCCGGAGAAGATGGTTCGGGTTTCAAGCGGCAAGGAAGTGACTGTTGTTGCAGATAGTGCTGCTGTAAGAGTGGAATCAAGCGTAAATTGGGTTGATCGGGTGCGGAATTCCCTGGCCCGGATCGCCAAAGTCAGTTAGTGATCAGTTCTATGTACATATACACAGCAAACCCTGATGCTTATCTGATGTAATGCGAAAACCATACATATTATGATTAGGCTGATACATGCGGATTATATATGCATGCATACATCGTACATACATAATCGGCACACCTCTTATATAATTTACAGAATATTGAATGAAAGCCCTTGTGGTACCGCGGTATGATCACTAAGGCTGTTGCGGAAGTTTGGGGCTAACGCGACTTCGGATCATCGGATTCACCAGTACGTCACTCCGGTTGGATCGAATTCCACTGATTTGGAATGGGCAATGAATATTGCAAAAGTGAGGTACTGATTCATTGATTCATGTCACCTGGCTCTCACTGGCAGGCCTGCCTCGTTAAAAGAGCACAATGTATGAGTCTGCTAACCTAAATGATAATGATTCCAACTTTCTTCTCCTACTGCACGTATTGGTTAAAGAAGACCGGGAGGAAGTTGTTGTTGTGGAGAAGCCGCCCGTCCAGCGTAACCACAGGTGATAGTGAGATAGATCCTGACAACCAGCAAGTTCATGATCATAGTACCCTGTGACAACGCACTTCCTCATGCGATTTTTCATGCAGCCTACCCGACCTTACGGGATTCGTATCCAAGGAGTCGCCTCATCCACTAGCGCACGGTAGTTTCGGGGATGTGTGGAAATGCACCTACATCCCATCCAACCGTCAAGGCCTAGAGGCAAGCATGCTACATGTATAGCTGCCCAGAAATCTGAATCTATGATAGGTAGCAGTCAAATCCATCAGGATCGATGTTGCAGGCGACGATTCCAAGGCCAGACTTACTCAAGTACGTTCTCGGCTGGAACCCCCCTTGCGTGTGATACAAACCATGGATTCGCAGAGATTCTTGGATGATTTCCATGCACGGAAGCAACTGCATCACGAAAATCTTTTGCCTCTGCTCGGTTTCAGTTATGAATTTGGGGTACTTCCAGCGATGGTCACCCCCTGGATACACAACGGCTCACTCACCACATATCTTGAACACCATTTCACAGAATTGGCCATCGAACAAAAGCTCCGGATTGTGAGTTGTTTCTCAGACACGCTGGTGCATCATGGTATTCATTGGAACCTTAGTTGCGACAAGTCGCTACAGCCATCAGCTACCGTAAGTGGAATCTTCATTAGTCCGTAAAAACAATGAGTAACAGGATTGCAGTCCACTCGAAGGGCGTTGTTCACGGTGACCTTACTGCCGTACGTACTAGTTGTCTGATACCCGCCTTCTAGCTTTGATCTGGAACGTCAGAACAACATTCTGATAGATTCGGATCGCAATGCTCACGTAGCAGACCACGGAATCCTCACAATGTGTTCTGAACTCTCAGGGACATCATACATCAGGAGCAACGTGCGGTGGGCTGCGCCAGAGCTCTTCGAGGTGGCCGAGAACGAAGAGCCATCGACTCCTCCACAGCCAGCCAGCGATATTTATTCCTTCGGATGCATCATGCTTCAGGTTTGAGGTATTCCATAGCAGTTGCGTTGATTTACGACCAAGATCCCGTAGGTTCTGACAGGTCGACCGCCCTACGCAGATGTGCGAAGCGATCATCAAGTTACTGTGCTGATAATCAAGGGTAAGAAGCCTACAAGACCACCGAGTCCGCACAACGCAGATTCTTTCTGGGATTTCATCGAGAAATGCTGGAGTGATGCAGGGCGTCGCCCTTCTGCTGTTGATGTTCTGAGCTTTCTAGGATCGGATCATATCACTGCCCTAGTTAAACCGTCATTAGAGAGCTGATCTATATTATTAAATCTGACTTTATTACATTTACATTATTTTATACATAATTATTCCTATTATATAAGCATCTTAGCTACTTACCTCGACTTTCGATTTACCACTTGGCGTTCGCGTTGATGAATTTATTTACCGATGGGCTGATTTTTTTGACTAGTTGCTCGAATGAAGAACCGGTGCCTCCCGGGACCACCGTGGGGAAGGAGAGAGGCAAGCGTCTCTTCAGCCACCTCTTGCCACGGCGAACCCTGTGCGCCAGCCAGTTACCTTCTCTATTCGCTGCATGGTATTAGCAACCAGTGTTCGACAATGACTCCGAAGCTTCCCTTGGAGTGGTAATCATGATGAAGGTATGCACCCATTAGCATTGCCCTGCATGCTGCAAACGTTCAATTTCGGTCTGCGTGCGAACCCTTCGGGGTTTGTCATATATTTCTAGCTGTGCAGATGACTCGTGCCACCCATGAGCTGAAAATCCGTGTTCTACGCAATAGTCACGAGATGTTGTCTTGTTATTCAAGCGCGAGGGACATTGGTGATTTAAATGTACCTGCGAAGGAAAGTATTCAGGATCGATCAAGACGGAAGGAAGACTGACCTGTTCATGAGTCCAGCGGCAGAATCAACGCCGAATGATCGAATTAAGCAAGATTCAGAACTATGAAACCTTGCCCTCGCCTGTCACGACATGAAGACAACCGTACCGGCTGTGACGGCAGTTTATCGAAGCCAGGCCACATTACATCCCTAGTTTGTTCCGTATATCGGAGCATGAGGATGAATCACATTACATGAAAACCTCACGATCAAAGGGAGATTTTAATATGGCCCAGTTGCCAATTTCGTTGATGGGCGGTTGAACGACAGCACAAGCCGTTGCGGCGTGTCCCCACCTCAGAACTTGTCATATGTGGGTACGTTTCTTTCAAACCCCCTGCGAGCGTCAGAGCCCTGCAGGCCTTGTGCAGGTCCCATTAATATATGAACAGATCAGTGGTTCGAAAGTTCTATTGGTGCAGGTAAAATGGGACGGACCTATTCGGTGCGACCGCATCAAGTTACTTTTCCCAGCCAAGTTTGAAAGGGCTTCATGACGTACAAGTTGTCAATTTCTTCGATTTGGTTGAAGTCTTCAAAGTTGACCGTCACTGAACGACCGACTTGTGTTAACAATTTTTTGTAGCCTGGCGAAGTTTGAACTATTATAATATTGCCAGTCGAACTTTCTCGAAGTTCTATCTCTTCGCTACGAGGTTTGTCTTCTGCTAACAAAGCCGCCGAGAGCAAATATTGCCTCGCGCAATTACTACCCTTTTCAGTGCTGCCAGGGCTCTTCGCATCCCTGACACCCTGACAACGCGCTTCAAGATGTCTCATTGTCTGCCCAACATTAGAAGTAGGTTTATCGCTCGGCGCCTGTAGATACTTGAAAATGAGCGTTTGTAGTGGAAGGACAGTATTCATTATTGATCTGATTCACCCACAGCATTACTTCGACTAATACCAGTCGTGGCATCTTCAGCTTGACCCTACAGTCTCTTTCCACGTAATCGTCGGAGGGATGACTTTGCAATGTTGTCGCACGAATGTTGTCTGCATATAAGACTGTAGTTCATTAATGCTAAGGAACAAGACTATTTCCCATTGTAGTTTCCTGTCAACAATGGACATGTTCGTTAACCGCTTGCAACAGTTCCTTGGTCTTGTACGTTTGTTGGCATTGTTTGGCGGTGGAGCCATCCATTCATCTCACTCTAACAGGGTGGCCGTGCACCAAGTGGCCAAGCATCTCCTGTTCAGCCTTCGGTCGATGATATTCTCGCAAGCCAGACCTCGATTGTCGACACTCCCGATAGAACTTCCGACGCAGAGGACACGTATGTTATTTCTTTGCCTCAGGACAGGACTTTGTAAACACCGAACAATAGTAGTGCTCTCTGTATCAAACCAAGTGATATTCACAAGACAACTAACTACCCAACCGCCTCCAACGGTCTCGGAGATGTTTACAAGTGTATATGGAGCCGCGGTGCAAGTTCGGATGAGGTATTTCATAGACTTGTTTATTCTGCATGTCCTGATTGTAACTTCAGGTCGCGGTCAAATCCCAACGATTCCCAATCCTGAGTGATCGTGAATATGTTAGAATCAACAAGGTATATTAACCTAAATCCAGTCTGACGGCCGCATATCTAACTTTTGAGACGCAGGATCTTGACCGCGAGATCCTCATATGGGCCGTGCTGGAGCATCAATATGTATTGCCCTTGTATGGCACTGTAGAGGGATTCGGCCCATTTCGCGCATTAGTTTCTCCCTGGATGCCGAACGGGACTTTGAACTCTTACCTTAATCACGCACATGAGACCCTCTCGATGATGGATAGGCTTCGGCTGGTGAGTTTTATCTATGAAGCCGAGTGCAGGAATTCAGTACGTTTGCACAGCTTAAACAAATCACCGAGGGGCTCCAGTATCGTGAGTGACGGATTGACTATAAAGTGACTGATATAATTATGCTGTCTGCAGTCCACGATCGCGACGTGATACACGGTGACCTCACCAACGTAAGTCAATACATGTCGTGCAAGTGGAATCATCTTATGGTGATTGTAGAATAATGTTCTGGTTGCTGCCGATGGATCCCCTCGTCTTGCAGATTTCGGTATCTCCAATATCATGGTACAATCAAACCCTACATTTTCCTACCACACCGGTGCAATACGTTGGGTCGCTCCAGAGCTCCTTGATCTTCCGGAAGATCAACCCATACAATGCGCAACGAAATCCAGCGACATATACGCTCTCGGCGGTATCATGCTTCAGGTTCGTAGTCTGTCGTTGGCTTGCTAGTGACACTAATATCGCCCGCGTGCAGGTCCTATATGGGAAACAGCCTTACTGGTGGCTGAAGTCGCCATTACACGTTATTTCTGCTAAGTTCAACCAAGGAGAGCCTATCGACTCTTCCATCGAGATCCAACCTAATCACCTGAATTTCATGCGGCGGTGCTGGTCAACGGCAAGGGATGATCGTCCGTCAGTAGCAGAGGCAATAGATTACCTTCAAGAAGCACTGTCGAATGATACTTCGTCTGTATAAGGTCTTAGTTCTGACGCGATCCTCTTTCTCGTCTTTATGTTAACTCCGGTTGTCTCCTATTACTATATATCATGTTGCTCCACGTATACCCTCACTTCTTTGTGTCGTATGCATCAGGAAATCACGAGTTCACTTTTCTAGCTTTTTTAGCACTTAAATAAGTGACCAGCTACTCGTGCTCACTTTTTCACACTTATTTTTTGGAATTGAGAACTTCGTGCCATTGAATATGTAAAAGAGACAAATAAGTGAAAAAGCGAAGCAATATGTAAAAGTAAGCAATAACAAAAAAAGCGAGTCGTGTTAGAGAACATTAACAAGCTATCTCGAAAGTGTGATGGTCAGCATATTTATTTACATAAAAGAGGGTGAATATATCAAGGACATGGTGGGATTTAATGACTGTAGGGAGTAGTTCAGTACCATAAACAGGAATAAGATGGGCAGATCGAAAAATAGAGTCAACATGAATCACTGCAAAGTGCACATTGTTATCAATAGAAGATGGCTCTACCATCCACAAGCCCGTCTCATCTAGGGATCAGCAGGGGTATGGGTATGGGTTGGAGTCTCAGGACCTGTGGACCTGTGGACCAATCACAGGACCCTTGGACCACTGTTAGGTCCCTGGCTATGACCCAAGTTTGAGTACTGTCATGTTAGTATTTGAATCTGAGACTTACCCTGATGGGTGACAATCCAATATTGTCAGTGCGCCTGGCCAAGCTATGAAAAAATTCATAGGCAGAAATCTTGGACTCATATGATAGAAAGTGGAAGTGCTCCAGCACATTAAATGTGGCAGCTGTTTGTGGGTCTGTTGTAGTCGCTGGATACCATCATGCTCATAACAACTGTTTGTAGTGCACTTGCACAGTCTCACAGCCACAAAAGTCCAATCCAACTTCATGGATTCCATTAATGTCAATGACGACAAAGTCATTGGCCATCAAGGGATGTGGGTTGTAACAGCAGGCACTGGGCGCATGGCCCAATTGTATGCACAAACCAAGTGTCTTGAGTTTGATGCATTGAAAAAAAGAGCTGTTCCACTCCTGTGTAGTTTTAGTATCATACATATTGTTATATCTAGGCAACACATACCTCAATCATATGCAATGGGTTGCATTTATGGCAGTCAACAATGCAATAATGGCAGAACATCTCCATCCCAAAGCAGTCCCTACAGTGGTACTTGAGTCCATCACTGCCACAGTGGCAGTGCATTCACTGGGCTTCATGACTACGGCCCTCCAAGGAGATGGTCTCATCAAGGAAGGATTGACATTCTGGGAGCCAGACAAGGAGCGGATTATCCTATGAAAATTTGTGAGCACACTATAGATCATTCAAATTCCTACACATCACTTACTGCAGCATGCCATTTGCACTTATCTGGGAGAACATCATCCATGATGACCACAGGATCACAACACGGAGACACTTCATCCCAGTCATCATGGCCCAACCAATCCTGAATGGTGTGTGGTGCACATAGTGAACCAGCAGATAGCTCACTTTCAATTGTAGTGTTGCTGCCAGTGAGTGAAACACAAACTGTTTGTTGAGTAGTTTGCCCATTAGTGAATGCATATTTCTGTATTTGTTGGACTGCTGGCATTGATGTGAGGGATGGTTGAATAAACTGCTCAAATTGTAGCTTTGGTTTCTTAGCAGTGCACATCATGGTAGGGTACAATGGCCGCCCAAAATTGTCAACATGGCGAATCATTCTGAAAGTTACATGTAAGGCTTCCTTGACTTTGAATAGATCACACACTCACTTCATATCATACTTTGAATGCACATCAGCAGTACTGATTCCAGTAAGCTGACAACACACCATCATTGTAAGTTCCAACCCAAATAGCTTGCTTGAGAAGGCATGCTAGATGATAAGATGAGTTTCAGCAAACTGAGGTAATATGTCTTGTTTGACTGTTTATGCACATGATGTGCAGAAGCAGACATGACATGTGACTGTTGACTGTTGTATCACTACTTGTATGCCATGTACATTGTTTACCACATTTTTAATAATAATGATCATAGTACCAGCCCAATGGATGATGTGTTAACTAAGATAACAAGGTGAGTACTTTTGATACTACATGACATAAATTGAACTTGTGGACTTGCGGCAGATACTCCAATCAAGGTCAAACCTTGATGCCTTTCTGGTACATTAACTCCCCCATAGAGTGAGCAAGTGTGAGATCAGGAGCTCCACCATAAAGTGCAAGATATTGGATGTCCTCTAGATACACAAGAACAGTCCTCAAGAAACAGCTGACAGTGTCTGTGGCATGTCATTCAGGTGAGACTCCACAAAAATTAAGTATCTGGTCTTGCATGGGAATAGTGTGATTGAGTAGTTTTTGGACATCAGCCATGGGTGTTTCAATGATGGAGATATTGGCTTTGGTTAAGGAGTCATCCAGCATACTCTTGACATAGGCACATAAGATGCCATGGGCAAAGTTGCAGGAGTTGTTGATCTTCACCAACATTTCATCCTTGATTTCTTTGATGATGCATAAGCATTCCGGAAGGTCGTATCTGTTGGATATGTTTAATTTCATTTTAAAATTTAGACTATCTATAATTAAAGAACATATGGTTTACTTTTGTCATCATCTGAGTCCTGGGAATCGGATTCCTTACTGCCTGTGTCAGACTCAGACTCATCTTTATCACCACAACACAAGGCTTTTTCAACAGCCTTTGATATGTCTCTTGAGAACTTTCTAGCTGCCCGTGATTCCTTGCTGTTAGAGCTACAAAGCTCTCTCCAGTTCTTTAAAATCCTGTCTCTGTTTCTTCACTGTAATCAGTCAGGAACTGCTGGGATCATTTAATTAATGTATGACATACCTAGCATAATAGCAACTATGCTCTTCACGTGCAGCTGCTAATTTGGCCTCCAGTGTTTTATGAATAATTGGATGGGGCATGTTGACTAGAGACTTGATAGTAGTGGTGGTGGTCTTGGTTGAAAAAGAAGCAAGAAACCTTCGAAACCACAACTCAGAGTCCAATGGTAGGACCAAAACTCATATATGAATCTCACAATACTTGTGAGGCTAGTATTCAGTTCAACTAAAGATTCCTGTTTTGTAGGGAGTAATGTCAATCAGTGTATGTATTAATTATGAATGTCAACACATTTGAGTCAATCAATGAAGATATGTAAAGATCCTACCACCATAACCACTGAATTAGTCCCTCATCTTGTGGTCAGACCAAAACCATTCATGTGGTTCCCAATCATATGCTCATTGAAAATTTCATTTTACATCACTTGTATACTTACAACAAAAAGTTCTACTCTAACAAATAATCTCACCAATGGCACCACCAACTATATATTCAGCTGAGCAGATTGAGTTCATGGAAACATACCATGATCAATTTTTAGAGTGCAAAGTAAACAAAAATTACCAGTCTTTCTGGAGTCTGTTTTTTGAGGCATGGGAAACCAAGTTCCCAGAGCGTGCTGTTGTCTTCAAAGACATACCACTTGATGTCAACTTAACTGATGAACAGTCTGCTGAAGTAGCAACTGTGTGGACATTGCGTCAACAGGTACATATAGACTTACCTAATATTACATGTGGTGCTCGACTAACAACATGTTAACAGATGGCGTCTATGTGCACTCTGAATCATCAGCCTCCAAACAGAAAACAAACACCTCTACTGGACACTCTCAATACTAACCCTCCCAGATGCCTGGTGGATGCAGGAGCGTCAGCATGGGTGCAAGCACCTCACCTTCCTCCAGAACAACCTCTCCAACCTACAGACTCAATACCCGCAAAACAACCAGAACCCCAACCACGCAAGACACAATAGAAGCACTGCCCAACAAGGTCAAGGATATTGAGAGTGGAAAAACATTCCTCACTTCCAAACTTCTTTGCCACATTGATCAACAGTTTACATTAACTCACATCATTTCAGTTCTTTTTCAGATCACACAAATGTCCAGCATGACACCTGTAGCAGTAACTTCAGCCATCCATGCAGTAGCTTTCATTCTGAAGGACCATGCTGCCTGTGAACTAGTGGAATCTGCAGGCAAGCAAATCACAGAAATAGCAGCTCAACAAATCTCGGACACTGCAACTAAGCAAATCTTGGACTCCCTTTCCTTGCGTCTAGTGGATCACGTAGTAGCAGCCATCTCTCCACAAGTGGCACTCATTCACACAGCACCTCAAGCCCTAGCGGAATCACTAGAGGAAGCCAAGACTCTACATGCCACAATCAGCCAAGAGAGAGACAAGAAGGAAGATAACATCAAAACTGCAGCAGACCGAATTGAAGAGGCAGTGGATGCCTTATACTCTTCCATCAAAAATTGCCAGATTACCATGCAATTGCTGACCCCTTCCCTAGATACTATGCAGACCAAGATCGACTCTCTGTTCACCAAGATCTCAGATACATCCTCCCAGCAAATCACAACATCCCAACCCACCTACAGCACAGTAGTGGCCGCCCACCTGCCACCAACAGTGGACAAGGCTGTAGGAAGAGCAGCCATCAGAGCACATGAGATACTATTAGACCCATCACCAGGCGAGATGCTCTTCCCACCGAATACCTCTAACTACACCATAGCGAGCAAACTCAAAGAGATGTTGGCCAAGGCAAGGGATGACACCACCCCACCAGGTACCATCAAATCTGTCAGGACCCTATGCAATGGAGGTATTGTAGTGGAACTCAAAACAGAATCATTAGCTGCTTGGTTGAGTAGTCCCAATGGTAAAGCAGCACTTGAGAGTAATATGGAATCAACTGTATCATTCCACAAACATTTCTATCAGATAGTACTGGAATTCTTACCCATTAGCACACAGATTGAACAAGATGACTTCCTAAGACAAATCGAGCAAGAGAACTACCTTCAGCCCTTATCACTGACAGCAATTAGATGGATCAAGCCCCCAGCAAGATGTAACACAGAACAAAGGAAAGCATTCACACTCCTCCAAGTTACTGATGTACAAACAGTGAATGACATTCTATAGGATGGCATCTGCATAGCCAATGAGAGGATTGAAGTCCAAAAAGACAGGAAAGAGCCCACCTGCTGCACCAAATGCCAATGCTTCAACCACATTGCCAAGAACTGCAATGCTGAACATGATGTTTGCGGTACCTGTGGTGACTAGCACCACACCTCAGCCTGCAACTCTTTCCGTATGACACGATGCATCAACTGTAGAAGTCAGCAACACACGAGCTGGAGCCATTCCTGCCTGGAGTTCTCCAGATGCTGCAGAGAGATCAATGAGAAGTATCTGGAAAATCGCATGCCCTACTTCCCCACTGAGAATGCCTGGACTCACACCATCCAGCCACCCAATGCTACAGGTCAATCTATCTCACCATGCTCACCCCCACAACAATCCCACAACTCCAGCCCAGTTCAGCTCCACCAAGCACAACTAGACTTCTCGCATCAACTGTCTCGCAGATACACATCTCCTCAACATCCCCAAGACCCCAGCATCCACTCCCTCATCGTGGGACTGTCAACTCAACCTGGGGGCCCCGAACCATTAGGCAGCAACTCACCCTCTCCATCTGATCATGTCTGAACAAACTAACGAATCTAACGTCAGGCTCCACATATGGCAACAGAATCTCAATGCATCAATGGTAGCCCAAACCTCTCTTCTCAACAATTGCTATGCCACAGACTGGGACACTATGGTAATACAAGAACCTCATATTAATTTTCTGCATAATACGTGCGCCAACCACCACTGGCATGTTCTATACCCATCTTGGCACTACTCCCACCCCCAAATATGTTCATGGGCCATCACCCTAATCAACACCTCAGTAAATACTAACTCTTGGAAACAGATCTCATTCCCTTCCTCAGATGTCGTAATAACTCAAATCTCTGAACTGTTCAATCAATGTACCATTTTTAACATTTATAATGACTGTATATCACAAGACACACTAACTGCTCTTGATTCCTTTCTAGAACTCAACCTTGGAGATATCATATCAAGTGAGAACAACCATATGATCTGGATGGGCGATTTCAATTGTCATCACCTGCTATGGGAAGCAACCTGCAACCACCACCTCTTCAACTATGCAGCAGCAAATCTGCTCATTGACCTGATAGCCAACTACAGTCTGATCCAGCTGCTCCCATGCAGAATACCCACCCTTCAATCCATGGCCACTGGCAACTGGACATGACCCGACAACATTCTGGGAACTGAACACCTCCTAGATGCAGTCATCTCTTGCAACACCGATCCCAGTCAACAAGGACCAAAAACTTACCACATCCCTATTCAGTTGATACTTGTCATATCCCACAATCCGGACCCATGTTCCATCATATTCCCACGCCTTCCGAGCCTACATCTGGATCCCACATCATATCCAGCTCATTCCAAGATCCCCTTCTGCTGTGCTCCACACCTCAGCAGGATCGACTATGCTCCAGATTTACCCCTGAGCTCTGGACCATCGGATCCTCACTGCTAGCCTGATCCGTACAACCCTATCCTGTCCACCCTATGCACACTTCATCCAGCAAGACATCCAGACTTCACCTCGTCTCAGATTCCGGAACTATATCCACCTTCTTGTATTCCGGTCCTGTATCCACCTTGTCTTCCAGATCCCCAGATCTCCGGACCTATTCCCACCCTCTGTCCGATATCCTGCGCCTATCCCCATTTAGGCATTCTCTGCTTTCTGGCTTTCGGTTACCTCTTCTTCTGTTGTGCTTATTGATCCTTGTACGAGTCTTCATCTCCAAGTTCATTTACTTATGTTCTGTCTTACTTACTAATGTGTTTCCACATGCTTGTACATAGCCTTGCTCCTTTGCTTACTGATCCCCTCAGATATTGTTCAGTATATAACCCCTGTAGATACTCCTGTAGTTCCCTAGTTTGAATATCAACTTAGACTTGCCCAATCCTCTCTTGGACTTTGGTCCACCTAAGTCTGTCCTACCCATCAGGCCTAGGGATTGGTTCCCTAGGCCAGAGCTCCGCCTTTCCGGCACTTACCCTCTTTCTGGACTTAGGTCCAATCCCTGTCTCTCCAACTCTACCTTAGGGTAGTCTACCTCTGTTTGCTTCTACATTGGACTTTGTCCGATGTAGCCCCTATTCCTTCTGGACCTCCAGACCACCTGTCCCTCATACCTCCAGGCATCCTGTCCTTCGGACGTTCCGCCCTCCGTACCTTCAGACGTTCCATCCTCCTAACTCTCGGACATCCTATCCTCCTGTCCTCCTGTCCTCCTGTCCTCCTGTCCTCCTGTCCTCCTGTCCTCCTGTCCTCCTGTCCTCCTGTCCTCCTATCCTTCCATCCTGTTTCCTGTAGAAGTATTACCTTGCAGTGGGAACTCTCCTGAGCACTTCCTGTGTTCCTCCAGAACTCTCCCACGCTCCTCCAGACGTTTCCTGTGCTCCTCCAGAAGTCCTCTAGCGCTCTCCAGCAGAGTAGCCAGCCTCTGGAAGTCCTCCAGACTTTGTTGGACCATCATCGGACCTCATACAAAATGAAGGGCACATACTCAGGTAAGGGGCACAGTGTATGAGCTGAGGCCAAGTCCCTCTGAGTCAGTCTCTCTCTCCTTTGAGCAACATGGTTCTTAACAATACTCAAACTTGAAACACCAATGTTGAATGAAGAACCCCACAAGAATTGGTGTGATGTTGACTGGGATGACTTTAAAGAACACCTTGGACAAATCCTAGCCCCTCACCCCCGGTACCCTTGGCATCAGATGATGAATTCCAGCAAGCAGCCACACGCCTCACTCAAGCCATCAGCAACACCATCAATGCTAAAATCCCTCTCTCCAAACCATGCCCCCACTCCAAGCGTTGGTGGACTCAGGAACTGACCAAGCTCCATAGACAGGTTAATGAACTCAGCAAGTTATCCTACCAAATGAGAGGCATCCTGACCCACACCTGCCATGAAGAACTCAAGATCACTAAGAATTGGTACACTATGGAGATCAAGAAGACAAAAAAGCAGCACTGGATTGGATGGCTGGAAGACATTGAAGGTAATGATGTATGGACCACTAATAAGTATATTTCATCAGAACCAAAGGATGGAGGAAAAACAAGGATCCCAACCCTCAAAATCAAGTGTCCCGATGGATCGTTCCTAGAGGCCAATACCAACCAAGAGAAAAGTATAGTTATCACTGAATCATTCTTTCCCCCACCTCCTACTACTAACTCCATCCCACCCAATGTAATATACCCCAACCCAGTGGAACGACACACCCCCTTCAGCCAATCTGAGATCAAATGCACCATCCTCAAGCTCAGTGGATTCAAGGCACCAGGCCCAGATGGTATATGCAACATAGTCTACAAACAATGCACAGACCTCCTCGTCCCCTACTTCAAGCACCTCTTCAACACTGTCTTCTCCCATCAAACATACTTCACTCCATGGAAAAGCTTCACAACAGTAGTCCTACATAAGCCAGGGAAGCCAGACTACTCGATACCCAAAGCCTACCATCCAATAGCCTTGCTCAATACCATGGGAAAGTTACTAACAGCAGTTGTAGCAGACCACCTCACCTACATGCTAGAATGGTACCAACTACTCCCCAATACCCACTTTGGCGGTTGCCCTGGACATTTGACAACAGACTCTCTACACCTCCTAGAAGAAATGGTCAAGAATGCCTGGAGAACAGGCAAGGTCGTGTCAGCACTGTTTTTGGATATAGAAGGAGCATTCCCTAATGCGGTTACTAAATGCCTCATTCACAACATGTGAAGCCATCACATCCCAGGTGAACTAGTTGACTTTACAGAACGGGTGCTAATGAACAGACAGACTCAACTGAGGTTTGACAGTTTCACCTCTGAATGGATCCAAATCAACAATGGAATCGGCCAAGGTGACCTGCTTTCAATGATATTGTACATAATATATAGCTCAGACTTAGTAGAAATCACCAAACAACATAGAGGTAATGAAGCACTCAAGGAATTAATGCTGGCTTTTGTAGATGACATGGCATTCATCGCAATTGGCAAAGACTTTGAAATGACACACACAATCCTAGCAGATATGCTGGAACGTCAAGAAGGAGGCTATGAGTGGTCTAGAAATCATAATTCTAAGTTTGAAACTAATAAATTTGCCTTAATAGATTTCTTGTTGAACTGTCAGAAGAACTGACCCAATATGCACATTCAGGGTGCCATCATCTGACCCACATCTACACATCAATTCCTGGGAGTTATAGTTGACCAAGAGTCACGCTGGAATGCACAAGTGGACAATGCCATAGCCAAAGGAATGGTATACATATGCCAGCTACATTGTCTTTCTTCATCTGCCAAAGGAATACCACTACACCTAATGTGCCAACTTTACCAGGCAGTAGCAGTACCAAAGATGCTATATGTGGCTGATCTCTGGTTCACTCCCACCTTCTGTGACAGCTTGGACTCCCTCCAGCAGGGATCAATCGGGGTAGCCAAACACCTTACCTCTGTCCAACAAACAGCAGCTCTCTCAATTACCAGAGCAATGAGAACCATGGCCACTGACCTGCTAGAAGTACATGCCAACCTCCTACCCATCCCTCTCCTCCTTCAAAACACCTGTCACTGAGCCATCATCCATATAGCTGCCCACCCAAACATGCACCCACTTTTCGACCCTGTAAGACATACAGCCAGGCACTTCATTAACTCCCATCGCACATCTCTCCATCGCCTTACTCACCAATTCAAAATAGACCCCCATGAGATTGAGACCCTCACCCCGGCCCACAGATCACCCACCAGTTGCAACCCCTTCAAGACCCATATTGAACCATCCAAACAAGCCACCATTGAAAAGCATGCCCAGATAATGGACAACATTCAAGTCTACAGTGATGGGTCAGGACATCAAGGACAGATAGGAGCAGCAGCGATTCTATTTCACGCAGGGAAATGCCAAGGTACCCTGCACTTCCACCTAGGAAAGGAGGAAGAGCACACAGTCTATGAAGCAGAGGCAGTTGGACTGACATTAGCAGCAGAGCTTACAGCAATGGAGGAAGACCTTACATTCCCAATATCGATCTGTGTCGACAACCAGGTAACCATCCAATCTGGTGAGGGTTTCCAATCGAACCTGGGCATGTACTTAATAGATCGCTTTCGCAGCAAGATGAAAGAAATTGCCAAAGACCATGATGACTTCAAAGTAACCATCCACTGGGTACCAGGACATGTTGACATTCATGGTAATGAAGAAGCTGACAAGCAGGCAAATAAAGCAGCTGAAGGACACCAGCACACCAGTCCTAGTGAGAAACTCCCAGACTACCTATGTTACAACACCCTCCCCCTCAGTATATCCACACTCAAAGCAGCTCACCACCAGGCCACACATTGTAGGTGGGGTAGGATATGGTGCAAGTCACCCCGCTATAACCATATCAACCACATAGACCCCAAAATCCTGCAGTGCTCATTCGTCAAATTCACAGCAGATTTCCCCAAGCAACTCACCAGCATCTATATGGTGCTCAGAACCCATCATATCCCCCTCAACCATCATCTCCATCACATCAGAAAGCACCCATCACCACACTGCTCACACTGCCCAGAAAAAGATGAAACAGTCCCTCATTACCTGCTTGACTGCACTCATTATCATAGAGAATGACATGTCCTCACACTAGCACTAGGATGGAGAGCTTCATCACTCCCTTTCCTTCTCTCAGATCTGGAGGCAACCCCTCACCTCACTCGCTTCATCAATGCAACAGGACACCTCAAACAGACATTTGGTGAAATCCTGCTTCCTCGCAAGCCCCCAGACTGACACAACATTTCCTTCCCCTAGATAGTATAATCATGAACATAACTCCTGAACACTGTATCAAATGCATGAACATATCACCTGTAACATCAATCGTCTCTCCTCCCCCCTAGTCACTCAAAAATGTACAATCTCTACTTGCCTACATGGAATCCCCTCATGGGGTGCATATCAAACGTCCCTGTAATGGTCATTATTGTTCATCTGACCATTCATCCAAACCCTCATCTACCCACCCACCAATTCCTGTACCTGATCGCTATATGTGACTGAGTACACATTCAATAAATGTCAAGATAGATATACATATAAACACACGTATACATAGAGTCATCTCATCAACTGGGTGGCCCATCTAAAATGGCCAGCGGGAACAGTGGACTGCTGGAGGTACACCTCACAGCAGGGCATTTGGACACCCAAGATGCAATTGGGACACTGGACGTCCCCTAGACTAGACTGTAATGTCCTACATAGAGTACTTCTCTGCAAAGGACAGAAATTGGATTCAAAAAAAACAAAAACATGTTAACAGCACCTTATGCAGAAGTTCCATAATGATTTGGGTGGTTCAAAAGCAGGTCAGTGGGCCAATGCACAGCATACTACCACAGTCAACCAGATGATGACACGTGTCATGACAGGCTCAAAGCCAAAAACTTCTCACATTTTGAAACTGTGGGAGATGTACTTGAAAATGCACTACGGAAAAATCAAGGATGCTGTCAAAAAAGAGCAGGAAGAACTGAAAAACGTACCATCCACTGGGCCAGCCAAGAAGACCACTCTCAATATTGTCAAGCAGCACATTAAACAGGCCTTCAACAATAAGTCTGAAGAAGTGAAGGCAGAGGTGCTTGCTGCTGTTGAAACAATGAAAGAGACAAAGTGTGCAGAAATAGAGGCAGTGAAGAACCAGTGTCATGATATTAATAAGGATGTGTGAGTCACCTTCTTTGTAATTGTTTCTGTAAACTGTGTTCTCTTACATATAGCGCACTTAGATATATATCCAAAATCGCGACAATCCTAACACAATTCTTCAAGGAGTTACATGAGATGACAGATTGGGTATTTACAGTTCTCATGGGTGGGCCACATCCTGATATGGGCAGGGTGCTCGATGTTAGTAGCTTCCATGTTGGAACAACAAAACTGGGCAATTGGTTCAGTCAGGCCTACCCACATTTTTCACAGAATGTTATGGTGCCTTACACACAGTTTATTGAATGTGTCTTTTGTAAGCTAGAGCTCAGTGCAACAATACATAGTACTAACATGTCTTTCAACAGCTGAGGCAGCCACACTGTTGAGAGGAAAGGACTTGCTGCCTGGTTCTACTATGTCATCTACTCTGGCTATCACTCCTTGACCCTCCTCCACCCCCAACATTGTAGCTTCTAATACATCAATACCTGTCCCTTCAAATATTGCAGTCTCAACTGCCAGATCCAACCTGCTGCTTGCTTCAGAGTTTCTTTCTATCTCACAAGGCAATGACACCTTTCATTCCTTCTCTGGCGCTGATGTATTACTGTTGCCAATGGATGACAACTCATCACTTCCCATTCTCCCAATGCCCCTGCAACCTCACGACATGATGTACAGTTTGAGGGAGCTTCTGCAGGACCTGTCTCATGAACACCCACTCAAACAAGCACATCTCTCATTACCAAATGTCACATTACTGCTGAAAATTGATTATCAATTCCCAGATGTGCCATTCCCAAGTCTGACTAGCAATGTCCCCATTGCTAGCCCAAAGCAAGTGGTAGCATAGCTCAATCCTTATTACCTACCTGAGCCCACCTTCATATTTCTTCCTTCCTCTCCACCACTCACACAGCCACTCCCATCAGGCACACTTCCTACCCAAACTCCAGCATCTCCAGGTGGATCCCCTTCTTGGATGTGTCTCAGCCAAATCCCACCTGCTGCAGAGGATTCACCCATTGCTCCAGTTGGTACTGGTAGTGAGAAGTGTGCATGTGAACCTCAAGGAGAGCAGTCAGATGTCTCCACAAAGCGCCAGAAGGCTAATGCTGAGTCTGATGTTCCCACAAAGGGCTGGAAGGCTGATGCTGGCACCAGGCACCACACCACTGATAAAACAATGCACACAAATCTTGAAGTTGGTTGAGGTAAATGTCTATGGGTCCAATCAAAATGTGCTGCAGAAGCTAACAATATCGGTGCACAATTCATGAGTTGAAAGAAATAAGTAGCATTTCCATCAGTCTTGTAATCTGCATATTTTAACTGTTTTTGATATTGCAAATATCATATAATTCTCATCTTACTTGATAAATATCACCTGGAGTGTTTTTTTTCAACAACCACTAGCCAAATCACATTTCATCATACACTGCCCACTCCCATCACAGTCAGTTTTCACTGGGGATGAATGTTGAAGTGAGGCACAAACATGAATATATCAGAAATAATTGAAGTGCATGAAACCTTGATATCAAGGAGAAACACAAACATATCAAAAATAAGGTCAATGATAAAGGAATTTTGATAAGACTGTTCTTCACACTTACAATAAGGAGAAAATGAACTCATGCTTATGTTGAGCGCACTGTCATGTGAACAAATATATACAAATGTTGGACTTAAACAATTCCTTTGCCTTTGCTGCCTGACTGCATTAGACTTACTTTGTAATGACTTGGCCCTTGAAATAAATTGAACAAAGGATAAAAATAATAACTTATTTTCCTTAGCTGCTTAAGGCTAAGTAATCTAAGGTACAAAACTCATTTGTGGGACTTAGAGGAATTTTGATATCTTGGGCCAAATTCAGCCAATGCAGATCACACAAATACTGATCAGACAAAAGAATCCCACGATCCAGGCCCAGCTTCAAGGGGAAGCACAAAGAAGCATGATACCATCAAATGAAGGCCAGGTACCAGGTCCAGAGAACCATGGATCAAGTACTGGACCAGGATCCTCCACTGATGTATTAGCACCCTTAACTCTTTTATCTGTCATTCAGGCCGGGCCAGCAAACCTATGGAGAATATCTGTGAGGCTGTCAACAGCATCCCAGCAAAACGACGGGCTCTGGTATCTCCTCAGGATGCCCCTGCACCCAAGCAAGCACTTACCAGTGCCAGTAGCAAGGGTGAGGAGGAAGCTGATGATGATGACGATGCACCAGAACTTGAGGATGCTATTGATGACAAGGAAGACACCGCTGCTGAGGAAGCTTACCAGAGAATGAAGAAGCATGGGGACCAGGATCGAGATAACTGCAAGTCCCTGAAGAAAGATGAGCAAAGTGCAGACTTAACTATCATTTTCATTCCTGAGAAGGGTCGCATCAACCCCCACACACAGGAGAATGAAGATGGGTGGTGGTGTGAGGTATGTAAGGCCAATGGAGTACCCTTACAGCAGTGCTTTTTGAAGGGCAGCGTCTCAACTCAACACACTCACATCACCCACAACCCTAAGTGCCATTTCCCCATCTACCAGGAGCAGTGTGCTCAATGGGGTATCACAATGCATGATCACGCCATACCTCACAAGTGCAAAACAATGGATGAGCTATGCATATCTTTTTCCTTCTTTTCACTACCATTTGATGACATTTTGCCAACTGTAGTCAGAAAACCTTAGATGGTTCTCTTGCTCAAAAGATTCCTGCATTTACCAAGTCAGGGCTAATGGACTATATCGTCGAACTAATTGTCTGTGAAGATGAGGTACATGAATTCACTTTCTAATCTACCATCAAGATACTTAAATCAAATAGGCCTTCCAACTTGTGGACAAAGGTCCCTTCCATTGTCTCCTGCAATATCTCCAACCCTCCCTTTCAGATAATGACATTCCCTATCGCACCAAAACATGAGATGAGATTCTTGAATGTGCCTGGCTGGCCATCGAGCATGTACAAGAGAAACTCAAGCATGTCAATAGCAAAATATCAATGACATTTGACTCATGGACATCTGAGCCTGGTGATCCTTTCCTTTCCATTACAGCTCACTACATAGGCTCCCTGATTGAAACACCTCAAGAGTGGGAGCTCAGGATGGAGCAGCTTGCTTTCACACCAATTAATGGTAATCACAGTGGCGCAAATATCAGAAGAATTTTGATTGAAACTATCGACAAGCATATGAAGGTTGGTTGGTTTACAGCTGATAACACCACCAACAATGACACCGCTATTGCAACTGTTGCTGCTGATATTGACCCTTCTGGTGAGAAGTGGAGTGCAGTTGAACATCAAGTACAGTTTGTAATATTTGATGTTTCACTTGAACATCTAGATTGCTGATGTGTTTGTTTAGCTGTATGGAGCATGCGCTCCACTTAGCAGCAAAACATTTTATTGAAGAAGTCACTCCTACACCAGTGAGCACTCTACACAAGAAGGCAGCTGAAGATTCAGATGATGAAGATGAAGAGTTTGATGTTGCTGACACCATTGGAAAAGCACTTGCTCTTGTCATGCAGGTAAGCTCTCAAATGTAGTCCTTTCTGTCACTGCATACTGACACCTTTCCTCAGGTTTGAAAGTCTCCTTAAGCTCATGTATTCTTTCAAAAGTGTTGTGATGAGGTAAACAAGCCTCCCCTGAAGCTTCTAAAATGGATCCAAACATGTTGGGCTTCACTTTTCAACATGATGCAGCGTGTTCTTCAATTATGAAAAGTAAGTTGTTTTTACTCATAGCTAACATGAACAGCAGTGCTGATTGAATTGTCAGGGAGTCAACAGGTTTACTTAGCTTGCTGATGATAGTGACGAAGTTCCAAAGCTGCAGGGTGGCAAGTTGTATATGGGATTCCAGCTTTCACCACAAGAGTGGAAGGACTTGGAGTTGATGTATGATGTTCTCCAGGTTCATTATTTTTCTTTGACTAATACCTGTATGCTTACATTCTATGGAACAAGGAACCTGCAGATGCCCAGCAAACATTCTTGGTGACTCACAAACCTACCGTTTGGCGCACAATCCCAGTGCTTGAATTTCTTCAAGAGATGTGGCAAACCATGGCCAACTCTTCAAAATTCAGCAGCGTCTCAATGGCCATTGAGGCTGGGGTCAATAATCTTCAGAAGTGGTATCATAAGACTGATGACACTAGCATATACTTCATCTGCCTTGGTATGTACCATATTTCAATATCTCTGAACCTTAAATGCTAACATGTCAAGTCTGTAGCATTGGACCCAAACTATAAGGTTGCATACACAAAGGTTAAATGGGACCCTGATCACTTTGATGAGGGCATGATGTGCTTCAATAAAGTTGTATGTCATTCATCTTTTCATTAATTGTTCATATACTGATCTTATATAGTTTGATGACTATCTTTGTACTAGTGCCTCCTTCACTCAGTCACCAAGGCTCTTATGGACACAATTGGATGTGCAACTCCATCAAACACATCATGGATGATACAGCAACACGGCTCAGATGGCCTCACCAGGAGCTTGAGGATTATCTGGCCGCACCTCTTGAAGATGTTGACAACATGGTGGCATGGTGGGGGGTATGTCACATAATTTATTTACATTGCTCAAGCTCAAAATGCTTCACAGCACCATTCCATTCAATACCCTACTATCTCCCACATTGCCAAAGATTACCTTGCTATCCAAGGATCTGCATCAGGGAACCGGCAGGAACATGGTTTTTATAGATATAAATGGCAAAATCAGATCAAATATATACTAGATTGTATCTAAAGATAAGGTAATATATAAGCATGCCATCATGGCATTGAAGGGCAATAATAACCCCATGTTGATGAAGGTATATATGTCTTATAACTGTGATATATGGTAGATAAACCATTGGACATACTGGCCATCTGTTACCTAAGCTGCACTTTGTGATAGCTTGTTTGCAATGTCAACCAGGCGGTAATCACAAGTTACAAAGTCAGCACATTATTGACACTCAATGGTCATTACTAGTGGTTATGATGCATCCAAGGTAATGTCTTAACAGACACTGGCAATTCTGGACCACAATCATTATGCACTGTCTAAGCTGAACTTTATGATGGCTCTTCACATTGCCAACCAGTTAACAATCACAGGTGACAAAATGCATGTAATATTTACACCTGATGGCTGTCACTCATAGTTGTGATGTGTCTATGGTAATGGCTTAGGAAATACTAACAGAAATCTACTACAATGATCTTCCAATACCTAAGCTGAACTCATGATGGCTGCTTGCAATGTTGACCATAGAAAGCTACTGAAAGCTACATGATATTGTCACAAAATAGCAATATATAGTATATACAGGGTAAGTTATAAGCAGATTCACATGGTGCTATTTGTCGAATATACTGATGACAGGGCCATGGTGCATCACAGTTAGTGCAAGGCTCCAATCAGGAACATACTACAAACATTGCAGAGTGTGTGCTGAATGCTCATATCTAGCAAGACTTGCTTGCTGATCAGTCCATGCTGTAGTATTATACTTAAATACAGGTCAATTAGTTAATTATTGGGCAAGGGTCTGGAAGGAATATGTACCAAAGGAAATCAGTACATGCTCTCCTGATCAGATCACATGAGAAGACAGAAATATATGTGTTTTTGCCCTTGGCATAAGGGTTGTCAACTACTCATCCATGCAGCTCAAGTTCTGCAGAGAAGGCTTTGAGCCCATGAAAAGGCAGAGTCAGGATGCCATATTGTGTCAGGCATCAGATCAGTGCAGAAAACTGGGAATACGAGATCAGAAAAACACTAGGATAAACATGAATGACATACACGAGCATGATGTGATTGATAGGTCTTCAACAAACAGTGGTACCTGATGGGAGACCTTGAATGGCTGGACAGGATGTGTACAGACTTGTACACGTCATTCCTAAGCAGTACTAGTATATAGTTCAAGTTAGTATACTCTGTGTACTACATAATTCCAGCAGAAGATCATGGGACTTAAAGTTTCTATTGTATGTAACATGTAAATACTAGTGCTGCGGTATCATGATGTGTTAATGCGATGCAAGCACTGAAGGTCGTAGTTCATCTCTTAGGGCATTTGAATGGTCATTTAGAGTTATTTAAGGAAGATGAAGACCTACCCTCTGCACTGCCAATCTCAGATGCTGCCATATGCAAGTGAAACTGGTGATACAAAGACATATCAGTTTTCCGATTTGACACGGCGATTGTGGACTTGAAGTGATGGCTGCCTTGGGTCCTGAAGTCAGGTTTTGTATCAGTATCAGACGTGGTACTCAAGGCGTACCATGTTTGCTTCTAACATCTCCAGTTGCATCTACTGAATGTGAGTTTGCATTCATATCGCTTGAACATGAGCAACACTTACACATCCATCATCACTGACTTGAGGTCCATATATCACACACAATATTGTCTAATATGTTGAATATTAGTAGAGTGAGCAGAGAAGTCAGTAATGCACACCAAACAACAGTAGACTGAGCTTGTCCTAAGATCAGACAAGTGATAGGCAGCGAGCACACTGGTAAATAGCTGTGCAGCCAGGTTCAAGAGGATTCGTCAAACCAGCCAGTGTTCACTTAAGTACAGTACAGAAAAGGCAGGAGCAGAAGACGCGTCTTGCCTCACTATTAGTATCCGAATCCAGTCACACATAAAAGACCTCGATAAACATGTACTCTGTATCTTGAGGAAAGGGAACGTGCCAGTGCATTGGATTGGCAATAAATGGGGTGGAAAAGGGACTAGGTCATATGGATTTGAATGCCAGCTCTTGGCTGGAAATCTGGGCATTCTGATTAGAGAATTTGCTGAAAAATGCTTCAAGCTTACCAGCGTCTGGTTTTTGACCAGCTCTGCTAAGCATGAACAATGTGAACTGCAAAATGAACTTGAGTCAGAACCTACAACAGCTTCAGCCATGCTAATCCAGCCTGCTTAGAAAACCTGGCTGAGAGTGAATTTTTCGAACCATTTTGTGGATATCCTTGTACAATTTTACCTTGAATAGGAGGACGTTGATAGATCTGTTTAAATGTGGATGTAACAAAATATAAGACAAGTGCTTGCACTACACTGACACATGAGACAACAATATGCAGACATGACAGTGATGCAGGAACAACAGTAATGCAGAAATGAGATCAATGATAGCAACACAATGACATGCGGAAATGGTGATAACAGCAGTGATGACAATAAGTATGCAAAAAAAAGCTTGGGCACAATCCAGAGTGCCAATACCATTGTGTCTGGTGCCCTTTCTACCTCGCAGCCAGTGATACCAAGCGATGCAACAGCACAAGCTCTCGCCTGTAGATTAGTTAGTAATATGAAATGCTGTCCGTGCATGGCACACTCACCGTTCGCATGAGGGCAAGCTTATCTTGATATTTCTTTCTCTTATCCTTGTTGAGCTTTTATCAAACGCCGCATTGATGCCACCCATGTTGGAGGAATAGCACATAGAGTCCTAGGTTTAAAATGATCAGATTCAGAATGGAGTTCACAGTGAATGGGAGACTCAAACACCTACTTTGCAGTTGCTCTACCATGTACCTCATTCGAGGTATTGGGGTCCTTTTTCTTTGGCATGGTCTTGTTAGGCGCCATCATTCATTAGTCTAAGTTAGAAGTAAAAGAGAGCTGACTCAGTCAGTGTCGAGGAGAGAACAGTGGTAGGTCGCATGGACTCAGACGAACTCTTCTTTGCTGCAGCTTGAAACAGACCTGTCACAGGATTCATAACAATCGAGTCTGCTCAGCTTCTTTCAGGCTGTCTGAACTAAAATAATATTCTACATGGCTTCGTGAGTGAAATGTGTGATTGATATCACTTGTGAAACTTATGAAAATCACCTGGACATCTGTTTGGAATCTTATCGTTGAAAATCTATCAACATAGATGTTGAGAGGAGAAAGGAATGCACAATCAAGACAGCTTTCAGTGTCTTTGAGAATTGGTGGGAAGAGGAAGTCAATGGTGTCATCGAAGTTTGCGGTCCCACAATGCCATGAAATGAAGCAGAGGTCGCCACAGCACTGAGCAAAGAGACAGAACATGCAACATCACAGCATGACATGGTGGACGCAATAGCACTCGATTCCAGTGGTATCTTGTGCTTGATACATGTAGATTACCTTGATAACATGCACCATGGTGGTACATTGTTATTGTCCTTGACTACTCTTAATGAGACACTAGTACCTGTGTGTTTGGTGTTTGTAGTCCTCGTGATGGCACTCTGTATTTTTGTGGCTCAGCGTGGCTGAGGCTGTTGTGGGTTTTGACTGGGAATGAACAACCAGCAGGACACATCCAAGTCGATGCGAGCCAGTTAAACTAGCTGCTGAACATCCTAATATATTAGGATGTACCTTATACACAAAGCCCCCATCTAGTGAATGCGAAATCGCCAAGTGGCAGAATTATCTTGATGTTGCAGCTTGTCAAGGATTGTTTTTTTATTTATAATTTGTCAGGTATTGATTGACATACACTCAATAGAACACTTTTGCTCGGCTATGGTAAGTGAGCTGGATTGTATCAAGTAGTAGTACTACATGGGGTGATCTTGTGGTATTCCAAAGCCAACAAGGCTCAAGTCAAGTGAAGTATTGACAACAATGTACTAGTAACGTAATGTACATATAGCCAAAAAGCTAATGAGGACATAAGCAAAGCGTCCAAGTGCCTAAGGCCTCAAGTATAGAAGCTGGACAGGAAAGTTGTTTTCAACAACGTGCTAACCATTATATAGTGAATCACTGCACAATGACAATTTAAACTCAGCCGGAAATCAGCGTGTTCACTTGTCAACTGGGCGTTGCCAGCTGGATCTGAATGTGCAGCCATTCAGTATATCAACTGTGCTACTATCCTTCGCGTAATCCCTTCTCTTTTGTGAGCCCCATCCTGGAGTTGGAAGTACTAGTAATGAAATTTACTCTTTGCATTCAATGTGAATAGATAGAGTAGTACATGTGATTCGTGCAGCAGGGTCCAGCTTTGTCATGCTGCCTGAATGCATTAATTGTTGTACTCACCAGACAAGCGGGACTACTGCGGAAGGTCTGGCAAAAACACTGGTCATGCAGGGGAGACTTTCCTATTATTCATTCATATGTACATTTATTCAGTGACAGTTCACTCAAACTTTGGAATTACTGTCTACTGTACTTAGGTGCAGGTAGGACTTAGGACTTGAGTTTAATCCAAAGTATGCATTGGTCCACAATCCACGCCATTTTTGTCCAATAATGCTGCTCCACTATTGGTTGGACCACAATGCTTACATTGTCTACCTGTAAGTATTATCTAATGACCCACAACAGTGATTCACTACAAATACTGACTTTGTGCATTAACAGGCCCTCTTTCTCCTACCACTACCTCGATAAGATACTTCATACATATGTACTGAGGATATTCTATTGTTTATTGACTAGATAGGCTATTTAGCATAGTACGTGAAGTTTGAAGTTCACTACAGCTCAGTCTGAAGTTGACTGAGTAGACCAGACAGAATTCATATGTCAAAACGCACCAGATCCCATAGTAACAATCAGCTTACTCCAACTTGGAAGCATGTCAGAACTGATGAAGGTAAGTCAGCATACAGTATCATACACATTTCATTCATGATAATGGAATGCAGGAAATCAAACTGTGTCACCGGCACTGCAGGATCCACATGTGTGGAAGATTCTTAAACAGTACCTGCTCACCAATATGACATATCCTGAGATGGACAATGTATTGGTTTCATACCTTGGCGATCGATACTCTGCGGGCGACTGGGAGGAAGCCTGACATGCATTGTTTTCGGGTGATGATGACATTGACCTCTGCATGAAAAACCTGGATGCCATGATGCTTAAGCACATACCCCCACCCAAAGATTCTAGGTCTCGCAGTCAACCACTGCATAAGTGATCCTGAGTGAGTGAAATGGTATGATGATATTTTCTATACTAAACAAGCAAATATAGTTGAAAAATCCATATCTTCTCATTGAGGCCTCAGAAGATGAGGATGAGGAGGAAGAGTATGAGGAAAGACCTCCTTTCAGGTTGGCGACACTGTTAGAGTAGTAGCAGGCTCATATTTGGGTTTAGAAGGGCATATCCTTCAAATATGTAATGATATATTTCGCATATGTCAAGCAGTGTCCAAAGAAGAGGTAAATAATTTCTGTAAACTGAAAAATTTGCAGCATGCACTAATACTACGTACATAGGTGGAGGTTTTGAAGTTCTATGTAGATCATTGTCCTCTGAGTCATACCCTACAACCACAGCTACCGACACAGCAATATTTCGAGCCCCCCCTCAACTCCGAGTCTATTGAAATTGGGGACATGATAGAAGTCCTTGTGGGAGAGCAGATAGGGAAATGCAGCATTGTGCAATGGTTCCTAAGGGAGGAACCCATTTGTGGTTCCAGGATACAACACTGACAGTGTCTGGCACACTGTCAAGTATTTGTGTTCCTGCAGTATGTGTTCAATGAACATACCTCATCAAGACAGTCCAGTACACCAAGGAAAGGGGTTACGATATCAGGCCTGGAGACATTGTGAATGTACTCTGTGGACCAGAGTATCAGAGGAAAGGGGTCATGACAAACGTTGACTTTCCCAATGGTCGCTTGACCCTGATATCTGACATTGACTTCTCCCTTGTAAGTATTATTCACCTCGATTCCAACATCTCTGACTTATGATAGATCAGTGTACAAATCAAATTCATGGAGAAAATACACAACATCAACTTGGATTCCTTTAAAACGGATATTGGCCAAGAAGTTTTCATTATTGGGGGTGACTGGAAGGGGTACTGAGCCACACTGTACGATCTTGCCCTTGAGACTTGCACCATTGCTGTGCATGGGCAGCAGCGCATGATCCTTAAACTTCATGATGTTGCTACCAGGTGAGCAGTGGTCATTTTTTGTGGTGACGTAAAGCTTGATGGTTATTCAGGTATGGAATAAGGTTAAATGGTGCAATACTCAAAGGCCCTGAGTTAGCTTCATTTTGTGAAATGCATCATAAATCTTACTTGGCGCCACCCCCTCAAAGCACCACCCCACCTGTGGAAAAAGTTCCCACCAGCTCTTCAGTTTCTATCGCAGATCTGATCCCATCATCATCTAACGTATGGTCCAGCTGGTCGGCAAGCATTGACAATATTGATATGGTGCATGACCCTGTTAATCCAATTTCATCAACATCCAACCCCTGGGCTGTCAATCTGCAGGATAGCATCAATAACATACATGAGAATTCTCAAGACATGGGTAAGTCCTCAATGGAGGCATAAGAACTTTGCTTATTCCATTACAGGCTCACTACCTTGGTTGATGACCAAGGAGTTTGCTTCAACATTTTTGACATACCATGCAGTGTTGAAGGTCTCACTGAGTTTCTTGGGAGGCAGGTTATACAAACGATTTGTATTGACAGCTTGTCCTGATCCCTTCTGTGGTGACAATGGACCTGCGCCGGAGGGTTGCATCACAGCATTTTGCACCTCTAACAGTGCAGGTGCTCAAATTGTACACTATCACATCCCCTCCAAGGATTTGAGCCAGCTCCTCCATGCAAGAAACAGCAAGAAGTCCTTGTTCTGGATGGAGATCATCACGGGCATATCTTAACTGTAACAAGGTGTTACTCCAGCAAAAGTGTTGCTGAGATCAGGCTGACAGCTAAGGATGTTATAACTCTGTGGTACAACCACATATGTCTAGTCAAACCTTCTCAATGCACAAGATGATAGGCTCTATGTATATAATATTTCGCTTTTCTACAGCCATCCAAGTTACCATAGGCAGTACTTAGTATCTATATCTGTATTAAGCATGCTGGAATTGGGTGCTATTGTGTCCACTACGTCATGCTGTGTGTGTTTGTATGTGATGTCTATTGAAGCCTTTTGGGTGCTGCCAATGGAGTTTGAATCCATCATGTCATTCATTATATAAACCCCAATGCTTCACAATGTCCAGTTTTTGCCATCTTATTAATATGATGTTGTCCCATCACTTTACATAAAGTACTTAGCGAAGATGGATGTTCTCTAGTAGTTTATGTACTCATATGATATATGATACACAAGTTACAATTGTAATAACCCCTACCCATTTGAACACAATAAGGATGAGATCTTGAGGCTAGGTGCAGCCATAATTTCTTCTACCATCATGTATTGACTGAAGCAGTTTATTGCATCATAAAACCAACAGTGCAAAATTATGCAAGTTATAGGATAATCAAGACATGTCATATATATGTAAGTGCTCCAATTATCTGGTCGTTCTATCATATGTACACCCCAGTGTTGTAGGATCAGCTTAGGGTATGATTCTAATCATACAACAGAAGTGCATAGACTGGTTGGTTATATGAGGACATGCATAACCTTGAACAAGTACTTTTCTAAGGATAGAAAACTGCAGGTACGCAAGCTCTTCCAAAAAGATTTTCTATATTCACTAAATTGAGCATCATGTGAGTGCATAGCCTTGATGCAAGGAAGTCCATTAATGCATGTAACTGCAAGAACTTGTTGCGCACTTGGCAAAGTACTGCCCTGGGCAGATCCCTCTAGTGCGTTGACATATTGATGCCTCGACATATCTGCTGCCTGTGGCACAAAGGCAACATGGGTAGTGAAACACATGCCTTTCACGATAAGCCTCAAATTGTGAAGGGTGGATTTTCTGCCCATATTGGTCAGTTGGCCTGTAGTGGAGGTTTATATGTGAGGGAAGAACACTTCTCTATGAGAACAACTTATTTACCATTGATATGTTGCAAGTTCTCTTGTTTGGGCATGGTAATGGAGTATGCCATGGGCAGTGATGATATTTACCAGCATCTTCACGACATTGGGGTCAGCTACAAATTCTGGGCATTCGAGCATTGAACATTCAGATGGTGGAGAAGACAGGGTGGACATGTCAGAGTAAGGATACAATATTACGCTCCAAATCCAATGTTTTATATAACTTCTCGTCGGTTCGCTTCAGTTTACCATTGCATTCCAACTATTGCAAATATTTGAATCATGGCTGATTTACCACCATCAGGTATGCCAGCGCCCTACCTGGCAGGAATTTGGTCCGTGGGAACTCCCATGGAGGCAATTCAGGTGATCGAGCTGGCCATCACTCAGAGTGCCTGGGTTATGACATTGGATGAAAATGGCAAGTTCAATCCTTTCATAGGTTTTTTTACTGTTGAGCTCAATTGTATCTACCCATCTCCGTAGTTCCTTGATGAGTCTGCCTGATCTTTCACAAAGACTGTTCCAATGCACTTGCTTGCATCAGTTCTCTCAAGCAAGTGCCTATACAAAGCATCAACACTCTTGCACAAAGGGCAAGAAACACTTATTTTCTGCTTTATCAAGAGCAAAAGAACTCCTAGGCTCTGGGAAATGGACCAAACTGCATCTCAATGATGGCAGGCAGCATGTGCTGCGTGAGCATGACGTCTTTGAGCACGCAGCCCCACTCTTCACAGGCCCCGCCATTGTCTTCCGAACAGGCCAACAACTCATTGAACATAGAGTTCTGCCAAACTCTGCCAGCAGCGCATCCGTTGGAGTCATGTGCGGGTTCGTTGTTGCAAGCCAACATGCACATCCCACCATCCAATCCCAATCTTGACACTTCCTCTATGGAAGTAGATGAGGGTTTGTCATTGGCACAGCACAGACATCAGTGTATTGGCATTCCCTTACCAATTCGCTATAGACAGTATGAAGATGTGCTCCCACAGCCTCCCCTGAGTGTTCCAAACTACACTACCCAACAACCTGAATCTGTCTTATCTGCACATTCCTCTGATGTGCCTGCTAGAGCTTGTATGTTGTCTGCTGCTCCTTTCTGTACCACAAGGAATGTTTTTGGCCTAGCACGTCAGTTCTTCTCTTCTACCCCCCCTTGTCACGACCCAGAAGAGGCCATGACACTGCAGGATATTAGTTTTATCCCCACTGTTACTCCAGAATCTCTCAGAGATAGCCCTGTCATGCCTCACAACAATCTTTATCACCCGTACCCCAATGAGTCTTCTTTCAAGCTTGGTCATTGGTATTGGAACGGTGGTGTACAGAAGTCCCATCAGAGTTTCAGGAATTTGCTTGATATCATTGGCAGTCCAGATTATGATCCTTGCAATGTGTGGCATACACACTGGGATAAAATCAATTCTCAATTAGGATCAAGCATTGATGATGAGGGAGACAAATGGGAAGATGAAGATGCTGGTTGGCTAAAACTAAAGTAGCCATTGATGTCCCTTTTTCTCACACCACAGCTCAGCTGGGTCCTCGACCTTACATTGCAGCAGACCTCTATCATCGGTCTCTTGTATCTGTCATTTGGGAAAAGCTCGCAAATGCCCATGATGATGAACATTTTCATTACGAGCCCTATCAGCTGCAATGGAGCTCCCCTCATCTTCCACATGGAGTTAACATCCAGGGCGAATTGTACACATCACCAGCCTTCATGGATGCACACCAAGCTCTTCAAGAATCTCCTGGGGAGCGAAGTTGTAATTTACTGCGTGTTGTCACTGCACTTATGTTCTGGTCAGATGCCACACAGCTTATGACATTCAGTAACACAAAACTTTGGCCGGTATACATGTACTTTGGAAACAAATCAAAGTACTGTTGTTGTAGACCAACTTGTTATTTGAGTAATCATGTGGCATACTTTCAAAAGGTATGACGATTATTCTGAATTGTACTACTACTTAGGAAAACTCATGGTCTTGGCAGCTTCCCGACTTGTTCAAAGATTTTGTGGGTACTTACACTGAAGGCAAGGGGATTGGCTGCAATTGTACAACACATTGTCATCGTGAATTATTTCAAGCTCAATGGAGTGTTTTACTTGATGATGAATTTTTGGAGGCATATGAACACAGCATCATAATTCTCTGTTGCGACAGCATCAAACACAGATTTTACCCCCAGATATTTACTTATTCTGCAGACTATCCTGAAAAGTGAGTCTAGAATGTTTCCTGTAATATAAAAACTCACATTAGCCAGGGTCCTTGTTGCTACTATCCAGCAGCTGGGAGGTTGTCCTTGTTCGCGCTGTCTCATACCAACAACAAGGCTTCACCAAATGGGCATGAGTTATGACAGGCAACAGCACACAACTCTCATGTGTTCCAATACATCGAGGCGCCAGCTGGTTGCTACCACACACTCCCATATTTATGATAAACATTATGGTGTAGATAGTACTGTGGTTGAGTCACTTCTGAAACCTGATTTGTGGGTACCAACATCCGTGAGTGTGACTCTCAGTATCTTTCTTGCCCATAATAACCCTTGATTAGAACACATTGTCTGACCACCTCAGTCCATTTGGATTCAATGTATGTATTGCACTTGTCATTGACCTTCTGCATGAGTTTGAGCTTGGAGTGTGGCGCATGCTTCTCATTCATTTACTGAGAATTCTTACCACATTGAGCAAGGACCTAGTCCATGAACTTGACAGGAGGTTTGCCAAATATCTATCTGATGATGTCTTGGCAGGCTAACACTCATTTGTGACAGGTATAGGCAGGTCCCCCCATTTGGACCAGCAACCATTAGATGGTTTTCTTCAAACTCTTCAGACATGTTGAACATGGCTGCACGAAATTTCAAAGATCTTTTACAAGTATGCCTTTGGAACAATTCTCATACATCATTGTAAACTAATCTTGCCTGAGTGCTCTATTCCAGTCTTCGATGTGCTTCTTCCTGCTGATCATAACAAAGTTGTGATTGATCTCCTTTTCATCATGTCACACTGGCACAGCCTCATGAAGCTTTGTATGCATTCCGACTTAACCTTGGATATCCTTGACCAACAGATGACTGATCTTGGGGCACAGTTTCGTCTGTTCAAGGAAAAAGTCTGCCCTTCATATGAAACCCAGGAGCTTGACCATGAAATTGCTGCATGATCTCGCTGGCAGGTGAAGGATATGGCAAAACAGGCCAAGAAAGTCAGGGCAAATGAAAAAACTTGCAAAGATATCAGTGCCAAAGGGAAAGAAACAGCACGTCCAGGGCCACAGGATGGACCTGTTCCAAAGGAACCACGAAAGGGAGGTCGTTTAATTTCAATACTTACAAATTTCACACACTTGGTGATTATGTCACCTCCATCCGTCACTTCGGCACAATGGATTCATACAGCACTGAACCGGTAAGTCGGCGCTTACTGTCAATCCATTACACAACTCACTTTCTGCCAGGGAGAGTTAGAACATTGAACACCGAAAAGCAGATATAGTTGTACTGATCGGTGGGCCTTTGTTCACCAACTAACCCAGATCAAGCACCATGAGGCATGCTTGCACCACATTAAGCAACAGCAAGCACATCAAGTCCCTCGTGCAGATGTACATGAAGATGTACATGAATCAGCAAGCAACCCCCAACTACATTATCACATCGGCCAAAGCAAGAAGCTGTACAATGGGTTGGGTCAATACCTCCGCAATCACACAGGAGATCCTGCCATCAAGGTAAACAATGTTTATGATTAAATAATTGTCAATCATTCTGACATGTTGTTCAGGACTTCCTGCCTTGATTGAAAGAACATATCTTCAATTGCCTCGAACCGGAAACCCCTGAATTTCCCGTGCAGACATCAACCCATGTCAAACAACATAATTCTATTTTTTTCAAGCACGACTGAATTTATTATCACAACCTCGCCAGATTTAACTACACCACTTATGATGTCCGATGGGCTCAGGACATCATCAATCCTAAGACTCCTCACTGCAACATTATGTTGCTCAAATACAATCATGATGATGGTGGACACGGTGGCGACTTCCTTTTCGCTAAAGTCATCAGTATTCATCACATTAACGTTGTGTGTGCTGCAAATGTATACAAATCTCAGCGAATGGAATTTCTTTTTGTTCAGTGGTATGAATGCACACAAAGTCACGCATGGGACACTCGCACTCTGGGCTGTGTTCATTTCTGGCCTCTCAAAAGCCAGGATGCTTTCAGTTTTGTGGACCCAAGAGCTGTACTTAGGGCATGTCATATTGTACCAGCCTTTGCTCGAGGCCAGCAGAATTCAGGTGAAAGTAGAGTTTCCCCTCTTGCAGGGGATAGGCAGCAATTGGTTAGAGTACTACATCAACAGGTGGATTCACTTAGTTTCTGTTATCACCTGTGATCACTAATACTGCAGCACAAGCTTTGTTGATTGTGACACCATGATGCATTTTCATTATGGCCTTGGGGTGGGCCACTTATACTTTCACAATGTAAGAGTTGTAGAGACACCTAGTAGCCCAATTAGTGCGCAGACTCTGGCACAGATGGTAGATAAACACTTGGAAGCCAGAGGAAGCCTTGGGAAAGCTACTCAATGGCAAGCTCTTGCTGATGAAGAGGATGAGGAAGATCACGCTGGTGTGGAGGAGCTTGATTTTTTTAATAATGGTCTCAATGCCAGCACAGAGTCGATGATCAACACGCTAGATGAGATGTTCACAACTGGTCATACTTTTGATTATGAAAATTAATATACATCTTTCATCGCTACCACTGCTCTCCGAAGCATTGCAACATATTCTTGCTTCTCCCTGGCATGTTCAAGATCTGCTCATGCTCCTTTTTGGTGTGCCATTATTCGCCGCTTATTTTGCTTCTTTGCCGCATTGGTAATGCCTGGCATGCCCTGGCTGAACCTTGACACACCATCGCAATGTCTAATAGCCAAATGAAGCAGATGGCAGAAAAATTTACATCTAAATACTTAATGATATCACATTCACTGTTGTTTTCTGCAGCTTCTTGTCCAAGATGCAATTGTCAGCTTTGCTTCAACCTGCTCAGGCTACAGCCAGTCCAATTTATGTCTACATGAACTCAGGATGTTGGTCATCAAGCTGAGTGTCAAGACTTGTGCCTCTTAGGGTAAGTACAATTTTCACCATGTATCATCCAAGCTATTGCTGATGGGCCTTCTGTAGGTTGAAGAGGTTCGCTATCACTGATTGATTGTGACACCTACTAACTTTTTTCAGCCATTCCATGGCCTTATCAGTTAATACATATTCATAGGATATGCCGCCCATGACTATCAACTCTCACTGATCTATGTGAGGTTATAATCCTTTGCAGTTATTTTTTCATCTCATCATGTTCATTTATAGTGGCCTGCTGCAATATTACAATCTCACAGACCCATCCCATGAGATCAGTAAAGCATGTTGGACTTCTGTCTTGTAGGAATAGTACTAGGCAAGATTCGATTTATCAGATAGAGGTGAGCGCTCTGTATACCACATGATCACCTTTGATCAGATGAACGTATTAGCATAATGGACCTATATTCCTCCAAGAAATTAACACACAGCTTTGCGGGGCCAGTCCACATGGGCTACTCTGTCCCATGTGGTCGGTGAGTACCCTTTCTGGTGCTAGTATATCATCAGACTCATCACCCCTGCATACATAGCTCGACAACCTACATGGGATTCATGTTCCACCTGGCAATGTTCCCAGAGGGGTTCCTGCCTCCCACCCCTCTCGCCTCCATTAACCTTCCCTTACCACTATCGTGGCAGGACCTGGACTTGTTCTCTTTCTAGCAGCCTATAGATTTTGACTATGAAACTATCACGGTAGATCCCACCACCACATCTTCAGATGTCATGCACACACCTGCTTCAGAGGATAATAGTAGCCAATCCAATGACATGATCTTTGCCGATCATCAGCCCGTCATTCATATCCACAAAGAGCTCCATTGGAGACAGACATTCAAAGAAGATCTGTTTGACACATTGCCAGAAGAAGTCGCTTAAAAACGCGTTGGTGAACTCGCCTTGGGATGGCCCAATCAGGCTGGGAAAATTGCTTTATGTAGGGCATCTATTGGTTGGGTTACCCACCAACCCATTCACAATACATAAGGCAGATTCTAGGTGGTTGATAACCACCAGCTTCTTAAGAGCCCTCCACCTCAATCTTCAGATATATGAGCAATTACATGATGAGCCACTGTGAGTGTTTGCCTCTAACTCTAAACGTCATAACTAATGATGTGATCAGTAATGGTACTCAATGATGCTGGGAGCGAGACCACTGTGGGATGGGTGTATTTGCGCAAAGAGTATGCTTGCTCTAATGCTCTCCCTTGACTCACTGTTAAACGTTATGGACAGTTCTTGGATTTTTTCATTGATTTTACTTCCGAACTAAGGAAAGTTGTTAAAGGCGGTATAACACCATATGCTGGGTTTGCGTCTAATGCAGACAACCAAGCCTCAAAAATCCTCCACTTAATTGACTTATTCAATTCAGGTAACCAAGAAATGGTAAGGCATTTGAGATCACTTAATACAGGCTTAAACTTTTTGTCTTTCAGATCCAAGAAGCGATCACCAGTCTCATCAACACTCAAGGTTTCAAGGAGATACTGTGGCATTCATTATTTCGACCCATTGCTGTGTTAGCTGGAGGACGCGCAAGATTAGCAGATTTATATCCCGAAGCCATCCAAACCTTGACAGGTTTTCTGGGAAAGGGTATTGTGGGCATACTGACAACTCTGGTGAGCTTTAACTCTCTCCATCCTTACTCAGAGATGCCGAAAGTTGTACTGCCTGTATTAGATCTATCAAGCATTTACTCTGCCCTTGCCATTGAACCTGAACAACCCTAGGTTGAAATTGTTTGACATATATCCCATCATCATGATTGCACTGGATGACATGTATGCACACCCTGAGCGCTTCCATGCCTTCTTCACAGTGGCCAAGAAGCTCCCCTACCTGCAGTCAGTGTCTTTCTCCCACTGTTGGCCTTGCTCATCATGATATATGTTCAGAGAGCAAATGTCTTAGTTATCGACCCCAAGAGCCGAGAACCCAGGACTATGATGGTAAATGGAGTGAAGTGGCCGAGGAACATGAGTGATATTAGGGATATAGTTGTCGTGACCACTCCTGAATTGGAGGTCCCCTATGCACAATTCATGCTTCCACTTTCTTTCAAGGCTGTGACCATACACAGGTTGTACTTCATGAGGCTGTAATCTACATTGATGGATAACACTATGAATAGTTGCTCATATGTGTTCAAAACAAAAACTTTTTTCTATTACTTAGCTATACCTATCAACAGCTGTGTCAGCGAGGTTCAAATGACAACGAGGTCATATTCCAGGTCAGATGAAGCACTTTACTGTAGATGCTGGTCAGAATGTTGGGAATGTGCTGACTTGGATATACTTGAATAGCAAACAATTTTGAAGGTATGGGGATGCTGTAGCTGTCGCCAACTACAGAACCAGAGGTCTTCAATTGCACCTCTGCGACAAACGCAAATTCTAGTACTGTGTAAGTACCAAAATGTCCCCCACATATTCAACAGTCTCACTACTAGTAGAGTCTGCATCCTCTGGCCATGAGTCCCATTGATAGTCTATAAAAGGCATAGAGATCATAGACAATAATCACTTAGTGAGTTCATGCCATGTATTTGCTTCAATAAGTATGTCTCATCAGTGTTCAATGCACTTTTACCCTTGCCAGTGCTATCTCGCCATGTGACCCATAATCAGTAATTTTCCGATGGTCAGGAAGTAATTTTGATGGCCAGCTATCTTGATACGGCTAGCTATCTTTGGACAGCCAGGCATTTTGATGGCCAGCTGTCAGTTCCTATTGAAATTATTTTGGTGTTCAATCACCACCGTGATTCAGTACAAATGGGAATGAGATAATACAACAAACTTATTACTCTCATTACTCTCAACCGTCATTTATAATGTTGATTCCCTCATGTCTTCCGCTGTTCAACTCCTTGGCTACTCAAGTCAGCATGTTTGAACTCTCCAACGCACTACCCAGTCCTAGATGGCTGGATTTCTTCATAAAACTCATACCAACAGAAAAGGTCAGTCAATATTATTAAAGCATCTTTTTTCATATTTTGAACTTATCAATGTTCATTATACAGCTCCGCACTGAATTATATCTCCTGTACTTCTTGCTCAAAGGCCAAGTGTATATCGGCAATATTTGGCAAATAGTTGGGGAACAGATGTTGGAAGTGCAGAGGGAGGAGTCATTATGAAATCCTGCTGAGGATTGTATGAGACATGTGATTATAGAGTAAGAATTCATGGAAGGAAAGAGGGACTGATGTCAGCTGGAAGTATCTTTGTGCAGCCAGGCCATTAATCACCTGGAGCAGCTGCTGGATGATGTGTAAGAGACTTCGACTTCAGCAAGCAAATCAGTAGGTCTGATAATTTGCTACTTAGCAATGTGCCCTGTTCCAATCCAGTTATCCATGACACCACCCCTTTCTTAGTGACCTTGAGATGCATTGTCAAACCTGCTGTGACATATTCAGCAGCTGCACAAAACAAGTGTGAAGCTTGGTTATAGAGACAAAATACTAACCCCATTATCAAAAATAACTCACTCCCAAACAGCTCTAGTCTTTCGGCTGCTGAGCAATTCACTTATACACCGCTAGAACAACAAACATCGTTCACTGTGAAGGTCAGTACTATCACCTATCTTTTTGGCTGCTCTTATGGTATCTTTGAAGTTTAATGGTCCTCTCTTCTGCCTGCTGAGCACATGGGTCACCACTAGTGTCCAAGAGGCCTTCGATGAGGCATGAAAAGTGGAACTAGCTACTCAGGCGAGACTGATGGCATCATACCTTGACATTGATGGCTACCATACCCATCATTGCAATGCTCAGTCGGAACTAATTTTCTTATAAGCAAAGTTGTGCAGGGCCCAAGCTGAGGCAGAAGCTTGTGCACTGGCCATTGAAAATGCCCCTGCATCTAACTATTCTGATAGTGGTGGGCTTATATTATCACTGTGTTATCTTCAAATTCTAATATCATTGCAGAGTTACCTTTGCCCCCACTGCCCTGACTCTCCCACCACTTCTACCAGAGGAAGTGCGTCTCTACAAGGAGTACATGAACTGCTGAATTAAGCAATGACTGCTCTGCTTCCAATGCCTCATGGTGATTTTTTGCATTTTTTGCAGTCCAGATACAGATCCCAGACAGGGTGCGTTTTTTTCTCTTCATGTGGTAATACATCTACTACCGGATAGACCACATTGCAATGTTCAACAAGTGCACGTATCTTTATATGCTTTTTCTATGTACCAATCTGTACCACCAACATTGTAAGACACTGTAGCTTCTACAAAATCCTGCAATATTGATCAGGTTCTCAGTGTACTCCTAATAAATTTTATTATTCAAGTTGATGCGGTAAATGCAAAGATCACCTTGACTTATTATCTGTGTTTGATGTGTGTTATTGATACACAATTATCACACAGATACACTCAACTTCAACCTATAAGGCCAAATAAGGAACATTGGTACTTAGGTGAGGCAACCTCTCCTAATCACATCTACTACTTCATATTCATGTTACTACTAGTTAGACTAAATAATGTCTCGCGTCATCTACAGCCCTCAACTCAGCGACAACGGACTTGTAAGTGTGGCATGCATGCAGTGTAGCACCATCTGACATTCGACAGATGCAATTGCAAACGTTGGAGGTGAATATGGTGTGCATTTAATACTGCACTTACCGATATGGGCCTAACTTCAGGACTTGAGGTGGCCACCACACCAACTCATCTGCACCGAACACTATGTGAGAAAATGAGAAAACTGTGTGCTGATGGCTTCACTTGCATGTGGCGCACATGCTTGAGATTGGCGATGCAAAGGGTAAGTGCTTTGTTGGATCACTCAAAACAACGCTAATGTATCCTAGAGATGAGTTAATAGATTTGCTACATACTACTAGGAATGCTCAGAATACAATACCCTGCATCACCATGCATCAAAGTAGTACGTAGCACTTGTCCAATCTACCACACAAGTTACAGTGGCATGCATCTTTCATTAATCACATAGAGCATAGCACACATAATCTTATAATAACTATACAACAGTAGTACCACTAGAACATACTATACCACACATCAATACCATAGTGTAGAATGCAGCCATACTTATGATAGTACAGCAAAGTACCATGTTGAACAGGGGTAGTCTAAATTTCGTTCACTATTACTATGATATTCCTACATAATCAGTTGCACAATATCATGGTTCCTTGCAGGTGCACTTTGTACTGATTCTGAATACAGACTCAGAGAGTATCTATATTCAATTCAGAGGATCAGATAACAATTGATTGATTAAGATAGTACTTAATTATTTATGCTTGTTTGTGCTTCATACTCATTCACTACAAACAGCATGCAATTCATTGAGTTATGTAATCATATCTCTCTCTGTGCTGCCATCATCATCGCCACTTACTAGTACCACTAATTGTGCCAAGACTGATTGTAGCACAACACCTTCTTGCAAGTTTGCAAGTTAGAAAATCTATGTTGGTATGTTCAGTCATGGTGCGCATTCTAACCCTGCAGTATTCAGGATGTTACCATACTTCAGGCAACATTGAACCCTCAACTGCAGGCAGTGGCGGGGCTGTCTCAACATGGTATTGGTATCTGGCCAACACAACTACCCCAGTACGCCGAAGCAGTATTAGCTGTAAGTCCAAACCATAATGATATTATGAATTTTAATTAGAACTAACATTTTCTGTATATAGTGCAAATGATGCACCTGAAGATACTTCGGTCCCTAAGAGAGCAATCCATGAGCCCCAGTTGGTTGCCCCTTTCTGCCAGTGACTATTTTAAACCCATCAACAGGCCCGCAATTTTTGGAGATTGGCAAGAGTTGATTCACCTGTTAGGCGGGACATATTACTATAATACTAACAAGGTAAGCCACATTGCTCGTAGAAGTCATTCATTAACTTCATTCATATTAGAATGCATACACATTGGTGAACCTGAGGAACTACCAATATTTACAGATGCTCAATGATTTTGTTGATGCATCACAAGCCTCAGCAAAAGAAGACAGCTGGGTGCTGGTTGTTCAGCAGCTTTGTTCTTAGGAGAATGAAGATTTCAATATTACTACATGGTCCCCGACCGCTGCACCATTGCTTGGTTAGAAGACTTGAATGGTGTCATTCTCTTTCGAGAGTGTATCAAGCCAAGTGAATGGGGCCATAAGAGTACATTTCCCTTTGACAATCACTTTTACTTGTACCCAAGCTTGATTATGATCATGTAGAACTTGAACTTGAAGCTCAATATTGGTAAGCAGTTGAACAAAAGACCTCACAATTCGTCATTCTCAATGATTGGCAGGAAGCACTTTGAGTTTTTTCCCCACAACTTCCAAATGGTAATGTCCGAAGTGAGAGGCATAAGGAGAGAAGTTATTTGCTATCTTGGTGGTAAGCACTATGCCATTCCATTGATGTCCAGAATGATCTGAGCAACATAACAGAAGCGACAATTTTGAGTCAATCCACAGCTGTGTTGATATTCTGGACTTTGGATGACATGAGTCTAATTATCACACAACTGGCCAATATTGGTATGTGCCCTTGTCTCATCTTCCACAGCATCCCAGTGACAGAAAAACAGAAGACCTCACAGAGCATGACTTAATACTGGAAACCAGCATTGTATTCTGTTGTGCATGATCATCTCAAAACCATGTGTTGAAACACTGATCTCTTCAATGACAGGCAGGATTTTGTATATCCTTTGTATGTTGCATTTTGTAAACTACCCATTCATTGTTCAAGCCTGCAATACAGGGCACCACCAGTATCTGAACCAACACAATCAACCTGAAGCTCGGCTCACTTCAAACACATGCAGTGAGAGAGAGGCCTAGAAAGCACAAATTTCTGTCTTGGATGGCCAACGTTGCAGCTACAGTTCTATGTATGCTGATCACTATTGAACGCATCAGGAGTACTTCTGTTGATGGTATTATCAATGGGGTGGAAGTACAGATGTTCATCGATGATTTCAGCAGTCAAACTAAAAACCAAATCACCCTAGTAAGTACTTTATCTGTGTTGCAAATGAGACAACCTCCATTCAGTTACTTTGACAGGCAGGTGTCTCCATGGCCTTGGATATCGCCATCCTTGCCATTCCAGGCTTAGGCACAACAGCCATTGCACAGACGCTGTGCTCCTGCTCCTTCCTTTTGGGTGTTGGTTGCATTTTGCACAGGCACGATGGTGCAGCACTTTTGTGAGAGAATGAGATCTTTTGACTTTACGGTTAGATTATTTTCACACATCTCAAATTCGAGTCTGACATTGCCAACTGAATAGGCATATTACTTGCGGAAGAGGGTGATAATGCTCATCGTTATCACAAGCATACCAACTTGTTTTTGTGTCCTGAGGTAATCAGATTTTGATTCTGACTACTATTGCTCATAGAATTATCATCAGTGTGTCAGGTTCCATCCTTGAATTCTTGGCAGGTGTCTCAATCAACTTCAAGCCATCAACACCCTTAGTAGTTTCATGCTTTGTTACAATCAGCATTGTGGTAGGTTCCTTACTTATAATGGTGTTTGTCAGTTATGGTCCAGGCCTGGCTAGGGCATGGCCACAGTGATATATTTGTCTGGAAAATGTGGAGGACATTCTGCAAGTACCACAGATTTGGAATGGAATGCATTGGTGCATATATACTTGCATCTCACAAACCCCACTTGAAGTCAGGACCTAAAGGGTAGTTATAGTGATTTACATAGATGCGATCAATTGTCTTATTCTGTTTTTTTGTGATTGGCTACCCCTCATGCAGGCGTCATTGGGTTTGTGCAGTTTTTTCCAGTGGTAACAGGCACCAAAAATCACATTGATGCTCATAAAGCTCAACTTTTGCATACAGCATCAGTTTACGGTGGATCAACGAACTACTTGGGGTACAAAGCTTTACTGCATGCTATTGTAACTGCAGCTTTATCAATATGCCAAGGTTTTTCAGCCATTCCCTGCACTGCGATGATCATTTTACTTGTTTCAAAACGACTTCGGAGTTGACTCCTGGTCTTCGACCTCGTTGTTGCCATTGCCTGTGCATGGTCAGTTTATTTCAAGGGAGCGTGTGTAGGACATACTTTGGGTGGGAGAAGGGGCGTTCCATGCGATTTGGTGAGGAGAGTATGTACTGATTCCACTTGGTGCATATTTCTCCAAGATTCTGGCATGGTAACATTCCTCTAGCCAATGCAATCTGTATGTTTGGTACAGTTCCTCCAGTCTTGAGCAGCATGATTCTGCATGTTGCAGTTGTTCCTTGAGTTTGGCTATGGACTCTGCCTTGCTCGCTTTACAGCCATGGTTAGGGAGAACAAGGGGAGCCTTGTTGTTTTCCTGCTGCTGGCGAATTTTTGATGACATCTGCTCCTCTGTTCTGTAGTGAGATTTGGGAATGATTGATGGTGGTTCACAGACCTTACACCAGGTGAGTTCTATAGGCTCATCCCTTTGGTTGGCATCACCTACTATTTCAATACTAATAAATGACATTAGTAAACTGTGTTTCATATGGTTCATCAGTTACTGGAGGTTCAAGCTGATAACATGTCCAGACAGATTGAGGGTTCGACTCTCACTCAAAGATTGTTGCATCTTCAGGTTGAACAAAGGCAGTAGTTATTGTCTAATGGCAAGCTGCACAAGAAGTCACAATATCTATTCTTTTTGATAAATGTCAGTTCTTTTTTAAGCTATGGAATTAGTTGCCATCAATTTAATTCTAATCTTGTCCCCCAGCCACCGTGGCCAGTGCTTAGTGGCCATCACTTGGCCGCCATCAGGTATGCCAGTCACCTAGAATCTCACATAATGGATGCTGGGGATAAAAGCTGGGTTCCAGTATGTGCGAATCATGTACTTCCTTTTCTTCCTCCCCAGCTTGCATGACCATCCAGGATTCTACTTCCAGTATTCCAACCAAATGCACTGCAGTCAGCCCTCCAGATGGGGCCATGCAAAAAAGCGTAGGCTGTCCCCAATGTGTGTCACATGTTTGCAGACTCATCTTGTCCCACAGTTCAATGTCTGATCCTCTTATCTCCCATGGGCGGCACTTTGGCTAAACTGTATTCGCATTGTGCAATTATCCTTCTCTTCTTACTAATGGTATCCTCCAATTGGAGCAAATGGAAGATACCCCACTAGAGGACTTGTCTGCTGAGTAAAAATAATATCATTTCTGTTTGCTTGCTTCTCAACTGATGTATCTCACAGTGAGCGACTGGGAACATCATGTTTTCGAACAGCTTTTAGATTCCTATCCCAGACTTTTAGAGCGACTACAAAATGGATCTGAGGAGGAAATCATTCATGTTGGAGAATTGGTGCGTTGTTTTTTGTGTAGCTGGAGTTCATACTTACAATTTATAGGTTGGTAAGGGAGCCGCAGGCGCCCAAGGTGATGACATGAAAATGTTAAAATCTGCAGTTCTTGATTGGATTGCCCCAAAAGGAGCAGAAATTGAGCCTCCTCTACATAGAAACTCAAAAATTGACCATGGATTCAATCATCAACTTACAGGATCACTGCTTTGTCCCGCTGGGCTGGATTGGAACAACCCAGAGTAAGTGTTTGAATTACTTGCGTCAGTGGAGTTGATGACTAATTTGCACTTCATCATAAACAAGACAAGAAAAAATCTCCAAAGCGGTGAAATGTCAGTTTGTGGGGATCAATGGCCCATTTTTTTGTACACCCATTATACTTACAACACCAATGACCCATGGTGTGGTCTTCTTAGGAGCCGTTTACTTGTATGCGTGAGTGGTCATATTTTCATACAGCCTTTCACTATATTTCACATTATCAGGCTTATAAGCACGTTTTCATGTGCCCAAGTTCAGTCGACAAAGAGCCAAAAGCCACACAATCCGGAAATGCTCAACTCCATGGCATGAGTTCAGTCACTATTGCATCAATGGCCTATATTGCAACACAGGTTTGTCAATGCCATGCCTTTTACAACCAAATTCATTTAATATAAGGCTGAAGGTCCAATTTGCTCTAAGCTCTTCCTTGGTGTTTTCACAAACCGACACGACCACAGATTTGGAGACATTCTACCACAGCCTGCTTGATCTCTTCGAGGACCCCAATGAGTCTACAGAAGTCAATGAGCTGCTGATGTGGTGGAATCGGTATTGTTCCTACTCTTCATCATTTTGATGGGACTCATGTTCCACATACCCAGCCAAGTTTTCCCTACTTCCTCTGCCACCAAGCGACCTATCAGTGCCAATAGTGCCCTATTGAAGATTTGGCTCAAATGACTTGCAGCCAAACAAGCTACAGATTCGAATTCGTTGTAGTTTCTATAAACATGTCTTTTTATGTAGTAATATAAATACAACCTAATGCCAGTTTGCATCGACTCATGTAACCAGGCTAGCATGCTGAAGACATTTCGATGGTTCACTCGACCTGCAGGTCACATGTTTTCTCAAGCTTAGGGCAATCGAAAAGAATAAATGGAATGTGGTGGCCATAGTTCAGCTGCCAGTTAATGGAGTGTAGCACATTGTTATGGCTCTGCAACCTGGAACCCAAGGTAGTCCCAAACCAGAACAGTCTATACTTCAAAGACATTAGCTGATGCTGCCATTTTTAAGAGCTTGTTGAGATTAAATTGACATTCTTACCTTGCATGTAATTATCATACATTGGTGGCCAGCTAGTGGACAGTAATGCATGGCCATTGCTCTGCACCTTGAACCCAATGCAGTCTTGGCCCGGAATAGTCTATCCTTCGAAGACATTAGCTAACACTACCATTTTTCAAGAGCTTATCAGGATTAGATTCGCACTCTCATCTTACATGTCACGATCATACCTTGGCAGTGAGCTCGCAGATGGTAACATGTGGCCATTGCTCCGCAACCTTGAACTGAAGGCAGCTCTGATCTGAATCAGTCTTGCCTTGGAAGACTGTAACTTTTACTGGTGTTCAGAGAGAGTATGTACAGAATACAATCACAAGCTAAACTTACATGCCATAATCATATCTCATCATGATCGGCTAAGATAATAGTGTGCTGCCATTTGTAGCTTACATTGTGTACTTGATAAATCTGGGCAACATAATCTAATGTCACAACTCCATATCTAATATCAGCACTGAGAGAGATCTTGTCGAGGTTGTAATATGAAGCATAGCTTGTATGTGGTAATCATGTCACAACAATATGGTATTGCACTATAGTCACTCCACATATTTTGGCCATTGGTAATGTTTATCTGAAATAGTCTGTGGATATAAAGCTTTACCTGATGTTAACATTCACTTATATATTGCAGAGAAGGAAAACCCTGTCAGAGGTTACATGGCTTGACCAGGATATGACACGATTATAGTGTACTATCACTGATACTCAAATAGGTGACCATGGAGGCACTCAGCAACTCAATATTCCATTATCGCGGTTGATGGATGTTGTAATATGTGCCATCTTGGCAGCGAGCTGGTAATGTGACTATCACCATTGTAAATTTGCCAGGTTTCATCCCACTTAGTCTGGGTATTCAAAGCTTTGTCATGACAAGTACAATTATGATACATATTGTGCAAAAGCTAGTTCAGATAAAGCTTTATATGACATTATCATTTTCGGGTCAATCACCTGATGAATGAGAGGAGACAGAAATCTCGAATGACAATGAAGATGAAAGCTCACTATGTTACAGCTCTGGAGCTCAAAGAGGTGTTTGAGGCAGATGCAGGTGTGAGGAAGGAGAAAGAAAGGATCGAGAAGGAGAAAAAAGAAAAGAAAAAGCTAGATGAAGAAGCTCATATTGCACACATTCACAACAACATCGCAACAAGAACATTTGATGGTCCCCTCAAATCATATAAACAGAAAGAAGATCTGGAAGCACTTGCCGGGGCACTTGAACTCTCAAGAGATGGGAAAATTGCTGATCTTTCTGCACGGATCGCAGCTCACTTGCAGGATCCTGGCACTCATCAATCCCTTGTAGAAAATCCTCAACTTTCAGCGCTATATGGTTTGAAATGGCATGGGAACCATGGGCACATCACTGCATCTACCTCAACTTCAACTGAAAGCTCAACTTGGACACCTTCAGCAAGTATTTCTCTCCCCCCAGCACCCAACAATGTATCCCCTCCACACATGCTGTTTTTCTTGCAAATACAAGGATCCATTCCATATTCAAATTATTGGCCAGGGCAACATCACATTGGTGCTGGATTTTCACAAACTGCTCCAAGTCCTGTTGCATCCATGTCATCACAACCATTGCCATCTGGGCATCGTAATAATGATGACAGTCTATATTACTCTGGTAACCTGCAATACATATTTTAGATTACTACATAGGCAGTACACTTCGTATATACAGTATACTTATCTTCCTTAATGTCTAGCGCTGAACGGACTTTGAAACTGGCCAGTGTGATGATACCATGACTTTCCGTTACAATGTTTGTGTGACTGCACGAGATGTGGTGTGCATGAACTTGTGGTAACTAATAGTACCCACAAACCTCAAGGCAATATTTGCTGTTGTATTGACTGGGTGCCTCAGAACTCTGGGAAATGCAAGTTGAAGAAACGACCATCATCACATTCCTATACCATTTGCCTAGAGACTATGAAAACACTATGCTGATCGTGGACATGCCAGTGAGTGATGCATGCATGCAAGACTTGCCAGTGGCCTTTAAGTGGCATTGAAGCTTTGAACCCCGAAGTCAAGAAAACTGCGATCATATTTGCTGCAGTTAACAGCCCAGTGACTACTAGCATTGTGGAAGGACAGGGAAGGACCTTGTCCACAGTTTGCTGTTTGAGCTCATATGCATTGACAAAAGCTATCATACGGTATGAATAGCTACTAGCGAATTTCTCTACAAGAAATCCTATGGGAAATATTATGTAATTATTGTGCTGCAATGAGCGGCTGGGCAAATGCACATGGACCTCCATGGTCTTTCATGTTCACTGCCAAGGTCGATGGTCCAAATTCATTTTATCCATCCACTCAGTTTCTCTGCACAACCTCACAGGCACTTTCATCGATCTCTCGATTCCAGGAGAGTTCCATTATGAGCCTGCAAACCCTAACGATACCATGGCTGAGGTTGGTGTCATGGACTATAATCTAACCTGGTTATTGATTTCTGTGACATAGGCCTTCCTCACCAGCTTCCTGCAAACCCGTAATAGTCTTCTGATTACTATTCAAGGAGATTCTGCAAGTACACCATTTGCATCACTCCAGCCAGCCCTTGAGGCGTGAATTTGACAACTAGTGTTACAGGTCTGCCCGCCCCTTATCGCTCATGGAAGTTGTAGGCTTGAACGTTACTCCGATTATCTCCCATTTATACCCTGAGATCACCCTAGCTATACTTGTCACCAAGGAAATCAATCTCAGCTTCAATGTATGTCCCATTTCATGCATTCTTGAAATATAGGTGGCTGAAGAAGGTCCTGTCATCATCATCAATGCTAGTCAGTACAGCTGTGATGCCTTGATTGTCCTAAGTAACTGAGATCCTGTCCACGTTCCAATTGATATCACACAGACTGAAGTTTTTGATTTGTCCTTCGAGTTTCAGTCCTTTTCAAAAGAATTCGGTTCTTTTGATACTCAACACCAGCTTGTCAGCATCCTGCGGAAACTTTAGCATGGCATTGTTGGCCCTGTGGTACAAGTCCTTAGATTGTCAAATGTTCACCCTGGCTCACGTATCTGGTGATGTCCCACTGCTGAGTTCATGCTGCTTCCTCTGCATGCAGCAGGACTCTATGAGAAGAAGAGACAGTTTCTCTCACATCTACATCTTCTCATACACCCCCACTTTGATGACACTTGTTTGTGCGAGACAGCAGGTTTCTTGAGATATGTCCCCACAACATTTTGTTGACATTGGTCAAGGAAACCTGGACGAAGGGAAGCCACTCGAATGTGTTGGTCCTGAGCTAGTTGTTGTCGCCCGGTGTCTCACCCCTGTTGTGTCATCCTTCACATTGCTCAAGGACAGCGATGCAATAGTTGAGGGTGCATTTGATGCACTGAACCATAACCAGTGGCTTCACCTGGCCTGTCATGGAACACCAAATCGACAACAACCATTTGAATCTTCCTTCGCAATGTGTGATTGGCTGTTGATGGTCAAGGACATCATCTGGTCCAACTGGCAGGATCCACAGTTTGCATTCCTATTGGCTTGCCACACTACCGCGGGTGATGAAGAGTCCCGATGAATCTATCCATCTTGCTGCTGCTATGCAATTCTCCGGATTTCGCAGTGTGATTGGTTCTATGTGGTCTGTCGACAACAAGGTTGTGCAGGAGGTTGTGTCTACTTCTTACAGGAACCTAGTGAATGGTGTTGGGAGATTGGACTGCACGTGTGCTGCAATGGCATTGCACCAGGCTGTGAAAAAATTGCACAATAAGATTCCGCTGGAACAGCAGATCGTATTTGTTCACATAGGTGTCTAGGTTGAAGCTCATTCGCTATTTTCTGCCTGATCCATTTCATTCCCTCACTTCTCCTACCTAATTCTTAGTAATTTAAATCACCATCCGCATGATACTTTTACTGTTTCTTTCCTATGCATTGTTGTATGTCAGTCACGCCTGGAATACGATACAACTTGTTACTTGCGTTTGTCTTATACATGGCTTTGTACAAATGTTGTCTCATGAGCAAGCTCTGTGCCTTTGTCTGGTATAGTCATCCTCCCTTCTCCGTGAATGGAAGGGGTGACAAGCCACAACCTTGCAGCCCATCAGCAAAGTCATAATTACAGCAAGGGCGTCACATAAACATAGGGAACAAATGTGTAGAAAATGTTTGATTATGATAGAATAATTTTGAAAGGATCCGATCCACCCCTTCCAACCCAGTTATCATCGCCCAGCAAACAGTGCCAAGGTACTCCCCAAGCCTTTGGCCATTGAGATGCAAGAAATCATCATACAGCTTGTACCTCGAATCCACAACAATGTTGACAAGCTCCAATACACGCTTCAGATTCCTGTCTAAGATGTATTAGAACTGCAGGCACTGTATATGAAGACATCCTTATTCTGGGACATACTCTCGAGAGGTGCAGAGCATGATATGCAGTTGCAGTATAAGTTCAGGGACATATATCTGCCAAACCTGAGTTAGCTTGCGGGAATGACGATCTCCTGTCTCATCTGGCATCATCCAATCTGAGGTGAGCAGTTTTATGATGGCATCGTAAACCTGGTCGAGAAGTCCCTTGTAATCGCTTAACCAAGCGACCCTGGTGTCCTGGTTCATTATCGATACCTCTAGACTCTGGTACTCAATGACTCGGTCAAGACTGTCCTAAATTGTGAAGAACCGTCTGTAGTAAAGGTACTCTGGCTCATTCATCAGGCTGGTTGATGGAGGTGAGGTCACTGCGGAAGCATATCCAAGAGGTTCTTAGCAAGTGTAACCCTCTCAGTGCCTGAAGCCATGGATTAAGCAATTGTAGTAGAATTTTGACAAAAAGCTTACTTGCAATATAATGGTAGCATGTTCCAGCACAGTATCATCCATTCTATCCTCAAATGCTGTCCACTGTATGGAACAAAGCAGCAAAAGTTCAATATTGGAAGAAGCGGCCTGCAATGCAAGGACAGAAGGAAGCAAACCCTTCATTTGGGCTAGAGGCTGCAAGTAGCGTTCAGCGCATGAATTTTGTGAGATGCAAGTCCCGCTAACCTCGAATGCTCTATTGATTGTTTGCTCAGCAGTGATGACTGCCACCCTGTAAACGTTTAGGCTATGAAGTTCTCATGCACAGATCAATGCTAATTGATGTTCGTTGATGTCTGCAGTCAGTTCAAGTGAGGTCAAGAACGTGGCATATCACTTGACTGCGTTATTCCCTAGTAGTGTGCCGGCATACACCAGGAGATATGTGTTTCTTGCTAGACAATTAGATTTGACTTCACCACCAACAAACGCACCGTTCTTCTTGTGTACTTCGTCAAAGGTTGATCGAAGCTAGGCAGTGCAGCTCCTGAGCAGTCAGGTTGCTTAGACAGTGATGCATTGACATCCGTGTCAGCACATGAAGAAAGGACTCGAGGTTGTCTTCAAAGTCCTGATGCTTCGTTGGATCAAGCAATAGCACTGCTGACATGATTTGCCAAGCGCCCTACAGCGATCATAAGTTTACAAAAAGACAAATGGTATGAGCATCACTGAGCATCCGGTCATGGTGTCTCTTTTGGATCATCTGATGCTGCTCTTCCAACACAAATCCCAATTGATGAGAAGACCCTCCCCATTATCAGTGGCAATGAAATTTCCAACACACACGTCTTGGTGCAAAATATCAGCCCCATAATATGCTTCCTCATGGGCTGTGAGGTGAAATGAGTATTGTGCAATATCGGAAAACACACCTTCCAAGGTGCCGGCGTGGCACTGCACTCGCGAGCTCACATCAGTGAATTGATGAGTCCTATAGTATTGGAGTCTGGCATCTATGGTCCCACAGATGTTCCTAACACAGTATAGAATTTACACTGTAGGGGTATGCTGGGTTTTTTATTCATTTAGGAGTCGGTGATAAGGTATGTGAAAGCACTAGGAAGCGCTCCCCTCAGAACTCATGTGTAACCCTCATTGCTAAATTGCCATATTGTGAGGTCAGCAAGGTGGGCGAGGACAATCTATAGAGGTAGATGTGAGCTGGGGAATTGATATAGTACAATACACAGGACCCTCACCTCCGAGTCCCTAAAATCCTCACCCTGCACAATATCACCAGGGAATGAATGCTACAATATGATAAGCTTCCATCCTGGCAAGAAAAGTAAGAACATAGACGTACAATCCAGTGAATGATCGCTCCTTCAACCGGTTCAGCTGCAAATGACGCATGAGACAGACTCCCCATCGCTTCTGAAGCACTCACCTCCAGAACATTCTTGGGAGGTGGACTCATCCTTATGAGAGCCACCTGCCGATGAACCCATGTACTTTTTGTGGCCATCCAAAGGGTTTACTGGGTGCTGGGTAGGCGCTCTGGACCCGAAGATACTCATTTACTATTGCTCCACCCGCAGTTGTAGTCACTAGAATAACGCATGAGTGGTCGTAATGGGCAGGGTAACAAGGAATGACATACTACTCATAATGTGAGAACAGAAATCATAATTGAGAGGGATTCGATGGCTCCTGGTACTGCAAGGCGGCCCTCGGGTGGGTTATTGATTAATCCAAGGTTGCCAGCAGCCCCATGGAAAGTGTTGAAGGCATAACCCTTAGATGATGCGAAGGTCAACAAAAGAAACTGTGGGTTGATGAAGCAGTGCTTGAAGATATAAACGCTTGCCATCCTGGATGGAAACAGTTTGAATTTGAGCAATTTCTGTGAACAAGTGCATCTGGACGCTGTCTTTCATGTGACATTTTCTCTCCATAAGAAGGCTATCAAGAAAGGGATAATGGATGAATGCCTCACCTCAGTTGTAATGTCTGGGGACTGGTAGTGATGTGCATGGGGACTTTGGAATTGGGCCTTTGGGACCGGCCAGGTGATGCATAATTCCAGTAGTGGTGGGGTTAGGGTTAGCACCATGAAGTGACAACAGCAGCAGCCGGCTCCACGATTGCCACAGCAGCCTGATGCCCTGCTCCTCTTGGGGCAAGTGCGAGAGCATCAGCATTTTTGGGTGCACATAAAGCACCCCGACGCATCAAGCACTCATGGTCCCCGCCTGAAGCAGAAGCAGAAGTGCGTGCATCAACCATCTAGCCTGAGCGGGCACCCCCTGGTAGGCTGGTTCTAGCTCAAGAGGCAACCTGTGTGAAATTTGATTTCAACAATCACGTGATGACATCAACATATGGCAGCTTCCCTAGGACTCAGGAGTCAGTGGCAAATGTAGGTCACGCTACCGTAATCAAGGCTATTGCCATTAATTCTGCTGGCATGCTCATTGCGTCTGCACCTTATGACAACCATATTTATCTCTGGCGCCTCTCAGATCAGTGAATTATCGCCAGCTTCCAGCACTGTGTTTTGGTGGTTTCCGTAACCTTCTCCATGGATGACAGTCGTATCCTCAGTGGAGGTGTTGATAAGAAGATCTCAGAGTGGGCAGTACCTGATGATGCTTTGCCAAATGATAATCCAAGAGGTCCAGCGCCAAAGGTGCTTTTTTATAGTCTCCTGCCCCTTCACCATCTCATTTTGTGTCTTTTTGAAGGGTCCAAGCTCTGATTCAGAAGACAGTCTAAAGGATCTGGTGCCAAAGGTAGCACTTTCCCATTGAATTCCCACCTCTTTGGCATCTTACAGCATGTCTTTTTGATTCCAAGAATCAGGGTTCTGATTCAAAGGCATGTTTCTACCATTTTCTTATGTGACATGAATCGATCATTCATCTGCCGGGCTGTTGTCGCGATTCAGACTGTTGTCACGGTTCAAATCCTTGTCACGATCCAGACTCATGTTATCACCAAGACCGCCCGCAATACATGCATGATAGAGGTCTTGTCTACTGCTGAAAGGGTACTGACCCAAGATATCGACGCTGGCGCCAACAACTACGCCTGCTATGCCAACCACTCTTTCATTATGGTGTGCAAATTTGACTGGGACTGTGTGCTTCAGGATGCAATCAAGGTGATGACACTCATTGTACATCTTACAAATATCCTAACTTCGATCATGACATAGTCCCTTACTATATGTCCCTCGTTGGCAGGATATATGGCCCAAGGTATCGCCCTCTGTGGAAAACAGCTCATCGAGGGCGCGAGAACAGCCTTTGACCTCACATTCACGTTTACAGACAGAAATTCAGATGCTACTCTGTTCCTTTTCTTGATCAAGGTAGGTTGAATTTTTCTTCCATGCTCCATGCTTCATTATAGGGTTCAGGCTGTCGCATTGTTCAATGCAAATGAACACAAAGAGTTGTCGAACAGCTGGCTGCTGATCCCAATGCCGGTCCCTTCATTTGTCATGTCATGGAGGTGAGTATTGTTCACTCATGTTAGTGTGCTCATTGATGTGTCTGCCCTTCGCATATCAGGTGAATCTATGAGTCCAACTGGGAACCATTGTCTTCGAGGGCACGCATTACAATGAAGCTGTTGACCACTTCGCTGCCGCTGCCAAGGCTAGCACTTTCTTGGCTAAATTAGACCCTCCTTCTGCATGCAAGGCTTTTACTGCGGTACATTGATATGATGCAACTAACCATTCCTTTCATGCTCAAATGTGCGTTTTTTTGCAGCTATTTGGGTGGGAGCTCAAGTCATTGTCATTGTGGCGAACCACTAACAAGAAACACCGTCTCGCACTCCTTAAGGCTAGAAGACTTGGAGAAGCTTTCAAATCATACAGATATGGGATGGACGCAAGTGATGAGGCTACCAGGGCAGGCTTACGTGCGTGGATATTGAGTAAGTCTTTCAGTAGTGCCATCCATACCACGGTCTTCAACTGCTTTTCACTCAGGCATTTCGTTATAATGAATGGTGAGATGTTCTACCAACAGAGATAAAATACTTGCCACAACCAGTTACACATGCATTTTAAAACACAGAAATTTTTTTACTCAGCTCTCAAGTAATGAAGCACGCTCCATGCTGCCGACGGAGATACAGTCCTCAAGCAGTTACATATGTATTTTAGAATGCGGAAATCATTTGTACAATTACCTCGACATTACTTGTATTTATTTGCACTCATATCGTATATTGACAAGCTCACAACACAGGCACACACTGCAAATCCAAAATTGTAAATTCTCGACTCAGTGATGCTGGGGGAATTGTGTTTGGTTGTGATGAAATGTTTGGGTGGATGCTGAAGGAACTGAAGCCCCATGTGAGAAGAACTTCAACCTCGCCTGTTCTTCCCACCTGATTGTATGTTCAATGCAATCGCAGAAAAGCATACACAGTCCGCTGCGTTCAATATTCACTACCAAGATATCCAAATTTACAATGGCAAAACCGGCCATGTGGAGTCAAACCAATTTGACTGGTCATGAAGCTTCCTCTGCGCCTAGGTGCCCATCCACAGTTGCCCAACAGTAATGCCTGCATCCAGCTGCACACAGATGGCCTGCCAATGTCCTCTCCCCCCGACCCTCAGAGCAGGTAACCTCCTCTCCCTCCTCCCCATCATCATCGCATTCTCTGATCAGCGAACGCCCTTGCGCTAATAAAGAGGTTGGGATATCGACCATTGGATGCCCCATGTGATATCGCCTATAGCACTCCTGGTGACCACTGTGTGTGCAAACAGAACATTGGAAAGTAGTGTGTGGACAGGAAGATGACTAATAATGATGAGTTCTCAGCATGCAGAGTGACATAGAGTGCATGACTGACCATATTGAACACTTCACAACCACACTTTTGCATGTCATACAGAATGCATGAGCTCCAGTCACTGTTCGAGTGCATGAAAGAAGAATGGGTTTTCAACAATGTCCACAGGCAGTATAAATGATGGTTTCAAGCTAAAAGTTATCTTCAACACCATCCCACCCATCAGCTGAACAGGACCCACCTTAGTGGTATTTGAAACGTCCTCAAAATTGCTGCACTTATGCAAGTACGCAGCACAGGTGTGCAGTCAGAGACGAGTAAGCAGTTCTTATGGGTATTTGTTTGAGCATTCATGCCAGGCGAACACTAAAGCTTACCGATGTATGCCTCTAAGAATTGCAAACCTCTCCTCCGGCTGATCCCCAGTTCCTTCGCTGCAATGAGCGCTAGCATCTTGTTTGTGTTGTATCAGATACTATGTGAGACCATGTCAATTTATTGCTTACTGCTTCTGCGAATTCTTCAACTGCCTCCCTAAGTGTGTGGCATGTTGCCTCATGAAGCTGAGCTTCTTCTTCCATCACAGCGTGATATCAAGATTCAGTCATACCACACCAGGCTTGGTAATCATCCGACTCCACGTCCGCCTGCAAGGCATCCTCATCATGATGTATGAGCCCAGTATCTTGCTCCTGTTTGCAGACAGATCCGGCAGTAACTGTACAAATGCTACTGTGGCTCGCCTGCTTCACCAAGTGAGAACTCTTGGATGCTGACTGTGCAGGAGATGGCAGTGATGCAGCAAGAACAGCGATGGTGGCACTCCGCGTGCGACTCTTCAGTCACTTGACGGTCAAGTTCTTTCTGGAGTGTGTTTTCATCATAGAAGCTGCTTTTACCCTGACCTTCCATGGCCTGGTACTGCACTCCGAATCATGGACGCTATGCCCTTTGCCATTAGTATCAGTCGATTCAGGTGATGGACTAGCCTCGTTGTCCTCATACTCCTTACCACCATCATCCTCATCCTCCCTCCAACATTGCCCAGTGAGTCTGGAGAGTGGGCTTGGATGCGCCAAGCCTGTGCGACCCATGCTAAGACTCCTCAACTTCAACATTATGGGTCATCAGATATCAGGTGGTACATCTCTCTCGTTTTCACTATGGCTATCCTGGGCATCGGCGCTCACCACTACACAGTTTTCACTGCCATCTGACAAATCTGAGTCATCCAGGGCGCCTTCACCTATGTGGCGGAGGCTTTGGTTGCACACACTGATACTAGGTGTGCTAGGGCTCTCACTGTGGGCTGCAGACACACAGTTATACACAGATGGCTGCCATGCATGTCCCTGTGCCTGTGCCATGGTGGCAATCAGAACTCGATGGACAGTGAGGTGTAGCAGGCGTCATGATTGCCAAAGGCAGGAGTGCTGGTGCTGGCGAAAGGGAAGTGGGTATGTGGCGAGGCGATGAGGATGTAGACAACATAGGCATCAAATTTCGTGAATTAGGGGGTGGTTTAGTTGTGGGCGGGCCATCTCGCTTCCCTTCACGTTCTCTTGATGCGGAGGTTCTGTTGCTGTTTTTCGATGTGGAGCGTTTATCTTGTGGGTGAGGTTGAGGGTATGTTTGACTGGTAGTACGTGGCTGAGTAGGGGAAGTGGAAGTGGGGCATGTCTGTTGAATCACTTGGAGACAGAATCTGACAAGGCAGCACAGTGTGAGGCGGGTTTCGAGGCAGATCCTGAGGCATGTGATCCAGATCTTGTACCAACTGTAGGGATAGCAGCAGGGGCTGAATTAGAGTGCATGAGGTGCATGGCAATGTGATGGTTCTTCTCTGAATGAGGTGAAGGTCTAAGGTACTCTGGAATGACGTTGGTGAGCAGAGAGCCAAGCAGCAACCATACTTGTGCTGTGTGCACACTTCCCCCTTGAATAGATGCCTACGGACATTTGTTCACTTATAAACACCCCCCATACAGGAAGAGCACTGACCTCAGCATTAACCTTGCAAACGGCTGCCCCACTCCTCCCATTAAACTTGATAAGGTACTTTCTCGCCAGGTGCTCAAATAGCCCTCTGGATTCCATATTATGAAGTCCTTTGTGTACATACATACCCATAGTCTGTAGAACAGGCATGTGAGACTTGTCACCAAGGCATTTGGGTTTGAGCTTTCGTTCAAGAAGTATGTGTCATTTTTCGGGCTGACTGCATCACAAATAAGATAATAGCTGCGGCACAAAGTGGAGAGTACTGACATATCATCATAGGGTACTTCCCATCTGGCTTTCCTGTTTGAGACAAAAGCTAATGTTCTGTCAGTATCCCCACTGACACCAACATTCCAAGCGAGTGCCACATGGGGAATGGCATCAATAGGGCGTACAGACCTATGTAAGTCAACTTGAGCAAATGTTCCAGATGCATGCTGGACCCAAAGTGCATGCGAGTCACAGAATATGGGCATCTGCAGATGCAGGACACAGGTGATTACTTCAATGAGACCTGACGTAATTTAGATATGTACCGGTCACTCCCCCTTCTGATGAGCTCGCTTCAACAGTCCACTTAGCAATCCAGCCACGCCTTACATCCCATATTTCTACAGCATCAGCACCATTACTTTTGGGTTCCTTGTCTTTAGTGACAGAGCTGGAGGCATTAATGAAAGCTGGAGTTGCAGACTGTAATCAAGGGCTGGCTAATAATTCGCTGCCACTCCCTCCACCAAAGTCCTTGTTGGACACATGTGCAATCTCGGAGGGGAACTCAGGATGCCAGAGTACTCAGCATACAAAGAATGATGGATGTAGGGTATAGGTAGGCTGATGCGCAATATGAACGGACATGCCAGATGTGGTGAGGTCCCAGACCTGATGCCCATAAGTAAATGTAGCGCACTAAAGTAAAAACAATGTGCTTTGACAGTGTGGTCCAAACCTCCACTGACTATCCAGCTCCTATCGGCACCAATAGTATCACCAACATTACTGGAACCTGGAGTGTTACACCAGTCCAATGCGAGAATTGGACCTGCATGAGCTACAGGTAACCTGCCAAGTTGGCCCCTCTGGCCCATTTGAAGATCCCAGCAATAGATTGATCCATTATCAAGACCTACAACAGCTTGAAGGGGATGGGATAGACATGGTGAGAAGACAAGAGAGCAAACAGAGGTTAGATGGTGGATCTTCATGATGGACTTCGACATGTCCTGAAGATCCTACTCCAAAGGTGAGCTACCGAGGAGGCCAGGACACGATAAGTACACACCAAGACATGCATATTGCCATCAGCAGAGCCTGTAACACAGTAGTACGGAACTATAGTGGAGCAGGATAACTTGTGGATCAAACAGATATGGAACTTCATCTTCCTTTCTAACGGTATTTAAGATGTAGAATTTGATATCAGATCAGTCTATGCACCATGTTTGGCATTGCCAGCCTTGTTGAGGTACCACATAATGAGATCCCCATTCTGCGTGCTTGTAAGAATCTTGTTGTTATAACCTTCAAAGGAGGGGATGGGAATGAAGTGCTGAACATTGTGGTATTTGTAGCTGCTTACTGCCATGGCACCAGGCAACATCAGTAATTGCACTATCAATCTTCAAGCCACTTCCATCCCATATGTTCCGCGACGCTTCAATACGATGCCCACCGCGACCAATAGAGGCTTTGTAGTCATTATTCATGACATCTTCTGGATCAGACAGATGCAAGATGCGCAGGGCTAACAGTAAGTTTCAATAACACGTCAATCTGGTGCTACACGAAATATTAAGATGTGACTCACATTCTCATCCTGCAACAACACATCTTAAACCATTGTCACTCTTCGCTATTGTCCCTCCACCATTGGTTGTTGCACGGTGCAAGCAGACATTTCTCACTGGTCCCTGGTATCCGTACTTGCACGAGTCTGAGTAGAGGTCCGCCATATAACCTACGAGAGACAATGGTACTGCAGAATTCAGTGTTGACACACATCTGGGGACTGTTGATTGCATATCCCAGAGCTTGTCATTCATGTTGATGAGTCACTGCAACAAGGTGCTGTTGCTCGCCATATTAGGCAGCCGCACATTACCGTAATACCTTCTTTGGCTGATTGTTTCGCAGCCAAGTTCAATATGCACTATTTCCGTAAGTTTTGTGCTGTACAATACATCGCCTCTAACCTCCAGGCTAGTGCGAACTCAATTTTTCAAATTCCATGGACTCCCTCAAGCCCGTTTAAATGTGGACCAGTCTGGTTTTGTCAAGGAGAAGACAATGTTTTTAGTGGCTCTTTCATGGGCTATCAATATTGCACTGTTTGATGTTCCGGAGTCACACATGGAAGAGCGGCGATGAGTGTGGATTGACCGCAGCATTAACCTCCATGCTGGAAGAATTAATTTGCTCATACTAGCCAACTGCCCCTGAGGATTCAATCGATTGGGTAGTAGCCTGTCAAGATACTGGAGTGATAGTTTTCCCACATCCTGCACTGACACCTCCAGTGATGCCCTCAATGAAGACCCCTGAATATGTTAGTGCCTTGGTATCAGCCTCCTGGATACCAAAATGCACGACATCACCCTGTTGCGCAGCTGTTTCATTGGGATCCACGAGCAGAAGCTACATCGCAATTCGACAACATTCTATCCAGTCATATAGTGGCTTGCTTACCTTTAGTACACCAAAATGATAGTCGCCCTGGCCAGCTGCACCGGGTGAAGTGCTTGAATTCTCCACAAGGCCAGTGACAGCCTTCAGTGGCTCTCCATTGGTAGAATGGAAGATGCCAAGGGTAAGATTTGTCCAGTCAATCTGGACCGTGAAGTTATGCCAGTTGTGGGATGTAAAAGGCGTCTCAAACAGGAGGTCAAGCACATGGTTGCAAACTTTGAGAAATCGAGCATCAGATACAGGTACAGTCCCTGTGGGGATGGTGAAAGGTGAACCTATATCAGGGAGTGTCAGGGAGAGGGAGATATAAGAACTTTGGCATCATATAACACTGACCGAGTTGGATCTTGAAGATGTGGGTTCCATCATTAGGCTCAATCCAGACGATCTGGTACTCATGACTCGTATTTCAAAGGTTTCTCCAACTCTTTCAGAATGGATACATGGAACACAGTGGTTCCTACATCAGTGATAGCGTTCAAGGCGGTGTGGTTCCCATACTTTTGCGCGATAAACTCCGTTCTGCAGAAACCGTTTTGAGGCATGCTACCTCCAGGGACGAAGACAGAAGTATTATCAATCGAAATCGTTATTGGCTGCTCTATAGGAGAGCATAGATTGGGCGACCATAATGGGGTAGCATTGAGCGCATGCCCAAGGAGTTGAGTATACTGCAACTCGGTTGTTTAGCAGCCTATCATCATCATGTAGGATACAATCATATGTATGAGGCATTCATTATGCCTTTCACCACTCTGAGATGAAGTTAGCCTATCTGTCGGAGTCAAACATCTAGGCTTACAAAATTCATGAGCATAAACGGCATGGAGAAGCAGGATTGGTGGACCTTGATGCTGTTGAAGCAGAGTGTCTAGCCTTCGCATAAGAATTATCCGATCGTTGCATATGTTCGCTATGCCTGATTGAAGTGCAAAATATTTAGCGAAAAAGAAATCGATATTCAGCACTCGAGTTTCGGAACCTAGTGGACAGAGAAAGTCTTGCAGAAGATGTTGACAGGTCATGAAGAAGCTCTGGGTTGGCTGTAGATGTATATTGTACAGGAAGAAAGAGGACTTCAGTCATTATTCCAGATGCTGAGAGAGTTGATCCAACTTATCATAGCCATGAGTATGCGGTTTATGTTCTAGTAGCTTTGAACTCACAAGTTGTATCAGAATGACCTTCCAGAGATTGAGCCGCAACACATATAATAGAAGATTGCATGACCAAGTGGTGGCTAATGTCAGAGGTGTCAGGCTCGGTATTCTTGAAGCAGTTTTACACTCACCAACAGACGCGCCAAAGGTGAGGTTAGGTAGCAGCAAATATGCTCAACAGTGTGCCAAGCTAGGGAACGTGCAGTGAGATGGAAGTGAGAATGTAAAGTGCGAAGCTCTGTTGCAAAAAGGAGTCAATGAGGTCTAGCCGACATGTGCAATGTCAAAAATTGGACGACATGCCCAAGGGAGATAACCCAACTAGTTGCAGCAGGGACATAGATTCCTTTGCAAATACATTCAGTCATAGCAGAGAGTGTATGGGATAAGAAATGGGTCTCTTTGACACCTATGTGTCACCATAACCGTTACTAACTAGTAACAGTGGTGTAATGTGATGTTCCTTACTGGGTACGTAGGGGTGTTTGCCTATGATACTGCAGTGCTTCAGCGAGTTCCGCAGCACTCGGCAGTACTAGTGATTTGGCTAGGAAAAAAAAACCTTGGATATAACACCTGTGACTCCCACATATTGCGTCTAATTAGACGTGATTATAGATAGGGCTAGCATGTCTAAAATGACAGTTCCAGCATTAGTGCTGCCGAAGTTCAGTTCGGTCAGGTTCGTCAACTCATATTTGCGAACCCCGAACTTGACCAGTGGTCAGGTTCAGGCAAGATGGCCGAACCTTGAACTGGATGCCTTTGCAAGAGTTTGGTCCAGGTTCAGAATGGGTTCGAACCCTCAAACCATTGTCACCAGTAGCTGGGGTATTAATGTATCACTTACTAGTAGTGTAGCAAAAATGTGATACAATAGTTACTCACTGGCATAGCTCCCAGTGATACATCAATCTTTTATACCTGCAGCCCCCTCAGTTCCCTGCACCAAGTGCTGTCAGCTGAGATCTATCGGATGTGACTTGAGATCCATTGTATGTGACATATCTGAGGTCTTGTTTTTGTCATTCTGCGATCTGTGATCTGTACCCTTAGTGCTTCTCCAGTGTTGCTTCTTTCTGGTCATTAATATTAAAGACAATGCTAATTATATATCTCTATCTATAGGGGGAGCATCAATGGTAGGAGCGTCTGCCTCACTGCTCTCCAAAATAAGGACACTACCAGAGACAAGGGCAGGCACATCACTCCACAACCTTTGAAACTCAGTCATCAGTGACAGACACAGCGCAGACTGGTGACACATGTATGCTGTCAGTCCTTCCTGTGCAGGTGCTGAGTCGAGCGTTCGGAGTGTCGTGCGTTCCTTCCACCAGGACCCTTGCCACTTCAAAAACACTAGCACTCATCTCATCTCTTCTACTAGTAGTTCTACCTCCTCAGACCAATGGTGGGCATGGGCACGAGCCTTGCACCATTCCAAGCGGACACCTAATAAAATATCAGATAAATGTGAATAAACCATAACATACACGTACAATCTTGCACACGTTCATTTTCTGTGCAGCTGTTATCAGCATGGGAGTCTAACCAAATCCAGGAGATGGTTCCTCTCCCCTGCTGTTCCATGTCACCCATAGGTTTAACATCACTGTTGAGAAGCAGTTGCATAGTGGCCTCCCATCCGCACTTCTCAAGACAGCAGCCAAGGAACAGCAGGGCATTCCATGCGCATCTATACTTCAGTACACTGGCTTGCTTCCTTGACTCTACAGCATCTATAATTTTCTTTGCATGAGTGGAACCTGCTTGACCACGGACATTCTTATCCTTGTACATGTACATGTGTGATTGGAGACAGAGGTGCGAACAAACTTCATTGAGGGCATCGAGGGCTTGTGCATAGCGTAGCTCCCACTCATGTCCAGCGAGCTTCTGATCTATGGTGGTGTCAGCTGGGAGCTGTGAAGGGAGCCACAGGTTGAAGTCTTCAGGTTTCAACTCCTGTAGCCATCCACTAGCTTCGGATGATCAGTGCCAGAGTTGACAGACGACTGGCATGTACAGTTCCTGGATGTGAGCCCAGGCATCAAGCTGTCGCTGGAGGGAGGTGATTTGAGTTTGTGTTGTGGCCTTCTGCTTATCAGTATCATGGAGGGAGACATTGGCAAGACTGGATCTTAAGCGTGCCCTGTAGAACTGTCAGTACAAGATAGTGTAACAATCAAATAAAACACACTGTTGATCTTCAAGATCCATGCCCAAAGTAATCAACCTGCTTGGAGAGATATTGGTGTGAAGTGAGACATTAATTCCAGCTTGAAGTTCTTGGGCTTCAAGCTCAGTGAGTTGTAGTTGTATGGCTGCCTGTGTGATTGCTACCATTTATTAGAACAACCACTATGAAAACAGCAGGACAACTTATGATTAAACCAGTTTTCAAAGGGATTGGGAGAAGAGTTATCCTCCTCCCAAGATTCTACCTCTGCCTTCCATTGAGCGATGAGAGCTGGCTGGATAGTCTTCTCCAATTCCGCGAGGGCTTCAGGGTGCTCCTTTGTCCACTTGATGGCTTCAACCATCTTCTTATGCAATGTTCGCCCTAGGTCCATGTCAGAGTTTGACATTAGAAGAAAGAAGCTGCTCACCTAACACTGTTATTTTTTTCCAGTTCCAATCACCGAAGTGATCATCAAGAGTGTCCCGACGTGTGCCCAGTCCCATCTCTTTGGTACTTGATGCCACTCAATTGATATTGGACCAGCCCCATTCTGGAGCTTTGCCGTCTGTTCAGCCCACATATCTTGACCAGTTGAATGAGAAGTTAGTGCGACACTTATCAACGTGGGCTTGAATGTGGAACTTTGGCACAAAAAATCATATAAGGGGGGATTCATGAGGGGTGGAAAGCCGATCTGGCATGGTTTCCATCCAAGTCCAAAGTCTCTTGTGCCACTGGCAGGCAATGTCATATGAAATGTTGATCATAGACATTGCAAAGATGAGGAGTGCAGAGCACATGATATAGTCCATGTTGATGTACCTACATAACATCAGCTATAAAGAATTCCAAATACAATATAACACATACCATTCCCCTTTCTGAAGGTCTCCAACACCATTGGGAAGCTTCGTGTCATGTCTTGCACAGTTGATTGTCCTGACACCTGTTGCAGCAAGCCCTCAAGAGGACTTGGTATCCGCCATGTTGACTGCATTATGGCTTACACATGTGCTTCACTACAGAAAAAAATATAAGTCGATAAATTCCCACAAAAATCGCATTCCTTACCTCTTGCTTTTTGGTAGCACAATCTGCAAGGTAAGACTTGTATGCACCCTCCTGCACAAAATACGCCCATCCAGCATTGAGGCTAGGGTCAGCAGCATCAGATGATACTGCCTTGTGCTTGAGCCTGAAGTTAGCATCAATCGCAACAAACAATGCATATTTCCATCTGCTCAGAAAATGTATGAGCTTAAAAAACCAGGGAAAAACTGACATCTTACCTGATAAACAGCGGCTCCTTCTCCCAATCTGGGGGAAGATTCTTGCTGGGTTGTGGACACATGGGGCATAGAACAGCTAATTCGCCTTTGGCTGTAGCATTAATGCCGGCAGGGTCATGTCCCCTTCCTCCACGGGCAAGTTGTTTGAGGTTACCCCATTGGCGTATCATCCGCATGAAAGCAGAATACTGATCCTAGAATATATCAACATTAGAAAGTCACAAGAGTAGACTAAAATACTCACCCTGATTGCTACTAACCCAGAATTGTCAGTATGCCTGGCAAGTGAATGGTAGAACTTGTAAGCGGACACCTTGCTCTTGAAAGATAAAATATGAAAATGCTGCAGAACCATGAAGGTTGCTGCAGTTCGAGGCTCTGAGATGGTTGCTGGATACCACCACATACATAGTAGTTGCCTGTACTGAACCTGAGCTGAGGCACAGCCACAGAAGTCCAGTGCAATTTCGTGGATGCCATCAAGCCTAATGACCATGAAATCATCACCAGCAGAAGGATGAGGGTTGTAGCACCTTTCTCCTGGGTTATGGCCAAGTTGTACTCGAACACTGAGCTTTTTGAGCGTGATATGTTGAAAAAAAGACCCATTTCACATCTGACAATGATCAGTTACAAGTCGATGCCAAAATAAGTGTGAAACATACCTCAATCCTATGCAAAGGATGATACACATGGTTAAGAAGTGTGCATTCATGACAGAACATTTGAGTGCCATGACAGTCATAGCACCAGAATTGAGGCAGTACTCCACCACACAAACAAGTAATGCCCTTGGACCCACGTCCATTGAGGTGCATTATCTCATCCAGGAAGTTTTCATGCTCTGGAATCCAGGCAAGCAAAGGTGCATCCTAAAGTCCAGTAAGCTATGTAGCATGCTTAAACAAAAACAAAGCAAGAACACCCACTGCTGCAGTCTGTTTGCATTTCTTGACAGAAACAGCATCAACAAGGTCTTCCACAAATGTTGCATCGAATTGAGAGTCCTCAGCATGCTCGACCCAGTCATCTATCAGAGATACATTGTCATTTGACATATTTTTTGGGGGGATTCCAGTAACATAGTGTGTTTGCAGCCGTGTGCTCCCTTCAGTGGTGATTTCTGCTGCACGAAGTGGTAAGAGATGGGGTTTGGGGTTGATAGAGGTGGGGACAGAGGCCTCACGTTCAATTGTGGGCCTCTTGGGAGGGCGACCATGGGCCATGTGTACTGTAATCAATCTGTTAGTTCAATAGTTGGGCAGTAAGTTGGGCAGTAAGAGGATCCTCCATTTGCAATTGGAGGATCCCACATGTACATAAAATTGAATATTTTGTCCCTCTTCCTCACCCACCTTGTGAAGCATGCAAACATCACCAAATGATGATGTCCCCCCACCGGCCACTGTTGAATACCTATTGCGCCCCCATTGAAGTAAGCCCACTAACAGTGTCATGTTGCTATGTACCTGACATTAAATGAAAACAGACAACAATCTGCCCCCTGCGCATGTGGCCAGTGAAACATGTTCATATATCATATGATATAACCAGACACCAAGCAGCAGGCCAATTTTCACATCAGCTCAGAAGGAGTGGTTGAACAATCACATACTGAGGTATATGCAGTGGCCTCTCACCTCAGATGAGACAATCCCATTCATGTGGACCATGTATATTGAATTTGATTACTTATGGCCACTTCATCAGAAGTTGTGGCCTGGGTCCAATGTTCATATTCGGTTGAGCAACAGCATGCACACCAAATTGATGGTGGAGATGCTGATTCTTCAGGCAGTAAGTCAGGTGAGAATATGATATGCACTGTGACTGACCTTGGGCTTGATGCAGAATATCAAGGGCCACATGCTATGGACAATGCAACGTAATCTGCTTCATGAGAAGAACCAAATGGGAATTGAACCGCAGAAATGGTTCTGGTACTGGGGCATCAGGCAAACGTAAAAGCTTTGGTAGACGGTACTTGAGTAGTTGAGTAATAACAACTAGTTTGAGAATTCACTTACCTGAAGCCATACTTGACATCTTGAAGCTTGAGAGCTTCAGTGTTCCAGACTTTGACATAATTATGTAGTTCAACTGTGTTATCATTGTCAATTGGTTATCGATTCTCCGATTTGTAATCAGGTCATGTGAAAATCCTCCAGCCTGGATTTTAATTATGCTTGCACACTTGACTTGATTACATAAATCATGCTTGTTTTGTCTCTCCTCTCCCCTCAATCATAGTTTCACCACTCACATCACCATTGATATTACTCAGTGTTGGTTCTACTTGATTCTCTTGTCTTCACATCTAACTATGTGATAACTACACAGGTAGATAACACACAGGTATTGTTTGCTCATTATTACTAATATCTGACACTTTGACAGTGATCCTCTGCCATCTCTCAAATCATGGAGTGATCCTCCATTTCTTCAAGTCTGACTCTCCCGGCTTATTGAGTATATATTTGGATTGCAGTGAGTGATACATCATTCATCTACTCAAGGTGTCTCATTGAACTCGCTGTTATGACTCAGAACTTGCCTTCCTCCAGTCGAACAGATACTGTGGTATCTGTTTGACTGGATGGTCTCATCGATTTCCTGCAATGTCTATCCCTCGATGATCGGAAGGCTTTATGTCAGTCCTTAGATGGCACTGGCACCTGTACTGGTGGAGACATGTCCAATGGTGAATCCATTGATTTTTTTAATTTCAATTGCTCACTTAGCTTTGATGATGTCACAGATAATCTCACTGCTGAAATGGGCCTGGGCCCTGCCAGCATTGAAATGCCACTTGCTGAAGCTGTGCCAGTTGCTTCTCCTGGTGCAGTGGCTTCCCCTAGTGCTGCTTCTGCCCCCATTGTTGTCCCTGCTGCTCCTCCCATTGCCCCCACCATGGACCCTGCAGAACATATCACTATCTATGTCGATTATGAGGAATACAACTCCCCTGATGACAATGAGGCAGACATTGCAGCCATTGCACTTGCAAATGACTCCAGGTTGGTCCACTACTGCGGCACCTACTTCAATGTGCCGGTTGATGCCAACTCACCCCTCTATTATGTTACTAGAGGTCACTATATTGGCATCTTTTCAGGCTGGTTAGCTAGATTTCTTTTGAATTTCTCATGTTCAGCAGCTAATTTCTTCATGGTAGGGATGCAACCAGTCCCAAAGTGCTTGGCATCTCTCACACCATCTATCACAAGGTGGATTGTATTGAACAAGGCATCAACATTTTGAAGGGTGCAATTGATCATGGTGATGCTTTGCAGGTATTGTAGCACGTCATTGATCATTTAGTTAGAACATTGTATGTTGCGTATGTCCATAGCTGTTGCAAATTGAGTGGTGTTTCTTAAATGTCAGTGTGCTTCATTTGATCCAAACATGTTTCAAGACTGGTTAGTAGTGGCACAGGTGTGCCAGGGTATAAGATATAGGACTCGGAGGCAAGCAATAAAAACAATATTGATGAGCTTCAAAAGTGGTTAGTAGCAGCACAGGTGTGCCAGGGTACAAGACTCAGAGGCGAGCAATAAAAACAATATTTTTGTGATTAACGAGTTTCAAGACTGGTTAGTAGCAGCACAGGTGTGCCAGGGTATAAAATATAAGACTTGGAGGCAAGCAACCCTAATGATATTTTTGTGATTGATTTTGAGTTCAAATGAGGGATGGTAGGATAGTGGTAGGATAAAATCACATAAAAATCCAAATTGATCTCCTACATGATACGTTCAAAACTCCTACACATATATTGAGTGTCTCAGCTGACTTAATTTCAACCCACTTTTATACACATGGCACGACCACATCTACACAACACCGAAGAAGAAAAGGCAGAAGCTGCATGTGCTTATAAACGAGCTTACTATGCACGGTACTTCACTCACTTTCTTATCATCATTTCTATTGATGATGGTGGACCCAATTACACAGTCATTGCGATAAGCTATGTTTGCAAAAGAAAGAGATATACAAGGGGAAGCAAGATAGGTAAGATACATACCAGCTGCTTGAATATCTGAACATCTGAGTCGCCTAACTTCTAGGCTGTGTGGTCATGGTAGGCCTGCCAGTGTAGGACAGCCATGCTTACACTATACTGCTGAAGAGAAACTTGAAGCCGCATGCCAATCCCAGAAAGCCTATTATGATTGGTATGTTGACGTTGAATTGATGTCTCAAACCACTTGAATATTCAATACCTAGTAACCGTGAGGAGATCCATATCAAATATCAGAACAAGTCAAATTCAAAGGTGTACATTGCTCACACAACTATAATATTATTGTCACTTACCTGATCACCCAGCTTGGACAATACCAGTAGCCTCAAACCAACATGGTCCGTGCAAGATGCAAACAACAGACGCAGAAACAAATGGTATGTGGTCTCATTCATTTCGGGAGTATTTAATAAGGCTAAATGAACTCAATCAAGGGCAAGGCTGTGCGATGACATTGACACCAGCTTGCAGGCCATTATTGGGTCTTCAAGCACAGTGGCATTGGTCGAGGGCCTGTGTGAGCTCTTCATAGCAAAACCGGATGAGCCAGATTCATTGGATGTCCTGTGGGCTGCTCACAATGGGCTGGAAGACCTCCTTCTACATGCACAAAACATAGAAAACAACATTATTGAGGAATGTGGGACAGGCCAGGACCTCAGTTGTGCACATAGTTCTGTGTCTTGTGTGTGCGGGGCTCTGGCAGACTTGGGAGACGTGTTTGCTCATGCTATGTTAGGTGTAGATTCCTTAGTTGAAGCACATGAGCAGCATAGACTACACTATCAGATCACCCAATGCAACATTATTCCTTAGTAGCCCTAAATACAACTAGGTACTACATACTATAGAGCTTCATTCACCCAATGTTCGCATGTTTGTGTACCATATACTATGAAAGCCGTGCGGGAAAGTCCGAACTTGAAAATTGGTGTTGGCTATCATTAGACATTATGCGTTAACCTTGGCATCAATTGACATGATGGAATCTTAAAAACTTTAAAGGTATGTCATGACAAATGGTTTAAAATTAATCATAGTCATATGTTATGACATGCTCATTGTAAAGTGAATAGATGGCACCACATACATGGCTAACACAGGACCAACTGGTCTTCAATGCCACTTTTGAGGATGAGTACCTCAAATGCCAAAAGAAGGGTAACTATACCACTTTCTGGCAACCCTTCTTCAAAAAATGGGAAGAGCAATGGCCTGCGAGGGCTTCTTTGTTTCCAGCAATTCCTATGGATCAAGCTCTAACTGCGGCTCAATTAGAGGAGGAAGACCAATTCAAAATTGCACTTCAGAAGGTTTGTTTCTCCTTTGTGTGTGCATGATTAAGGACTTACATCACACTGTCCAGCGCTTGACTGTGAAGTTCCATGATGATTATGGCAATTCAAGGCCCAGCCACAAGGCAGCTGCAGCAGGCAATTTGGCTGTCCACAAACTTCTCTGCAATATCATCAAAGGACCCATGACCGGTCGGAAATGTCCTCTTAAGGAAATGGAAGTCTATGCTAAAAAGTACTATGCTACTCAAGTCCAGGCCAGTGTGAAAGACGAGCTAAATGCCATCAAAGAACAACCCAATGCCCCCGATCCCAAGAAGACGAACCTTCAGGTGGTTCAAAAGCATGTTGACCGATGCTGGGAGAATGAGTCTGCTGAGGTGAAGGAGGAAATATCCCAACTTACGAGAGAGATGAGGGAAGCAGCATGTGAGGCAGCAAAGGGGGAAAAATCATCTGAGGTGACAAATGATCTGTAAGTGTTCCGAATTCTCTTCGCCTCCTGCTACTTTGCTAATTGAATTGAACACAGAATTATACCAAGACTTACTGAAATTCTCTCGACCTTCTTTGGAGAGCTTCACAAGGCCACAGGATGGACTTTCAGTGTCCTTCTTGGTGGCCCTGACCCATCAAATGGAGGTGCAATTGATGTCAGCAGCTTGCATGTAGGGTTGACGAAGCTTGGTAATCGCTTTAATCATGCATTTGCAAAGTTTAATGATAATGTCATGATACCCTACTATGAGTTTGTTTCTCATGTTTTCCGTATGTATTCAACTATTCTCTCAAACATCAAGTTGATAATATCTAGCTGAAGCTGGGACTTTGAATAAAGCAGCAGAGAGTCTTGAGGCCCAAGATCTCTTCTGCATTTCCACCGCTCCAGATGAAATTCCCACAAACAATTCTCCAACACCTATGACCACAGTGCCTGATACATTACATGGTTCGCACACCACATCCTTACAGCCAGAGTTAGCATCTATCCTCCTTTCCTCACACCTAGAACAAGAAGAGGTAGTTCCTGAGCCAGATGAAGAACATTTCTTCCGAAACCTGCCTGCTGATGAGATCGACCAAGAGCTGAATATGCCCATACTCCCCATGCTGGAGGGCTATGTCCCCTTCTGTCCACCACTGCTTCCGCCACTCATTCTAGACCCTATACCTGTCCCTACTGCATTTCTTAATCTGGATTCAAATCTTGAGAGTTTTGATGATGCACTCAAAACTATGCAATCTCAGAAGACTATCACAGGAATGGTCTGTTCCCCCCCATGCATTCATTATCAGTTCGACAATTTTATTAGATTCTCTTCGCCCACAGTGCCTGCCTCTACCACACCCACTTTGGCTGCTTCCTCACTTGCTACTACTCCTTTTACCACACCTGCCATCACTCCTAGCACGACACCCATGATCACTCATTCACCTGCGGTTGCATCATCCACCACACCCAATTCTGGCACAACGCCCACCATCACTCCTAGCACAATGCCTATGATTGCCCATTCACCTGCAGTTGCATCCTCCACCACACCCAATTCTGGCACCACACCCACTATCACTCCTAGCACCATGCCCGCCATCACCCATTCACCTGTGTTTGTGTCATCCACCACACCCTCTGCTACACCCTTGCCAGCTGCACCAACAACTATCATACCTGCTACCACACCCTCATCAGCTGCACCCACTACTACTACACCTGCTGTCACACCCTCACCAGGTGTACTTGCAACTCCCAAAAAGGCTCCATGTGCATGTGCAGGAGAGACAGATCTGCCACAAGCTGTTCCCTCCGATGAACCTCCAGCAAAGCATCAGAAAAAGGCTCGATGTACAGGAGAGAGAGATCTGCCACAGGCTGTCTCTTCTGGCTGAGGGAAATGATAACAATTTCAATCCACTCGAGCTGCCACTGCCAATGCAATTGGTTGAGTCTTTCTTGAATTACTATTGATCTAAATGCCTTAGAGATTGTGTGTACATAACATATATCTTGAAATTTAATTGTCTTGAGAGAGTAAAAAAAGACCGGTCCTTCACACTTAATACTGTTTTTAAAAGATACTGGTGACCTTAGTGACACCATGCAAACTCTTCGTGCGATGTGGCCAGTAAGTTTATTTTGGGACAAATGTATATTGAAATCACACAAACTCTTCATGCGATGCAGCCAGTACATTTAGATCAGGACAAATGTATTATAATCACGCAAACTCTTCATGCAACATGGCCAGTATGTTTAGATCGGGACAAATGTATTATATTCAGGTACCAAAAGGTCCTGTACAGCATGGCTGGTAGGCTCAGACATACACTAGAGGTCAGAGTACAGAAAGGTCCTCCCCCACTGTAAACTGAACTTCAGTGGCATGATCAACTGAAGACTTCATGCCCTAGCTCTCCCAAGGCATGTGGAAGGCATGTGGTGCACCATGCAACAGTGGCACAGGAATGTTTGGAAGTTCAGGAGGGTGATAGCTGGTGCAATAGTGTGCAGCACCCTGTCGGTAAGTAACACTGAAAAATGAATAAAACCCTGTTAGAACACTCAAAAAATCAATCTATTCACTCACTGAGCAATCCCTGAGAAAGTTGAGAGTCGAAATGAGTGTCTTGAGTTGATCTGAGTGCTATGGCCCAGCATTGTTGGGAAAAATTGGAGGCCCGGAATGTTCCACGAGGTTTAATGAATAGTTCCAAGGTGCTAGCTCAGCCACCTGCAAAGAAAAAGTTGAGAGTCAAAATGAGCATCTTGAGTTGACCTGAGTGCTATGGCCTAGCAAATGAATGGTTGAATTGCCCAAGGTTCTAGCTCAGCCACCCACAAACTGCCAAAGAACTGTACATATGTCTGCATGAACCTAAAAACAGTGTGGGCTAAAATAAATCCAAGCAGCCACCCGCAAACTGCCAAAGTACTGTACATACATCTTCACTGGGCCTAATGAATTTAGAATTGCCCAAAGTGCTAGCTCAGCCACCCGCAAACTGCTGAAGAACTGTACATACATCTGCATGAACCTAAAAACAGTGCATGCACTAAATTAAACACTGGATAAAAATAAATTAAGTCACCTGATACAAAAACAACCAAGGAACAACCTGGAACAACCAACCGCTGTCAGCTGACAAATATAAAGAAACTGAAAGAACGGAGGAACAACATCAGTAAATGTGAGTTCCCACAAAGATTGTTTGAAGGCGCTCACAAAATGCTCATGTGGAAATGCTTTTTGGTTAGCTGAGGTCAGCATCTGTAAACACTTGTTTTTGGTTAGCTAGACCCTGACACCACTTTGGAGACATCCAATGCAAGATTCTCGATTATTGGTTCGATTATCAAAAAGATCTGTGTGATCTACTAGTACTATAGATTATCTATGCTGCTACTATCTACTACAAACTACTATCTACATCGAATCTGAGTCAGATGTCATGTTGTCTCGTGCCTGCGATGGCCCAATCACTAACACATACTGCAAATACTGTTTGAGCTCGGCCTTCTCAGCAGGAGTGAGACGATCAATCACATTGAGAATCTTGTTGAACTTGCTTTGGTGGATTTGACCACCAAAGGGGTCAACTTCCAATGAGTGCTTTCCCTGTTCATGCAATGCGCAGTGGGTAGCTGTGCCAGCTACGCATAGAACATATTTGATGGCCTTGAGGGGGGACTTGCCAAGAAATGACGCATATCCCCAGTACCAAACAAATCGGATGACATTCACCATGACGAAATGGCTCTGGAATTTTGTGCGAATAATCATGTTACCATTCTACAAAAGACATGGTAAGTAAAAGTTAGATACGAGGAATGTTTGACATACCTCATCAAAAAGATGTTGTGCATGAACACAAGTGGATTGTCTCCATGTATAAATATGTTGACCCTCACAGCATGATACTGATCTGCTGGTAAAGCATGTCCTTGCAGGGGGAATAGTTGAAATGCATCACAGACACCTTCATGCGCAAATTTGACCATCTTCCCACATCTCACAGATAGTGCATTGCTGACCACCTGACAGCGTGCACTGGTTATGAATTCCTGGAAAACAGCTGTGAAGATTATTAGACAAAGTAGTATATAATATGAAAACACTCACCGTTTGGCCCAAAGAATTGCGGGACTGACTCTCAAATAACCTCATCAATGATATGCCGCTTTTTCTTCTTCAAGCACACCATTGTGTTTTTCAAGAAAACGACCCATGTGACCAACACTTTAGTGCTTTTCATCATTTGGGAAATCACCTCCAATGTTAAATGAATGACGTTTTGAGATACTGCGGCCAACAATGACATTTCATCTGTGGCATCACTTGGTGTCTCATGTCATTCAGCAATGGCACTGTGTGTTTGTGTATCAGTGATGGTAGGGGTTCACAATATAAGGTATGGTGTTGGAGGCATATTTGCACGCTGGACTGTGTGCATCGTCATTGTCCATGCAGGCCCCATTGTCTACATAGATTTTGAATGAGCATTAATGAAACAGAAAAAAGAACTTATGTGTACAACCTCCGAGGGAGGGATTTGCCCCTGTCGGATCAGTGCCAGGTCCGAGGCCAGGGGACTCAGGCCGTTTCCTTGATCTATAATGCTGATGCCTTTGTCAGGAGCATCCTCAATCCATCGAGGAACAGGTGTGGTAACTCCTGGATAGACAGAAGGACCAGCATCAGGTGGGAAATCAGTTGGACCAGAGTCGAGTGCATCCCAGAAGTGATCATAAGAGTCATATTCCTGTCTGTCAGCATTCAACGATAGGTCTTGCTCATAAAATGACAGGCCCTGCACATCTCCATAAGTTGATGGGCCCTGTGCATCTCCATAAATTGATGGGCCCTGCACGTCTCCATAAGTTGATGGGCCCTGCATGCCTCCATACCATGCCTGCCCATGGTCTTGAGCGTCTCCATATAACGATTGCCCCTGCTCCTCCCTATCTCCGTATAATGATTGCTCCTGTGCAGGAGCCTGGTCCTGCGCATGACCATACAATGGCTGGTTTTGATTGCCATAAGAGGGTTGCTGCATGCCTGTGCGACCGATTAGCGATCAGTAGACTCCATAAGATCCACTTACCTTGCCACTGTAGTTGAGTTTGTCCATAGGGATTGAAATCAAAAGCTGACATTTGAGGTTGTTCTGTGGGAAGGTTGAGTTGGTCAACTGCTGGTAAACTGGACAGATTAAGCCCTGATTCCCTAGTTGGTTTGGGGATCTTAGTCTTGCCCTTGTGCTGTGAATTACGCACACCTGGCATCCAGGTGGTGGTTAAGAAGACAGAAACAATTGTACGTCAGAAAAGACATGTACTGCTTGATTCAATTTCATCTTACACAAGAAAGAGACACAAACTTGGTACACAATTTACAGACTGGGGGAAATGAAATGTGTGCTGGGGAAAATAAAACATGTGCAAATCAAATGGGGAGATTTAAGGGCAAACCATAAGAAGCGGATGGGGAAAAAGGCCATGTTCCAGAAGCACAACTGAATAGATGGGTAAGGGGTAAGAAGTAAATTGAAAAGGGTGGCGCTTCAAGAAGCTATATGTGAATGGTGCAATCTGAATCAACAGGCGGTTATCAACTAAGATATGAATCAGTGTGGAACAAAATGACCCGGCAATTAGTAAATTTACATACCAAGATTGAAGGCATCAGTACAGATTGGGAAGGGCTGGGCAACTGCAACTAGCCATGGATACGATCATCTTCCTCATCATTGTCATCATCAGTTCCCTCATCATCATCCATGCTATCATCTGTATCAGAAGACAGACTGGGTTTACCAACGAATTGCAGATAATGGGAAGACTTCCCCATGGAACCCAATACATCTTCCAATGCACGTGAGCCTAAGTGTTTCTTGAGTACATCTGCTTGGGCAGTGACAGCACGAAGTATCTCACAGTTGTCGTCATAAACAGCTTGAAGGTAATTCACATCGTCATCAATTTCTTCTTGTGACCAGTCAGCGAAAACATTCCTGATTCGTTTCAACTCTTCATCACTGAAGAGGAGACAATCTTTGTTCTCATGATACAAGCCATCCAGGAATGTCATGTACCACTCTGACACCTCAAGCTCCCATGTCATTGTTACAAGATGTTGGCATGCAGCTTCCCAGCCAGCAAGCTTTGATTTAAACAGTTGGTACAATGTTGTGAGGCTCAAATTTGAGAAGCCCTTAGAAATTATTTCCTCCTGCTTTGACCTATCAGATAATGTCTAAAAATATTCAATAATAAGAAACATACCTGATGGATTTCTTCAGCCATGAACTCTGGCCTAGATCCTTGTCCTGATACACGGGCTGCAAATTGAAGCTCCAGCAGAGCTGGACAGAAAGCATATGGAATGTGTTTCTGAGACATTCGCTCGCATAGGTACTGCCCACAACAGGAAGGAGATGCGAAGAGTTTCATGGGGGATTTTCCATGCCAGGAAGGAGATTTGAGGCCAGGTTTTCCACGGTGAGAGGGAGATTTGAGGAAATGCCTGTGCAGTATGCTCCACTTCATACTTGGAGATTTAGGTACATCATATAATATACTCTGGTTTGCCTGATGAGGTCTAGGCACCTCATCTACTGGGGAGAGGGGAGCCTGGGGAGAACCTGTATTAGAACCAGAACATATGTCAGAGGTCATCCAGCGAGGGGGTTCATGGGTAGAGTGGATTGTCTTCTTTGAAAAATCAAAGGGAATTGGTTCAACACAAGTTGCCGAGCTTGAGTTGGTTGGGGCAGGACTGCTTGATCAAGGAGGAGAGGAGACAGGAGATGAGGGCACAAATTCCATTGTTGTCTCGCAGGCGACCTACAGAATACAAGTGCACTGCTAACTGCACTGCTATCAGGCTGGCACAGTATACCATGGAGATGCATTGTATGCAGACTTTGAAAGACTTTGCAGGTTTGCATGCCAGTCAAACTCGTCCAATCACAGACTGGGCAGCAGCAAATCCAAATCAAAGCTATATGATGTGAGTATCAAGTTCTGTTGGGCTCGATTGCAATACTGATGTGCACATACATTTGGCAGGTTATGTCCCAACTGCAAATTGGGAGACTTTCCGTCCATTAAGGCACTGATTTTGCATCTTAATTCAGAGCCTACTTGTTGGCCATACAAAGCATGACCGCAAGAATTACCTGTCCCTCCTGCACTCCATCAATGTGGAAGCAATAGGACACCCACTACTTATACTAGTCACCCGAAAGCTGGATACATCTTCAGTGTCAGCAGAAACATGCTCAATAGGCTGGAAGATGATACATATGTGTATCGGTGGAAAATCAACCATTACTACCCTTTCCAAGATGAAGATGAATGGGAGTTAGGGAAGTTCATGGTTGAAAACCTCACCCAGACCCAAATGATCGAGTTTCTGAGGCTGAAATGGGTAAATGTCCAAGCTATATCCTCACTCTTATTAACTTCATTCATAGTTCAACAGTCCTCGTGAAAAACCATCTTTCACTATGAAAGATCAACTATTAGACTGGATGGACTCACTCCCTTGTTTTATGGAGTGGAAGGCCTCTAAAATGGAATTTTCAGGCTACAAAACAATCCATCCCATCAAGCTCATCTGGCATGATGCGCTAGAAGTTGTCAAACAACTCTTCAGCGATCCAACCTTTGCAAACCACATGACCTATACTCCACATGTCATCAATATCGGAAATCAGCATGAATATGGAGATTATATGAGCGCTGATATGGCATGGAAAATCCAGGTTGGCTCACTCTGTTAGTCCATTCCTACTAAATCACAGATTGACTTCACAATTTTCTAGGACCATCTCCCTGTAGGTGCAACTCAAGTGCTGATAATCTTGGGATCCGATAAGACTCATGTAACGCAAATCACCGGAGGACTTGAAATGCACCCAGTCTTCCTAACTATCAGCAACATTGATTCAGATATTCGCTCCAAAGCAACCTTGCGAGCTTGGCAGTGTATTGCTTACATGCCAATCGCAAAGTTCCATGTCCATCCAGACTATCAAAGCATTCTCCAGGTGTGGTTATGGCATAAGTGCATGGACCTCATTCTTGCCAACCTTAAGGCCACTGCATTAGATGGATGTTTCATGCCTGACCCTTCCAGATACATTTGCTATGTTTTTACACCCCTCATTGCTCATGTATGTGACCTACCAGAGGCCTCTATGATTGCCGCAGTCACGAAAAATGCATCCCCCCTGACCATGGCGGTGCAAGGAGATTTTGGCAATGGGACACTTCACCCCCCTCGTACTGGGAAGCATACACTACAATGCATTGTCAACATCTCCTGCAAAGTTGATCCTTGGGATCTTGACAAGTTCCAGAAGGCAGCCAAGGCTGTTAACCTGTCTGGAGTTCACATGCCATACTGGCGTGACTGGATTTACACATGTCCGTCCATCTCCCTCGCCAGTGAAATACTGCATACATGCTTTAACTTTTTTGCTGATCATCCACTCCAATGGACCAAGGAGGCTGTAGGAGCTCACAAGCTTGATAACCACTTCATTGTCCAGCACAAGCGGGTTGGCACGCGCCACTTCACAAAAGGTGTCACACACGTCAAGCAAATGACGGGTCACGAGTACAGAGAAATACAATGCACTATTGTTGCCTTGATTGCAGGTACCGCTTCACCCCAGTTTGTTCATGCAATACGTGCCATTGTGGAGTTCATCTACCTTGCGCAGAACTCAGTTCACTCACCTGAAACACTTCAGTCAATGGAGCAGGCTCTTTCAGACTTTCACGTTTGCAAGGGTGCTATTATCGAGGCCGAAGCAAGGAAGGGGAAGAAAGGTGTCAAAGAGGATTTTTTTATTCCCAAACTTGAGCTATTGCAAAGCTTTAAGGGTACTGTCCAGCGACTAGGCACTTTGATGCAATTCTCAGCTGATACAACAGAACACTTGCTGATCACACATTGTAAGGATCTTTTCTCGCAGACAGCTCGGCAAAGCAAAAATTTTACGGAACAGTGCGTGTGACTTCTTAACCGCCAGGAATCTATGGAGATTTTTGACCTGTACATGCTGTTGAGTTCTCATGGGGTATCATTGGTCAATGCCATGCATGCTGAGGAGGAGGAGGTTGCAATTACTAATCCTGCACTCATGTGAGTATCCCACGTTCTCCCTGACGAAGTCAAGTCAGTTCATGGTCCCCAACCAGTCTGTAACCACTTTCTCAAGGGTATCCTCTCTGGAGATGCACAGACCACTTTTCAGGTCAATATCACTCCAGACTACAAATCACTGTCACTGGCTGAAATATGCATAAAATACGCACTCCCTGACTTTGATCGTTCCCTCGTTGACTTTGTTGCTTGGTCATCACTGTCTAGTGGCAAACATACTCGCTGGGACCCCAAATATGGGCGTTACCAGGTGTGGAACAAGTTTCAGCTCCAGCTTCACTCAGCCTTTCAGCAACGCGTCATTATGCCAAGCAGGGTGGTGCAAGCATACCCCCCAAGCAATGATTTCCCCCTCGGCAATTGCAACACCGTTCTCACTGACACCATGGGCATCAATGGCAAAATGAGTATGTTTATTCTATGCCCCTATATCCTAGCCCTACTGATATCATATACAGCAAGTTACATCACACAAGTTCGAGTCATTTTTCAGCCGGTTGTTCAACGAGGTTCTAACCTGGAACTGCCATCGTATCTCTCCGACCCACTTCTCTATGTCCAATTCTTCCGCTTCATCTCCAGCCCTGATGAGCATCCCAAACTCGCTATGTGGACTGTGGAGCATGCATACATGCAGGATCAAAATGGTAACCAGTATAGGGAGGGGGCTGCCATACGAGTGGTAGATGTAATGCATGCAGTTGAACTGATACCTGTTTATGGTGAGGCAGTAGCCGATGGCATGTCCTCTGCAATTTGCTTAGAACACTATGAGTGTTTCTTTTTGAATAACTTTGCGGACAAGGAGAGTTATCATGCATTCAGTACCGAGTTTGTATAGATAGTAGCTTGATCAGCATGTGGCAATTGTATTCACATCTACCATATTGCATATCCGAGCAATCGCATCTTATCAACTGAAGATAACTGGGCTTGAGTTTTATCAACCAGATATGGTGAGTAATATTGGCATTCAACATCTCCACCAATCACATGAGTTCGCTAGTGATGTCGTAAGTGTTCGTAAGCGTCCATAACGCGCGTAACTTAAGCATTCATTTCAGTGGTTTTGCAGATGAACCAACCACTGTCAGCTGACAAATATAAAGAAACCGAAAGAATGAAGGATGAATCAAAAGAAGCCAGAGAACCAGAAACAGGTTGGATTAAGGCATGATTTTCAGATTCACCACTGATACATCACTGATACATCAGCTGCTACTGTCCATAAGTACACTGCGCAATGGAACAAGTAGTGTATCATATTTTCACTACTACTGTAAGCCAAGTAATGTATTAATATCACAGTATAGCCTGTTTCTTCGCCATATCTTGGGTTTTCGATTGCCTACATGTTGGTAAAATTCCATAGCAGACCTGCACGTTTTGTGTTTGGGGCCTTGGGGGGTAACAAAACCATATATTTAACCGAACCCATTTACAACTTCTATATATAATGCATGCGGGAGGATATCCTCCGGCTCACTTTGGTCTTCTCATCCAGGGCCATCCTCGAGGACAGCATCATTCGACAAGTATTCAGGATCCCCCTCTAAACCCCGAACTCGCTCGTCATCTTGCTCATCACCTCTCTCAATATATTCACTGGTACTGACCCGTTCGTGATGCTCGTCATGTGTGATAGCAGGGGTCCCGAGATCGAGAGAAAGTACACTTTGGTTGTCAAGAGACTCGTCGTCAGATGGTGGAAAGTATAGAGGAGGAGAATCGGGTTGGGAAGGGTATTCGTGAACATCATCGTCAACATAAAAGTCCCCATCAATAGGATCCACGTCCATGCCCATGTTAATATCAGTGTCTGCTTCACGATCAAAGTACTCATTTTCCTCCAGGGTAGGTGAGGGTGGACATTCAAACTTGGCAGCAGGTTGTGAGTTTTCAAATCCCTGATCTAACTCGTCTTCGAACACAAGCTTATTTGGACCTGGCTGATGACGAGCATATCCGTTTCTCCCGACATGGAGTTTGATTATTTGAATCATCTGGAACAGACCCACTGGTGTGTACACAGTGCAAGGACACAAGCGCCGTGGTGGCTATGAATCAGATACAACAGATTATCAAAGAACGGTCTTCAAAAGATCGTATATTACAAGCCGTACATTAGTCTTCATACGTGTAATTATCCTCGAGTCGACGGCTGCGATAGACGTTCAAATCACAGGTAAAACTTGCACGATTTGCCTGTGCTATGGTCCTGGCCCAGGTGGAATAGATCAAAAGACTGATCAGGTGGTGTCAGTGAGAAGTACCCTGCAGTATTGAAGGTAAGTACTTACATAAGAGAGCTCGAGTGCAGTGATCTGGTGTCGGTTGCGTTGGTTGGAGACAAGCAGCAGCGACGCTGGAGTGCAAACAAAGACCAAGTTCGAGTTGCCTTTTTCGTCAGATAAACCCTAGCTATGGGTTAACGTTATACGTACTCATGTGGTAGGTCTGCAGCTGGGTATGCGTTGAGGCGTGTTGAAGGGTTGAGTCGATGCCGTATATACCGAGCGGAAATCAAGGTGAGGAGGCTTGACAGTATCCGCCATCGTTGCGCGGAGCGTTGACTTAGAGTATCAGGTTTAAGACTTAGTACTGGCTGGCTGATATGTGGTGGCGGTTACATGGTTGAAACCTTGGTGACCCCCCAGAATCTCCGCCAAGTCTCAGACGTCGGAATTTTTGGACAACACGCAGTGCTATCTATCTACATATATCTACCTCATTCTTGTCGATTTTCACTGGGGTTCACTGATGATCGTCTTCTCAGTGCTTCATTACAATATACCTTTCTCACGCTTCATTTATGTAAGCTGTGCAGGCTTGCAAATTCGATTGCTGTCAATGCGACTAAACACATTCCTTTCGTATAAAGTGCGTCGATCCTGTCTGTGAGCCGGATGATGGCATGGATATCTGCCCCGTCTGCTTTTGCGCTGGGAAAGAGTTCGCCAAACATAAAGCAGGTCATGCATACCGAGTTATACTCACGCTTGATCGCTCTTATCCAATTTTCTCCACTGATTGGGGAGCAGATGAGTAAGTCACCGTTACTAATGCCTTCCTCATTGCTCCATCTGAAATGTATCTATAGGGAGCTCTTACTTATCGAGGGGATATCTCAGGGTGACCTTGGAAATTGGTGGATGATCGCAGAACACATTGGTACCTTGCACTAAAGAAGATGTCGAAGAACATTACAACAGCGTATATGTTGATTCCACCGATTGGCCGATTCCTGTACGTCTATATCATTCAAGTCTGTCCCTTCACTGAGTGAATTGTGTTACAGCGGGCGGATATTGAATTTAATATCGACCAAGATGAATTCCAAGCTAGCAAGCGCAGGCGAATGTCAACCATGACCACTTCTTTACCTCCACCACACGAGTTAGCCCCAACCTCCGCTCCTGGGGCACACGAGATTGCCACTTTCCTCCCTGGTAGGCTCGAGTTCGAACACGAGCTCGATAATGAAGCGAAGGATCTTGAAAGATCTGGAATTTGTAATTTGTAACTTGTCATGCATGGGGCGGTGACCAGATCATGGAAGATGAAAACGACGCGGATGTCCGCGCCTGGGCACAGACGCTGGAAGAGCGCAAACTGTTGCTGGTTACAGAAACAGCAGCCAACCACCCGTCAATGGTGTCAGTGGCATTGTGAATTGGAACGGATACCTTCCGATGAACAGCGATTCACGTGTCAAGTCAGAGGAACCGTCTAGTGAATAGCATACTTCAACGGAAGATGACGCGAATGGGGAAGAAGCAATGCTGCCTCCCCCATATGAGACGGAAGATTTAAGCTGACTTTGATGGGGATGCACAATCAGCGTCTTGACAAGCGACGAGAAGCCAAAGTTATCATGTATGAACGAGGTCTTTTGGATTACAAGAAGGTATGTCGGTGTGTGTACGCACGTCATAAACTCACTTCTTTTTCAGATGCAAGCCGCCGAAGAGAAGCGTCCGAAGGAAGAAAAGGACATTGTTCAATGACCCCGACCGTTCATTTGACTTCAGACAACTGAGGATTTTGTTTTCGCAGCTGATATTCTTTGTAAAAACTTCTAGCATTGTAGTGGAAAGGCGTTGATGATGTTGCTGCAACAGACGAATCCATGCTAAGGAAGAGAATACAAGAGCTGCAGCATTATCAACGAATGGGACTTACCACCCCAGCCGATATCGATAAGTTTGAAATTGATTCCATTTGCAGGGTAAGAAATGTCCCCCAATTATTTTCTCAAGTTATGCAGCTCACCTGTACGGTTAGGCTCAAGCGAAAGCAAATTCATCTCGCAACTACTATTCCTCGGAACGTCTGGCATAGCTTCGTGCATCAGGCAGCACGAGTACGACATATTTCTTCATTTTCTCTGTTTGCGTTCTTCACTGACACCGCTGCAGGAGAATCGGAAGGTCGCAAGAGTCACGAGGAGAATCAACTCCGAAGCTTGGGATCCCTGCCGGAACGGGTCCTCGGATCCGCAGACCACGTTCGTTCGTTTATTCCATCCGAAAGTATGACACAATGGCTCACCTTATTATCCAGCCGCCCCTCAATCCTGCCAATAGCCCATCCTTGCATTTGCTTACTTCAGTCGAGCGAACCCTCTGCTAACAAGTCCAAATCTTGCCCAAGCCTTACCTTGTCATCAAGGAGACCCTCGTCTGGGAGTACACTCGTCGTGGAGGCAAGCTTCGCCGCAGGGAAGCGCGGGATCTCGTCAAGATTGATGTGAACAAGACGAGTAGAGTTTAGGACTTTCTGGTGCAAGCTGGTTTCCTTGAAATCATACCTGGCCCTGCCGCCTGTTGCTGCTGCTCAGGATACCTCGTATGTATATCTTCTTTCCCTGTAGCTGGATACTAACGTCATTCTCCAGTATGGACGGCATCTGCCCCAATACGCTCCTTCATGAAAAGTCGCATCTCATTATCGCTTTCTGCTTTGTGTTTCCCAGCCTCTCGTCCATTTCCTCATTTCCATTCGCTATTCAAATTTCTCATGTTCTTCGACGCCTGACATCTCAATATCCTTTCCTGTATCTCATGGTGATCTCGTTGTCAAATATCTGTTGTACTGTACGCACTGAACCACGCTCAAAGCCAAATGAAACTGTAATATCCAAACACTTCCTTACTGCCGCAGCAGTTTCTTTCAGTTTCTTCAATCCACTTTGGGAGGTGCCTTAAACACACACCTCTCTCCGTTTGTTTCGCTCGATGACATCTCAGATGAATTCGTTCGTTGTACTATGATCATTTCCAAAATCTGTTACCCAGTCAACTTTCTACCACGACGTTCGCTCAAACTACGCTGAATTCGAATGCAACGCTACACGCATACAATAGACGATGAATCATAACTGCATGCTCAATATCGTACTTGGCCAAGTGTTTCTGGCATCTTCGCAAATCAGTTTTCTGGAACAAGATCATCGCAATGAAGAGCTACAAGAGTTGAATTGATTAACTGCGAGGAAAAGAAAAAGCTGGAGACTCACTCGTAACAGTGCTGCCAGCCTATCACATGTGCCATGCGGCTCAAATCAAGCTCTTTGAGCGCACTATCATTCTAAACCGCCTGTACCAATACTCGTCTCATTTCTGGATCGCGGTCAGCCAGATTGCGCACTATGGTAGAAAAAACATTTCCATGACGACGGTCTGCTCCTCAATGTCGGTCGAAGCAATAACATGACCAACCCCACCCACGTCGTGGAATCAGCTAGCAATTGTGTGGGCGATGACTGATTTGCCCTTGCCTGCAGAGCCGGATAGCCACAGCATGCGCGGAATATCGTCTCCAGTGCTGTTGACCCAATCTATGATCTGTGAGAGGATTTCCATGCGTATCCCAGGTAGGCACTGTCTAGTCCAGTGCCCGCTGCATAAGTTATACCGCGGAGGTCAAATTGCTCGCCTGAAGAGGAATGAATGGATGTCAAGCACATACGTCACTCACCTGTACGGGTGGACATAGATAGCTACGTCATGAGCGACTTGGTCCTGGAAGTTGTGCGTGAGCCCATCCAACGCATCGCTGTACCGTTGTACTTCGTGATCCATTTCAGTGAGCATGTCTTTCCCGAGTCTCTTCCCTGTTATAATAGTAGAAGATTGAATGTGTGGAACATGCAGCAGCTTGAACACTCACAGAAGTTCGTGGTCTCCGCACAATCTCTGACGAAGTGGGGGCATCCAAGGGTCCGCTGAGATATCTGTCCAAGGATACCGCGCATCGATGAAATATGGTCAAGCGACTCGTCCTGTGTCATGAAGGCGTGAACTTGATCAGCTTCTCGACGAGATGATGTACTGCTGCGTCAGATCTGATTGGGTGATGACCATACCGATGGCTGCGAGAGATAGAAGTAAGGGAGGGACTAAACGTACTTTTGATGCACAAGACAAGATGTCCAGTGCAATATTTTGCATATGGATGTACCTACGAAATGGGACTAGTTCAGTTCCAACGGAAAGGAATGGCTCGTACATCCGCATGTGTCCCCATGACACTGTCCAATATCCTGAGAGGTTGAAGATATGTATCCTGGAAATTATATGCAGTCTCAAGATCCGCTGATGCATTTTGGGCGGTACATGTTCTAGATGCCACATGTCCCGAAAGTGGCTTCATGAGTTTTACAGCCTCTTTGGCAGTCTGAAGTGCTGATTGGGGACCGGCACCATGTTCTGCACTAGAGGGAGTCTCCTGAACATGCGCAACAACCAGAGTTTAGAGAAAGAACATAAGCTAAAAGGTGACTTACTTCGACATTCGTAATTGATGAGGCACCTTCATAATCAACGTTCAGAAGAACCGTTAGGGTCGCGGGAATCCTTCGAGTGTAAGTTACCTAGCTCAACTGCCCCCCGACACGTCACATTAGTTGTGAGAAGATTGCAGGACTCACATACACCATGTTTTGCCTGTCTACAGACCTCTAGGCATCGTGGACGTCTGCATGCCTACAAACGCCTGAACAGAAAGATAGACTCAATAAATAGACTCAATAAATAGGTCGGTCCCTGACAAGGTATTATATGGGCGCACCGATACGACTTGAAATCACTCACTTCTATGCGGATAAGGGGCATATTGACCAAACCATATATGAGCTCTAGCAGCGCTAAGCCGCCTTAGCCTACGCAGCTACACAAGTGGGCATCACGATGGACATTGGGTATATCCTCATGTCCAGACTTGCTGACTTTGTTTGTCCATAACCGCATGTAGGTTTTCGCCGTTTCGGCATTCTGCGAACGCACACCTGTTGAATTGTGATCCTGGTATCTCGCCAGCTAGCATGAAACTCGCTCATACAAAGGCACTGAGCCCTGAAATTTTACCTTCACACCATCATCCAGAGCGCCATGAGTATGTAAGTGCCAAGTACATATCCAGAAGTTTTCACTAATAACATCAGAATATGTAGAACCAGAGCACCAATAATACGATGAGGAATGTTGCAAAAAGACGTGCTAATCGGCGGCCTACCACCGATGACATAAAACATCCTCAGACTCAGGCTCGTGGCCCTCGTCCTGTGGATCCCCTTCAAGTTATGGATTCCCCTCCTTCCTATCCTCCAAACGCCATTGTCCGACGTATGGCTGGATGTACTCAAGCTAGCCAAGGCAAATCTGGGCCATGTGCAAAGCCATTTGGACCATCTCTACCCGACCTTCGCTTCACAGGAAAGTCACTTGCAAGGAGTGATCAAAGTGAAATGTCGTTGATAGAAGCACAAGCACAAGTAGTGAGTTTAAATTTCGTCATTTCAAACATATAGTTTGATCCGCAAGTCGCTATACAGGGCAAGGATATCCTGCAACGTGGCTTACAGCATATGTCAGATGAAGCTATTCAGCAAGCCGCTCGTGCAAAGCAGGCCTCTCGTGAAACCAGACGCCTCCGCGTGATATTAACAGCGTGGGAGATAGAGGAGGCAGAGCGCCACGCAGAACTCCTACGCCTGCTGCAGCGCAGCAATGTCGAAGGTTATGAGGAAGCCAATAATGAAGCTTCCTGGTTTGAGAGGTTCATATCGGACAGGTCCTTGGCTCAAGTTCAGGACGACTTTGGCTTCAATATGTCAGTGTACCGGAACGATTTGGCATTGCTTGGCACTGCCGATGAACAGCTCGATCAACTCGAGAGTCACGCTGAGGAGCGTAACCTACTTTTGTTTAAAGAGGACTTGACAAAGGACCTCAAAGCCTTGATGGTTGAAGGAGGCGACGGCGAGGGGAGCGAAGATGATGACAGTGTATACGATTCCAATACGTCCGAGTCCCATTAAGGTATGTGTTCTTGTACATAAAAAACTCCATACAGACACCTGACTCGCCGTTTTAGCAATTTGTATTACTGAAAGGACAATTCTGTGAGCACCTGACAATCTATCACACAAGTTACCTTTTTGTACCATATAGTATGCCCTTCTTGCAGCGTTTCTTACGTTTTGTCATGTAATGCCGTTAAATCAGAGCAATAGAATATCGATGCGGATGAGCAGATATGTACTCGACCGTGAGACTTGGGCCTTAACGCTTCCGAGATGATGGGGTTCATCCTCATGTTAGCCTTGCTTCCCTTTCAGCACTCCCCACCATGGTATCACAGAAGGGCAAAGGAAAAACCAGGGTATGTCGGCCATCCCATGGCTGTTTTATTGACAAAACACGAAGCAGCAAACTCGGACTCCCTCACCTAGAGATCAATGAAGTAATGAAAGCAGCAAATTGAATAAATGCCATATGGATGTGATGTCTAATTTGAAGCTTACCAGGGACTGGGGAGATGTGTTGTGAACCTGTCAACAAGTTCATTGCAGAAAAAATAGGAAAAAAATCACTTTGGTGACACTGGTTGCAGAACATTGGGCAGACCGAGGGGTTTAAATGGTTGGGGGAATGAATCATGAGATCGATGCAGGTCTCTGTGATAATCATTCTTTTATCAGTAACGACTCATTGTATCATGCAGACCATTGCGCACCTCACTGGTGGGATTCCTGGGCTGTGTCATTATACTTAGCTTAGCTATCAAGAACAACAGAGAACAGGTGTATTATAACTCACAATGGCATTGGAAACCCAGGATTCAGAGAATGTCACTGATCTTGGGTGGCATTGTTGCCGCATAAATCCCACATCATTGTGTTGACTTATATGGTCAAACTGGAAATGGGTTTCAAACTTGTGAAAATATTTCTTTTGTTGGGCTGGTACATATCATAGTGGGTACCTCTAGGATCAATATGAGCCAAGAATTAAAGAAATCAGTGGTTGGGTTGTGGAGATATGGTTGAAATACTGATATTTTGGCCTACCCACCATATCTCAATATTTATATGGTCATTTCAGAAATAGGTTTCAAACTTGTGCAAAAACTTCTTTTTGTGGGCTGGTACATATCATGGTGGGCACATTTAGGAATGATATGAACCAAGAATTAAAGAAATTGGTGGTTGGGTTGTGGAGATATGGTTGAAATACTGAACTTTTGGCCCTACCAACATATGTCACCATTATTGACCTCCAGATGGTCTGGGACCATCACCAATCGATTTCTACACTTGAAAAACCCCAGGACAGTCCTTTACATTATCGGTATCAAGTTAAAATCATGTACAGCACAATATAGGAGGTAGGAGGGGGGAGGAGGACCTTGCATATCTCAAGAATGCGATTTTTTCTGGGAATTCTGGCTTGACTATCGTGTTCAGAGTGATGAAGAGCCCTCAGGAAAAATGCTGTTGGAGCACTGGCAAGTCATGGGAAGTCTGTAAAAATCGATCTTTGTAGGGGGTATGAGGCAAACTGACATATTTCAATCCAGACAGCCTTGGAATATTCCAGGACCATTCTCAATCGATTTCTGTGATATAATAACCATAGGTGCACCCTTTCACATGCTGGTATTTACATAGTATCAAGATATATGAGATGGTAGGGGGGATGGGGACCTTGCATATCTCAAGATTGTGATTTTTTCTGGGAAATTTGGCTTGACCATCGTGTTTAGATGGCTCAAGAACCCCCAGGAAAAATACTCTTGGAGCACTGGCAAGTCATGGGAAGTCTGTAAAAATCAATCTTTGTGGGAGGTATGAGGCAAACTGACACATCGTAATTCACACAGGCACCAAAGACTCTGAGAACATCTCCGATCCATTCATATTCTAAGGGCACATTTGTAACCTGGTATTGGTTACACCCGGGTTATAGCTAGCCAAAAGAGCACAATCTGGGCATTTCTGAACATGTCAAAAATGCGCAGAACAGGGGAGGTCAGATCTGGGCATTTCTCAACGTGTCAAAAATGCCCAGAACAGGGGGGGGGTCGGATCTGGGCATTTCTCAACATGTCAAAAACGTGCAGAACAGGGGAGGTCAGATCTACTCTACCTGAAGGATGAACGGTGGCCCTGGCTGCTCCTCTCTCGAAGGTTTGCTGCAAGAGAATGGAGTAAGCCTCTTTTTAAACAGCAAGACTCATTTAACAAAGCTTGAAGCCTTTCAGCTGGGCCTGGGGTCAGGCCAAACCAACGGTGAATCAACAGAGCTGGACCAACCTCTCCTCTGTCCTTTGGGTGGAGCAACCTGTTGGTACCGGATTTTCCCAAGGCATCCCAGATACACAGAATGAGGATGATGTCGCTACTCAACTCGTCGGCTTCATGCAGCAGTTCCTTGAGGTTTTTTCGGAACTCAAAGGCAAAAAGCTGTATCTAACGGGTGAAAGTGTAAGTTCTCGGAGGGTCTGGTAAAATATCGTATTGACTGTATTCAGTACGCTGGAACATACGTGCCTTGTGAGTCCAAAGTCATTTTCTTTGAACGCGACTTAAAGACCAATGCAGATATCGCAAACTATATCTACGAGAACCCCACTCTATTAGACCTCTCGTTGCAGGGAATATGGATCAGTGATCGTAAGCAACATTTTGACTTGCTCTGTCTTCTCAAGGACTTATACGTGAAGCTCAGCCTCAATCTCATGGGACGTAGTGCAAGAGGAGATCCCTGCAGTGGACTTCATGAACAAATACGCTGGTCTCTTTTCTTTCAAGTCCGTTCATCTCACTCGGACCTAGTTTGCAGGTTACTCACCAATTGGATATCTAGTCAGACGTTCATGAGCCACCTCGAGGAGAAGGCCGTGACGTGCAATTATACTGGTTACATGGATAAGTATGTCACATACCTTCCAACAGGTCTTCTTCCCCTGCCAGGAGACTATCGAGTTTGCACAGGGCTGTGACGTTTGGGACGACATTTTCAATAATGCACTGATTATCAATCCCGCCTTCGATATCTATCGCATCTGGGACACTGTGAGTCGAAGAGGATTTTAATGAGTACTATAATAACTTATTCTCCACGCAAGTATCCGATTTTATGGGATGTCCTAGGTTTCCCGTAGGTTATCCAATCGATTGAATGCAACTAGGCTGACGAAAACCTAGAGGTTCATTCCCACAGATACAGTCTCCGATCTACTTTAACTGAATGGATGTGAAGGAAGCTATCCACGCGCCTGTTGACACCGAGTGGTCGGAATGCTCCAATATTAACGTCTTCCCCAACGGAGACAACAGCTTGCCCCCTGCCCTGACTGTATTACCGAGTGTTATCGAGAAGAACCAGCGGACCGTCATTGTGCACGGTCTCGCTGATTTTATCCTCATTGCCAATGGGTATGATTTTGTTTTCGATCATTAATCTTCGTATATTCTGACGCATGGTTTGATGATTTAGAACCAGAATTGCCATTCAAAAGTAAGTGCGTTATTGACCGTGATACTTATAAATTGACATGAATCATCTGTAGCATGACCTGTGCGTGACTCGTAGTGTTTGGTGTGCGCTACTAATCACTCATTGTATTCTAAGGGGATGGCTTGCAAGGATTCCAGACGCCTATCGCTGACGACAGCTTCATTGTTGATGGCGTGGGTGCCTATGGGACGATGCACTCAGAGCGGGGACTTACTTATTACGAAGTAGCGTTGAGTGGACATATGTGAGTTCGCTGCAATACGTAGGGTCTCGTTTCTAATCGTCTTCTGTAGGATTCCGCAGTTTGCGCCAGTAGTAAGTTGACAATGCTGATGTGCAGGTGCAGTCTAACACAGAAACAAATGATTTCAGGCCGCCTTCCAGATTATGCAGTACCTGATGGGCTTTAGGGACACACCCTAGACAGATACTTCTTCCCCTTCAGTGCTATAAACAAGCAATCCGCTCGCCTGCGGACGGCTCAGTCGCATGGTGTATTGTTATCCTGTCGGATTCGTTTACAGCAACAATAAAGAGTAAACTACATTCCTCGTCTCTCTTTCTTCACTTGTGTGTGTGTGAAAACAACGCCTGAATATCGCGACGATTTCGTGCCCTAAACAGCGCTGTGTATAGTTGACCGTGTGCGAATACATCTGTACGAAGGTCGAGTATAGCGCGTCGAAGAGTCAGCCCTTGGCAGTCATTGAACATCGTCGCATATGCAGGCCGTAATGGAAATTGTTTACCGTTGCCGGAGAGCAGTGATGCGCACACGTGCAATGATTTTGTACCAACCCTTTCTCTATTGACATATTTCGTTGCACTGCGCATATCGCGCTCACTTTGAGGTCTAGGCAGTGCAGAGGTGTGTTCGGATGGGTGAGCATGGCGAGGTAATCGGGAGTCTATTCAGGCGCATTGCTGATGTTTGATCAGCTTCCTTTAATACGTCTGAACTGAAGTAAGATTTTTCGTTTCTTCGAATCAGAGTCTGTGGACAAGCATGAGGATAAACTTACCATAGACTCCTGGCAGTGCTTCGAGAACAACGTCGTTGAATTCGTCGACGAACATGTATGAAGGGAGTCGCACTCTGAATACCGACGATACCGTGAAAAGAGTAAGATGACGCCATAACGATGAAAAATGCGGATGGGAGTGAAAGAGATAACTGCCCCAACGCTCGATCAGCCGAAGTTGCAGCGGGAACGAACACAAAGGAGCTGACTCGGAGGTGGAGTACACTCCTGTTTAATACGTGCCTGTTCAAGGCGCACCTGTTCGAGCCGTTCCTGTTTAATGCGTTTCTGCTCAACGCGCTCCTGTTCGAGGCGTGCCTGATCAAGAGAGGTTAGTTCGAGGCGCTGCTGTTCAGTTCGTTGACGTTCAAGGCGTACCTGTTCAGTGCGCTCCTGTTTAATACGTGCCTGTTCAAGGCGCACCTGTTCGAGCCGCTCCTGTTCAATGCATTTCTGCTCAACATGCTCCTGTTCGAGGCGTGCCTGTTCAAGGCAAGTTAGTTCAATGCACTCCTGGTCAATGCGTCGTTGTTTGATACGTACCTGTTCAGCGCGCTCGCGTTCAAGAGCCGTCAGCTTCTCCTTCTCCTCATGCGCGTGCATCTCCTTCTCTTGCTTGAGGCGTGCAGCCTCTGCTACTCTTCCATTTTGTTTGTCTCTGAATCTTTTGATGAGCGACTGCTTGTTTTCGTTCCGTTGTTCCTCCGATAGGGCAACAACAGATTCATGTGCAGGTCCATCAGGAGGGGAGGCGTCGGTGGGAGTGACAGTGGTGGGGGGAGCGGCGGTTTGACTCGTTGGGAACTTGTTCGGCGATGTCAGAAGAGTAGGAGGAGGAACTGGGGTGACTTCAGGGGGAGGAATGGGGGCGACTGCAGCGGGGGGTATAACGTCGTGTTCGTCGTCGAGCGATTCGAAGAAATCTTCCTCATCATCAAATGAACCTTCGTAGTCGGAGTAATCGTGATAGAGTTCGATGTCTCCGGTTCTAGGATGGAACGATTGCGTTTGCCGGGCGTCTTCCTTGAGCCTGTTGATCTCCTTGTAATTTTTGGTGATCTCTTTGCGCGGTTGACGTTTGCCTGTGGTGACAAAACACGCCTGCGTGATTTTTGTCCCTTGAAAGCTGGCTCTTGGCCATCAGGCCAGAATTGGCCTGGCTTGTCGCAATAGTCGATGACTGTAGTGAATTAAGTAAATTGAATGCGCTAGACGAGTGAGTAGACATACGTTTAGAGCCCTGTTTCTGTGATTTAGGGCCTGGGTCCATCCCAGCCCATGGGTCCTCTCCCCAAGGGGGAGCTGAGGAAGACGTTGATCCCTTGTCATTTTCTGGATGAACGGAGGTGAGCCGTTGTAAGTGAGGATCGGGCTGGACTTACCGGGAGAAGGCGTCTCTACATGGAGTGGTCTTGTGCTCATCACTGCGAGCGGTTTGCGAGGCTTAAAGTCCGGTTTTATAGCTAGGGGTGGCCTTGTAGTGGCATTGTGTTTGACGCGAGCCATATTAAGTGATGGATGAGTGTGAATCGATGAGCCGGTCGATGGAGAAACGATCGAAGGAGGAATGTCTAGCAGCAGAAACGTCTCGTTGGAATTACGAAGGAGAGGTACAGCTGGTGAGATATAGCGGGAGTCTCAGGTCTGCAGGCTGGTGCGATATAGTAATCAGAATCAGAATCAGAACTGGGGATAGAGTAATGGGGTATGTAAACGTCTCGTTGGAATTTCTAAAGAGAGGTTTAGGTGGTGGTGGTTGTGCGATGACGAGTGATGAGGGTTAAGTCAAGATGAGACTAATTTAAGTAGACATGAGCCACAAAAGGAAATGATCCACAACAAGCGCTAATTGTCAAGCTTATAATGTAGCGGTCTGTGGATTCGACGAACATCACGTGCATGTGACCAAATGTGACGCTGTGCGGACAAATATCTCAAAAATATGCCGAACTCATGCCGAAGCATGCTAAATAGACTGAAGAATTTGGTACCATGAAGTTAAAGTAGATTAAAAGCACGATGCAGCAACAAGTATTTAATAAATAGAGACTTTCGAGACACTTCTTACACGTATAATACGACTCGACTTCTCGGACATGTGATACTTTAGGGACTTTGAAGACACTTATAAGACATGCAATACGACCGACTACATACTTTGAAGACATTTATAAGACATGCACTACCACCGGACTTTTGGGACTCTGAAAACACTTAATGAGTTGAAGGGTTTCTCTCGAGCGTTTCTGCTTGCGTGTTCTGTTGCCCATGGGTCTTTTTAGTAGGCGGGAGGATGGCAGCGGCTTCGCGGCACATTGCGTCGGAGTATCACTCATCACGTTTGTCACGTGACGTTCGTCGAAACCACCAGACCGCTACTTTATGTGGAGTAGAACACAATATTTGCGATTCCCAGAACAATGCTGAAATGTATCTCAAAATCAGAGCGCTTAAGTGTACAATGGATTGATTTGATTCACTTATATAGTACAACTATTATAAAAAACTTGTGCGAACAAACAGTGTAACGTGGAGACTTGTGCAGTAATGAAAGTAGCCCGAGTCCAAGGAAACTAACAGGATTCAGGAGAAGTGACGATTTGACATGGTGCCTGTGATAAGTGAGTACGGAGTTAAAAAGGAAAAGAGTATGCGTACGACGTGTGTCGGCGACAGACAGTGGGGGCTCGCACATCGGGCGTGAAAGTTGTGTAGGAGCCTTGGAATCGGGCGGAGGAACTACGAAAATAGCGTCAGTAGGTTGAATGACGTACAGGATGTCATTGAAAGACCTATTTGCGTGAATGTAGGTACATTCAATTGGATAGAAGGCACGTTGAGCTGTATCGCTGGTGGACAAAGCCCCGAGACGGATATGTTGGATGTAGAGACGGTGCTGACTGTGCGCGAGGACAAGGATGAGCATGTGCCGGAGCTTGATTTGGTGGATTCAGAACTTGAGCTAGATGCGTTGGACCCAGGATTCGAAATTTCTAAACCTAAGACTGGGCGTTTAGTACATGAGAAACCGAATGAGGGAGGATAACCTGGAATGAAAGATGTTATTGAATAGTTTTACAGAGGTAAAAAGGAGGAGGACTCACCAGGCGCCAACCTCATATACACATCCCTGAGGAGCGCCAAATCGTTTGCATAGGCACGTTCAGAGGTAAGAAGCTCGAGCAGAGCATGTTTCGTGAATGCTGGTGCAGGTGTAGGGATGGAAGATAGCGGCTAGCCATACTTCAGAGACACTTAGACACTTCAGAGACACTTACTTCAGAAACACTTTAGAGACACTTCAAAGACACAATATGTATACTTCAAAGTTCAGAGACGACGCCATACTGTTGCTTACAAAATTGAACCACGTGACTGGTCAGTTGTCCTTCATACACTATTACCAGTAACTACCGCATCGGACTCGTCTCTTGGCCACTCACATTGCTCTTCGACATTGTCTCGTTCCTTCTCGTCTGAATCATCTTATATTGCTTCCCGCCGAAATTCGGCGTGGACCAAAACTCACCCTCGCGCAGCACCTTCACAACCCACAACGACTTCGTCCCTCTCACCATCATCACCAATGCCCTCGCCCTCAAACGAGTAGATCTCAAGTAACGGGTCCATGCCCATTGCGACCCTCGAGCAGACGTATCTCCCGCCCTCACGAATCCTCTCGAGATCCCAAGATGCATGCATATATGGGGTTCGACGCCGTTCGGATGTGTAGGTGCGGCGCTATATTCCATAGGTAAGACAGAACTGGCCACTAGCCGTCAGTATGTTGATCATTTGCGCAGGTACTTTTCTTTTATGGGTCTAGGATTCGTGCTCGAAGCAAGGTGTCACGGTTAGACTGGATATCGACGAGGAGCGGGAACATCTTTCGATACTGGAGCAAAGCGTGCCACAGCGTTTTGAATGTAAACTCTGTAGAATCGCTTGTACTTGAATCTTACTATGCAACTTTAATATCTTCGGACGGTGAGGACTGAGCGAGCGGCACCCGCGGTATAGCTGGCCACCGAACACGAGCATCAAGCTATCATCCCAGGAGTGAGAAACTTGTTATTGTCATTGCGCGAAGGTACAGTGAGCAACAATCACGGAGCGAGTACTAGCTAGTCGTAAGTGACAAGAGTTTTGGACGTTTGTTCGGGAGCCTTTCTCCGCTGCGACGACTGCGTCTTCACACTGGTAGTAGATCTCGTAGTGGCAGAAGATGTAATGTCGACTCTGTGCGATGCTGAGCCACTCTGCGCTGGAGTGATCAACTAGTAAGGGGAGGGATTGACTTGAATGTTACTACTCACCTAACCTGACCAACCTAATGTCTAACCCAAAAGCACCGAGGCAAGTATGATGCAGTCCTAAGCATCTAACTAACCTAACCCTGAGACCGAGGCAGAATATGATGCAGTCCTAAGCATCTAACCACCCTAACAAAAGACCGAGGCCGAACAATAGCGGCCTACGCGTGCAGGACCCAGGATAGGATGTTTTGGGCACCAGTCGCGCAGTTTTGATGCGAGAGACGAAATAACTAGTGCGGGAGCGGGTTGTGAGTCTGTAGAATACAATGACGAAGGATCGAGGTCAGCCGGTGCGCTAGAAAAAAAAGATATGGGGGGTTTACCTCCTCCCCTTGTAAGTTACCCAGAGTGAAGTTTGGGGCCTAGCTCGAGCATTTTTGACTCGGGAGACGAGCGGAGTAGCGCGGGAGCGAGCTGTGTATCTGTAGAGTAGGATGATAAAAGATTGAAGTCAGCCGTCATGATGGAAAAAAGATATGGGTGGATTACCTCCCTCCTCCCCCCTAAGTCACTCAGACAGAAGTTCTCGGGCATAAGTCGAGCAGTTTTGACCCGGGAGACGAAAAAAGTGGAGCGGGAGCGAGCTATAGACCTATAGAGTAGAATGACAAAAGGTCGAGGTCAGAAAGGGCGATGGAAAAAAGTTATGGGTGTATAACCTCCTCCTCCCCCCTCTAAGCCACCTAAAGCGATGTTTTGGGGCATAAGTCGAGCAGTTTTGACCCGGGAGGCGAGAAAAGTGGAGCGGGAGCGAGCTATAGACCTATAGAGTAGAATGACAAAAGGTCGAGGTCAGAAAGGGCGATGGAAAAAAGTTATGGGTGTATAACCTCCTCCCCCCCCTCTAAGCCACCCCGAGTGAAGTTTGGGGCATAAGTCGAGCAGTTTTGACCGTGGAGGCAAACGGAGTGGAGCGGGAGCGAGCTGTATATGTGTAGAGTAGGATGACCCAGCGCCGAGGGCAGGAGGGTCGAAGAAAAAAAGTTATGGGTGGAAAACCTCCTCCTCTCCCTCTAAGACCGAGTAAACCAGAGTTGAGGGTATAACTCGGGAAGTACTGTTCCGTTTGACGAAATTCTTGGCGCGGGAGCATCGTGGACTGCGAATTTCGCAGCCCAGGAAGTGTCGAGTCGGCCGGGGATCGTGGTGAGGAAAGAAAAATGGAAGAAGGTGGTCAAGTGGGTGTGAAAAATTAAGAAAAACACGGTACCCTAAGTCAACAATTACTCAACCTTTACACAACATTAAGGAACCGGGATTTCTCGCGGGAGGATCAGTTTTTCAGGGGCTACAAGATGAGATAAAGATGTCTGAATGAAATGTGGAAGGAAGGGGATGAAACAAATGTAAAACGGTGAAGTGGCTCAATGGTCCATTGAGCCGTCCGCATATAGATAGATGGCACATTTCGACCGTAAGTGTGTGCATTCTGTAGTACATCTGAAATTGAACTTAGAGCTCAGAGTCTATTATCTCAGTCCTTTGCTGCACAGCATGCAAAGTTCACCCTGCCAAGGGCTCAGTCTACACTCGATAGTGAAGCAACTGGACCCTCTTATTTCTCCAATGATAAATTACCTGAGCCGTAAGCAACTTGACCGGTGGCCTCCGGTGCGCGTGCTGAAAACTTACTTAGACTGTTGCGGCAGGTCCTCGACACTCTTCGAAATCCCAACATTGGGGAAAAGGGAGCAAATGATGAGCGATCGCGATTCTGGACTGTATATCAAAAGGTCAGCACGACAATGAATTTTTGGAGCACTATGATGGTGATATGGATATCGTCTTGATTTTTGTAAGCCATAAGCTCGTGCATTAACAATATGGTAATGTCTAGTCTTTAGTCTGGCCTATTTTCCGCAGTGAATATAGCATTCATCGCCACTGTGGGGCCTAACAGTGCTACTACCACAGATGCTTTATTGATGCAAATCATCATGCTGATGGTAATGAATAGCAATGGAACCTCGATCACAGATAATTATCCACTTCTGGTCCCGCCTGCATATTCCAACGGGCAAGTGTGGTTCCAGACTCTGGCTTATGCCAGCCTTTCATTCAGCCTTCTTGCGGCATTCGGTGCCGTCTTGGGCAAGCAGTGGCTTTGCTTCTACAAGCTTCAACAGTTCGGGCGTGGATCCCACAAGGAGCGGGGCAAGAGCAGACAACAAAAGTTTGACAGCCTCAAGGCGTGGTATTTTGATGCTGTGCTCCAAACGTTCCCAGTTCTTTTGGAAATTTCATTATTGCTATTCAGCATTTCCCTCTCCTCGTATGTGTGGACGCAACAGCGGACCATGACATCCGTCATCATTGCGACCACGATGTTCGGCTTCCTGTTCCACTGGTGCACCCTCCTTGCATCCCTTTTATCCCCAGATTGTCCCTTCCAAACGCCTGCTACCTTAGTACTTCGCATGGCTGGTGCATTCATGTGGGCAATAAGCATGGTTATTAAACAGAATGACAAAGACATGCACACACTGGGTGAAAGCTTTTGCTCTTTCCTCCACGGTATCACAACATTCATCTCGAGACTCATACAATGACTACTCAGTCCCAAGCCTTCCGGTGGCCCTGGGACGGAATCTGCCATATGTTGGGTGCTTGCTACATCTACAGATCCAGACGACATTGCAAACGCAGCCTCACTCATTCCCACCATTATATGGTCACCGAACTCAGACATTACATCTCACTGTCAGCGACTTCGAGACACATTTTTAACCTGTTTCAACGCTGAAGGGAGACTCCAGCCTTCAGGAAGAGATAGAGCACTCATTTGTGGGCAAGCTTTAAACCATTTGTGTCTGGCTGTTCTGCCAATTGGAGATGACTCCAATACCCGAACTGCTTCCCAGCAGTTGAGGATTTGGCATCAGTGGCGCAGCGTCATTCTTCTACAAAGCTTTGACAAGTGCAAGGCCTTTGCCTGCCAACTGTCAACATTATCTGGCCGGGAGTGGGAGAGGTATTGGGAAGATGCACGCACTGCATTGCACATGATGATTGCTGCTGCTGGAGATGGATTCATCCATCCAAACCATGACTCAGTCATTTGGAGTGGCCAATTCACGTGGACCGGTGATCGTCGCATGGCAGCTGATTTCAATTGGTTGGTTGACTATCTTGCATCTCCCTCCCAGGATCACACGGCAATGGGAGATGCTTTATTAGCACTGAGTGCTATGAAGGGACTTGGCACTCGTGCTCAAGAATCTGTTTACCTACGTGCGCTCATATCTGCCATGGATTCATCCAGCCCTCGTTGCCTTTGCTATGCAGCTTTACGCACTATTTCGGACTCTCGGCTGGCACTCGCCGACATTGATGCCATACAGGACGAGAACACATGCCAGATACTCCTCACAAAATTTTCCCCCGCCCCCCCAACGGCCATTTATCCTACTCGTGCTGGATGTCGCAAAGATGACGAATCCGATGTCAACTTCAACTATTGGAGAGACGATGCCTACCTACAGCTCATCATGGCTCTTACTTCCAACATCCGCAAGCAAGTCATGCACCTGATAACAGAGAAAAGGGCAAGAGTGTGCTTCACTCGCTTCTAAAGTCGCCCGACATGAAAGACCAAAGAGGTAATGAAGCTTTGCTTTTAAAAATCCGCAGTCCTTCAACGGGAAAAGTCTTGATCAAAACCCAACGATGATCACAATATCTTCATTCCCCAGTAGGCCTGAGTGGGCCTGGATGGTCTTTCGCTCTGAAAAGACATGGTGCTCACTATTCCGTGAATGTCCAAAGGCCACCCGTCTTTGCACTTGATGCTCATTCATTTGCCGATGCAACATGATACCTTGTGAAAGTCAATGCACTAATAATACAGTCGCGGTGTGTCTTGTGATGAGTGAGTGCCCAGAACTCTTACCATGATTCCAGATTCAGTCAGGGCGTCCTGACAATTGACTGAACCAGTCAACCCATCTGTGGGAATAGTCATGCACCGGTGATCTCACAGATGCTTGCAGTATCGCAGGTTGCCAGCGCACATAAGACTCTTTGCCCCGATAGTCTCCCCTTACTTGTCAGACCTATTGAAGGAAGACCGTTGTTTCCTTCTAATAATGCTCCCCTGAGAATTGATCTTTGCAGAGATTCAAGTGTCCTGGCTGTAGCAATAACTCTTTTTTAGTCCCCCCATCATCTGGACACCGGTACGCCAAGCTTTGATATCGCGAATGCACTTCAAGCGGTGAGTATCTTACACTTGATGTCGGACGGGTTACAAGTCGTCTTCCAACTGATCTTTATTAAAATCAGGAACAAGCCACATTAGGAGACTGCACGGGATTGGGTGAATGGGGATACATATTTAGCAGCATTGAGAGATAACGCTCACTAGTACTGTATCACTTCACACAGGTCACAGTATTGCTGGTTGTATTGACTCGTCAGTTCCGTCTTGAATGCAGAGTACTTTGTTAGCAAGCTGATCGACAAAGATGCACAATAGCAGGCAGGGCTTGGGAGTAGAGTGGTGTTGTCTATACCGCATCCGTTGTTCGTTGACCAGTTAAGGAGGCTGCTTTCATGTATATGCAAAACGCTCACTATTGATTTATCATTGCTTCCCAGGCTAAGCTACACCTGAATGTATGCATGGAATGGATCATGGTGGACGGTTCCGACAAAACATAGTCCAAAAAGGTCATGTACATATCTAGGATTGCCCCATGGCTTCTTCCAAATGCCCCACATCCAACCTTGGGGAAAACACAACCAAAAATGGCTGTGGGTGTGCAATAACATTTTCTTCAAATGCCCACCTATCTATGGGCGCATCCTTGGGTTCTAAGATTCGAAAAGCCCAGAACAAATACACAAGAGTGATCAGGACGGAATCACTTGCTAGATACTGTCCTGGACAGACACTGATTATCCATTAGTTCAATACTCCTGATTTGATCAGACAACTGACTGCCTGCCAGAGCCAAATGGGAAAGACTTGAGATCGGGACGAATCTGCCCACACGGTTCAACCCATCTCTGGGGGTCAAAGGTTTCGGGGTCAGGAAAAGCAGTTGCATCATGAGAAATAGCCCTGTAGTGTTCAAATAGTCACCAACAAGTTAGGGAAGATGAATCAATGGTCACACCAGTGACAGCCATAGACTGTTGTGCCAGCAGGGATCCGGAACCCTTTCTACACATACAAGCATTAATTCGCAATCTGATATCCAGTCCGACTACTAAGAAGACCAATCTCACATACCCATATTATATCCCTCGTGGTACGACGAGGGAACCCTGTGCTAGCAGTTAAAGGTGGCTGACAATGAAAGGAAGATGATTTACCGAGCGGAACGACAGGCCTCCAGCATAACGATTCATGCATAAATGCGTGCAACTCAGTAAGATGCTGGACATCTTCAAAAGATGGGGCTGTGAATCAGAAATTGAGTATCTCATCCTAATCCCATCCCATATTTGAACCATAAAAGCGAGACATACCTCGTTCTCTACCTATGACTGCATCTAGCTGTTCTTGCACACGCGCTTGTGCCTCGGGATGACAAGCTGCAGCCAGGATAGCAGCGGTGATGGCTGCAGAGATCTAAATATGAACTGTTAATCCCGCTCACCAACCGCAACATAAATCATTCACATTGTCAGTAGTGGCACCAAAAAGCGTCCCTCCCAAAAAAGACATCTCAATTTTTGATAGCTGATGTCCATGTTGCTCGAGAAGTGTGCGCATGAAAGATGGCCCAGCAATGCCACTCGCCTGAAAGAGATATGACCCGGCATACCCCTACAGTGTAAATTCTATACTGCATTAGGCCATCTGCGAGTCCACTACCCCTCAGACATTGATTCACGGATATGGGTTTTCCTCGTGGAGTGTGTGGAGGTCCTTCAAGATGATGTCAATCGTCGATCTGCTCGCCTCGACCGGCTAATGGCCCGAGGAGCAGCCAAGCAGTCCAACGATGAACAATTGGAAGATATCAATGCTTTTCTATGCATGTTTACAGACCTACCAAGCTGGGGTGAGCTCACCAAGCTCAGCAGCTCTTCACAGTGATTTCTTTACTTCTGACAACCTTCCCTGATCATTGACATGCATTTTTCAACAACTTCTCTCTTATATGAGTTGTCGTCCAGATTAACCTAAAGAGTAATATATGTTTTGTTCGCCCTGACTTACATTTATAATGTGTCAGTATATGATTACCTCACCTTTTGCCAAGTTGTGATTCTGGACTATCATATAGCACTGTGAACCCCAGTATTATTCCTCCTGGCCTATAACATGCCGTTTGTCACCTCGGTAGCCGCTTCACTCATCATCAACTGCCCCTCCAGCGCTGACTCTGGCTCAGACACGTGGATATTCAATGGCTACTGCGGACCAAGTCCTCCGTCTGAGCAACTTGGTGTTGGCAACGTGATCATTGTTTATCAATACACCCTGCAGATGAGTTCCATCCCCACCCCTTCCCCTGTATTTACTGCTACCATTACGCACATTGTGGGGTGGGGTGGAGGCCATGTTAAGTTTGGTGTGCATGCCCGGGCCACTGATGGCATTCTGACTTACCTTTGCACCATTTGTCTTCCACTACGGATATGCCGTCTCTTTTGGTGGCAGCGACTCTGGGGATGGATATTTCCTTTCCCTCGCTTATCTGTGATCCCGCAGTCACAGTGATTCTATCATGTTGATTCATTTGTCAGTATCCATTTGCTTGCCTTGTATCACTCAGCAGCCTATTGTGACTTACCCTGAATTCATAGGTCCCAAGATGCGCTTAAGTCATGAACTCTAGCAGGGCCCTTTGCAGTTTTACTTATACCATATAGTGAGATCTATATTTTAAAGCACACTTGTTGATATTATTTATTACCTATTGCGGTTCCACTTATCGTTTTCTACAAAGCGCTGGAAAATCAAAACATGAGTCTCGAGTTTGATAGCAAACAGAATATTGTTGAGGACCATCAGGAAAAAGCACAGTACCTACGCGAGCCTATGTACGGACTATCAAGTTTTCGCACTTGATAGTACCTCGACCTGGCCAAGAAGCAGGTGGGCGTGGTTCGATGTATTCAGGAGGCTCGTGCTTAAGCTCCAAATACTCCTTGACGCGCTCCAGGGCAACCTATTAAATGTCCATCAATAACACCGAACGTCACACAGTATGCTAAGGTACTAGCCATAGATTGTTCAAGGCCAACGAACTGCCACACCTAAGTTCAAGATTAATAAGAAATCTAGACAGACACCAGCTTCACCTACCAGGAATAACAACTGCAAGCAGTGTCAGGATATCGTTCTGTAGTCTATGGTAAGCAAGCGCTTACCGCCCACGTCATGCCTCCAGCAAACGAGAGAGCGAATCCAGCGAGCGCAGCTGAGATGGTCGGGGTGGAAACAGTGATAAGACCTATCATACCAACGGTCGCAGCGGACAACACGTCGAACCGGGTGGAGAGCCAGCGATTGACTAAAGACACCACCCAAGGTCAACTACTCTTGACAATCAAACGACGTTCGACATACCAGATCATTGCCAATAGTACGGGTTTATATTCTAGTAGACATCGATCAGATTAAGTGAAAGCGAATTCTGTCTGACTCACTGTATCGACGCAACGAAGCATGTCTCGCAAAAACTTTGATGAAGCACCAAAAGCTCGAAGGATAGGTGCTCCAGCAATGGTTTCACCAAAGATTGAATAAAGGGGAGACCGTGCCATGGAGTCTTAGGATTACCAAAGTCAATTGACCGCTATTTAATATGAAGAGCACTTACCCAGGTGCCGCATATCTCTAGTAGCTTGTCTGTAGTCCTAGGCCCTTGAGCATCTCCTCATATAAGAACTTGACAGAAAAGTACCCTTGCAACTAAACAGATTCAACAATCAGCGCCGATGTGATGGATCAAGAAAAAAGTTGCAGACCATCATAATAAATGAAGCCCAGGAGAATAATCGCAATGAAGGATGGAACACCGCCTGCGAAAGTGACTGACACAACCATAACTATGAAAGACAATGCAAGGATGATACTTCGACCAAAATGATCCGCGAGTCGACTGTCAATGCCTATAATGTCATGTGTCATTGTGCAAGCAAATAAACCGCTGTCTTAGAAAACGGATCTTCAAAGTCTTTCCCGAATCGATTCAGGAGTCTCCCCCGCGACACAGTATCATGGAACCGGATTTGTGCAAACAACATAGTTCCCAAAAGTTCTATCACGAGTGATGTAAATAAGTGGTAAAAAGTAATGTCTCGACTTCGACCCACGTTGGTATAAAACAGTCGACGCGTGGATAGAACCGTTATCTGAATGAGAAATGGTTCAGTAGAGGTTCAGGAGAGTGGATGTAGTTTGCATACATAGTGCGAAGTATCTATAAGTCGAAAGCAAGACACCTGAAATTTTTTTAGCACTGTGTGGTACAAGTCAACCAATTCAAACCTGTGAGAGTGATCTGCAAAGACATGAGTCATGAGGAGGGATGATATTATAGAGCCGTGCTTATTGCAGCATAAATGACAACGTAATACACCGGTCCTTTAGCCTTGGCCTTTTCTGTGCTTGATCCCGACCATATCCTACGGATGCCAATGTTAGTCATGTGACAGTAAACTGCTAACATTAGGAACATACTTAAGCCACCAGTTCTCTGCGATAGGACAGAGAGCAACCAACACGAGAATGAATAACAACCATGCCCAGTACCCATGGGCGCCAAACGACTTCACATAGAGCTCCCAGACGTCATGACTAACGCGCCCTACAGCGCGTTTCTCATCTTCCACAACTTTCCTAATGTTCTGAGCCAGGGATGGTGGGCCAACCTAGGGTGGTGCGCCATCAGTTGCGCACCTATCAACCAGACCTTCACGCGGAAGTGATTTCCGCGCACCTAACTTAATGATAGGGTGTTCCGCTAGGGAAAATCTATGGGGACCATAGATGCTGGACCCCAATACGCAGTCGGACGCCTTGACATAACAAGCGTACTGCGGACACGTACTATAGTCAGTCCATAATTTACCTACGCGTTACATCACTGCTAACCACGCTGGTACATATATTATCAACCTTTCTGACTGAATCTCTCGTTGGTCAACTACATCTTCTGCTCTCCAGCACCTTTGCTCATACCCCAGTAGCCCTTTACCGAGGTCCATGGCTGCACTGACTAGATCCAAGAGTAAGGGTGCGAATCAGGGCAAATCAACAACTGTTCCGCGAATTAAGAGGGTGTTACTCAAACTCCCAATTCGAGAACTCGAGTCTACCATTGTCACCGATACCAACCTGGTGTCCCAAGCAGCATCTCAGCTTCAGCGTGAACAAAAGCGCCGATTGGGTCAAGAAACTAAGATTCCACGCCCCCACATCGAACTGCTTAAACGCCCCAACCGAAAGCGCATGCTCTGCTCGAAGCAGTGGGACGTGCGTGGGAAAAGGCATTTTGACCACCACGTTCACCATTGGCAGGATAATGTTCCAATGTACCAATTGAAAGGAATACGGCTGGAGGACCTCAAAGCTCGCTCCAAGAATGATGCGAAGGAGGTAGCTCAAGCGACGATGGACGCTATGGAAACTTGGGACAGTGACGGTGCCTCAGGGGTTTTCCAGGATGAGTTGGGCAACCCACTGCTAGCATACTTCGCCCAAAGGCATGATGGCTTGAGCCCAGTAAGTCATCGAGATTACATCAAGCTATTGCAACTAACTTTAGTATGCTAATAGCGTCCTGAAGGGATAGTATACTATGAACCTGGCCCTAATACTCCTTCGGCCATGGGCAGGTCACCTACTGATTTTGCCCGCACTAAGAATGAAGGCAAGAAGACTCATTTTGATGGGATCCGTGTGCGCTTTCATTACCTTTTTTACGACATAATCTTACTATCAATGTAGCCAAACTTACTCAACAAAACGTTGGTGAGCATGCAGTTACTCCTCCATCACCTTGGCATTCGCCGGAGTCGCCGTGATGGCCGTCACAATAAGGCCGACACTTTAATGCGATATGTGAAGGACAGTGGTCCCCCTGGTGGCCTAGCTACTCTATCCCAAGACAGCAAGTCATTCACACTCCACGGTGTTGAGTATGTCTATCAAGACAATACATTTACGTCCGAGACTACTGATGTAATCCATTTGGTCCATGCGTGGCCTGACCAGGGGCACTCCGCTGAAAAGGTATGGTTGCTATCCAAACCCTACTGTGACTCCTCTCCGTAGTACTAACATCCTTCACCCTAGCATGGGATTCATCCATCAGCAGATATGGTCTCAGGCGCTCATGGGTCCCAGTTTGTTCACAAGTATTTTGAGGACACAAAAGAGTTGGCTTTGTTATTAGGCAGTATGCTCCAGGCATCCTTTCCAGAGTTCTACGTTAAGTATGAGGCAGCGTTTAAGGCTGGGAAGTGGACTGTTGTTGACCCAGGTCCCTTCCTGGGCCGAGCAGTAGTTTGGAAGCTTGATGTGATGCCTCACCAAGATGGTTTGGATGAGGGCCCCACTGTGATATTTCCAATGGGTCGCTTCAGTGGAGGTGAATGTTACCTCCCGGACTTAAAGTTGAAGCTCAGGTGAGCGTCGCGCTAGGAATTACCTAACTTAAACTCATCTTTGGGTAGCTACCGTCCTGGAGAGGTCATCATATTGATGGCTGGTGCACTGTATCACGCAATTGGTAAATGGGCTCCCCTGCAGGGTATCTCTGAACATGGTACTACACCAGGTCGAGTGGGGAATGTTTTCTTTTTCCCTCACTCGTCATTTGAGGTCCTTCAAGATAAACCTGCAGGCTGGGCTCTTGGCACGGCTGGCGGTGTGCTTGTTGACCTAACTACATAGGACTTAGTATAGCTTTCACTCGACTTGTTGAAACCCTTTTTTTTCTCGTTCATTGTTATTACAAGGACTCCTTTGGTCGGCTTTTGTACGATATACAGGTTTGAGTCATGAATGCACAGCAGCGATAAATTCTGGTTACAGTAGTAAGTTAGGAAATACAATATTAGCACAGTCTTGTCCATCGCTTGCTTCTGCAAATGGACACAATGTGTCTCTTCGTGTTCTCACTCTCGATAGTGCTGTTGTGCATAGGTCGATGTGACTCTCATGTTCAAATTCCACGAGGTTAGCATTATACATGATATCGGCGCTGACGTTGTTTGCCGCAGTAAAGAAGCAACTTCCAAACGGTCCTACAAGTAGCCTGCTTGATATGAAAGGACGTAAACGTCGCATCTTCGAGGGCTCCAAAAACCGAATGGCCGCTGTTCCTTAACGAGTGCTTTGACGGAGGTGCTTTGGAAGGCCGCTAAGACCATCGTGATCTTCTCAAGAGCGATTTGCATGGTGCGTCTGCTCTTTATTTCAAATTTGATGTTGTAATACCAACTTCACTTCATGACAGAGCCACTCGCCAAGCTTGTGGTGTTTACCTCAAGAATCGCGTACATACGTCCTACATCCTTCCTTCAAGTCTGCACCCAGACCACGTTCCAATCGCTCAGTCTGGCTGCACCACATTAAAAACCAACATTCTTCCTCTTCTTTCTGCCAGTCCAAGCTGCACCGTCACTGTCCAGCTCGCAGCAACCCTCAAGGACCTTGTGGCACACGACTTCCCTGATTGTTGGTCATCTCTTTTGGATGACGTGAAAAGGCTCTTGGGAAGTGGAGATGTGAGAGAAGCAGGGGCTGGTGTTGTAGCTGCACTCGAGTGTATTAGAGCGTTCAGGTACGTGTTTAAGTGTGTTATCTTTCATATCGCTCCAATAAATTTGTAGATTCCGTCAAAAAGCCAATGTCTTGCCAGGAATTATTGCCACTCTTTTCCCTACCCTTGTCACTATCGCTGATGGCATGCTCAATACCTCCCCATCCCAACCCGCGTCCCAGGACATCCCTGCCATGCTGCACCTGATTCTCAAGACGTACAAAACTGCAATCATTGTCAACCTTTCCCCACACCAGCAGAGCCCAGAATCACTTGTTTCCTGGGGAAGACTCTTGTTCCGCGTCATGGGGATGGCTGTCCCTGCGGGAAGGCGTTTCAACTGACGAGGAAGATCGGGAGAGATGCGAATGGTGGAAGGCCAAAAAGTGGGTGTATGGAATCCTTGGTCTACTGTTCCATCGGTGTGTATCTTCTTCACATATGCTACGCGTCTCTGAGAGCATTGTAGGTTTGGAAATTCCTCTCAGCTCCCGTCACCAATGCAAAAAGAGTATGGTGTATTTGCAGAAGACTTTGTTACCACCTTCGCTCCCGAAACCTTCAAGGTGTTCCTCCACCAAGTCGAGCTATACGTTTCAAGGCAGGCATGGCTGGGCAAGAAGTGTCAATACGTATCACCGCTTCTCTCAAGGTCGCTGTGCTTGAGGATGGAGTCGACTTCAGAGCTTATTTTCCGTGGAGGTATGTGTGATTATCATTTGTAATGGAGCCAATTACTGTCAACGCTAATACCAACCGCCATTCAACCAGGTCTCTTTTCTCTGAAATCAAGGATGCCTACCAACCAACTTTGGTTGCGGATATGACCATCTTCCCAGCTGTCACCTGGGGACGACTCCAACGTGCGTTCTCTCCTCAGTTACATCGCCGCGACCTCCACAGAAATAGCTGAATCATCCTCTTCCAACCAACTTCTTTCTAACCCACTCTACGCCTCCTCAACCACCTTTCCCAATGATAATGTGACCTTCCAAAGCGACGAAACGGGACTGTACGGTCGCTCAGACGAAGAGAAGCGGCTCATCAGGATCACGACGATCTCCGTTGTCACGCGCCTTGCACTCGAATTCCATACTGTAGGCCAGGAGGAAGTCACAAAACTCACGATCTCGATGTTGTTGCAACGCTTACGGACTTTGGAGCCAACTCTCGAGGCTGCGATCGCGAATAAACCTTGTGGATCTTGCGCTCGTAGCTCCTGAAGGATCGTTTATAGTCTGAGAATGAACGAATGTACACCCCACAATTCTCACCATCGGCTTTCTTTCGCGCCATAGACGAGTTCCGCTCTGAAACAAAAGGCACAAGCCAAGACTTTGGCGCATCGGCGAAGCACTCATAAATGGCGAAGTAGTCTCTAGCACGCAAACAATGTTTGACAGGTACGTGTCACCTAATCGTATCCACCACACCGCTCACTGAGACCCTCCTGAGCAGAAACCCATCTTTCCTCCACGCACTGCCCTCTCCCATCGTCTCCCTTGCCACAGTACAGATGGCAGGACGCGGCAGAGGCGGTAACGCGTGGCTTTCAACCTGCAGGGTGTTTGCAAATGTCGCTCAAGGTTCGTGTCGGGCTCAAAGGATCTTCGTCAGGTAAGACCAACGACTTTATCTGATATCTGAAATTTGATATCACGCTGTACCAGGCCCCACAATCCTCCCCACCAACCTCGTATTCATTCAATACCTCTACGCACTAGCAATCATCGACACATGTCACATCCTGGACCCCGCCTCTGAATGGGCCCACAAAGTCCGTCTGTTGAGAGATGGTTGCATTTGGGCAGCTATATGGCACGTTATCCTTCTGTGCTTTCTATCTAATATAGCATTAACTCATTGTCTGGCATGTAGGGATGTCAGATGCGCTGACGAACCACCTCAGTCACCCTAGTACGGCACTGCTAAACATTCATTTTGACACGTATGATACAGCATCGCTTGAGATCACTTTTCCCACAACAGGTATCGTCGGAGTGGATGCCAGAAGCCGAGGCGAATTCAAAGTAACAAGGACGCCGGACGGAGGTATAGGACGTCACCCGGGGCCCATAACGTCTGTGGTAAGGGCTGATTTCTGGCAGTTGAGGAGGGAGTCATGCGGGCGCCTCTTGTCCTTCTTATCCTTGCTTGCTGGCAAGCTTTTGCCCAACTTGAAGTTCGTCTCCCTCACCGATGGGCAGGACGTCAAGTTGGATTTGACTGGCGGCTACTATGATGTGGGCGGTCAGTGTCGTGTATATCATGCAGCTTCTAAATTGACAGATCCGTTAGACTATATCAAAAGTGCTTTCCCTCTGCTAAGCCCCCTCGGCTTGTGCAACAAATCACCCCTTCAACTCAGCTCCAGTCATTTACCGTGATATCACTATGTTGGGGTCCAACGGATTTCGGAAAAGGTTCGTGCAACATCAGAGAAATATTCATTTGCCAATCCTATTGAGTAGGATACGATTTAGCAAACCAAACACCTTACCTTGATGGCATGCTCCGATGCAGTCTTGACTGGCTGAGCCATGAAAGTCAGTCTTGTGCGTTAGCATCAAGTGATCCGCTCACTAAATCAAGATGATTGTCACAGGCACACGCTGCCAACAATACCTTGTTCGCCCAGATAGCTAATGGTAAGCATTCGGTTTTGATTTCCATTCTCCGCTCACGCATGACCGCAGAAGAACTTCACAATGAATACTCGGGCGGCGATCATGACATTCCTTTGCCACGTCCTTCATATCAAATCAACGACGCTAGGTATTATAGCACTATTTTCTATATAGGTTTGGGTTAGTAAAGGGTTTCTTTAAGGCATATTGATAGGCCAGTCCCTCCACTGGAACAGTTCCAGTAGAGGTCAGTCAGTCAGTTAGGTTGGTCTAGTCCCTCCACTGGAACAGTTCCAGTAGAGGTCAGTCAGTTAGGTTGGTTTAGCCAGTGCCTCCACTGGAACAGTTCCAGTAGAGGTCTGTCAGTCAGTTAGGTTGGTTTAGTCCCTCCACTGGAACAGTTCCAGTGGAGGTCAGCCAGTCAGTTAAGTTTAGCCAGTGCCTCCACTGGAACAGTTCCAGTAGAGGTCAGTCAGTCAGTTAAGTTTAGCCAGTCCCTCCACTGGAACAGTTCCAGTAGAGGTCAGTCAGTCAGTTAGGTTAGTCTAGTCCCTCCACTGGAACAGTTCCAGTAGAGGTCAGTCAGTCAGTTAAGTTTAGCCAGTCCCTCCACTGGAACAGTTCCAGTAGAGGTCAGTCAGTCAGTTAGGTTTAGCCAGTACCTCCACTGGAACAGTTCCAGTGGAGGTCAGTCAGTCAGTCAGGTTGGTTTAGTCCCTCCACTGGAACAGTTCCAGTAGAGGTCAGTCAGTCAGTTAGGTTGGTTTAGTCCCTCCACTGAAACAGTTCCAGTGGAGGTCAGCCAGTCAGTTAAGTTTAGCCAGTGCCTCCACTGGAACAGTTCCAGTAGAGGTCAGCCAGTCAGTTAAGTTTAGCCAGTGCCTCCACTGGAACAGTTCCAGTAGAGGTCAGTCAGTCAGTTAAGTTTAGCCAGTCCCTCCACTGGAACTGTTCCAGTGGAGGTCAGTCAGTCAGTTAGGTTGGTTTAGTTCCTCCACTGGAACAGTTCCAGTAGAGGTCAGTCAGTCAGTTAGGTTGGTTTAGTTCCTCCACTGGAACAGTTCCAGTGGAGGTCAGTCAGTCAGTTAGGTTTAGCCAGTACCTCCACTGGAACAGTTCCAGTGGAGGTCAGTCAGTCAGTCAGGTTGGTTTAGTCCCTCCACTGGAACTGTTCCAGTGGAGGTCAGTCAGTTAGGTTGGTTTAGCCAGTGCCTCCACTGGAACAGTTCCAGTAGAGGTCTATCAGTCAGTTAGGTTGGTTTAGTCCCTCCACTGGAACAGTTCCAGTGGAGGTCAGTCAGTCAGTTAAGTTTAGCCAGTGCCTCCACTGGAACAGTTCCAGTAGAGGTCTGTCAGTCAGTTAGGTTGGTTTAGTCCCTCCACTGGAACAGTTCCAGTGGAGGTCAGCCAGTCAGTTAAGTTTAGCCAGTGCCTCCACTGGAACAGTTCCAGTAGAGGTCAGTCAGTCAGTTAAGTTTAGCCAGTCCCTCCACTGGAACAGTTCCAGTGGAGGTCAGTCAGTCAGTTAGGTTAGTCTAGTTCCTCCACTGGAACAGTTCCAGTAGAGGTCAGTCAGTCAGTTAGGTTAGTTTAGTTCCTCCACTGGAACAGTTCCAGTGGAGGTCAGTCAGTCAGTTAGGTTTAGCCAGTACCTCCACTGGAACAGTTCCAGTGGAGGTCAGTCAGTCAGTCAGGTTGGTTTAGTCCCTCCACTGGAACTGTTCCAGTGGAGGTCAGTCAGTTAGGTTGGTTTAGCCAGTGCCTCCACTGGAACAGTTCCAGTAGAGGTCTGTCAGTCAGTCAGGTTAGTTTAGTTCCTCCACTGGAACAGTTCCAGTGGAGGTCAGTCAGTCAGTCAGGTTGGTTTAGTCCCTCCACTGGAACAGTTCCAGTGGAGGTCAGTTAATTAGTGAAGTTGGGCCAGTGCCTCTACTGGAACAGTTCTAGTGGAGGTCAGTTGGGGTTAGTTATGTTGGTTTAGTCCCTCTACTAGAACCATTTCAGGGTTAGTTAGTTGTGTCAGTACCTTCACTACAACCATTCTAGTGAAGGTCAGTTAGTTAGTTTGGTTCATTACTTCCACTGGAACTGTTCCAGTGGAGGTCAGAGTTAGTAAGGGAGGTTGGATCAGTGCCTCTACTGAAATGGTTAGGATAGAGGTCTGTTAGTGAGGCAGTTGGCTATGGTTAGTTAGTCAGATCATATTTATCCAAGTGCCTCCACTGGAACTGTTCCAATGGAGGGTTAGTTAGTGTGAGTTAGTTAGGTCAGATTATCTATTTGCTTCTACTGGAACTGTTCCAGTGGAGGGTTGGCCAGGGTTAGAGTTAGAGTTAGATCATTTGAAATGTCTCTCAAACCATTCAACCTTTTAAATTATGTTCACTTCTCTCCAACCCAGTAGTTCAAGTTGTAGGGTTTGAAAATAAATATTTACACTATACTACCATACTGCAAAAGGCCACTGAGCCAGCTTCTCACAACTGCTATCCTATTTTTCAGTGACTGATTATCACACAGGTGCCATTTTCTGATTCTGTTACTGCTGACACAAAATTGGTGAAAGAGGCTTGGCATGAGGTGTGCCTTTAGCAGTCAAAATGGTAAGTATTCTGTTCTTAGGGTATTCCTGGTCTTATTTATGTGAAGCTCTTAAAATGCACATAACTAACCCTTCCAAGTACACTCAGCACTTTGACTTGCAATGTTTCCTTACTGTTTTCTTGGAACACTTTTATCTATGTGTCAGATGTCATCCTCATCAGAGCTGTGTGCTATCATCCACTGTTGCAGTGGATTTTTGCCTAGTCCTTTTATTGCTATTGCCTTTTGCTCCTGATTTCTTCCGTTGCTGATCATCATCTGCAGTTTATCATCTTTGAGCTGGCTCATGCTCCTCACAGGGGTTTTACCTTTTTGTTAGGGTTAGTCTTATTTTGTTGAAGAGATGGCATATAAGCAGTATCTAAGTGAATGCAGTTGTAAGCCACAGCAGGTATGCAAATAATTTATTGCTAGAGCATTCTCTGATTTCATCTCATTGCAGAAAAGCACTTGTGTCAGTGTTAGGGTCGTGTGCTCAAGGGGGTTGGATCACAAGGGCTTGGCCTCAGCTCGTACGCTGTGCCCCTTTCCCGAGTATGTGCCCTTAATTTCCAGGGGCTAGAACAGTTGTCCAGAGTTTCTGGGATTTGACTAGGGTGGACAATGGATGTCCAGATGTTATTTGGACAAGCAGATAAGACTAATCCAGACGAAGTCCAGACTAGAAACTAACAGAGGATAGACTACCTTGAGGGTTAGAGTTGGAAATGTAGTCTAGGATGCAATCCTAAGACTTGGAATATGACAAGAGACTTATCTCGAGTCCGGAGGACACAGGAATGAGCAGGAACTAAGATGATATTTGAACTGGAGTATTTCCAAGAGTTACAGGAGGTTTATATACTGTAGGTATCATATAGGAATCAGTCAGCAAACATAAAGGCTATGTACAAAGCATATGCAAAGTCTATTAGTAAGTAGGACAGATCATGAATAATGAACACCAGAAATGAAATGTATGTAATGGATCAATAATCAGAAGGGAAACATGGTTAACTGGAGTCCAGAGACAGGGGAAGTCTAAATGGGATTGGGCACTGATATAGGGTTTAGATTCCGGAAGGAAGATAAAGATAGATCAGATCATTTGAGATCTGGATCTTGGATCTGGATATCCGGAGAAGCAGATTTAGAGTTGAGAGTCTGGAATGGCATATGACAGTCAGCCATAATGCTGTGAACATGGCCAACGTAAAAACATCCAGGGGACTTGCTGCAACAGGTGTTGGGACTGTCGATTGCGCAAGGCATGATATGAAGCTTCCTAATGGAGTGGGTGATCTGCAAAAGGGCGAAAAGTGCGTTTTATACTACTCATTGAGCCTCATGTATCTAAACCTGTACTACCAGTTAGGGTTAGACATGGACTATCTAGTTTTTTTGGTAATTCTTAGCTTTTTGGTCTTCATTTTCAACCTGTCATATGATATGGCATGCCAATGGCATAAGAAATTATGGACTTGTATGGACTCATTGTCACCTTGCCTGCACCTTGCCTGCAAAAACAAGATTATCAGATTTTTCATCCCAAAATTCCATCTCAATGCTCATATTCAACCATGTCAAACAATGTTTTCATTTAACTGTAGCAAGAACGTCAGATGCACAGATGGGAAAGCACCCAAGAGAGGATGGGCAAACATTAACTGTGTGGCATCAAGTACCAAAGGGTTAGAGGGACCAGGAGCACATCACGACATCTTGGATGACCATTTTGGAGACTGGAACTGGAAAAAAATTACAATGCTTGGTGGGGATCTTGCATTGCTAATATTAGCTTGATCTCACATTTTTCTAGGTGAATGGATGCTCCACAAAATCAAACAAGCTTCCAGCAGATCCAAGCTTCATCGAGAGGAGCTGCATGAACTCGGACATACGATACCAGCACTATCACTGTCTGCATGGAGATCAGAAATAATAGCATGGGAAGAGGACCACACAAAACCCAATCCATTCAGGAGCAGGGTTGTTTGTACATTATTATCTACTTATCTGTTTGAGCAAGACTGATGGTTTTATCTGAAAGCCATCACACAGGCTGCTATTTGATGTCAGCTAGCCAAGAAGGATGCTGCAGACCTACAATCTGGTGCAGATATCTTGTTGCACACTGAAATATCCCCAAGTATCCTGATTGTGTCAGGGATTGATTTGCAGGATCAACAGTGAGTATCATGACTTGGACATCTACTGAACTATTGCTCACAAGAGAAACACCAGACAATGTTTGGCTGTGGATGCATCAGCACTGGGCCAGCATGCGACTGACACACAAAAATGAAGATATATAATCAAAGCAACACTCTTCAATGCCAACTGGATAATTGGGTTCACATCTAGGTCCTTTACATGCTTGCAGTCACCCCCATCTGTTCTGCCAAGGAAGCTCATCAATCTCAACATACCACAACA